TCCTGGAAGGATCACGTCTTGGCTCCTCGTGTTCATAGCCGTCGGGAGTGAACTTCGACGGCCCTGCATCATTGTGGTTGGGGGATTTCCGGCACTACTTCGCAACAAACACTATTAGCTGTACATCTTGAATAGCATCCTTCAGAACGCATCGCAAAAGAGTCGGACTCTTGAAGTCAGTCATGAACCTTTTGTCTACGCATCGGTTTCGTCGTGTCTTGTTCAATACACACCTGGGTGACTGCCTTGATTTGACTGCCGTTAGTCACCTAATGCTTGACTCAAAGCTTGGCTATCGGAACATTTATTTGTCAGGGGGATACAGCCTCGCACTTGTCATTATTGTTGCACCGAGCCCGACTCACCAACTTGAAGTGCCTGAGGTGCACAATACCATCCATCAATGATTGAAGTTGTAGGCAACAAGCCCTGGAATCTCTCAAACCAAAGGGCTATCAGTAATACATGCAATCCAGAACGTGAGCTGAAACGAGTGACTCAACTCAACGCATTACCTATGAAGAGGATCATTGGATCCATGCGCTGTGAGGCATCTTCCGTTGGATTATTTTTCAGACTTCCACAGAGCTGCATGATATCCAAGAATCTCCTTGGCCAAGAGCTCTCCCGACTCCCTCTAGATTTCGGTGGCCAGTGATGGACAAAGGGTGGGACACCAGAGAAGAATGGGTGATTGAAGGAACCCACAAGCTCTCTGCTTCACTTGCTTACTTGGTGGTTCCTGGTCACCACAAATGCTTCGAAAGCGATTACTGATATGTTTCCTGGGGGATCTGCTGCTGATATAACAAGACAAATCAAACAGGCAATATCCGAGGAATAACTCATCCAGAAGTACTTAGTAGGTACCCAGAGGCACTTTGTGGTTGTCAATCGAGTCTCGTCACATCAGGGAGCTAACCATCACGGCCAACATGGCGGCGCTACTGAGCTGTAATTGACCTGGTCCATAGGCCATGGTGGCTGCGTATGTGCCCGACCATTCCACCAAGGCGACGGTGGATGACTAGAGCGCCATACTGCTCGGAAACATGGCCAATTCCCTGGCAACTCGGATTACTATACATGGAAAATTGGACAGGCGGAGGATCCGGCATTGGCAGAATGATCAACGGCATCAGCTGTTTCGCAAGACGGCAATCAACCGTGTTGGTATGGTGGTCTCGAAATGGTGAGTGTGAGAAGTAAAGTACATTTTGGGTACCTATTATTTGGCAACGAGGAGTTGAATTGTTCGTACAGCCAACATCCTGTCTGACAAGAACATTTCACGCTGTGCTCATCTATGTCAGAATTCAGACACTTGTGATTCCAAATGCCACCATCTACTTGTTAAGGAGATCGCCCGCAAGCCCTATATTACTTATTGAGGAAGGACGTATCCGGATTCTGGGGCGATGGCCAGCGCCCCGGATAGACTGGATATCGAGTATCGAGACGATTGCAGGCTTGAAACTCGATCATCATATCACACAGGCTATTCGACATCGAGCTAGTGGTCCGTCGTAGTGACATGTTCTAGCGTCGAGCTTTAAACCCCCGTTAATCCGCACTATTCAGATTATGGAAGGACTGAGTCAGCAAATGCAGATTACCTTTTCGAATCCTCAGACTAGAAACAGCACTTCCCCCAGATCTGGGCAATGAACTCGCCCTGACAGAATACGGAAGTATCTCGTACAGGGAACGGAGCAATTGATTGTTCCGACTGAAGAGACGAGAGCTGAAAAAATGTCAATACATACTTAGTGCTGCAAAGTGCCTCGATCCGTCTCCACCATGGCTATTCCTTCGTTTCCGAACTCGTGGCAAAAAGACACGCTCTGCGGACGATGATGCATGTTCTTAAAGGAGCCAAGGCACACCCCAGACACCGCCGTGGGAGGACCGAACCGCACGCGACGGAGTACCAAGTACCAAGCACTTCGTATGTTCATAATTCCCGAATTGTCAGGCTGTCAGCCACCGGCAGGAACACAGTTCGTTCATGATCATGATTTGTCCGATTCTTTCGGTAGTATTTACGAACATCAATGCTCACGTCAGGTGCCAAGAGCTTGCCCTGGGTGAATGCTTGCCATGCTGGGAATACTCCGTCCTGACCACTCGCATGGGAAGGCATTGGTCATTGGTATCGGACACTCGAAACGGATAATGTTTCCAACTATGACTTGACTGTCGTGGTAAATACCAAGTCTGGTGTTGGTAAGTTTTTTAACCCAAGGGACCTGAAGGAGTACTTAATACTGGATCTTACCGAACCAATACCTGCGCGGTACCTGCGCTGGAAGGGCAGTTCGTACGGAGATCAAGCGGTTTCATACTGGCCAAGAGCGTAGCGTTATACCTACAGGAAGTACGAGTACTCATAGAAACGTCGAGTGACTCAAGATGGCGGTGCATAACGTGCTCGTCCACGTACTCGCATTAGAGTTCATGCCAGCAAGCACAATGAATGTCCACACTGTAAACCAAAAAAAGTAGGGAGGACATGTCACGAAAACCCAAGCTCCAAAGTGTCAAACACAGAGGCCATCCTCACTCGTCAAACCACGAGACATTGACGTAAAAATCTTTCGAGTCATGTTGTTTCGCAGAGCGCCCCCCCGAGTACTCGTGTCTTACATAGGCAGGTGGGCTGTTGATTAGTACCTTAGTCAACTAGCCAAATACTAAAAGCTCCCACAAAGGCCAATACTACTGGCACGATGGATTTTCTCGGTAGTTTAATAAAAGAAGAGGGGGATGGTGGTACTGTGATGGGAAATTCCCCATCCGTCCCTTCATCACCAGCCAGTGTTGACTGATCGCCAAAAACGAAGACCAAAACAAAAATATGTAACAATCCCATGGCATTGATGAGTCTGTCATTCATGATTAATTGACTTTCCCACCTTGCGCCGCGCGCCATGCGATGCATACGAAACAGCGGTACACGTAAGTGGCCAAGCAAACCTTGAGGTACTCGTCTGAACCTGGCATCGTGTATCAACCCCAATTGAGGAAGGTACCTAAAGGATTAGTCAAAGGAACGAAACACGCCGCTCGTCCATTGCAACCATTCATGGACAATCACAAGTGCTTTCATTTCGTTCGTTCCGATCGCGATCGGAAAGAGGTTTGCCACGCTACACCACACCACACCACACCACACCACATATACGACGGCCCAGCTCCGGGAAGGCGCCAAGTTGCGCGCATGGCTGTTTGCTCGCCCCCTGGAAGAATTCAAAGGTTCGCAGCTCGCGTGATTGATATTCACCTGCCACCACTGCATGGGCGTGTCGGACTCGGAGGACTAAGACATTAGTCAGAAAAATGCCGTTTTCCGTTGCGGGTGGGATCCCGCTTGGGAAGTCGCGCTATACTCTTTACGTTGTAAGGGGCCGGCCGCCGTAATGATAGTACCGGATGAATGTGTGTTTTTTTCATTTCGATACCCGTCACGTCTTACGAGTAGAGCCCCCTTGGTGGCGGTTGTACCTATGAGTACGGGACTTGGGTGCCTTCCTGGGTAACCATAGGTAAGCACCAACCTGAGGTAAATAAAAGAACTGGCTGCGAAGCCTGGCTGTCTATTTCCAAGGTCGGTATTACCTGGGTATTCCATAGGTACAGCGTACTCCCTAGGTATGTAAGTACCTAGTTACTAGTACATACCTCGCATTCACTGCTGGATTAGGTACCCTCAGGCCTTGAGCTTCACTAAATAACCGTCAGTGGCCCCCTAATAATAAATCCTAAATTTTGAATCTCGATCTCGTTTCGTAATCCAAACTCGCCGTGTTTCGGTAAATGGCGGGCTTGCAAAGGTTCCCCGACAATCGGTGTTTGTGCGCGCCGCTGCAAACGGAGTTGAAGGCTGACTGGTTCTCTTCCAAATTATCGAGATATCGATACGTTTTACGCCTTTGGACGCCACGAAAGAGTATAGGTAAGCAGCCCTCGCTTACGTACCTACTTAGTACTTCTCGTACTGCAGAGGGCCAGACAGAAGTCTTTCTTTAGTTGCTTGATCATGGTGTTAGATCAGCCTTGCGTTCAAGCCGAACAACGTGGCCAGGTCTAGAGCTCTTCAAACGAGACTAATTCTCGGCGACTACGAAGTACTGTCTGTTGATGCTCTGCTTCAATGGTGGCGTGGAACTACGACTGCACCCTCGCGAGTCGCTACCGATTCCGAGTGCTGGGTCTGGAATACTTTGCGATTACAGCGTACGAGTAGGTTTCACCTCCTGGAATTCAGTCGTTTGCTAGACAACTTCAAAGTGCCTGGCTGAAGGTCTAGCCCCTTGGCAATACCGAGCTCGCTACCTTGGGATGCCTGATAACAAGGCTGAACGACGGCATTAACGTGAACTCCAACCCCGAAATGTCGCCTTTAGCACATTAATCGATTTCCAAAAATGCACACACGTTGCGATGGCCAGACTTGCTCTGAATCGTCGATCCTCGTATGGTCTTCGTTTGGGCAATCAACTCATACCACTTGATTTCACAATTTCTCTTCCACCAAACTGCAGTCTCTCTCGGCTTGAAATGCTCGGTGGCCGAAAAAGTGACAGATTTCGAGGTTGAAACCAACATCGCCTCTCGAGTTTGGATCGGTTCCTGCTGGTGGTCTCCTCACGTTCACTGCGGATACTGTGTACTTTGCCAACTCACCATCATGCCTGCCACATAGACGGTGCCGTTCTCAAGGCACTCAAACAGTGCAGGTGATTAATGCAGTCAGATTCAAGCCTCGGAAGGATATCCGAAGACGCTCTCACGGAAGTGTCGAATCAAAGCACTTCCTGCTACGGCCGCAAAACCCACCCCAATGGCCATTGTCCATCTGTCATTGCTGCTGAACCCATTCGGGCAATAGCCGGTACATAAAGCGATCGGCACTGCTCATAATTATTAATGATATGTAGTGGTTCAAGCTCTTCAACTCAAGAGTACGAATAAGTGGCATAATTTCCCAAATCATGTTCCTAGAACAGGTTAGCCAACGATTGTCGGATTGGAATATGCATATTCACCTTCATGTAGTCGTTCCCCTTTTCTAGATAGTCTGCACGAGTGATAGTGGCTGTCTCGCGCTCTGCTCGTTCTCCAGAGCTCCACCACGACGCAGCGCCCTTCCATGCATCGAGTACTGGATCGCCAGCTTTTCTGACATTCACCGTGAAGTCGGCGGGCACGGTCGCTATGAGTTCCCGTTTGAGCCGCTCCTCAAACGTGGTGAACATTGTGTTGCCTCCAGTTAGAAAGACATCTTTGAGGAGCGCCTGCTGTTGAGTGGGATCGGAGAAGCGTCCCAACACAATGCCTTCGATGATTTCGACAAGACCTGCCTGATCCACACCTGCAATCGCTGGTTGAAAGACAACCTCAGGAACTCGAATTCGTTCAACATTCAGATGAATTTGGTTGGCCTCCCGCTGACTTTCCGGGTCAGAAGGGCGTGCCCCACGAAGGAATGCATGCAGTACACTCTTGGTCCAATCATTCTGTGCTTCAAGTGTATCCTTCTCCTCAAAATCTGGGTCGTACTGGAGAAGTTCGCTCTCTAGCGCCTTGAGAGTCGCCACAGGATCTTCCTCGGGTTCTTCATCGTCACTGGCAGGGTCGGTGGCAACAGTTCTGTAGACACCCCAGTCATCATCATTTGCTCCAAAATCGTCATCGTACTCTCCTCCACCTCGTCTTTTCCGTTTGGGACCATCCGAGGCAAGATTGGCCAGTGTCTTCATACGCATCTGAGAGGCCATGCCCTTGCGATTGCCAGAGTCTGCCTTTTGTCTTGCTTGTTCTTTGATCTTGGTCAAGAGCTGATCATGTTGTTCTCTTCGTCCAGCAAGCCAGTCATCGAAGCGATTTTCACGGACCTCAACATCCAATCGCTGGCGCTCTGCCTCTCGTGCTCGTTCGGCCTCCTTTTCCGCTTTGGCTCGAATTCTTGCTTCAACACCAGACTTCATCAGCCTTTGATGTCTTTTCTCTTTGATGCCATCTTCGTCCAACTGATCATCTGGTACCTCAAGAAGAGGAAATTTGTTGAGTTGCTCCTCCAAAGTCTCCTCTTCTTCAGGTGCGCCAAGGTCTTTGTTGCGGGATTTTCTGATGGATTTTTCGAGATCTCTTATGATGCGTTCGAGGGCTGCCTCATCCTTGAACTCGGCCTCGTCCAGGATTCTTCGTTGTTCTTTCTTTGTGGGGGCTTCGACGTATGAGGTGTGCGTCTTTTGGTAGTATTCTAGATCTTGCTCCTTTTTCATCAATTTTTCAAGACGCATCCTAGCAGCTTGTTCCTGTAGGCGGCGTCCTGATTCCTTCTTTCTCTCCGCTATTCTTGCGAGCTCTTCTTCCGATTTCTCCACCACGACTTGCTCTGTAAAGGGATACTGAACGATGATGTCGCGCTCCTGCTCAAGGCCAGACCAGTCCAAATAGCCGGCTATCTCTGCCTGGTAGTCATTGGACAGATAGCTGTACTGCTTGATGTACGACTCCATCTGCTCATTGGTGAGTTTCCCGGGAAATGTGGGGTATTTCAGTTTTAGGAGCTTGAGCAGGAATTCCTGTGCCTGGGAGCCTCCCCAATTCAACCTGGCACAGGATTGCATTTGAGGTTTTTGGTTCAATATGGGTATGATGTGAGTGGAAGTATGGGAGGATGATACAATCAGACCGGAATGGCCCTTATTTTGTCGGTATGAGAAGAGGCTGTCGATGCCATAGGTGACGCTAGGAACCCCGTAGCACTCGAAGAGCATATCGTTCATCATTCTCCTGCTGTGTCCTAGGTTTGCCACTGGCTCTGTAACAACGAGTGGGCGGTCCACGCTGCCTTCACTATCCACTCCTAGTTTCAGAAACAGGTAGTCGTATATGCCTTCCATGATATCCCAATTTGTGGGGATACTTGTATGCTGCTCGAAAGCAGTTCTTATCTGGCCACGGGTGGTTGCATCGGCGAAGGCATCGTGACCAACAAATGCACAATATTTGTTGTATTTTCGATCCTTGAATTTTGCGACAATCGGAGGCACCATGAATCGAGGGGTCTGGTCAGAGGAGAAGCCGGCTTTGATGGTACTTGCTCCTAAATTATGAATCAGCCAGCGCGTATGCCAAAAAGCGCAGTTGAATGAACGAACCATTGTCAATCACGATGGCGGTCTCTGAGGGGGATGCAGCACTTTGCCGATAACCATCGGGCTGCGGAGGTTGCCAGCCTCGAAAGGGAAAGTCTGGAGCAGGATATATTCGAGGAGTGGACTGAGCCTGGCCATCTATGGGTGGTGTAGGCAGACGACGCTCTGTCACGATGCGAGTAGCTGCGGTGATGGTCATGGTTATGGAGAGGTGGAGTGCGGCTATAAGGGGATAGCGCAAAGGAAGAGGTGTCCTTTGGTATCAAGCAGGGTCATAGTATAGCGAGATTCGAGAGAGGGGATCAAGTGAATGGAATCTCGATTGTTGATGAGAATTTGACGTCGGCGACGAGGGAAATCTAAAATATTGGCGCAGGGGAAGTCGCGATTCGCGCAGCGCATCGCAACTGCTCCGTGCGGAGAAATCCAGCCTTACTCAGCCTCGTCGTCCTCATCTGCAGCACGTGAATATGGTATGTACGAGCAAAACAGCATTCTGAATCATGCACTTGTTGAATTTGAGGCGACTCGGGTCACTGATATCTATTGCTACCATACACATAATAATCATAGCAATCATCGGTGGTCATCAATTCCGATACGTGAGGGTCATGGCCAAGAAGAAGTACATCAGATGCCTCTTCCACCTGATCTGCACTGGTTGGCTGAGCAAACAACTTAAGGCCTCCTTGGCGATCAGACAGGATCCTTCAGGCTCTCGGTTGCTAGATGATCATCAGTACAGGTCTTGGGAGTGAAAGGTTTGAGGTTGGTGGAACCTTCAAGATGAAACAAGATATTGGATTGATAGTTTTTGAACATCTGAGCCACCAACTCTACATTCATGTTTTGAATATTGACTTCTTGCAGGTTTTTGTTCATCATTCCCACCGCTTCGTTCAATTTCTCCTATCGTCTTGTCAGTTATTGAGATCTTGTCAATGTGGGTGGCTTACAATATTGGTGATGATACGTGAGAGCAAAAGGCTCTGTTGTTGCTCGTGAGGGCTCTCCTAGGACAGGAATCAGTACGTCTCCCAAGAGAGACATTAAGGACGGCATACCATGCTTTGAGTTAGGTAGAGTCAACCAACGTGATGTTCGTCGATGATGACCATGAAAAGGGTTGTCGAGCGACGCGTTGTAAATATTGATTCGGGACCGGAAATAAATATTTGCGTCTGTCGAGATTTACTACTAGGTACTCACCCTTCACCCTTATCTTGGCCGAGAATTGTACTCGTCAGGCGCGGGTCTTTTTCTGCCTCCCTTCAATTCATCCATCTTCTTCCCGTCTTCATCATACCTATATCTTGTGTACGTTTAAATAACATCGAGTATAAATAGTCGTATACCCAATTTCATGTCACTTCAAATGGCGGTCGTTGCTTGGGTTCAACGCTTCCAAAGCCCACCATCGTAATATGATCTGCCTCACCCAGAGACACCTGAGGATCCAGCATGATCCTGTCTCGAGCTGTAACTGGAGTCCTTGAGCTCGATGAACCTCGTCATAATCAGATGGTGGGCGCTTTGACAGTCTTCGATAAAGCAAAGCCCATTCGACTGCTAACAATGAAGGACATTATTATCTGCATTTCCCTTTGTTGCCTCGGGTCCGGGATTGACGCGACTAAGAATCAGCATGCAAAACATCCGTGGCATGTATGGTTGGCTTCAATCCCCGTCTCCATGGTGGTAGGTGAGAGTCTTGTACAGACACGAGGTCCGCTGGTAGGAACCAGTCATGGAGCCAGCTGATCGTCAGTCATGAAGATAAGCCTTGAAAATCAAAAAGGGTTGTGGCTCTATGTTCGTTGTTGATAAAAAACAACAAGGAATCATGGAGATGAAATGCAAACGAAGATGGTGGTATTGCTGAGATGGGAGCCACCCGTTCACCAGCGGGAGATTTCATCTTCGCTGCTGGTGACAGCGGACGCCAGATTCACTGCTCAGATGCCCACCCTCAGATCTTTCCTCACTCAAAACATCTCATCGTCGCGATCAATCTCTCAAACCTTCTTCCTCACAACAACCTTCCTTTAATCACGACGCCGAGAGTTCTTTGACGCTTCTTTGTCCACTCAACAATCCCAATCATCTCGCGTAATCATGAACGACCCTACTCTTCCGGAAGTTTCCCAATCGCTTCCTGGAGCCCCGATCGATCATGATCAGCCCATGTTCACCGACGAGGAGGCTGCCCATGCTGATGACGAGCTGACAACCGAAGGCGGCACTGACAGTCCTCCACCCCTCACGGACGGCCTCACTCACGAAGACTCCCAAGAAAGTCTACTACTTTCATCCTCTCATTCTGACGAGGACTCTAGCCTTCATTCCCACTCTGTATCAACCGACGTCCAACCCGAGTCCAACCACTCTGATGGAGACACAATGGTCCTCAACCTAGATGACGAGGTGGCTGCCTTGGTAAATGAAGCACAAATTGACAACATGGTGCCTGCTCTGGTTAACTTCTACTCGGTCAATCGCTTGCCATTGATTCAGGTCCTCGACCGTCATGTCCAAGTCATTCTCAACCGATCTCAAGCCTTTGAGAATGGCCAGGTGACTATCTATGACAAAGCCTTGCTGACACTCACCCAACACGGTACCAATCTCGATCGCCCTTCTGCTATCCAATTTTTCTGTGTGCACTACCTCAGTCTTCCCATTGAAGGTGATCCTGGCTACGGCTTTGAGATCATCAACCAAGCTGTTCGTCTCCAGTCAGTCTTGAGGACTGGTAAGGATATCCAACCTTCATTCGATTCCTAACAACTGTCTAACCGGTCACATTCAGAACTCTCCAGCCCCGCTCGCCCTTCCTCTGATGATGCAACTGCAGTTGATCACAACCCCCCAGCCGCTGCTGCCGGTGAGGATCCAAAACCCGAGCGAGAGCCCCGCAACCTCGAACGTCTCCGAGAAGTCTATGAACAAGCCAAGAACGATTTTTACACCGAGCTCAATCGACCTGGCCGAGATGATCGAGATGCGCACGCAGCTGCCATGTTCCTTCGAGATACTGCTGAAAACCTGTTGACTCTGTTGCATGGCCAAACTGTTGATGAAACCTTTCTGGAGGATTTGAACTCCACCTACACAATGGCAAAAGCAATGGTTGTCTCCCTCGTAGGTGGTCGCAAGCGCAAATTTGATCCGGTTCCCGATGACGCAGCGATCCCGACTGGACCTAGCGGTGCTCGTGCAGGGTCTGCCCGCAACTACAATGACAACACTAGGGCGCATGAAAATCGTGGAAGATCCCGCACCCAACCCCAGGGAGGAGCACCACAAACATTTCGTCGAGAAGACAGACGTGATGATGAGCGCTACTCCTTCGAGGATCAGCGATCTTCGTTTGATGAGCGACGTGCCGGAAATGATAGGAACGAGCCGAACCCTCGCCAGAGACGTGCTAATATCAACAATACATCACAATGGCAAGACTGGGATGGTCGTGTCGACAACTTACTGCCTTCTCAACGTGGAAATTGGCATCGCTACGATGGCCTGGCCATGAATGAGCGACAGCGCGGTGGGAACGATCAACGCTATGCCGAAGAGCATGGTTTGGAATGGAATTATGAGACTGGCACATGGATCCCTGGCGGTCGTGGTGTCGACTCTTATCGCCCCAACTCTCGTTCTTGAAAGATCATTCTGTCTTTCACTTCCCTTGTCTCTCATGACTGAGCTCTTGGATCAGCAGATTTCCAATCGAGATGGACATACTATTATCAGATGGATCAGGTTGGAAATCACGCAAAGGCAACTGATGACGAATATAGGTTGGAAATGGGACTATGTCTAGGCGAATAAGAACAATTGGTGGTCGAAAATGTTCAAAATTTTCACAAGTCAGGAAGAAGGGCCTGGTGATTCAAATGATGAACGGATACGAAATGACGGTGTGCCAGGTTGAGTGATCAATCTATCACAGAGCTCCAGAGCCCACGAGTTATCATCATGCAGAGCTTCAAGTCTTCGAAACGATGGAGTTAGGAAGGGCACATCTACAGTCTCGCTCCACGAGACGGTCAGGTAGTATGACGAGCCACGAGGTCATCTCAATTCAACCAAGGCCTGAGGCTAACCTGACCAGACCGAACGAGACCCAATTCAAATGAAAATACGATTGCAATGGAGATGTGCTCTCATTCCCCAAGTGAACCTCCCCCATCTTCACACTACTATCACACTCGAAACTGGACTCCTTAATGGCTTCTTTGTTCACATTGTGCCCCTTCTCTTCGTCTTTCATGTGATAAAGCCACTGGCTCTTTGATGATCACACAGGTAACATGGATCTTGCCGTCTGAAAGACTTCCTTTGTCTCATTGTATCTCTGATCTCCCAATTTATAACCGGCAGAATTAGCATTGACGTTTGAACGTTCTCTATACCAAAAACTCGATCAACAGCAACCAGCCTTCGTTACCTAACGGAGACCGGACAACTCTTCACCGAACATTGAGATCAGCTTCGTCGAATAACTTTCCTGCCCTGCAACAGAATATTACTACTCACATTATGGACTTCACTCCACTTGGCGCCCGCGTCACGGCTTTCTTGCTACAGTTCAAGGCCGAGTGGAACCCACGTGCACTGTTCAACACTCTCATGACATTGAGTCTTCCACTTCTGGCCTACGAGGCTCTCATGGTCTCCGATATGGCTTTTGATGAGATGTGCAATTCATCATTGGCATTTGGAGCATCCGCTCTGTCTACTCTTGTATTTGTGGTCTGCTCATGTCCTCAGGTCACTCAAGATTTCACAATCCCTACACTGGTGTTTATGGCTCTCGCAAGTCCTACCTTCGCTTGTGTTGCCTTCAGTGTCCCAACCATGGCTTCTTACGATGTCAAGATCCCCACGTTTGAATATGCGGCTCTTGTATCGCCAGTTACTTGGGGCTTCCTGCTTTTGCTGATCTTCAGATACTTAAGGTTGATCGTGCATATGACCTCCTTCTTTTGCTACCGAGCAAGCCCGGTTGTGAATGAACCTACTTTCACCGCCAACGATGTGACGGTCATCATTCCAACCGTAGACCCGAACGAAGATGGGTTCCTTGCGTGTTTACAGTCTATTCTTTTGAATCATCCTCATGAGGTCAAAATTGTCACCGTCGGCGACGCAAATCTACAATTGGCAGAAGACAAAATTAGACACTTTCGGACTGGATTTCCCGACGTCAAAATCACTGTCTCCGCAATCTCGAACCCAGGCAACAAGCGCAAGCAACTTGCCAGCGTTTTGCCAACTATTCAAACCGCCATCACCATCTCCGCAGACGCTTCCGTCTACTGGTCTACCAACCAGTTCATCCCTGCAGTAATTGCCCCCTTGGAGGATCCTAAGGTTGGCGCAGTCGCTCCACACAAGCGAGTACATCGGCTTAATGTGGGCTTTGGCTGGAAATCGTTCTGGAACTTTCTTGGATGTCTATATCTTCAACGCCACAACTGGGAGCTCCGAACGTCGAACGCAGTTGACGGAGGCCTGTTTGTCATCTCTGGTCGCACCGCTGTATTCCGCACTGAAATTCTTCAAGATCCCGAGTTTCTGTACGAGTATCTGAATGAGAAAATGTTCTTTGGGCTCATTTCGATCCCCAACGTTGACGATGACAACTTCATCACTCGTTGGCTCGTCACTAAAGGCTGGAAGTTGAAGTTCCAACAAGCACCAAATTCCACAATGGAGATTCTTGCACTAGGTACGTGGCCTAAATTTTTCGATCAACTCAAACGCTGGAGCCGAACCACTATCCGCTCTAATACTGCTTCATTACTAACGGAGCGAGCAGTTTACAAGAGTCAACCGTGGTCCGTTTATTCTGTCTATATCACAGGATTGACCAATTTTGCTCTATTTTGGGACCCACTCATGCTCTGGACGCTCTCCAAAACCTCTTTCTACTACAAGGAGACTGTCGTTATCTTAGTTGTCTGGATCCTCACGAGTAAGTTGTTCAAACTCCTCCCTCACTTTTGGCACTATCCTACTGACTTGATCTACCTTCCAGGATACTATGTCTTCGCCTATGCTCACAGCTTGATTAAACTGTATACGGTTTTGACATTCTGGAAGACTAGCTGGGGCGGTCGCAATCTCGACGCCGACAAAGGTAAGGAGCCGGATATAAACTTATCTGACCTTGTTTACAACCAGGATTCCGATTCCGATTCCGACTGGGGCTCCACAGACTAGCGACGAAACCGCGAATTGTAAGAGCGAGAACCATCCAGCATGGTTATCCTTCTTGAACAACCCACCACGCATCTTTTCACGCCTTTGGATCGCCATCACCGGCAAGGGCACCGCCGGATGCAACTGCACTCAAAGGCACGACAATGATAACAGCCCGAATCCTTCTCCCGACAACAACCTCAGCGACCTTGAACGGTGGTGGGCCAGGACCATGGAACTTGCCGCGGAGGACGAACGCAAGGAAGCACGAAAGGAGAAGCGCAACAACTTCCGCCGTCGAGGTCATGGTTCACGCAAGCAAACCACCCTAGGAAAAGATCTCGTGTTCACTGAGGCGGCGCGACCTCCACCACCACCAATACCAGAAGCTCCATATCCAGACCACGATATCACCCTTCCCACCAGACAGTATTCTTGAAAAAGGCCCCACCTCCTCCTTCTCAGATTATCGCTGCGCGAAATGGTGAAAATGGACTTTGCCTCGAGCTCAGGAGCTCCCTGGCCTCGCCATCTTTAAAGAGCCAGAATCACCTGCTGAGCCTCCACTGACGGAATTCCTACGTCGAACTTTGTGAGAGGATGAATTTTAATATTCTCTATTTAATTTGTCCGATTAATATCTTAGTCTAACATATGTTGATAAATATGTATTTTGAGCACGTTTTGGTCCTTTCAAATTTGTCGTCAATATATACGTGACATTTGATTGCTCCATGACTTGAGCACAGCTTAATATACTTCTTGTATCCCAAAATGCTTCCACTCAATAGCTTTACACTATTCCCTCCTGCCCAGGTTGCTACTACTCCCTAACCTCGCCTCCCCACTTCCTCTCCTCCAAGAAAGGACTATAATCCGGCGCGGTTTCCTTACTCGCCTCCCACGCCTCCTCCATCGCCCTCACCACCTCCTCCGGCAGCGGGCCCCGCTCCAACCCCGTCAATGTCTTTTCCAGCTGCGCGACACTACTCGCCGCGACGGTCATCCCGTCGCCTTTGCTTGCATCGAGTGCTGAGTGGTGCTGCACCCAGCGCAAAGCCACCTCATGGCCGCTAGCAATATCGTGTTTCTCGGCCAGAGCGCGCACGCGGGCGATGGCCCGCTGTTGGGCGTCGTTGCCGTAGAACTCGCGCATGATGGCTCCCACGGGGTTGTCCAGGAGGATGCGGCTGCCGCCGGCGGTGCTGTCATCTCTGGTGGCGGCAGTAGTGGTGGAGGTGGGGGAGGGTGGAGCGCCAAAGGAGCCGCCTGCACCAGGGGAGTAGGCATAGAAGGCGATGCCGTGCTTGCGGAGAGTGGGCAGGAGGCGCGACTCAGCATGACGGGTGAGGGCATTATAGTGGCCCTGGTAACAGTGGGGAAGCGGGAGGGATTGGGATTTACATATGGAGACAATCTCATCGACTTCGGCGGCTGAGTAGTTGGAGATGGCCCAGCGACGGGCTTGTGAATTGAGGACCGCAGAGGCGATGGCGGGGACGGTTTGAGAGAATGGCACGCTACGGTCGGGAAAGTGCAGATAGATGGTGTTGAGCTGGGGGATCTGGAGAGCTTTTAGGCTGTCGGCGATGGAGGCGGCGATTTGGTCGGGGGCGTGAGCACCAGGGGTAGAGATAACTTTGGTGTCGAGCTGGGCCCAGGAGAGATCGCTGCTACCGAGCAGGGTCTCAGACCCGCCAGGGTTCGTAATGGGATAACCACGAGCTGTGTCAATCGTGGTGTGCCCGTGGGCACGGAATGCATCGAGGAGGGGCTGTAGTTGCTCGAGGGTGTTCAGTTTAACACCATACGTGGTGTCCTTGTCACCAATGAAGCCGCAGCCGAAGATAATCTGAAGTTTTTGCTTGCCATCAGGTGCCATGTTGTCGAATTGGTCGTTATAGATCACAGGAAGTCGTCGAGATAGCCTGTCTGGAGAACTATTGCTTGATCCAAACACTCTCGAAAGTTACTTAGGAAGTCAACGTGTCGAGGAGAGCACGTTGGAACGCGAATTTAAGTCACTTCAGCATCACTGTTGCCCTCACATTCGTCCGCCGAAGTCCCTCGTCATGTGTATAAGCCAGTGAAATGCACAAGTGATAGATGAGTCGGAGAATCCTTCAATCCTTCTCCTTAGTCATGCTCCCTATGTGTAAAAGCCAGTGACAGGCACTTGTAATAGATTGGTCGGAGAATCCTTCAATGCCTCACCTTAGTCATGCTCCGGACGAGTTTGCCAGGGTCATAAGCCAGCTAGACCGCCGTAATATGCTCACCTGCACGCTTGACCTCGGGAGGATCAGCGCCAAGTGCTGGGCCAACAAGCCACAAGCCACAGGTCACAAATTCCAGCCGTGAGTGTAGTAGTAATCAGTCAATCATACTGTAATCGGAGAATGGTCTTTCTCGGGATCAACTGCAAGATCAATTTCGTCCGTGGCTGGCCCTGGGGACTTCAGTTTTTTCTTGTCCGTAAATCCGCTGGCTTACTGACCTACTCGCCAAGACTGTGCCAAGCGCACGGAGGATTTCCCTACCTAAGTGGATTTCATTGTTATGGCACTGCGATATATCGATAAATCGGCTCATGCACATAGAGTCATATCAAATGTGATCACACTGAAGCGTTATATCTGTTCGTGGCTATGGCTGTGGCTGTGGCTGAATGGGAACTTTTTGGAGCATTGGTCGCTGGAGACGTCATTTCTCAACGCTAAACGAGAGGAATTATAATCGTTTGTGCTAGACTTGATCAGGCTTGATGGACGTGGAGTTGAAGAAGGAGGAAGAATTGAGTCGATATCGCGAAACGTAGGCGGTAGGATGGTGGTTGATGTACTTCCAGGTTCGTGTTGGAATCCGCATTTCTTGGCAGGCCTCCCATGTCGCTCCTCATCGGATTCTTTGCCAGAACAGCCGGTTACTACAGCATCAGCCTCGTCCTGCTCCCTTAACCAATAGTAGGCATGGTGCAGTTCTCAGTACTTGACACGATAACCTGCTTTCTTGATCTGTTGATCCATTGACTAATCTACTCACGTATGGACCACTAACCTCATGGTCCCTGTGCATGCGCAATATCTGCGCAGATCTCGCTGCGACAAGGCTCCCTGTAATCGCAGGAACAATCACGAGTAAATAATGATAATAAAGAAAATTAGACCTTCAAAATCCGAGACTTGCTATAAGCGCGATGCCACCTCTCAAGGTAATGTACAGCAGGCTCCCTTCGTTGGACAGGCATAGCAACCTTGAGATTCTCAGCCTCGTGGGGCCCGAGGGGCCGAAGGCGCTGCTCCGCCACACACACCAGTTAGAGCAGAGCGCAGGCAACAATAGAGCCGGAAGTCCTCATGGCCACAGGAAAGTTTCAGCCTCACCTTACTAACAATGACCGACTGCCGATCGATCGGGCGGCAGGTTACTGTAAATACTTATTCGTAGTCCTTTCGTTCGTGATACCGGGGGCCAGAAGGCTAGCCGTCATCCTTCAATTGGCTAAACCCTGCCCTTTCTTACGCCTTGAGTGATCGGTCTTGTGCTGCTGCGCCCCGAAATGCCACGACTTCACCACGTTTGCTTTCCCATTTCTTTGCCTTCTCAGACGCTATTGATCATTTGCATGTGAAGGATCTGGAGTATGGATGCGGTTGAAGAATGCAATGGTAACCAGGCTGATTTATGAAAGGAGGATTCCTCGAGAGTTTCATTTTTCTCGAGCTTTTCTTACTCTCTTCAGCCTGGAGTGCTCTTATTCGAGCACTCTGGTATACTTACATATTGTTTAATATCTAATATCAAGTTTTTCGAATTGTCACACGTACATTATCTAGTACAAACCAAAGAGTCGGAACTTCTCCACACACGACATCGAGAGATCCATCCCCACTTATCACTTAATCCTCAGCCTCGCTGAACACCGGTCCTGAGATCGTCCTCATCCTTCGATCTGATCACAGCATATAAAGGCACAAATCATCATCTTAATAACGATTCTCCTGACGTCTTCGTAATCCGCCTTGGCTACGCGACCTGGTGCATACAACATCGCCAGTCGTACTTGATCGTCAAAGACAATCCATGATGTCGCCATATTCGGATGAGCAGAGACAACATATGAGGCAATTGAGAGCGAGAAATCGAGATGCCTTGCGTGAAGTCGCCGGACCTGATGCTGTTTATGGTATTGTGAGGCCTTTGGAAAAGAATCAAACTGTGAGAGAGGAGAGGGCTGGCCCAAGTAGGAGTGAAGGTGGGCGTACGAGTGGTAATGGGAATGGGAAGGGCAAAGCGAAGACAAAGGAAATCAGATTGAGCAGTGGATACAGACATGCTCTTGCCAGATGGAGTGGTCGAGATCAGGGTAGAGATGAGGCTGGAACATGGGGTTGATGACGCCAGAACCATTGATCCGAGTTGCTTAAAACTTTGAAACCCCTCTTATAGTACTTACTATCCTATAGAGACTTCATGGCGGATGCATAAGGGTGGATGGCATGGAGCATTCCAAGGCAAGGGTTCGACCGTCATCAACGACGTGAGGGCACCGCTTGGTTGCTCGCGACCAACAATGGTTATGCCAAGTACCATTGGTCGAGAGCAACCTAGTCATCGAAGCATCCACGCTGCCTGACAAGTAGCACTTCTAAAACCAGTACAAGTTCATTCAAATCGGCTGCCACATACGACGGTCTGGACCAGGACCATGACTGCTTAGGGGGCAGTTGTATGGAGCTACCGTTGCACGCTTGAACAGTTCGACTCTAATGATGAAAGATATGTTGACACGGACATATCTTCACGTATTTCCCCATCTCATAAATTGATGGTGAGCAAAGATGATGAAAACGACGGAACCAAACTCAGTCGATTATTTTGCTCAGCAATGACAGCTAACCAAAAAGCGATAGAGAGATATGGCGGGTCTTGCCCAAAACGGCAGTATTACCTGTTCGGGTAAATTATTGACACACGTGACGTCACAGGAATCAGTATGACCACTTCCCTCAAGCGCTCCATTGAGAGGAATAAGAAGTCTAAAGTACGAGGTGGTTGAAGGTATCCGAGATGATAAGTCCGAAGGGACATAGTCAAGCAAGGTACCTCCAGTAACTCGGTCACTATCTGAATTTGCAGCCGAACGCAGTGGAGGAATAGTAGCTGTTTCGCAGAATAGACCATGCGCGACTGGAGATACAGGCTGAATCCCACTGGTGAAGCCAGAGCAATAGAAACGTGCCATATATTGCCTGATCTGGAATATAGAAGTTTATTTCACGAAAAAGCTAATAATAAGAACTGGCTATAAGAATCCAAAGCCCTGCTGTCTTGGCCCGAATCCTCAGCATCAATACCACGATATACTACTCTGGAGCAGATTAGCCACAGCATTGCCATTGAAAAGATCCATAACCGAATACCAAATCAAACGTAACTCTAAGTGCCCAGCTGTCATCATCATGAGCACATCCGAACCCAAACTCCTCCTCACCGTCTTCGGCGCAACCGGCCAACAAGGAGGCAGCATCATCCGGACGGTCCTGTCCACGCCATCCCTCGCCAGCAAGTATCGCCTCCGCGGCCTGACCCGCGACCCAAGCAGCGCTGCCGCCCAGAAGCTCCATTCTCAAGGCGTCGAGATCAAGACCATCGACGTCAACGCCGACTCCACGACCATTGCTTCCGCTCTCCACGGCTCCTCCGTCGTCTTCGCCCTCACCGTCACAGACTACACGACCGACACGTACAGCACAGAGCTACGACAGGGCAAAGCCATCGCCGACGCGGCCATGTCCGCCGGAGTGCCGTATCTGATTTTCAGCACGCTGCCGCACGTCAAGGCCATCTCCGGTGGGAAGTACACGCTGGTCGGGGGCTTCGACGGCAAGGCCGAGACGGAGACGTATATCCGCGGCCTCTCGAGCGCTGGCCGCATCAAAAGCGCCTTCTTCGCCCCGGGTTGCTTCATGCAGAATTTCCAGCACATGATGGCGCCGCGGTCGCAGGATGGTGGCAAGACATATGCCATCGCGGGCGTGATGGACCCACAGACGAGAATGCCGCTTATCGACACGGCCGGCGATACGGGGAAATACGTCGGTGCAATCCTAGCCGACCTGGATGCGTACGAGGGAAAGGTCCTCTCTGCGGCGACCGAATGGCTGTCGATGAGTGAGATCGCTGAAAAGGTAGGTCGGGCGATCGGGAAGAATGTCGCGTACCAGCAGTTGCCTGTTGAGGTGTACAAGAGCTTTCTGCCGGAGAATGCCAGGCATCAGTTGGTTGAGATGTACTTGTACATTCAGGATTATGGGTATTTTGGTCCCGAGGGAAAGGAAGGCGTTGAGTGGACCGTGAGGAACGTGCAGGAGAGTGGAAGTGGTGCTGGGCAGCTTACGACTTTTGACAGCTTTTTGGTGGATAATCCGGTTCACATCGAGTAGCTACGGAGGTTCGTCGAATCTTGGATCTTGGATCTTGGTATGCTTGATGAGAAATGGAGGGTGCCAGGCAAAAGCACAGCACCGACATCCTTTATTTTGAACCAATATCCACCTGGGTTGGCATGGGACGTGTATCTGGATTGGGAGAAGACAATAATGGGAAATGTGAAACCAATGCTAAGCCTTTCTGCCATATGATCAAACCATGCTCGCCTACCCCGATGTTATATATAGAGAAGAAAAAAGCATACATTGCTAAACACCTCGCTATGCAAGGATGTCATGATCTGTACAGTCGTTGGGTTCGTCCAATTGTCATTCGAAAGTCATGGAGATATTTCCATCACGCTTCTGGCCAAAATCATCGTCGTCATCAGCCCAGGCATTGTGTTCAAGATTCAATCCTTGGAGGGCGGGAGTGCTACCTCCATGATTTGCGTAAGTCGAATTCCACCCTGTAGAAGATGGATCTGTTGCGTGCGATTTAAGTTCTGGTCTAGTGGCTGTGGATGTGGCTAAACCCCAAGGTCGGCTCTCGAGCTTCGTAGACGAGCTCAAAGCCAGTGGTGGTAGATAGCTGGGCAATTCTCTTGGTTCTATGTTACTAGAAGATTTGCGCCGATGTGGTTCGGGAGAGGCGTTCAATGATCGATGTGGACTTCCACGTGGAGAATTGTGTGGGCTCAGTCGCGGAGATATTTGGGGACTATATGCCCGCAGCATCGGCTGTAGTGATGATGTTCTTGATGGTCTGATATTACCAACACTGACGTCCACATCGTCCGGTCGAGGTGGAAGATTCATCCTGGCAACCTCCTCAGGTTTGAGATCTGGGGGGAGTCGAAGGTATTCGACTTGCTTTTCTCCGTCTCTTGTGTATGATGTGATTTGCATTGGTGGCAGAGTACTGTCCAGTTCACGCACCTCAATCATCTCACTTTCAAGTTCCTTCCGAATTGCATCAATGTCAAAGAGAACATTGAGATCTCCTTTTGAGGGGTCTTTGGGATCGTTCCCACTGTTGGTCCGCTTGTGTTGGCTGTCATTTGCATTGTATGTTTCCCAACCTTTCTTCTCCGCTAGTTTCCCTCTCTTGAAGAGTCCAAATCGTTTCTTCTCTGGTTTCTCTTCCGCTTTTTTCCGAGCCTCGTCAATCTCTTGAATGAGCTCTCTCTGTCTTTTTGCATGATTCTCAGGGTCTGGGTCTTCAATTTCAGTGAATTCATCGCTCTCGACTTCCCAGCCGGCTTCTCGCATCAGCCTTGGCATAGCAGTACGATAAGCCATGTGTCCGTTGACGAATTTCCCGACATCCATATTCTCGATCCCAGGAATACCCTCAACAGGGGCAAGACCTGCAACGCGCATGATTCCACCAGAAGTTGCACGAAACAAGTATCCCAGAATCCAATCATTTGAGGCATAACCATTGAGGAAGCGGCCTGAAACCACTGAACGAGCTCGCAGATATTCGTCCTTCTTTACCACCACAGGCGAACCAAAGAGGTATACATTTTGAATCAATCCATAAGCGCCGCGGTTGGACAGCTCCCTCAAACACGAGAAAATGACTCTGGAGCCGAGCGAGAAGCCAACCAACGTAATTGGTCTTTGGCCAATGTGCCTGTCAATCAAGGAATCAGCCAATATGAGGCCTGCAGCATTGGCACGGTCCAGTGAAACACTCCAAGGGTTATCAATCAGATACGCCAATTTTGAAAGAACAACTGGGAGCTGGATCGATGCCATGAGCGCGACCAGGATGGTACTTCCGAGAACTTGCTGGACTGTCTGCGTCAAGGCTTCTGTTGCAAGAATATTGATGGTATCACCCATGGACTGAAGCATCTCAGGTTCCCAATATAAGGAGTAAATGTCTCCCATGATCGGGTCAACGGTACTGTAAGGCAAACGAACGTCATCAACCTTGCCATTCATCCACCCAGCAACAGTCAGAATAAGATTGAGTCTCTTGTTGTTGTGTAAAGGTCGATATTCGAAGGTTTGGACGTGACCAGTGCGACGATCTGATGCTCGAACAGCGATTGTACCTCCCGCAAGTGTAGCACCAGAAGTAATCAATGCCGCACCACCAACTCCGCCCAAGAATCCAGCAGTGCCTCCGACACCGATGGTGGTGAAGCCTGCTGCTAGACCTGCTCCGATCACAGGGGCCAAGAGCCCTGCTGACAGACCGATAACAAGGCCCCCACCCACCGTGGCAAGACCCATCACAACATATTTTCGTTTCAGGCCTAGCTTTCTCCTGCGCTCCATATGGTCTGACTCGTCCCAATTTTCTTTGGCCTCTTCCTCTTGCATCTCTAAAGAATCAATGACTCTCTTTTCGAAGCGACAGATTTGGACCCAACTAATGTCCATCGTCGAACCGACTCTCTCTAGCAATCTCCTGGAGCGAGCATCATAGTCACTATCTGAGATGAGCACCAGAAATAGATCGCAAAGGACAGTCCATCGCAAATCCAGTTCGATCTGTTTCGATCGAGGCATATCTTCTGGACCATGAACTTCAGGCACTTCTTCTCCGTTTGTGACCTCTTTTAGAGGCGCCTCATCAATTTGGGTTGAAAGACGAGAAGAAGTAGAATTGCGAGCGCTTGAGACCGCGGGCGGTTCTAAGTCGGATTTGGATTCCTTGGCCATGGGATTCTTTATTCTTGCGTTGAGCATTAAAGGGGAGCTCAAATCTGAAGGTTGGACACCGTGGTCTGCCAATTGCTCAATCATTATCTGTTCGTCCACACTGATTTCCATGTGTGCGTATAAGCGGACCATGACCTTTTGTCCCCATTTATCCATATTCTCCAGCGCTCTGCCGAGTTCCTTCTTGGTAGCTCGAGTAGATTCCATAGCACTCAGGGCTTGAAACATCTTATGGATCGTTAGCCGCACAACACCGACGTAGGCTATCCGCTGGCCCTCGGTGAGAAGGTCCTTGGTTGCCTGCAATTGACTAAGGGCATCTCTTTGCTCTTCGTCCTCAAAGTCATCCAGATGACCTTCATCTTTGGACAAGTCTTTGGAAGAATCTTTGAATCCGTTCTTGAACAAATAGTTTGTGTCATCGTCCATACTCGTCGCAGATTGGGCATCTTCATCAAGTTGAACCCTTGTGTATCCTTTACCAGCGCCACCAATTCCTGAATATGGATTTGCCTCTTCTGCATCCTCTTTATTGCCTTTGGCGATAAGTCTGCCATTGTCATCAAATATATCGAACTCATCTATGGCAGGCATTGCCTGCCATTCAACCTCCTCCTCGTCGGAAGATTCGGCTTTCGTAATTTGTCGTTGATGAGACCATTCAGAAACGGTGGGACCGCTTGTACGGTTCTGTGGCTTCGTTATCGCCGTGGTTGCTATTGTCTGCGAATTTGGACTTGTAGGAGGTGCGTTTTCATCCGGCGACGGAGTAGGTTGTGAGTCAAACGAAGCGGATGAAGTGGTTTCCGGAGCGTTCGAGGGGTTTGAGGCATCATGATCTACTTTTCCTATGGGTGCCTCCCTGACCGCCTCCTTGGGGAACTCCTTGGGTATGTCCAGAGGCTTGTCAGCATTGTGTGCTGGAAAGGACTTCGTCGGCAGCTCTGTATGTACAATTGGCTCAGGCTTACCGTCCTGTGTTGGCGGCCTATTCTCCGTCGAAGCCCTTTGGCTATTTCTCTTCACGGACGTAGTTAGATTCTTTTCTAGCTCATCGTCCTCTTGGCTAGCCGTAGTTGCCTCGGCATCGTGAAAGGTATCAGTGTCATCTTCACTGTCATCCGAGACCGAGGTAGGAGGGGCAAGTCTTGGGGTTACAGGTCGTTTGGGAAGACCGAAGTCATCGAGTTCCGGAGGCTCGGAGACGGTGAGAGAGTGTCGTTGATCTTTCACGGATTGAGATTGCTGTGCGACTGTTCCGCTGCTCATAGTGGTACATTGGTGGGGTAGGTCAGCATCAGAGACAAGGCTGTCCGATGCCACCTGCCTGCCTGAGGGAATACCTGGGAGGTATGCAGGCGATGTCTTGTTGAAGATAGACCCGTGACTGGCTGGAGTGGCTACTTGCGGCCAGACAGTGGTTTACAAGTCTTTGAAATTGACCACGGACCGGCAATGATCTAGATTTTGAGTGTAAAAGAAACCCAGTCCGTGTCGGCAAGGTGTTACGAGTGATCGCGTGGAGAGGAATAGATGACAGAGACTCGAAAGCCCCCAAATTACGGGTTCTCTCCATTCGCAGCAACAAATTGTCACAGACATAGCCGATACCCATAGCGGGGCTTGGCGCCACAAAGCATATTAGGTAATCACAATGCCGCTTTGAGTTGTCTTTATTTCTCCGGTGTAAATGTCATGCCGCTTCAACATGGACAGTTTTCGATACAGGGCTAGTCAGGTCAGGACTCGAAAGAGCTGACTCCTCAATTGAAATAAGCTGTTCAATCACGGCATATTCTTTGGGTAATACATGAAGTATTAGGCCATAGACAGTCAAGTCGATTTGAGTGGAGGGACACATGTTCCCATATTGTACATATTTACACCTCTTCCCTGTCTCTCGGAGTATGCACGACCGTAGCAGTATTGTAAACGATATGCCCTTTGAACGCCGAGTAATGCTTTTCATAATGTCCCTTGCTCTAGCTGTACCAGTGTTATCCTTTTGGTGCGCTATTTGTTGGGCTTTGTAAATTTTTCCAGGGCCGAGAAGTCACCTTCGTCCATCTTCGCCCACACGCCTTCTATCCGCGCTCTTCGCTCCAGGCTTGTTTCTCTGTTCCTCAGGCTCTTCTTTTGTCGCTCGCCTGAGAGACATTTGTTGACCTCTCGCTTAATGTCGTTACAACTGCCGACGGCCTTCCATAGAAATCCTCGAGCGTGACATTCATCGAGTGCATTCATGATTTCCTCGCATCCTGTAGTCTGTCAGTAGGTGTGATATATACGCCTCGTCGGTTGAGAGCAATCGGGGACTCTGGACGCAGGGATGGAGCCTCTTCGCAAGGTCATGCCACCAGAGACAGAGCTCGGATCATCACTCACCAACATTGTCCTTTGTATGTAAATGGGAATGCATTTTGGTGGACACTCTCCTCCAGTATAGATCATGCGGCTCAAGCCAGTCCCACATGTGTGATCTTGCTGCGCAGGAGAAGGCTGGAGGTATATGGAATGTTGCAAAAGATCAGGTGTCGGCCTCGCAGATAGACCCTGGTCCGCAGTCTGCCAAGTCTTCAGCCTTATCCAATTCAACTATCTCAGCCTTGCATGCCAAGTCTACATCACCGCCAAAAAGTTCGCGAATTCTGCCAGTTCTGGCAAAGAATTGTTGGAAGTGGAGGAATTCTCTGACCGGAAAGTACATCAAGCTTGCAATAAAGGCGCACAGCAAAGATGTCCATGACACTGGCAACCACATGGGTGCGAAGGGGAGCAGCAGCACAATTTCCTACAAAATATCAAGTGGACGAGGCCGAACTCGGTCGAATATCACAACTTGCCCGTTTGCAACTCGAAGACGCCCGAGAAGACCTGCAGGAGGCTCAAACACCCAAGAAGTCGAAGGCCAAGGACTCAGATGATTCAGACTCAGACAACGGTGTCCCAACCGGCGAGCCCTCCGACTCGAGCAAACCCCCTAAAACTGGCAGCGAAGACGACGACCTTGCAGAGTACAACCTTGACGAGTATGATGAAGATCCAGTTGACGAGAATGGAGAGAAGTTTGCACTCTTCGGGAATGTGGGCTCGTTGGCATATCACGAACCACATGAACAAGACCCGTATCTAGTCCTGCCTGAGGGTGAGCAAGACTCCGATGACGAAAGAGAAGAACTTCAAATACTGGCAACGGACAACCTGATTCTGGCTGCTAAAGTCGAGGACGAAGTCGCCCATCTTGAGGTTCTCGTCTACGAGGATGATACAGACAATCTGTACGTTCACCACGATATCATGCTACCTGCAGTGCCCCTGGCTGTAGAATGGGTCAACGTACCTGTAGGCAAAGACGCCGGGTTGAGAACACATGGAAATTTCGTCGCAATAGGGACAATGAGTCCTGAGATTGAGATCTGGGATTTGGATATTGTGGACAGCATGTATCCAAACACCATCCTTGGACAAGAGCCAGAAGCAGCAAATCAAAATGGCGAAAGCAGTTCCACCAAGAAGAAGTCGAAAAAGAAGAAGAAGAAGACCAAGGCGAACGATGAATACCACGTCGACGCAGTCCTTGCCCTGGCCGCCAATCGACAGCATCGGAATCTCCTTGCATCAGCATCCGCAGACAGCACCGTCAAATTGTGGGATCTCAATACGGGGAAATGCGCAAAGTCATATACAATGCACAATGATAAAGTATGTGCATTAGATTGGCATCCAACAGAGTCTACTATCTTATTGAGCGGAAGTTACGATCGTACCGTTATTGCGACAGATATGCGTGCTCCAGACGCTGTAGCGCCAAAATGGGTCGTCGAAGCTGACGTCGAGAGAGTACGGTGGGACATCCACGACCCAAATTTCTTCTACGTCACTACAGAAGCAGGCACAGTGCATTACTTTGACGCTCGAGTTGTGCCGACATCTCATGACGGCCCCAGTAAGCCAATATGGACGCTCCAGGCGCATGACAGCCCTGTCAGTGCCTTCGATATCAACCCATCCATAACAGGGCTGCTAGCAACAGGCTCGGATGACAAGAAAGTCAAGCTGTGGAATATCAAGGATAATGTTCCAAGTTTGGTTGTATCGAGGAATCTCGAGGTTGGACGTATCTTCACAATACAATTTGCCCCTGATCCTGAGGTCGCGTTCAGGCTTTCCGTCGCGGGAAGTAAAGGTCAGCTTCAGGTTTGGGATATCAGTACCAACCCTGCGGTGAGAAGTGCCTTTGCCAACCGGGTAAAGCTACCGGAGACCAATGGCAAAGAGCGACTTGTTGGGATCAACCAGGATAATGATGAGGACGATGAGGACGATGAGGAGGACGAGAATGGAGGTGGTGGGCCAGCGCAGGATGGCTGGGAGTCTATGGATGAAGACTGAGAAAGGGGATCGCCCGCGTTCTCCCTGTATGATTGAACGAAGATTTTCATGGTTTGGATGATACCCCTTGATAATACAGTGTATCTTGGACGAGACTACTGCTCTTTCTGTGAAAGGCATGTTTTGCAGGCACAACGTGACACCCCCCTCGCTTAGAACTGCTCTCTACATGCTAAGGGAACTCAGTTTAGAGCCCAGGAGAGTCACAAAATAGATGGTAGGCATGTGGAATTGTCTAGACCGTCTTTTCACTGCGTTGCCTGCTTGCCTAGCTTATTCCATGCTACACCTAAAGTGCTCGCCCACAGAAAGCGCCTAATAGCATGTTGACGTTGGAATAATTTGTATTGATTTTGTAATGAATGTTCTATGATTGTCAAGTAGTCTTTTTGATGTACTAGTCTAGGCTCAATAATGTCAACTGACTAGTTCCTTAGGTAGTCAACCCTTGAAGCCAGAAACGGCAAGCCGGGATTTCCTTCAAGGGGCACCCAGCCTCGTTAGGTCGTCTCTGGCAACAGTCCATCCGCACGACAGAGCAACGGCGATCTCGTTAGTGATATTGCAGCGTCTTCATGCTCTCAAGCCGACTATCACTTATCTGAACTATGTGCCACTTTATACTTCTGCGCAAACAAAGTACGAAGTAGCTACAAAATTGGAAATATATTCCGTTGAATGACTGACAAGGCAGCCCGTCCAGATACTTACTTCAAATTAGTAGCTACTACCATACCTCTGCTTCAGATGATCCTCCGCTCGAATGGGTTCGAATTTCGCTTTCTCACCGAAATTCAGGCATGAAGGAATACATTCAATCACTTGATCTAGAAGTCCTTCGTTGAAAAATGCCACCGAGTAGCGATAGCGATTTGACACCGGCGTGATTACGCGGTGCAATGTGGACGTGTATTTTTCATTTGTCCATCGTTCTGTTTTATGGTCAATGATGTTTAAAGCCAGTGAAACATTCGCGTTCGATGTTTAGCAGCTAACACTTACCCATCATATCGCCTATGTTGACGACAAAAGCGTCCTGGATGGGCCTCACAGCGTGCCATGTGCCGCTGGGCTTGTGGAATACTTCGAGTCCACCCGCTGAGCGTTGAGATCATAAGTATTTTCAACCACAGTTTGAAGCAGAGTTTCTTCAGCGCAGTTCACTTACAATCGTCCTGCATCAGCAGTGTCAGTGCTCCAAAATCTGTGTGGGCACCAATGCCCCTCGACCTCTGGGCGGTCTCTTCTGTCGCAGGGGGATATCGATGTGCTCTGCACATAGGTATTGCTGACGTGATAGTTAGCATCAAGGACCACGCAGATTTTGTGATGCGCTCCACATCTAAAGATGAAGGAGGAAGGTCTCACAATTATCACTCCCGACAAACGAATCGAAATACGTCTCCTCCAGCTCCAAACTAAGCGCCATAAGTCTGAACACATCACGACTCAACAACCTCACCTGCTCGAAATACTGCATAAAAGTGCCGCGAAACTTGGATACCCCATCTTCCGGTTCAGGCCATTGGTTTGGTCCCTGCAGGAACCTCGTCGCACCCGGCATCTCCAAGCCAACCATAAATCCCTCCTTCTGGTCCGCAAAGCCAGCTTCGAGACTTTGCTCACCAACGCTCTCCCACCCGCGCAGGCAGTGGGACTTACCGCGATGGAGGGCCTGCTTGCGCTCCGGTGGCAGATTGAAGAATTGCCCAATCTCTTCTAGCAACGATTGTCGCAGTGCGACTGGGATATTGTGTCCTGTGATTTGGAAGAAGCCCGGGGATTGGCATGCTGAGCGCAGAGATCGTACGATTTCTTGGGTCTGAGTAGCGCTGCGGCGCGACGGGTCCAAGTAGCCTGATATATCAATCACGGGGATCTCAATTGTGGGACTTGAAGCGTCACCCATGTTTTGTTATTGGGTCGTGGTGGTATGAAGAGCAAAGAGGCTGTCGATGCTCTCATCGTCCTCACTGTAGGAGAGTTACACGTCCTCTGAAGCCACAGTCATCTCTAGGTGGATGGGGCTGTAAGTTGCAGACAAGAACTATGCTCCTCCGATTCAGATTGCAAAAGTGGTCTGCCTTGCAGTTTGCTGACGTGGCAGGCTAGTAAATAAGGTACAGTTTCTAGGCAGGCGGGTTCTCTACCTTCAGTCGCTATGATCAACGGAGAGGAACGGCGCTATCAGGAACACGAAGTCTGGGGATATGCATTCACGACTGGAATATTTTAATCTGATTGGTCAAAATGGAGGTTGTCGGTTGCTATCAATGAGGGTAGATATCATTGCCGGGTCTAATGGGTAGCACATACATATCTATCTACGGACATCACCACTCCACTCTCCTTATCTCAACCAGCAATGCTGCTAGTTACGCTTGTGTGACAGGACTAGTAATTCCCGAGGGTGTGGGTGGTGGGAAGGGGAATGATAGGGTCCAAACCTATGGATCCATGGAATTCCCAAGGACCGACATTATATTGTGGTTTCCCACTGTCGGATCCTGTGAGGACCCTTAACACAGCGGAGCGATCTTCCGAACTGATCCTCTGCGAGAACAACCACAATGTCGCGACTGCGCGAGCGCGTACAACATGCTCGTTTGGATCTTAAGAGCAAGACGACTGTCGATGGCTGGGTACTCGAAAAGCAAGAATCCAGCTGGGCCCCTGCGGGAACATGGTCGAACGCTGATCTCGACATAACTCCTGTCGAGAGGCGCACTTGGACCAGTTGGACGATCTTTGGATACTGGTTCAGCGATATCATAAGTATCCAGAGCTACCAGACCGGATCCACTATACTCGCAGTAGGGCTCACATGGTAAGTAAAACCTGAGTCTCGAACGACGTATCTATCGAACACTGACCTTGATGACATATCAGGCATGAAGCCGTCTTCGCTATTGTATTCGGCTCCTTCGTCATGGGCATCCCCATGGCACTGAACGGCTATACCGGGGCAAAGACACATGCACCGTTTCCGATCCTCGCACGTGCATCATACGGATATCAGTTGGCCAAGTTCCCCGTCGTGGTCCGCCTCATCACGGCCCTGTTCTGGCACTCCATCACCAATTTCCTCGGCGTAGGCCCGACCATCCAAGTCATACGGTCCATCTGGCCATCCTTCAGGACTCTCCCTAACCACCTCCCAGAATCAGCGGGCATCACGTCGCAACAAATGATCGCATACTTCGTGCTTTGGGTCGTGCAGTTCCCTCTGCTGCTGATCCCGCCACATAAAATGCGCTGGCTGTTCACCGTCAAAATCATCATGGCCACAGCCACTATTGTGGGAATGACTATTTGGATCTGCGTCAAAGCCGGCGGCAGTGGAGACATTTGGGACCAACAGCCTGCCGTCACAGGCTCAGCCAAGTCCTGGCTGGTCATGTGGTCCCTCAACAGCTGTACCGCGTCGTGGAGCACGGTGGGCGTGAACATCCCAGACTTCACGCGCTACCTCCGCAAGCCTCGCTCCGCGCTGCAGCAAGCACTCTGGTTCCCCTTGATCTGCAGCTGGGTCGCCGTCATCGGCATCATCGTCACCTCGGCTTCCTATGTGCTATATTCCGAGTACATCTGGGACCCAATAGCCATCATCGACACGTGGGAAGGACCTGGAGGTCGCGCTGCCGCGTTCTTCGCCGGCATGTCGTGGGTCCTCGCTCAAATTTGCGTCAACGTATCTGCAACTGTGATCTCTGGAGCGAACGATCTGGCAAATCTCTTCCCAAAGTGGTTCAACATTCGACGTGGGGCCATCTTCATCACCATCATCGGCGGGTGGGCGATGGTGCCCTGGAAGATCCTGCACTCCGCGAGTTCTCTGTTGAGTTTCATGGGCTCGCTGGCGATTTTCCTGTCGCCTATGATGGTAAGATCTTGCTCCGAGTCTGAATGCTTTGACTGACAAACATCTTGCAAAATATAGGCGATTCAAATTGCCGACTTTTTCATCGTCAAGAAACAACACCTCGATCTGCCGGCCCTGTATCAGCCACACGGCCGCTACCGATATATCTTCGGCGTCAACTGGCGGGCATTGGTTGCGCTCACCGCATCTATCACGCCTTGTCTCCCTGGTCTGGCATATAATGTCAATCCGAATGTCGAAATCGGTGGAGCAGCATATTTGATCCAATTTAATTGGTATTACGGATTTGTCGTTGCATTTGTGTGTTATAGTGTAGCGAGTTTGTTGTTTCCTGCGAGGGAGACACTGGTGCATTGTATGATTGAGACAAATGATGAGGGGAATGTGGAGAGGATCGAGGCCGAGAAAGGGTTGGAGATTGTTACTGCCAGTGAGAGACTGAGTGGTCATTAGGTAGTGAACTCTTAGGGAGAAGGAGAAATGGAGAAACGAATCAAACGCATGGAGTTGACGAGAAGAAAACCGAGATAGTCTAACTGGCTCTGTTAGATCAATGAAGAGTATACGGTAATACATAGTTTCAAGCTGACAAGTTCTGAATCTGATGTTCCCGTTTCCCACGCACTCCGGACGTGATATGATATTATGCAACGCTCCCACAATACTTCAATAGCGATAATGCCAAAATAAAAACGTGTTTGGGAGAGAAACCACGATGTTTAGATTCTGTAGTCATTATCATGAAATATGGACTATTACCATTTTTTCTCCTGTCTGACTTCGAGAGTCAAGTTCCATCTCTGTGTGCCCCTTTCTATAGCGCGAACAGGGCCATAACACCGGCAACGGCGAGGCTGGCAGCGTTCAAACCCAGGCGGTCAGCAGCGCCAGTGAACGTAGGTGCAGTGACACCGGCGCCAGTAGCCGTGGTAGAGACACCTGTTGCCGGGATTGTCGTTCCAGCAGGGACTACAGAGCCAGTTTGAGTGGTGAGCGTGGAGCCACCACCGTAGGTCGTGAGAGGAATGGTGCCGGAGTAGACGGTGCCGCTGGGAGAGATGGTTGACCACCAGCCGCTTGAGAAAGTGGTATTGTAAGGGTTGGCATCTGCGATAGAGGTGGCTCCGGTCTGTTGAGCAGGGGGTCCAAGAATGGTGTTGCCGGCAGAGTCGGTCGCAGTAGAGCTAGCAGTGACGGTAGGCTTGCCAGATCCGGAGCTGGAGCTACCGCTGCTGGCACCCTTGCCGGCGAGGACTGAGAACTGAGTCGAGTATTGAAACTCGCCAGTGCCGTCGACGATGATCAACATGCCATAGCCGGTGTCGGTGGCTTGCTTGCCGGGAGCAAGGTCGCTGGGAACTGACCATTGATACGACTTCTGAGAAGCAGGGAGACCTTCAACGATGGCGGTGTCTGATGGCACACAGTTTGATGATGGACCGTGGCAAAGGACAAGGCTGACGGTCACACCATCGGTCGGGTGGGTCTCGGGGTCCCACGTGATCTTGAATGTTTCACCAGCAGTAACCGGCTGTTTTGGTCAGTCAGTCATGTCAGGAGAAGAGAAGTCGATAGAACACATACAGTTGAGAGATCAGGGGTGAGAAGAGGGCCCCAAGTACTGGCACCAGGCTTTGTGAAGGCTTGAGCTACGGAGGCGAGCCCAGTCGCTGCGAATGCGATCAAGACGGAATGCATATTGAGTTTCGGGTTATGACTGTTGATTGAGTCGGCTGAATAAGTTTTAAACAGGAGTAATGCTCTAAGTTGGCGTAATGATGGGCTTGGGTCAATGCGATAGTGAATGGACGTCAAAAGAGTGACTGAAAAGGGTTCAAACGTAACAGGCCAGCTGGAGATGAAGACGGTCGACAAAGAGAGCGATACTGACTAAGAAGAAAAGAAGAGAGGGAAGAGGGAGAGGTTATAGTTCAACTGGAAGGAAAAGAACATTGGATGGTACCTCGTACTGTGGGAAGAGTATAGTTTAGCTCAGCCTCAAGCCCGTCCCCGTGTTTCACCAACTTGGGAAATTACGCTGGACAAGACAGACCAACGAACCCCCTGGATCTTGGAGGCTAGACCCTTGGTGTCAGTGGATTCGTCGAATGACATAACCTACCCAACTAACAGCTGAATACGCGTCTCTGGGGCCGTCAAGCTTGCAGAACCGGTCAAGCAGTTTAGAGGTTAGTGATAGCCTGCTCGGATATGATTGTCCCAAGTATACAAGTACGTCTTGGATAGCGCGTTAAAAAAAGGAGATTTTATGATGTAACGTGGTTTGAAACCAGGAGAGCTGAGTCTTTGCAGCAGAACTAATGCGCTGCGGTTCGGCATGAATCAATCAATCCCCCTCTCCAGGTTAGGCATCGGGTACCGAGTACGGAATTGTTTCTAAGCGATGGATTTAAAAAAAGAACTGTGACTCGGTGAGACACGTTCGGAAGACGACATATACAAACATTCTGTTTAGTTTACTGACATGTCGAAGGATACTTTTGGTAGTAGTGGACTCTAGAATGATGATGAAAATGCCACTGGCACTGGCACTGGCACTGGCACTGGCACTGGCAACCTGAACGACGGAGCTCCTCAGCTGCCGTGATCGACGGTTTTTGAGGATCCCCCGGAGATTTCCCTCTGCTTTTCCGATCTCACCAAGCCAGCCTTCTATTGAATCTCAATGGCCTGTCAATTCGTATAACCAGATTCGTGGCAGACAGGTTCAACATCAACACGAGGCAGACTGCGCAGATGCGACTACGTACATCAAATACGAGCTAGATCTAATTAAAACACTATCTCTCGACTTAGTGAATAACCACTGTTACGCTCTCTCTACGGGAGGTATGTCGCACGAGACAGCCTCGTATGCAAGGTTAGCTTGAGAGCCGACCGCTCCCAATGGGTACACACCCCGCCTTGACCTCTTCGTCCGTCTATTATCAACCTTCCTAGCCATGGCCGGGTCCTCCTCCAGGTCTAACGAGACCCATTCGAGACATCCAACCCCACAAGCGCCTGCGATCCTATCCCGCGACTCCGATATTGAAGACACTTCTGCTGCATTAAAAAGGACATCAAGAGATGGAGGGAATTCTACCGAGTTGCGCAAGTTGCATCACTCTCCATTGCGACGTGGTGCTGGAGGACACATTCAAGATACGGTCCCAGTGAACGAAAATGAAAATGAAAGCGATAGTGACAGCGATGAAGATCCCCGATACAAGCGTCGCCTGCAGAGGGTGTCGACCATGTCCAAAGAATATACCGATGAAGAGGAAGCTGCCGTCGTACGGAAGCTCGATCGCAAACTCGTTATACTCCTAGGTTTCTTGTATATGCTGAGTTTTCTGGATAGATCAAATATCGGCAATGCTCGCATCGCTGGGCTAGAAAAGGACTTGTCTCTGTCCTCTGCCCAGTATGACTGGCTTTTGACGGCCTTTTACATCACATATATTGGCTTCGAGTGGATGATCCTGCTGTATCGACTTGTCCCAGCACATGTGTACATCTCTCTATGTGTATTGACATGGGGGGTGGTTGCAAGTTTCCAAAGCATAACGACATCTTTCTCTCAACTTCTCATCCTTCGCGGTCTACTCGGTATCACAGAAGCAGCGTTTGGACCGGGGGTTCCCTTCTATATGACTTTCTTCTATCGGCGGTCTGAATTGGCTTATCGTGTCGGTTTGCAGATATCGGCTGCACCACTAGCCACTAGTTTTGCCAGTTCACTCGCGTGGATCATTGTCAAGCTAAGTCAAAATGGACCCATCGCACCATGGAGAGCTTTGTTCTTGGTCGAAGGCTTCCCTTCCATCTTCGCCGCTGTCGCAGCGTGGTATTATATTCCAGATTCACCATCCAAAGTGAGGTACCTCACACCAAGAGAACGAAAAGTCGCCGTGATGCGGTTGCAATCCGAACAACAAACCTCGCATTCTCGTTCTGATTCAGCATCTACCATGACTCTTGCCGAACGATTGAACCTGAAGGACATTTTGACCACTATCCTTGACCCCAAATCCTACCTGACTGCATTGATGTTTCTAAGCGTCAATGTCGCATTCAGTTCATTGCCAGTCTTCCTCCCCACGATTATCAGCAGCATGTCATTCTCCCCTCTGGCCTCTCAAGCCCTAGCGGCACCGCCCTATCTGTTCGCATTCTTTTTCGTCCTAATTATTGGACGATATAGCGACAAATACGCCGATTCACGATCACTGTTCCTCATTGGAGTGTCTTTACTCAGCGCTATATCGTACGCCGGTATCGCTCTCGCCGGCTCTCTCCATGAAGCCCTAGGCGATGTGGGCGGTATTACGATCCGCTATATAGGGGTATATGGTGCAGCGATGGGTCTCTTTGCATCCGTCACGCTGATAATCACTTGGACTCTCAACAATCAAGCCACTGCGACCAGCAAGGGGACGGGACTTACGATCCTTAATGTCATAGGCCAATGTGGCCCTCTAATCGGAGTCCACCTGTTCCCCGAAAGCCAAGGCCCTTTCTACATCCAAGGAATGGCCGTCTGTGCCGGTTTCATGGCCCTTGGTGTTGCGGGGTTGGCTTTCGTGCTGAGAATCGTGCTCAAGCGAGCGAACTCCAAGAATGGTTTCTACACTGGTGGCGGTGGGAAGGGCCCAGAAGAGTATGAGATGGTCGAGTCGAACATCCGGAGTAAAGACGATGATCAGGATACTGAAGAGGTCGAGCAGACGCTGATGGGCGCAGGGAGGAAGTTTAATGCCGAGAGTGGTGGGGGATTTCGTTACATGCTTTGATATAGCCTGTACATACATGGATGGCGGCTCCACCTCGATTTACGAATTTACGCACGCAACAGAAAACACACCAGATAGACACAGCGTCCTCCAGTCAGTGGTATTTTGACACGAAGTTATGGAGGGCAAGAACTTGAGTCAGAACCCCTGGTATTGATGTCATCGCCATGATAGTATATTTACATTTTCTTGTCCTCGTTCAAATCATGCAGATTGAGTCAGTGTCTTCTCAAAAGCTACAAACTGGTAGACATTTCCTTTCCGGATGTTGAGCAGTTCGATCCACCTAATCATGCCTAGTCGCAAGTAAAGCCTAGATCACCCCAAAACCCTAGTTCTGATACACGGACTTGACGTCCATCACTTCAGCTGCCCGAAGGGTTCTTGCCCTCTTCGGCTTTTTTGGCACTCTCTTTCTGCATCTGTTCTATCGTCTTGTTCTCCTTGTCTCCATTGATAGCTTGCTCACTAGACGAGGCCAGCTCAGGCTTCCATTCGCCTTTACCCGTCTTGGCTTTGTCGACGCTGTCGGACTTGTGGCGCTCGATGTTACTCGCTCGCTCGGGGTGGTCTTTGTTGTCTGTGTCAGCGGATTGTGATCTATATCAGTAGGGCTGGCGGGAGTATATCAAGGAGAGCAATCGGAGAGAGTCACTGGTGTGGAGGCCGGGGGAAGGAGGTAGCAGCGCTTTATCTTAGGGATTGGAATACATGAATTGTCTCCCAACAGAGAGGTGAGACGGAAGGTAACATACCATGATCGGCTTCACTCAATGCCCGACACGTTGAAGAGGTGTGGAATGTTGCGACCGGTCTTGAAGCAACGGATCGGCTAACCGTTCGCAGCGGTGTGAAAGTGCGAGCAAGGTACGACATGATAGACGGCGTAGAATATATAATGGAGTAATGAAATGGAATAAGCGATACGATTGGTATATAAGACCTACAGTATCGAAGCAGTAGTGTCTCTCAGGGTCAAAAGTGGTTCTTTAGTATCAAGATCAGAGTCAGAGGAATGAGGAAGTCTTAGGAAGCTCAGCAAAAATATTGCAAGCTCAGGGCTCACAGACCCGATGGTACTGCTACCGAGGGATAGCCATTGCTAACGAAATCGTCCTCATGACGTCGTGAGAGTCCAGGATGGTTTGGTTTGGTGCGTCATTGTTCAGGGTGTATTCGCTTGTATAATTGAAGCGGCTTTTATTTCCGGTGGATTGAGATTCGAACTATTGTGATTGGCGGAAACATGCTCGGATGAGGAAGATCTTTCATCCGAGAACGTGATCTGAGTACTACCATTACATAAGCAGTTGACGCGACGCGTTCGATTTGATCACTGCCATCAAATTTGGGCGACAATGACCCCACGACGACAACAACAATTCTTCACACTGCCAGCTAACGCAGCAACGATGCTTCAGTCTCCTGCAAAAAGACGAAGGTTGAATGGTTCAACTATTACAGGCGAGGGCTCTGACAATATTGATTCCCCCCATCTTAAACAACCCGTCACCCCCACCAGGGCCTCGTACCTGTCACCAACGAGAAGTTCACTCTCACGATCGCATCCTCACCTAATCAATAAAACGGCAACTCGCTCGAGCGCTGGTCCAAGGGGCAAGTCACTAAGAGATGAGATACTTCGGCCTCCAAGCAAGACCTCTGTCCGTGCAGAACCTCTAGCTGTCGCAGACAATGCAGACGAGAGTGAGAGGAGGGCGAACGAAACCCAAACTGCTCTACATGTTGAACCAAAGACAACTATCGAAGCCAATCAATCTAACGTTTCTCAAACCTCACGTTCCTCATTGAGACAGCCTCCGTACTTCGACCAAACCAGACCAAGCCCACATTCGGATGAGGATACGCTACCGGAAATGTTTAAGCCTGCCTTAGTTCCTAAGCCAATACACGAGTCTGGAGCAGAGACCAGAGAGCGCAGTGAAGAGATAGAGCTGCCACCTACGCCCGTCCAACTCGGTGTCACAACACAACCAGATCGACCTCGTGGTCTGGCGTCTAGCAGTAGTCCTCGGGGTTCGAAACTTGGCAGTGGAAGACGAAGACGTCGTAGGACCGATGGCCCGATCACAAGCAGTCCTCTGAAGCCGAGACATGCTGATCGAGCCGCAGCTGATCGTGCCGACTTGGACCTGGAGCAGATTCTCGCAGACGAAGCGCAGGAAAGCGAGGCGGATGACACACAGGATGTGGAACCTCCGCCTACTTCGGCTGTGCTTCATCAAGAGGATGAAGTCGACAGCGCATCAGCCGAAACGAGTGAAAAGCAAGCTGTTCTACAGAAACTACTTGCAGAACTGGAGAAGCTTAAAATGGAAGTCGACAAGCTGGATGCTGCTGTTGAGAAAGACCAGATCGATGACAGTATCATGTCTCTACTGTTCCAATCTCCAGGAGTTAACCACGACCATGACAACACCTTGCCCAGTTCTGCAACGGACGAGGAGAACGCGACACAATACCTTGCCCTATTCTCGCCTGGTGATCTTCGCTTGTCGAGCTCGACCGAGACGAAAAAAATCCACCACCGAACAAAGATCATTCACTCTTTGACACTTACAGCTCCACCCCCATGGCCTGTTCATGCAGCCATGTTCGCTTTCGAAATCACGGTAGATGCAGAAGATGCACGAGTAGAGCAAGTTTCTCGAAAACGAATCTCCGGACTACCACGCAGCAATGGCCGACCAACCGGAATACACAGATGGGTGTCTCAGCGTCTCGACCATCCTCTACACTGGCACGACGTGGGAGGCATTGTCTGGGGTTTAGGCCAATGGTTCCGCGCGTCAATCGAACGAGCACGTATTTTCCAGCAACTCGATCAGCGGCCCGAAGTTGCCACAAGCATCTCATCAAGCAAAGCCACTGACTCAATCACCGAACGCGAGGCCATCACACTCGCCCCATATCTCAACCAAATCCAAATCCAATTACAGCAACCCCGAGCAGCCAACACGACCAACAAACTCGCCACCAAGAAGAAGATCCTCCTAGTCTGGGACATTAACATTGACTGGACCGGCGAAGTGAAGTCAGACATCAGCATTTCCGTGAGCGGTGTCTCAGCCAAAGCGAGCCGTGGCCTGAAAGAGATCTTTGGCGGCCTGGTGCCGAACCAAGGTGTCGTCAAAGCGCTGGAGCATGTCAGTGGTTTGCTACATGGGGGTGGTGATGATAATGAGGATGGCACGGATCCACCGGCGCGAGAGAAGGCCCGGAGAAAGAAGAGGAAGCGCGTTGTCTTGGTCTGAGTGTTATGGGCGAGCGGGTATTATGATGTGATGAAATGAGATGAGGTGGGAACCAACTATAATGACCCTGAATGAGGATGCATGATCAAGGGCGAGGTATGGATGAATGCTGGTGCCGGATCGAGGCGGGGACGAGGCAAGGCCAAGTGGGTTGAGTATCTCAACGATGTTCTCTCGCCCGTCCGTCAAGTCAATCTGTCCATTGGATACGTACCCACACAACGCCTCTTACTCGAGAGCAAAGTGCTGATTAGTTAACGTACATACCACGTACATGTTCGAGTTCCCAGCATGATTGATACCTCCCGAGATGAATGAGACTTGGAAGCTTTTCACATCGGTTTTCCCCCCTGCACATAACATGCGTGCCTTGATTTGAGTATTAAGCGCACCCTCCTTTGCAGCACATTCGTTCGTTGTTCATCTTTTGGAGGTTTTATCTTTGGAGGATCCAAATGATCCTCACTCAGAGAGAGGGGATTGGGGGAGGGGAAAGATACTGCTGGGTGAGTTTTTAAAAAAAGGTAAACAGGTTGTGACGCCGGGAACCCCTTCTTTATTGGAGCTACCTAACATTGACGAGCGTGCCATTTGGTATCCTCGGATCCATAGCATACCCTATATGTCATGCCATACCATGCCATTGTGTTTTGGTGTTTTGGTGTTTTTGGGGATAGAAGATTGCACCCGCCACTTCTCCCTCCTTCATGTGAACTGAACTGGCATGGTCCGAGGACTATTGATGGCTAGAGTATGCACATCTGTCCCTTTCCACCAGGCCAATCCGTCATTTGCATGAGACCACATCGTCAGATCACATCGCAAGTTTCACACCTAATTCATCTTTGCATTCATTTCAGCCACTCCTTTACTTCTTCTTGCTCTCCTCAGCATCAGCCTTGGCCTTGGCTCTCTTCTCGCGGGCACCGACATATCTGGCCTCGGAACGAGCCTCTCTCAACTTGCGGTATGCACCACCTTCAATCTCCTTAGGTAGGTTGCTCTTCTTGACCTCAGAAATACCGTGCTTTACGCCAACGCCAGAGTCGATAGGGAGGACAGCCGAGAGCTTGCCGTAGACGACATTCTTGGCGTCTGATGCGCTCTTGACATCCTCTGCGCTGCTGTCGAGTTTCTTGTGTTGACCGGCCTTGCGTGGGAACAGGATCAGGCGTGCCTTGTAGGCCTTTAGGCGGTCGACGTTCAAAGAGAGGGCTTCTTGACTGGTGGTTTGGCGTCTGGGGTCAACTGAGATACCGATTGTGGGTGCGAGTTTGCGGGGGATGCCGGCTTCCTGTTTGGGAGAAGGCTTTTGTCAGTTTTTTCCATCATAATTGGAGGTCAAGAGGTGTCATGTCACTCATGGTTGAAGTCATGGGGTGAATTTATATCCGTTGATTTGGTTAGACATCCATAGTGGGCTCCAAACCAACTTCAATTGTTGTTCCTGACAATTCTTTGCGACCATCGGAATGGTGTGCGCAAAACCAATCCCACCCCAAGGCTTCAACCATCTTGTTTTTTTTTGGATTCTCGACCCACAATCCAGAGGGGAAATTCATACCTTCAACTCAGCCAAAGTGAAACCTCTACCAGCGCGCTGGCGACGGTTGTACTTGATAGTAGGGCATCGGACGATAGGTCGGAGACGGTCGGTGGGACGAGGAGCGACAGCAGCGGCCTTGGAAAGACGAGCAGCTCGGCGTCGAGATTTGCGGCCGGCTTGATCGAAGTGCACACGGACTCGTCTTTGCCAGTCCTTGTGGAAATGGTTATTGGGGAGCTGTTGGTTGTGCTTGATCGCCATTGTGACTGATGACGATTAAAAGAACAACCGATAGAGTGAGTTTGAGTTGAGCGGATTGGAACTGGAAGTTGTATCTCAAAGTACGTGTGGTGGAATCCCAAGTCCAAAATTCGCAGTGGGCAAGAAACTCTTGGCAGGCGCAACCAGTAGCAATACTAGGGCTCCTTCATGGGGAAGCCGCGAAAAACTCGGCGCACTTTCTGTAAATGGATGGATCAACACCACGTGACATTCCCGGCCTACTCCTTCGTATGCTTCTCCGTAGTACTGCATTCACTTGGGAACTCAAGGCTCTGTTCGTGCTATGATTGTTTCGGTAGTCTAGAGGGAGAGAAAATCCTTCATTCAAATCATATGACTGAGAGACGAGCCTAGCTAATCGTGATCCTGAATCGTACAAATCCTTTTCCGAACTTTGGATGGAGATGGATATCATTACATTCGTTCCTGCTATAAAAAGTACACCTTCCTCCTCATCCTCCTCATCATCATTGACTCCAAGATTCAATGCCTAAACCAACTCCTTGAGATAACTTTGCCTTTTTCACCTTGATGTCTGACTCGCCAAAACTAGAACCTCGCTTCTGGCTTTGTGTGCTTTTTTTGACTGGTCCAAATAGCTTTGATTGTAAAAGACTGCTTGATCTTTCGGCGTTTTGAGATAACCTCAAAGATTCCTGGCTACCTGGGTTTCGGCGTAGCATATCACTTGCCAAAGAACTGGCTTGTGACTGTTGAACATCGTCATCAATCTCTTCAGCATCTGATATGGAGATGGTGCTGTCTCTGTCATGGCGTTCCCTTTCCGCCGACTCAATGACAAGTTGTGAAGCAGGTGCCGAGAAGGGGATCATCGACTCAGGGTACGTATCTCGACCAATAGAGCGATGTTGGGCTGGAGTGGTGTGAAGCGAAGAAAGAGAATGCGCTCCTCGGGTATGGCCCCGCTTGACCTTTGAAGCATGAGTTCGAGTTGGTGTTGATGGTACACTGATACTTTCTCCATTCAAAACCTGGTCTGCCGCCAGCAATGCTGCAATGTTCGAATGATTTGGTGCACTCTGAGGGAATTGTGGAAGGCTTCTTCGCTGAGGAGTGGTGAAGGTGTCGCGTGGAGTGGTGTATGAAGGAGACAGGCTCTTCAGACGGCTGAAATGTTCTCGGTTGTCACGGATACGTTTCTTGAGAAGAGCATTCTCCTCCATCAACAAATCAAACTTGTCCTTCTCCATCTCAATCAATTTTTTGGCCCGTTGAAGTCGCTGTTCCGCTTCGTCTCTTTCCTCCTCCAGCGATCTGCAAGTTTTTGTCAGAGCATCAATCTGTGGTGCGGATGGTGGTTGAGAATTTCGCGAGTTCATCGACAAGGTAGTTCTGTTCTTGAGCTCCGTACTGTGTAGCACTTCGATTTCTCGTCGAGTCATCTGCTGCTCAACTTCGGCACGTTGAGCCGCTTCCTCTGATTCCATCAGGAGTAAATTGTATTGCAGTTTGAAGTGTGCAGCAGCGGTCCTAGCATCCTTGACCGCAGTGACCAATTCTCGGGCCATATCTCGTAGTTCTCCAATGCTATCGGACCGATTGATGGCATCTTGAGTTGGAAGGGCCCGGAGCACATTGTATGGAATAGTGTTTGGTGGAGAGGCCAGGAAGGCATCACTGGGAACATTGCTGTTCTGGTTGACGGGTGAATGAAACCGTGGGGGTTGTGTAGAGGGAGGCGGCGTCATACTACTTGACATTGGTGGAGGAGAAGTATATGCTGATTTACTGAGGCTGTCTGCGGACCGAGTTCGCACAGGCGGAGGAGTTGAGGGCACGATGGAGCCTTGTAGATCGGGTTCAGGCAGAGGGCTTGCCATTGTATGCGACGAGGGTGAGTTCAGGGTTGAATTCACTGGATAGAGGTGATAAGTGCTTCACAGGGCATGCACTGAAGCACACTGATGGCGGTGAGGGGCACTGATATTCGTAGGATGGTTGCGACCAGAGATCAGCGGTGCGAAGTGAAGTGAGTTTCGGGACGGTATCGATAGCGGTGGAGTCGAAAGTGAAGCACGGAATGACCGTGGGTTGTTTATGGTCGGAGCGCAAGAAGGACTTTCTGAGAGGACCAGGTGTTTGGATCAGAAAATAGAATTCGATTGCACGGGGACTCGAGATAGATATTTGACAGCTTCGAAGATGGAGGTTGGCTGGTGGTCACATCTGTAGAGAGGTCAACGTCAACTCGAAGTCGAAGATGGATGGCTGGAAGGTGGGTTAAAATCAAGTGGGTGTTGGAGGGAAGGCGCGAGACGAGGATTGGTTCAGAATGGCTGGGAAATCGTGACCAAGCTAACCCGATCGAGGTAGCGCGTCATTAGTGTCTTAGTGCTGGTCGCTTAGGGAAACCGCAGTGACCGCCTATTTGGGCAGTGGCGGCCCCTTACTGTCAACAACCGCCCGCCGAGAGGTCAACCTCACTACTCAGGCTGCCAGCTCGGACCTTTCTTCTCTCACACTACGTGCTGTACGTCCCCCAGTTGCAGTGGCTCTAGCTGGGAGCTTGGGTAATAATAATATCACCCACAAAATACATCAGACCCAGGCTGTCAATATTGTTGAAGATATTGGGTCTTCTCACTTTTCTGCGCTCCATGGGAAAACAAATCGATATATCTACTTTATTGATCCGGCTCCAAGTCAGAGTCGCTCCAATATTATCAAAGCATGGGCCATGACCAGGACCAGGACCATGGGTCCAACATCCCACTTCGGGCCAGCATTCCACGGCTGTCTCGTCTGCCCATGCCACGTGCTGTTCCTTCCAGTGATAATCTACGGCTCACTGCGAGAAGTTCTACAATGCCCGTAATTCACAATGATGACTTGAGGAAGAATTCCACTCTTCCACGTCCGAGTCCAGTCGGATCCAAGGCTCCGCTCTCAGAGACCTTCAATCATTCCATCAGGGCCAGATATGGCTGGTCTGACACCTCCATCCGACCCAGGAGTGTGTCGCCGGTCAGAGATGCACTGCGAGACGCGCAGACCGCTGCCTTGGACATCACTCCTCCTGGTTCGGCAGAGCTTCCCGTCTTTGAGGATGGGAACGAAAACCCGACCGTCGCCGGCAAGGAGACAACTACCAACACCTTGCAGGAGCGGCGACGGCCCCGACTATCATTGTCTGAGAGGACTATTGAGACTTTGTCGCAGATATCGCCGTGTCCGTCTCCCACTGGCAGACGGCCAAGCGTGGCGGGTATCGACACTTCTATGCCTCCCCCAATGCGGCCAGCATCAAGCATGAGAGAGTCCAGACCCAGCACCCCATCCAGTGCTCGTCCAGACTCACCATCAAAACGACCGTTCAGACCTCCTGGTAGAATGTCTCCAACAAAGGATATCGCCTTGGCCCCGGTTGTCTCACCCGGCAATATATATACACCACCAAAAGCTTTTGTCAGAGGTCAACCTTCACGAATTGCCAAGTTGCCACATGAATCAAAACGCTCAATCAGTTCAGCTTTCCATGTTCACGACCAGAAGCCTGGCTCCACGCGTACCGCACCTGCCCTAACGTCAACCATAAAATTCAAACCCACATACAGCAACAAAACAATAGGACATACTCCCTCTGTTACGAGACCTTCGCTTGCCTCCCTCTTCAAGGATGTAGTTCCCACTGGAGCCAAATCTGTAAAGCCCCCGGTGTCCGAGGACCAGCGTTCAGGATTATTGAGACCCAAGACTAGAGGAGAGAATGCAATCGCGCCTTCTACACCCCCATCAGCACACTCAAAGAAGCAAAAGGCTACGCCGAAAGCTGCTGCACTCCCCTCCAATGAAGACAAAAGTTCACCAAAATCGTCAGCCGCTCTACGGGAAACTATCGCAAAAGCAAAAGCAGCAAAGAGAAAGGCTATGGGCTCATCGCAAGGAGTCGCAGACCAAGCTACAAGCCTAGAGCCATGGCCTGTGGTCGAAATTGAGGACGATCTAGTTATGGGCAAGGATGGCAAAGGGCTACTGCGGAGACGCATTGCACAAGCTCTCACATCTGGTCATCTGAACATCACAGGCATGAGTCTAAACCAGATACCCACAGAAGTTATGAATATGTATGAGTCGTCGGAAAACAGTACAACGAATTGGTCAGAGATGGTCGATTTGATCAAGTTCAGCGCGGCGAGTAACGAAATCAATGACCTAGGAGAGGAGACCTTTCCCAACTATTCTCCAGAAGAAATGATGAATGACGACGAGAAAACCAATCAATTCGGTGGACTTGAACACATTGATCTACACGGTAATCAATTGTTCAGAATTCCAGTGGGCATTTGTAGGCTTGAGAGACTGCAAGTTCTGAATCTGAGTAACAACAAGTTGACAAGTGAGTCTCTGACGGTCATTGGACAAGTCAAGAACTTGAGGGAGCTCTTACTCAGTGGCAATCTCATTTCTGACGTGAACTTTGGCAATCATGAACTTGAAAACCTCCACACTTTGGATCTCCACAACAATCATATTCAGCAAGTGCATCAAGAGAGCATCGGTACTTTCAAGAGCTTGAAAGTGCTAAATCTTGCAAAGAACAAGCTGGCGGGGTCTTTCCCCTGGCAGTCGATAGAGAGTTTACCTCTCGTAGATCTCAATATCTCCAATAATCGCCTATCAGACACGCTCTTTGAGGCGACGTCAAAACTGTCCGACTTGCAGAAGCTTGACGTTTCCCACAACGTGTTGAAAGATATCGGCGAGGGCTTGCTGCCTAATCTTCGCTCTTTTGCAATCAACAACAATCGTCTGACTGAGCTGTCGACCTTGGAAAGCTGTGAGTCCTTACACACTTTGCTTGCTTCGGAGAATGAACTGGAGGTGTTGCCTGTCGGTTTTACAAAGCTGAAGGCATTGAAAATTGCCGATTTCTCACACAACAACATCCGAATCCTTGATCCTGAAATAGCATTGATGGATGAGTTGAGCAGCATCACCCTGGTTGGAAACCCTCTACGGGAGAAGAAGCTCCTCGCGATGAGTGCGTCGGAAATCAAACAGGAGCTGGAGAGAAAAGTCGAGACACAGCATGAGCACGAACATGATGGGGGCGTCCTTCAGGTGATCAACGAGACCGCCGAAGCTCGCTACAAATCTGTCAATGGAGTCCTTGATCTATCTTCTCAATCCTTGACAACAATTAATCTGGACGAGGTTGATTTTCAAAACTCACACGTTGCGATACACACATTAAAGCTTTCCAACAACGACCTCACTGCCCTCCCATCTGAGTTGCTTGCCCATCCAGCTCTTAAGTATTCACTGCAATCGTTAGACCTCAGTCACAACCCGCTTTTGCATCCGACCCAGTATATTACGTCGGAACTGTTCCTTCCCAGCCTCAAATCGCTTTACATTGTAAGCACGGGGCTGACGTCTCTGGACGCACTGACGACTTACATGAAGGCGCCCGAGCTTGCTGAGCTGAACATCTCATGTCATCGATTGGCAGGACGGGTGCCCTGGGTGCAAGCGTGGTTTCCCAAGTGCACAACACTTCTGGCGACTGACAACTGGTTCACCAGCATTGACCCGGAAGGCGTACGAGGCCTTGAAGTGCTCGATATCCGCAACAACGAGATTGAAAGCCTTCCAGCCAAGATTGGCTTGTGTGGTAACTTTGTGGGATCCGCTAAAGAGCCTGGTAAGCTAAGAGTACTGGAAGTCAGTGGAAACAGATTTCGCGTGCCGCGCTTGGTTGTTGTGGAAAAAGGGACTGAGGCAATTCTGAAAGACCTGAGACGCATGATTCCGGACAATGAAGTGCCTGAGGAGTGGAAGGAGATGGTATGATGCTCCATTTTTCCGCATTCCCTTCCCCATGTCCATATGTACGGGTAATCTGCATGAAGCAAGCGACATCCATTGAATTTGTGTTCATCTTGGCAGCTACATCAGCTTTGGTGTGGTGCCCTTCTTGTTTTCATCATTCAGCATTCGCGACATTGGCAGCATGTACAGATTTTGTATAGCCTTTGGACATAGACACGCTTACTAGAGTTTATAAATTTTGTAATACGATTGTATGGATATTCTTATTTTATTAACTGGATTTGAACCATGTCGTGCATTGTTTCATCGGAACCAGATGACTCGTTGATAGTTTCAATATACACTGGAAGCATTTATTGTTGGATCAGCATCGCTTGTCCACGAGGCTGCAAGGCTGAGAGCGAAAAGCGGTGTGAGCCGGCATAATTTTGCGGAGGTTTCGAATGTTTTTGTATGCCACAACATCTCTCTCCCGCACCAGCGAGCCAGAAAGCCGCCCTGAAGAGGAGAGTCCTACTTCCCCGACCAGCATACAGCCATGTCGAGCAGTACGTCAGTCCCTCAGTGTCCGTTTCCTCCATCCTACTGACCACTGCCAGCAGGCCAATTCAGCGTCTCCGAGTTACCAGGCGATGCCATCTCCTCGCTTCGATTCTCACCACACCCCAACTCTCTGCGCTTTGCCGTGGCTTCATGGGACCGATCAGCGTACCTCTACGAAGTGGCGGACGGGAAGACATGCGTCCTACTGGCGAAATATGAGCACCGCGCACCCGTGCTAGACATTTGCTTCGGCAAGGACGACAACGAACTCTTTACAGCGTGCCTGGATTGGGATGTGAGGAGGTAAGGCATACTGATCTCGCATTTCTTCTCTTTAAGAAACGGAGTCCTCTATTGACACCGCGAAACTCTACACAGGATCGATGTAGCATCTGGCACGCAGACGGTGCTCAGCACACACGACAACGGGGTGCGCTCCGTCGTCTATAGCCAGACACATTCCCTCGTCATCTCCGCGGCCTGGGACTCGACGGTCCACATCCACATGCACCCAGGCTCCGATAATCCCAACCCCGAATGGACATCCGCAACCATCACTCTGCCCTCCAAGCCGTTCTCACTGGCCCTCTCCCCTTCAAAACTCGTCGTCGCAATGGCCAATCGCGCTGTGCACATCTACTCACTCTCCACACTGGCCACGGATAGCAAAGCCTCCACCAGCAGCACGAACCCGCAAGCCGTTCTGACCATCGAGCCGTGGCAGCGCCGCGAGAGCAGCCTGAAGTTCATGACGCGCGCAATCGACTGCATGCCCAACGACGAGGGCTACGCGTCCAGCAGCATCGAGGGTCGCGTGGCGGTCGAGTGGTTCGACCCGAACCCCGAGAGCCAGGCTAGGAAATACGCCTTCAAATGCCACCGGCAGCCCGTCGATGATGTCGATGTGGTTTTCCCCGTCAATGCCATTGCGTTTCATCCCGTCCATGGCACGTTTGCAACCGGTGGTGGCGATGGGGTTGTCGCCATCTGGGATGCGGTTGCCAAGCGCAGGATTCGCATCTATCCAAAGTTAAATGCTAGTGTGGCGGCCGCAAGTTTTAGTGCTAATGGGAAATATCTCGCTACGGCTGTGAGTCCAGGGTTCGAGGATGGGAAGGATGAGATTGCAGAGGGTTCGCTTGGGATCTTCATTCGGGAATTGGGAGACAATGAGGTGAAGCGCAAAGCGAAGTGAAGATTGGAGGTGCCGCAGAGGAGAAAATATCGTCCCTCTAAGGATTCTAAGTCTCATCTATCAACAGGTTTTCTCCATGGGAAGAAAATATTGTTATGAGTCTACGACGGCAGCGTCTGCAGCCTCGATGCTGGTTACGGGTATCAGTGGAGGATATCTCGCAACCACGGAATGACGCTTCTCTCGAGCTCTCCGCAATGTCACCGACCCGTCAGCCATGCCGAAATAGCAAGCCACAGGCCGTTGACCACCGAGCACGCCGGCAGATTGGGCTTCCGGACCCGTTGGACCACAGAACAGACCAACAGCAAGTACACCATTGATATCCTTGATGGCTTTGGCGAGCAACTCGACTTCCCACTTGCCGTTTTCTCCGTCGCCGACCTCGCCTTTGGAAACATCTTCGGAGATGAGTAGGGGATGAGGGAATGGGGCATCGATGATGAAGAAGTCCTGGTCGGTCTTGATAGGACCTGCTTTGGCCATGTGGCCTTCTCGGAGATGTGGGTTGTGACTTCCCAGCATACGCAGTCTTTTCATGACTTGTCGTGCAGCTTTGGGTTCGACCTCGATGGGTATTGTGGGCCACTGAGTGAGCAATCGCTTCTGGAGCTTGCGGTGGTCTAGTATTGACACAGAACCGGTTAGCCGTTGGAAAGGGAATTCACTACCTCGCAACGTAGCGAGAAATCCCAGAGGATCGTCATAACATACCTGCCACACAAATAAATTGCTTCGCCCGCGTAGCCACCAGCTTCTCCTGATACAGACAAGCACCGCCGCCCTTGATGCAATTCAAATCCTCGTCGACCTCATCGGCACCGTCAAAAGCCACATCAATCATAGCATTGTCAGGCAATGCGTCGAACTCGATAGGCACAAGACCGGCTTTGATGATGAGCTGTTTCGATTGATAGCCAGTCGGTACAAATCCCACGCGCGAGACATCTTTTCCCAGCTCTTTGATTGCATCCACCACGTACACGATCGTTGTACCTGATCCGATCCCCACGAACCGTGGATTTTCTGGAAAATGATTGCGGACGGCTTCTTGAGCAGCAGCCTTTTTGGCAGCCTCGATGTCTAGTGCCATTATGGTTGCTGGACGAGGTGCATGGAGTGTGGAAGGACGGGAGGCAGCGGCTGTTGTGGTGGATGCTGTTCTTGGGGGAAATTGGAAAGGGCCCCTGGCTGTTGGTTTTATTGGTCTTGCTACTGCTCCTCTTCTTGAATAGATCAAGAATTTGTGAATCTTGAGCTGGGAATTGTTCACAGTCTGGAGTAGAGGTCTATCTGTGTACGAGTAAGAATTGTGAAGACAAACATGGTGGAGACAAATAGAAGAAGAAGGTAGCAGGTTAGATCACTCACATGTTTCGCTGCAGTAACACACTATTGATTTCAAGTGCAAGTTCATGCAATTGATTACGTAGGCGGATGAGTGATGACTGAGATGCAGTGGAGTGATAAAAAAAAGTGTGGGTGGTTGATCTGTGACTGGAGGGATGACCTGTAGGTTATGTAGCCAACTGGTTCTATATTGCCCTTTCTGAGGCTGGACGAAATGAAGGCAAAGGAAATAGCGACGAGTTCATCAGTTGGAGCTCGAGACGAACAACCCAGATTTGAACCTCAGGCTGACGATGTTTCGCATCGAGCTACAAGTACGAAACTAGATTCCAGATCTGGATTTGGAGGGGTTCAAGTTTTGTTGCAATGCGGGGTTTGCTGCTAACAACTTGAATTGGTGTCCTTGCCCGGCGAAACATTCTTACGGACCCGGAGTTACTGACAGCTCCTTCGCTGGAATTGTCCGACGCGTCTTGACGCGTCTTGACGCGTTCCCTCGTATTGTTGACTTCCTACCCCGTTGACGCTAATTGGGCTCAGGGTGGAGGGACTCAGTCTTTCTTCGAGAACCACGACATGCATGTTCCCACATCGCCAGCTGAGGGTGTCCTAGCCACATAACGGACCGGAATAATGGACCCTTTTCCCAGCACGACAAACATGCATCACCAATGGCATGTAGTCTCAAATGGTAGAGAGACACCAGACCACTTACGCCCTCAGGAGATAGCATCCATCATCTCCCCAACTTGTCATCTCATCTCCACCGACATCAGATGGCTCACTGACATGTTCCGAAACCACCCTGATTCAACTTCGACCGGAGTAATCCGTCGCACTGCCTTTTGCGTTGACCGACTATGGCATGAACCTCGATGTCACGAGGACCTAAGTAATCTTATTATACTTCTCTCAATTGTCCTTACCCATATTGTCTTTCTCCTTCGCAAGGACCAGTCCCCCTCCTACACGCGACAATTCAACTTGTATGGTTCGAAGGCCGCGATGTCCCGTCAAGTTCGTGATATTTTGCCTTCAAACTGCTAAGCGCCCGACCTGATATGTTGCTGGTTCGTATTAGCCTCATCAGTGAGGCACGTCGCAGAGATGAGCCTGCCTCATACCATTTTCAGGACCAACGGTAGGAAAGGAACCACTGATCCAATATTAGAAGCCCTCGTTCCTCCTTGAACAAACAGACACCATCTCTCCTCGAGCTCGTTTGCACATCTCTTTACACTCGTTCTTTTGCTATGCACTTGAAAATATATAACATTTTTAATCACCTTGGCTCTCTTGTTACTTAGCACTTCTCCACGTCTACCAAGACACACGACATTATTTGTGATCTAGTCCATTATCCATAACGACGAGCAAATGTTACGAGAATTCAGGGCCAGCGTTCTGCTGCTTTTTACTCTGACTTGCCTAGATCGATATGCACAAGCTATCACGCTGCCCTATGTACCACCATCCGCTGAGGTACTGGCGGGCGAGGGAGTCACCGACCAGCCTGTCTTCCTGCTAGCTTCAAGACCTTCAGGCAGCACAATCGATCGGACCGCCTGGACCGTTACTTGTGACAGTGCTCAAGCAGGATTTCCATGTCAGAATGCCATCGATGGTGACCCGAACTCTTTCTGGCACACCCAGTATGATCCTACGAATGCACCACTGCCACATACCATCACTATTGACATGAAGACTACTTACTATGTTAATGGGATTACATACCTACCGTGAGTCCCCCACTACCCGTTCAAACCCAGCAAATTCCAGTCTGGGAGACATCTTTGAAAGCAATTCCTGCTCAGGTAGAAAGCTTCGATGACGCTTAAAGATAGCGATCTCTGGAGCCAAATGCTAACTTGCTTTATTCCAATTCCAGTCGCCAGGATGGTGATTCGAACGGAAATATCGGACGCCACAACGTGCTTGTAAGCACAGATGGAACTAATTTTGGCTCGCCTCTTGCATTTGGTACCTGGCTCGACGATCCCACCCTCAAAGTCGCTGCCTTTGAAACGGTCCCTGCACGGTACATACGTATTCAGGCGGTCTCAGAAGCAGGCAACCGAGGCCCATGGACGTCGGCCGCAGATATCAATGTTTACGCTGCAGTGCTTGGAACTCCGCTCGATCGAACGAACTGGGCTGCCACCTGTGACAGCTTTCAGCCCGGAAATCCATGTTCGAATGCCATCACCAATACAGGGGGAATTTGGCATACTGAATATGACCCAACGAATGCACCGTTACCTCACACTATCACAATAGACATGAAGTCCAGTGTTCGCATCAACACGTTGCGGTATCTACCCCGTCAGGATGGAGGTCTCAATGGGAACATTGGACAATATCAGGTTTTCACGAGTACTGATGGAACAAACTTTGCGAGCGTTGCGACAGGAACCTGGGCGGATGACTCATCGGAAAAAACAGCAGCCTTCACTGCAGTCACAGTACGCTATGTACGTCTTCGTGCCTTGACTGAGGCTGGTAACCGAGGTCCCTGGACTTCTGCCGCTGCAATCAACATATACATCCCTGGCACTTATACACCTCCTCCGACTGGCTTGGGAAAATGGGGTCCAACCATTGATTTCCCCATTGTCCCGGTTGCAGCAGCTATCAATCCCACAAATGGTAGAATACTGACCTGGTCATCATATGCCCCAGATAACTTTGTTGGAGGACCTGGTGGCCTGACAGTGACGGCTACATATGACCCTAATACTCTCATTGTCAGCCAAAGGACCGTCACTCAGACTAACCACGACATGTTCTGTCCTGGAATATCCTTGGACTTCAACGGTCGCCCCATCATTACCGGGGGGAACAATGCTGAGAAAACGAGTATCTACAATCCACTTACAGATGTTTGGTCTCCTGCTGCTGATATGAACATCCCTCGTGGGTATCAGTCTTCTGCAACATGTTCAGATGGTCGAATCTTTACTATTGGAGGATCGTGGAGTGGAGGAGAAGGTGGGAAAAATGGAGAGATCTATGACCCAACAGCAGGAACCTGGACTTTGCTCCCTGGCTGCCCAGTTGCCCCCATGCTTACTGCCGATACTCAAGGTGTGTATCGGTCAGATAACCATGCATGGTTGTTTCCCTGGAAAAATCGTTATGTGTTCCAGGCCGGCCCAAGTAAAGCCATGAATTGGTACAACACCGCGGGGACAGGAGGACAGAATGGCGTCGGGAACCGTGGCACGGATGCCGATGCCATGTGTGGCAATGCGATCATGCATGATGCCGTTGCGGGAAAAATCCTCACACTTGGTGGTTCTCCCAATTACCAGGGCTCTGCGGCCTCGGCAAATGCCAATCTCATCACGATTGGGAATTCAGGCGCAACACCAACAGTGCTAAAGCTCGTTCAGATGTCTTATCAGCGTATCTTTCATAACTCCATTGTCCTGCCGAATGGTCAAGTCTTTATCACTGGTGGTCAGACCTTGGGTCAACCATTCTCTGACCAAGGCGCCGATCTTACCCCAGAGATGTGGAGTCCAACTACCAACCAGTTCCGAAAAATGCTTCCCAATTCAACGCCTCGAACCTATCACAGCGTTGCTCTCTTGCTGTTGGATGGAACCGTCTTCAGTGGAGGTGGTGGTCTATGTGGTGATTGCTCGACGAATCACTTCGATGCACAAATCTACACTCCTCAGTACCTGCTGAATTCCGATGGCACAAATCGTGTCCGACCAGTAATCAATTCTGTCTCCACAACGAGCCTGAGAATCGGCCAGTCACTGACCATTGTAACCGGTTCAGCAGTCACGGACGCTTCGCTGGTCCGGTATGGCTCATCCACCCATACTGTGAACACCGACCAGCGGCGCATCCCACTGACATTGAGACGTACTGCTACCAACACGTACTCGGTCACCATCCCGAGTGATCCTGGTGTTGCTCTGCCGGGCTACTGGATGTTGTTTGTCATGAACACTTCTGGAACGCCCAGTATAGCGAGGACAATAAAGGTTAACCCATGATTCTCGCCCAAAGTTGTTTCCCATCTTGTGTCTTGTTGATGATCTTTTTTTTTCGAAATGGAAATGAGCCATGCATTTGGAATTACCATAAGGTCGATGTTAGATGCATTAGCGCGAATTTGAAGTAGTCCTTCCACATCGTGGATATTCTGACTTGGGAATACCCGTTTGCGTATCGTCTTTGGTGCTGATTCGCAGGGTGCGATTCGCAATTCTCAACAATAAAGGTTAATGAAATTACTAGTCCAAGACAGTCCTGATGGATGTCCAGAGTCGAGTCGGTGTTGTTTCAGTCAGAATCCTTTCGGCAATGTGGCGAACCGTAGTTCCTAGTAGTTTCTATAGACTGAATAGACTAACCATGGTTGTGACATTCGTCATAACAACAAGATAAATCGAATGACGTACGTACAAGAATCCGCTGGAGCTTTCAACTATGCTCCTACTGCAGGTGCATGACCGTTGGGCAAGTGAAAAGATTCTGTTTTGGGGTGTATCGCCTTCTCGGTACTAACATAGTCGAAGAACCCTAGGTCCCGTAGCAAAAGCACATCTTCCGGGCCCTGAGGCGCCTTGCCTCCCACACCAATGAAGTTGTGAGGGAACCCTGGATTGAAGTCATAGCCTTTTTCGATGTCAATAATGTCCTGTGGGTATAATGTCAGGCCTAAAGCTTCAATGTTTGCTCGAAGATGTGCAACAAATCGACCTCCAATGAGTGGGTATATGTACGGTGCCTGGAGACAGTCAGAATGTCAAAGTCATCGTAGAGCATCAGGAGAGTTGGGTCGTCCTCAAGCGAACACTATGCTTCGGATCGAGAAGAGGTGGCGTACCTTCTGCATTGCATACGCGATCGCTACAGAGTAGATCGAAACCTTCCGTCGTTTCGCCACCGTATCGAGTGCTTTCGATACTTGGGCCTCGCGACCTGTCGTGATAAAAGGTGTCTTACGATCTCCTTCTTCTTCAGAAGTATCTGGGGATCTGAAGTATCCTGTTGGACATCAGCAGATCTGCTCAATGTTCTTTCGTGGCTCCTTACCATTGCCCATGACTCCCCAAGCTACGAGGCCCATTCTCTGATCTCGGCACATCGGGATGATATCACTCTCCAAGTCTCGGGCCTGAGCGGAAAGTCGACCTTGGTAGACAGAAAACGGGCGGAGGCCGTGCGCATTTGCATAGCAATTCGCCTTGACCACCACCCATGCTGGTGCATCCGAGATGCCGAAGTAGAGGACCTTTCGCTGCAGAAAAATAGTGTTCAATGACTGCATTAATTCTGGAATGTCTGTAGCGTAGTCCCAATAATGAACAAAGAACTGTTCCGAAGTCAGTCAGCGATAACTCAATGGAGGCAAGGTCATTCGTACTAGATCGACATAATCTGTTTGTAGTCTTTTCAAACTCTGTTCAAGACTCAGATACATGCTTTTGGTACCTGTTCCCCCAAAGTTGCTTTGTTGTACGGTATGATCATGTGCTTTAAATCCCTGCGCGTATTTGGTTGAGATGACAAATTCATCACGGCGTCCAGTCTTCTTCATCCATTCACCTATCCATTCCTCGCTCTGCCCATCTTGGTACGCGTTGGCAGTGTCGACGAAGTTGCCACCAAGGTCATAAAAGGTGTCCAGAAGGTCAAACACGGTTTCTTTGCTGCATTCACCCATTTGAGCTGTCCAATTGGTACCAAAGCCTGTAGAAATCTTAGAATAAAATCAGGCTGCTCGGTCAGATTCAGCGGACTACTCACTCATTCCACCCAAGCAGAACGGACTAACACGGATGGATGCCGTTGGTGACAAGAGTCTGTGTCTACCCAGCAGGCTCTTGGGGTCTGGTGGCGGACGAGGACTCATTTTCTAATCTCCTCGCGCTTCACCTTGGTCCACGTAATTTTGTCCTATCAGTTCAATGTCGTGTGGAGTGAACCATGCCTAGTTCGCCTGTGATACCATTGTCCGGGGTGATTGCAAATATATCAATCTCCATGTTTCTTCAAGTACAATCGTGCTCAAACGTTCTGTTTCTGTGCTTCCCTAGAGTTTGTGATTGACTCGGAGATTTCTCAGACTTGTCGTCGTCAGATCAATTCTTTAGCGCAGCTCTAAATTCGACAGCGGAATGTTTGATTATTGGCCAATTTCCTTCTTCACCTCACGCATTTGCTCCACCATCGGTACCAAGGGACAAAAACCTCTCCACATACTTGACTTTTCCCTTGATGAAAGCTATGGAGGTTCCGAGGAGCGTGTTGAGCCTGCGACATCCTCGAATCACATTTAACGAAGAAGGTTCTGCAGTAGAAGAAAGGAAGAAATTAAAGTTGTCGGACCTTCCGAAGGGCAACTCACGGGCGTGATATGTGACTGGACTTTCTGTGGCGCAGAATATTCAGCTCGCCCGGATACGAGAGAGCTTTGGATGTTCCGGAGGCGGCAACAGAACTCAGAGCCTGGGAAGCCCTGTGAAGGGGTTCAATCAGCAGGAGGCCATCAGAGGAGCCCAGAGCAGGACTTCATTCCTAGATTCCTCTGTTCTATTCCCCAAAGATTCATTATAAATTCCATGGGGTCTGCTAAGTCTTGGGCACCACTCTTTCTGGACAATGACTCTTCACCTTATATGTTGAATCCTATGAGGAATTTTCATGAAAAATAAAAAAAAAGCGATGATGGTTCCCAGTGACGACAAAGTGATGCCTGCGCCAGACCACGTTGAGAACAATATGCAAGACAGTTCGCCTGTCGTTGAGCAGAAGATCACCAAAGTCATGATTTGCTTCGCGATTTTCATTTTTCTCAGTGGCTGGATTGCCAACTTCGATCTGGGCTACGGGGGTACAGTACTTTTCATGGAACCTGTAAGTATCTTCTCAGCACGACTCTAATCCCATCCCGCAATGTCTGGCTTTTGCTCGATATTATGCTCCATACTAGAAAAGTATTCTTACACCACTGTAGTTCAACAGAGCATTCGGCAAGTGCCATGAGCACCCTGACCCTCAGAGCGGCGATATGGTCAATGTCTGCCAGTTGACTGCTTTGCAACAATCTTTGACAAGTCTGACCTCGCTCTTCACTGCTGTTGGGGGTGTTCTGTCTGGGCTCCTTTGCTCATACCTTGGACGCCGGGTGTCTCTGCAGCTCGGAAGCTTGATCGTGGCAACTGCTGCAGCGGGCATGCTAGGCACCTCAGGTAGCTACTTGAACTACATGGTGTGCAAATCCATCAACGGTCTTGGTCTTGGCATACTCTACGCCACGACGATTGTTTACGGAGTGGAATGCATCGTGCCCCGAAAGCGTGGCCTGTTACTCTCGCTGTTCACTGTCGGCCTCGCTTCAGGCAACGCTGGCGCTGCGGCTGTCTGTGCAGGGTCTGCAAACCTCAAGGACGACTGGGCATGGAAAACTCCTATCATTTGCCAAATTCCACTTAGCCTCCTACTCAGCGGAGGAGTCCTTCTGTTCCCCGAGTCTCCTCGATGGCTGTTATTGAAGGCTAAAAAAGTCAAAGCTCGACAGGCACTGGGTCAATTCTATGAACAGGACCCTAACTCAGAAGTTATCACAGCTCAAATCATTGAGATAGAGGCATATCTTGATTTTGAGAAGGCCACATCCTCATCATCATCGTGGACACAATTGTTCAACAAGCGGAATATCCGTCGTACCTTGACATCCGCATTGATCCTGGTGGGGACAATTCTAACAGGCCTTCAATTCGTTGCACCATACACGGCACTATTTCTTGGTGGTCTAGGTATCTCCAGTCCCTTCCTCATTACTGCAGTCATTGCGCTTTGCTTTACTGCTGGTTCACTCATCGGAGGACTGAGTATCGAATATGGCGGCAGACGATGGGCAATGCTTGTCGGCTACAGCATTCTTGGATCTTGTATGCTCATCTTTTCGGCCGTTAGTACCATTTTAGGAGCCACGAGTTCCGTTGCACAAAAGGTCCTAGTCGCGTGCCTTTGCATTTGGGGATTCTCTTTCTCCGGTTTTATCGCACCCAGTGGCTGGGTGGGTTCGACGGAGATGCACAGTATTCGGCTCCGCGACTATGGCCAGGCGTTCACTGTCAACGTGAACCAAATTTTCGGGTTCGGTGCAACATTCTGGACTCCTTATATGATTAGCAAGGACTATGGTAACATGGGCACTAATGTGGGGTATTTCTACTTTGCGTTGACGGTGGTCGTACTGGTCCTGGTGTTCTTCTTTGTGCCTGAAACTGCACGCTTGAAGTTGGAACAGATTGATGATTATTTTGACTCAGGTGTGCCGCCACGAAAGACCTCCATGAAGCGCAATGTTGAGCTTGCCAAAAGCAATGTTCTCGAAGTAGGGGCCACTACATCGGAGGTGGAGAGAGCTGCATCAACGAGAAAAATGGCCGATGGGTAAACACCGAGTGTGTGATGGGCCGCTGGAGGTGTAAATTTCTCAAGTATATGTCGTGGGTTCAAGTAGAGAGCTCGAGTAGGACCTCGACTGACATGAGTGATGCGTTCCGAAGGAGTAAAAATATTGGCACAAACTTCACCTAAGGATGGACGATTGTACATGAGGACGTCTAATCCTACTTCCATTGCATAAAGCGAAATATTGCACTACCTGTAGACTGTAGAATGCCTTCTTGGAGTTAGTTTCTGCTCGAGCCCACCCAGCTACTGAAAGACGATATTCAACCAGGACAAATCATTTGGATCGAAAGCCGCATTGAAATCTGCTGCTGTCGGGATGGGGTTTTCTCCATCTCCTCGGCCGTTAGAGGCTCGAGAGATCCAGGGATCCGGCGGATCGACTTGCGGAAAGTAAGTAGCGCTCATGAACTGTTCTTCCGTTGAGAATTCCATGTTATGACTGAGCGCCTCCGCAGGTAGAGGGTATAACATATTATCGTAAGATTGTGGCCTTTGGAAGTTCTTCGAATATTGAGAAGCCACAGCATCGGCCAGCACAAGCAATGTAGTGAGTAGTCGCTGTATTGACTTGCTATAGCGGCCATAATTACTGATCAGCTCTACTGCCCTGGACCACGTCGCAGCGATCGAGTCTTCTGCTACGTCCGCGAGGATAGATGGGCTCAGACGTGCAGCTATCAGAATGGTCGCAGATTTGTACAGAAACAGTATATTGTACCACCAAGGTGCAACAAAACCTATCTCTCCACCAAGGACGGCTTTCTCAGAGTATAGTAGGTCGATGGACCGTTGTGCAGCTCTCACGCAGTCGATTGAACATTGAACGTTGATGCTGTAAGTCAGTCTGCTTTTGAAGAACTTGCTGTAGTTCTCCTTGCGAAGATCATTAATAATCAACTCCGACAAGATGGGCCTAAACAACAATATTCGAACATATAGGCTCCTATTAAGACGTTAGTAGGTGTCAATGCGACACGTCGTGTTCTCGAAGAGTGGGCTACAGACCATTGTTGTAGGACAACAGCTTGCCGGTAAAGCATGGCTTCAATTCCTAGTTTTCCAGGCCGGCTTCCAACGCAGAGATGGGGAGGAATGCTCTCCTCCCATCTCTGCAAGCGTCCTTCCAAGTCGAGGATAGGCACATAAGCACTGAATGCTGTAGAGGTAATAGAAGTCCCCCCTGTGACTGCTGCTTGATTCTGTTGTTTGTTACCATAGTGAAAATGCAGGATCACGTCGTGTAAGATCTCTGCAAGGTCGAGGAAACAAGTGCTAAAGTCCACCAACGAGGGTCGTTTCGAAGTTTTGAGATTATACTTGCTATTAAGAGAACTGGGCACCCATTCGGATCCGAAAGCTTCAGGGCGCGGTACTCCATCTGCTGCCCATGCCCCAATCATGCAAGGCCTACCATAAGCAGTAGATGATATTCTGTCAATCAGAATGCAACCGTGCCAAACTCTTCGTAGTAGCTCCCTGGTTCTGCTATCGCATACTAATTCACTTGTGCCAGGCAAATGGAGTCCTAAGCTCTGTGCGGTGCGAATGGCGAGTCCAACATAAAGCCAGGTATGATGGGATTGCTGTGTACTAAGAAAGTATTGTCCTAGCAACAGGTAGGACTGGACAGAGCGGATCGAGCCCACCTCAAGGATATGCATTAGCCTCCTTGCTTTTTCATAATACTTAGTGGCTAGTGCTGCTCGACTATCCAACGGGACTGATATGTCAATTTGGCTGGACAATGCTAAAATGATGTGAAGAAGACACATGAAAGATTCTGCCAGAGCGTGCGAATCTCTGGCTCTCCATAAATCATCATAGTCGGCTTGAAACTGTTCCTTGTCTAGAAATGGGCTGAATGGATGCATATGATTCCAGTACAAGGTCATCAAACTGTCGGCTTCATGTCGCGGTGGTAGGACATAGTCGAGTGATTGCTTCGTAGTCTCAAAATCAGGTATCAGCCGAGGGCAAGTATCATGCGTAGCGTTGAAAGCAGATGCTGAAGACCACAAGTCTCCCTCCAGCTTCTGCTTCACGATTTTTTGTACAGTGCGCATGAAAGTTCCGGCACTAGAGCTGCCAAAGAAAGTGCCCATGCTACTGTCTGACTCTGCTGCCCCGATGATGGCATAGGTTGAGACATCATTGGTTGGAGATGTCTGTTCGCCTTCGTCTATGTGCTTGTTCTATCTCTTATCTGTCAGAACATAGAGTGTTTATCTTAAAATGAAAACGGTGGTTAAGATTGCAACAGAGCTTCGTACACAGCCAGTGATATTGGTGTTCCACGACCTGATCACCTCAAAACAAGGTTGAGGACTCACCTCGCTTGAAGTCGAGTCGTCTAGAGCATCTGGGAAAGGCCGCTCATTTTCGAGTCGCTTAATTTTGTCCTCAAGGATCTTGAATTTGTCCATGGCGATATGCGGGAGGGTTTCTCGTACATCTTCATTCCACGAGCATTTTGTGCCTGCCTTCGCTCTTCGACGACAGGGCCCGCATACTGTGTAAAATGCTTAGCTTGACAGACATTTTCGAAGATTGGATATTCGTACAGGGATAGTCTCCATCGCACTTAGACTGTGATCATTGGTAGTATTCAGCGACGTGCGATGCTAAAACAGAGCTTACCTTTCTACGTCGGCATGTATTGCAGGCAACAATTACCTTTTGCCGTTTGCGCCTGGGGCCTTCCATCGCTTGAGGATACACTCGAAAACAGACATCACCAGGTCAGTCAAAGCAAAATCCTGGCAACCTTCAATCATGATGCTGAGCTCTCTTCCGACCCTGCCTTCCGACTCTTACACTCATTCTGTGGCGCTTCTTAGCATCAGCCATAGCTTCTCCAGACTCAAATGGCGATATCATAAATCCGGGCCAATCAGAAAACGGTCCGTATTCCGATTTTCTGACGTTTTCTACGGAACTGCCGAGTTTCGCGGATAGTCCGACGTTGAGCCTAGAAAACCATCATCTGGTCCTAGGATAAGGAAAAAACGACGAGGGTTATGATACGGCTATACCTCTGATTTGGACTTTGAATTTCGAAATGCCTTGTCGTCGCATCGATTATTGCACCAGGTCTTCGGACTTTACTATTAAAAGCGAACAGCTTCTCGGACCTTGACCCATCAATTCCCGGGACTAGTATGGATTCATCTGAGGTAGGGAGTGAAGGAGATGTCCTCTCTCTAATCCTATATGAAGTGAGGATATATGGACAGATAAGTCTCTCTCAGCCACTAAACAGACTCCTTGTTTTACACTTCCAAATTTGCTCGTGATACTTGTCTGGAATTCGGATTTTCGAGGAGACTTTAGTGCAATCACTAAACAGGAACAGCCGCAATCGAAAGGACTACCACAAGACGGAAGCTTAGAACCATGCCTGACTCTGCAGGAAAACCATCTAATATCGAGACTCGCCTCTTCATCAACGGTGACTTTGTGCCATCAATCTCTGGCCAAACATTCGACGTTATCAACCCCGCCACAGAGCAACTTGCAGCCTCTGTGTATGAGGCTTCGCCGGAGGACGTTGATCGGGCTGTCAAAGCTGCAAAAGATGCATTCCCAGCCTGGGCTGCCCTCGATGCCAGTAAAAGAGGCGATTTCATCCTGAAATTGGCAGAAGCAATCGAACAGAATCTTGAAGAGATTGGCTACCTGGAAGCTGTGACAATGGGAAAGCCTTACCTCAAACCGCCTTATAACTGTAAGCTTGTGCAAATCTTGACTTTTGACCTATAGAATCAGCTAACTCTTGCCGAACACAGGGGTCGGCCATCATACTGTTGAAGGCCTAAAATTTTTCGCTTCTTTAGCCACAGCAGTTGCCGGCGAGACCTCTCTCAACACAAACGGCTTCGTCAACTTGTCATTCAGACAGCCGTACGGTGTTACAGCGGCGATTATCCCGTGGAATGGACCTTCCTTCATGCTTTGCAATAAAATTGGGCCGAGTTTAGTAGCTGGAAACACAATGGTGCTAAAAACATCCGAGAAGTCGCCGCTATCAGCACTTACAATCGCCAGGCTGTGCCAGGAAATTGGCCTACCAAAAGGAGTACTAAATATTCTAAGCGGTTTCGGTCGTCCGTGCGGTGAGGCTTTAGCTAAGCACATGGACGTCCGTAAGATCTCCTTTACAGGCTCTGTTCCAACGGGTAAAGCGATTAAGAAGGCCGCGGCAGAGTCTAACCTCAAAAATGTGACATTAGAGCTAGGAGGGAAGAGCCCACTCGTGATCTTTGACGATGCGGATCTAGAGCAGGCAATCCCAGCCGCCGCCGTGTCAGCGGTGGTGAATTCAGGACAGGGATGTATCCTATCCACCAGATTATACGTTCACGAAAAAATCTTCGACAGGTTCCTGGATGGACTGAAGGTGGCGATGACAAAGATTGGTGGCGAGGTTAATGATCCAACGATGGAAGCAACAAGCAGAGGGCCACAAGCGGATAAGATACAATTTGATCGCATTATGGGCTACTTACAGTATGCCAAAGACCAAAAGCTCGATATCGTACTAGGTGGTGGTCGAGCAAGAGAGCCCGGATACTTTATCGATCCGACAATCATCGTCAATGCGCCAGAATATTCACGAGTTATGAAGGAAGAGATTTTCGGGCCTGTAGTATGCGTGAATAGCTTCAAGGACGAGGAGGATGTCATTCGGCGATCCAACGACAGCATTTTTGGACTGTATGCCAGCATTTTCACGCGAGATATCTCTCGTGCACTACGGATCGCAATGCAGTTTGAAGCCGGTAGTGTTGCCATCAATGCTACCTCACCACTCACAGCATTTGATATGCCCATGGGAGGTTGGAAGCAGAGTGGCGACGGCAGAGAATTCTCCCGCCGTGCCTGGGAGTCGTGGATGGAACAGAAGACTGTTTACATTAAGCTGTGATCAACGTTGGTCTGAGTGTGCAATCTAGGTCATCGAGCTGTCTGTACTCCCAGATCCAGATCCGCGGAATTGGACGATAGTTAATTCCATTAAAGGGAGTTCGGCCCCTTCACGCCTTTCATCACTCGAAGTAGTCAATACCAAGATAGTCAACCATGTGCTCTTCCGAATTAGCTCCACATGTGCAATCACACCTCAATTTACTTCCAAGGCTAACTATGTGTTGTGTCCATAGTCATGGATAGTTTAAGAAATGAAATTGGGTTCAAAGACTCCCTTCGGCTACCTGCCAATGCGTTTTTCTAGATGATGATCCACGTCCTATACCTATGCCTCCAGCAACTTGACTAAGTGTTCCATTTCTTGTCCGTCTGACTACGGAAGAGCGATAGCTGACACTGGAGTCAATTTACTCGCCGCTCACCAAGTTACCTAGGCATAGGACCGTCTAATCTGTCGATCTGGTTCGTTCAATCAGTGAAATAGTTCCTGAAGCCCGCCCAGCGCTGGACCTTGAATTCTTCACTTACATGCACGTGTCAATGGACCCATCAAACCCTTCTCCTCAATCTGATCCCACCTAGAATACTTTCTGACCTTGTCATCCTGTTCCTCCGTTCGTACCTCGACGGTGTATTCCGGCGTGAAAACGCCCCACTGTGCGCTAGGCTGGTATGGTGCCCAGGGAGCCTCACCATGCGCAAAGCGTAGATAGGTATCTGCCACGACATTGCCAAATTGGTGATCTTGCTCGTCGAGCTCGTCATGCATATTGAGGAAAACGTATTGCAAATCGAGCGCGTGAAATGACTTGCCTGGAAAACCTTTCTGAATCTTGGAGGGCTAGAATCCGTCAGATGATTCAAACAAGTAATGGCCAAGTTCGCCAACCTACCAGGTCGAAATGATACCCATATGAGTCTACGAGAGTAGAAGCCTGCAGAGTCCTCCGTTGCGGATAACCGAATGAAATCTCCCCAAATAATGTCTTCATGAGATTGATTCTCATGGCCAGATCTGCCTCCGGTGTGATATCGTACGAATCCAGAATCCATGTCGCATCCTCTTTGCTCATTTCACGGCAAAGATGGTCCATGAACCAGGCGTAATCCCTCGATTCGTTCATCGGTCTGATGAAGATCTCGCCCTCGTCCCTCACATCTCCTACCATGAACGTCTTGAGCCACGAGGGAGGAGTGTGATACTTCTCTGGGTCCGTCGGTGCCAGGTGGAAGACCCCATCATCGCAAGGACTAGAAGCCACATTAGGCACAGCATAGATGGCGAATGTTGCATCAGCCAAGTCGAGCTCTGGCACCGCCCTCAATTTGTCGAGGGCTTGTGGATCAGAACTAGAAATATTGAAGTGCTTCAACGCCCTTTGGTAGATTTTCTCGTGGTCGTCGAGCGTCATAGTTGGGATTGTATGCTCCACGCCGGACATGCATATAGCGCGGTGAAATACTGGAGGCTCTCGAGCCCGAAGTTGGTGGCCAATGGAGATACCACCTGCTGAAAGACCATACGCGGTGACATTGGTCGGATCGCCACCAAGGGCCGCCACATACTTTTGTACCCATTTTAAGGCGACCTGCTGATCTGTGAGACCCCAATTACCCACACCCTCCAATCCATCTCGTTTCATGTCCTCGAGGATATCCTTTGAAGCCAGAAACCCTCCTAGGCCTACCCGGTAGTTCATGTTGATAGCGACAACAGGCTTGCCAATAGCGATTGACCTGGAGACAAAGTTGACGCCGTCGAAAATTGAGCGGTTGCCACCACCAAAAACAAGCCTTGGATAGAATATTAGTCCTTCATTTGTTCGTTACATACATTATGAGTACTCACGAGCCGCCATGGATATAAAACATGACCGGCCACGATCCAGAGTCGGTGGTATCTGCTGGCGGTAGGACAATGTTCAAAATCAGACAGGTTGCCTCATCTTCGACAGGTTCTGTCAAATGAGCGAACGTGTCAATGGGAGTCAAATCACCCGTTTCCCGAAATTCAGGAGGGTTGGGTGCCTGGGTTCTGGATAGCGGCTTTCAATTAGCGAAAGAAACGAAATGTCATTTACAGGGACGGTCTACCCCAAGTCTCGGCCATCATGACTATCGTTGGGCCACGAAGTCGCCAACTTGGACCGTGTCCAACGTTTGGCCAGAGTGGCATATGGCACACCTAAGAATTGACGAACACCATTAGCATAGATGAGGCCTTTCATGCGACCCAGACCCGGGATGTCCTGCTCGACTTCTCCCACTGGGGACTGAGTGGTGCGTACTGTCCGGCGAGTCATCTTATCTGATCTGCACTTTCTACCAAGAGTATAAATAAATCATGACCTGCCGAGGACATGCTCCGTATGTATAGAGACCAAGCCCGGGATATTAGATAACGGCGGGTCTGCTGGTCGTCCCACTCTCTCCTCCGCCTTGCACTAGTTAAACTAACCAAAAGCGGGCAGAACTTACGCTGTGGACTACGAAATGCTTCTAAGAACGATTGCGGCATGTTACCCGCCAATAGAATTGCCATTTAGCATTTTATCTACTCATATCCTCTGCGTGAGTCATGGCTCGAGCACCGAGCCGCCAATGGAAGACCTAGATCCCACTGCTACCGTATTCAGCCCTGATGATAGAGCTTCGAGCAAGTTGTTGTGGACATGAGCACCTGCTTTAACAAGCCCATCATATCAGAAACGGGGTTAAGCTACACAACTTGAGAAACCGGAAGGAATACATTGCTACGTATTTCGATCAGCGTGCGAGTAGAGCACCTCGCTACTTGACCAATTGTACCCGGGTCTTTCATTCTCAAGGATGATGGGTGTCAGAGATTCGATTATCCAGCGCTGGGGGGAGGTCTGCAAGCTGATGCGAAGTGGCTGCGCGATCGAGTGATGGAAATATTATTAAATATCAATTTTAAGGATACCGAGGCTTCATCCCCATCTAGACAGCCCTGCAGGGGTATCTTGCAGTACCATTGCCTGAATTGCTGTCGGGACCACAGCTGGATGGAAACCAATTCCACACCTGGCACTTATACCACTAGAGTGCTAATCTATCTACTGTACCTTTTCCTGGTTGGACTAGGAAAACGAACATCAATCGCAAACATCAGGCCGTGGCTTGATCCTAACCAAAGAGATGTGACCATAATCTGGTGATTTCATTTGATGATGGAGCATATCGGTCGTGCTCGGTGCTGCATTTAACCTCGGCTGTAGGCTTTGACGGCAGATGCCATCCTGTTGTAGCGGTCGGCAGTTATCACACGTGCCCTCTTTCCGAATATTATCATGGGGATGAATAAAAGCTGAATGACGAAGCACAGGACGCCCATGGTGATGAAAGAGTTGCGCAGACCCTCAGCTGCAAACCATGGCTCAAGAGCGAATAGTAGGATGACGCTGAAGATGTTGCGAACAAAGGAAATGCTGACAAAAGCTTCTCCAATAACCTAGGTCAAAAGTAAGCATTCAATGTTACCGAGAGATCAATTCGATGTCCTACCCCCGAATAACTGTCGATTGCGTAAGTGGTACTATTGAGTCCCATGCCCCAGCCTAGTCCATATATCAGTGTACCGACTGTACACTTCGCCCAGTGAGCGTACTGTAGTTTGGTGTCAGTAGGTGATGGAGAAGCACAATGTTTGCAGATCATTTGGGTAACTCACTTCAGAAAGATAAATCCCGAAAACCAAGAAGCCCGCAGTAGATACAATACAGGGTACAATCTGAGCGTAGAGTCGCATCTCCGGCTCGTAGATACCATTGTTGCGTTTGGAAAAATAGACAATCATCTTATCGCCAACATATCCGCCAACCGCCAAGCCTATAACAAGGCCGATGAAAGGGGCGAGCATCAAAAGGCCCATCTGGGTTTCGTTGAAGTTCCATGGCTCATAAGGCATAATGATGGCCTGCGCAGAAGTGAATACAGCGCACCATGCCAAGATGAAGCCGTACTGAATGGCCGAAAATAACACCGCCGGCAGACAAAAGAGTACTTCTACCGGCCGATAGAATAGTTGCCAGATATTCACCCTGGTAGGAGTAATCAATCGCATGCGCTGTCGATAGGAATTGACGGTATAGTTAGGGGTGTCGGAGAGAGTTTGTCTCAATGGTTGAGGCTGAGACAAATCGAGCGTAACTTCTCCCTTCAGTGAGGCAGAAACCGGAGTTGTTTGCTCGAGGTCGTTCTGAGGTTCCAGAACAGATTGTCCAAACGAGTTTTCCACATACTTGCTCTCCTCGAAGAAAATCAAGAAGCAGAAGAAGATCACGGTATTGACGATTGCCAATGTCCAGTACGACCATCTCCAGCCCTGGCTAGCCGCCTGAGCACCCGCTGCCAGAGGTACTAGGAAAGACTTTGAAGGTCAGCGTTTCGCCAAAAGGGTAGCTCTCGCCAGGCAGCTTTGACTCACCCCGATAGTCGCTGCAACGGAATATGTTGCATACATTCTACTGCGCTGATGGATGAAGAAGAGGTCGACGATCTAAGATCCGTCAGTATATTGATAAATCCTTTATTCTGGACCTTTCCTGCACTTACAGTCATCTGCACAATAGTCTCGTTAGTGGAGCCAGCCAGCCCGCAGATAAGGTTGGTTGCGTAGAGGCCTTTCACGGAGTCGATTCTTGCAGTCCCGAAGCAAACTCCAGCCATGATAGCGGTTGAGACCAAGTAGACTGGACGTCGTCCGTATTTGATCGCGAAGGGGATGAAAAGTAGACCACCGCATGCAGTACCGGCATAGTTTATAGCCAGCGCGATATTCAGCTCGTTGTAAGTCACATTCAGGTCTGGCACAAGCTCCTGCCAAAACACGGTTTGAATTGACAGCCTGTACAGCCACGCCATCAGCCTCAACGGTGCATTTGCCAGAACTTCCACGACTCACTGGCTGAAGATGACAACCGTGACGACAAATGTCAGAGAAAAGTTGATCAACTTGCGTATCTTTGACCAGTTCTGTAGGCAAAGCTCATGTTAGATCCGTTCCTGCTGTCCTGCAGCCAAAGAAGTATTGAAGATAAGGGTAGCAGCCTACCAAGGGATCATTTGGATCCGACGTCGGAGTGGGCAACAGCTCAATGGTGCTCTCTTCTCCTGAAGCGTAGTGGATTAGCAGATATTTTGGCAGCAAGTAATGAGCATACTATGAGAAAGCTGCACTGTGCCCGGTGGAAAAGCACAAGAACCTTGATTGGCCATGATGCTGCCGTCAACGTCTGTCGTGCACGAAAGGCTGTGGTTTGAGATTTGGACTCGATGAATTGATGGACAGTGTTTCCTGGCTTTACAAAACAGACAGACTGAGCAGGAGGGACACTTGAGTCTCAGGTCTTGAATTGAAGTTTTGGAAATCTCGATGCAAAGGAGGTTTGATATAGATCAGGTTCGTTGCTCGGACCATAGATATGGGTTGACCCTGCGTGATTGGCGGAACTCGGGCATGTTCTGAAGTGGCACGCTGCACTTGGGAGATAATGCAAACGAGGAACGATTCGAGTCCGTGGGCTTGGCCGGAGCCCCAAAGAGCATCTCAGCAGGCTCTAGTTAAAGCCCCACACTTTTGCCTTCGCCTATCGAACAAGATGATTGGCGGAAGATGTTACTTTAGATGGATAAATTTGCCGCGCAATATGTGGTGTGGCCTCGACGCGAGGTGACAAGGTTGAGGATTTGAGGTACCAAAGCTTGTAGCATCAAAAAGAGGCCATTGCCGTCGCCGACAAAATTGCTCCAAACACCCGCCAATTGGATGTTGTAGGTGTACACATCTATTCCTTCACCCGTGTATCGTTGGCACACGTGCTCTGTCCTCCGCGGTTGGATACTTGATTCTTTGGGCCCAGCGAGCCCGGGCTCTGATCCTTATAGTGTGCTGTTTGACCGTCGTCCGAAATTGAATTGTCGTTCTATGGAGCTTCTTGGAGAAACAGTTCACCGTGATGTCGACAATACTCAGGAGTGTGCAGTCCTCAGCATTCCCTAAGCCCTTGGTCAAGATACATCAACTGAACTCTCGTGAGTGTAACATTATCCTGCTCTTCTGAACAATGACCTAGATGTTCGGTTTACAGACACAATTTCCTGCTAATCACGGATGGCATTAGGAAGTCCAGAGATTCCCCTGGCCGCACGAACCCTGAGTCTCTCATTTTCTGCAGACCCTTTGATATCATGGTTGTATCGTCCTGACGCCGATCCATGGGGGCGACTGAACGCTGAGAACCAGCGATGGCAGATACAACGTGTAAAGTATAATTCTGTCGCTCGCATGGTCGTAGCAGCCATGGGACGTCTCGAGAGCACGACAGATGAATGTCTCGGGATGATGATAGCGTATCCTCCACAATCATATCACTGGTCTTGGTGGCTCTCACCATGGCGAATATTGCAGTCGGTGATGCTCTCAATTGCACAAGTCTTCGACCACCCACAACAGCAATCGATCGATCCAGAGGTTGTCGTTCCCGCTTCTCAGTTTAAGTGAAGTCGCCGCTAATTCTACGTCACAGAGAGCCAAGATCATGTATGCCAGTCATGCAAAGAGCATGAAGGAGCATGTGCTTAGACGAGATCAATTTTGGTACTTGGAGGTAATTGCGGTTCACCCGGACGCCCAAGGCATGGGAGTAGGCCGTCAGATGATGGACTGGCTATTTGATAGAATTGGAAACAAGTCCTGTATACTGGAGTGCACAGCAGAGGCTAACGTCGCCATATACGAGCGATTTGGATTTCATGTTGTGGAAATTGTTGATCTGGAAGATAAACAAGGATCAACCAGGGAATGGGTGATGGTCCGGAACGGCACCAGATAGATAGAAGATCCGTACTGACGGGGATCCGAGTAATCTAGCGTTATGCCGATCGATATATCAATGTAAGGAGTGACTTGACCTCGACCATAGGGGTGGAAGATTATCGTGGTGGTTAGGCAAGTGATAGTCAAGATTGTGAGGCGAAGCGAGGCATGTTATGAATTTCGACCTGCCGAGCTCGAAAAGGTGGATCACTCACCTATCTTCTTGCCATATGGACCGAGAACCTTATCCTCCGTATTCGAGCACTTGACATTTCCCAAAGTCAAACATAACCGCGGTGGATATGCAGGGTCTTGTTCTTCGTAAGATCATCGAGGACACCACCACAAGGAGATCCAGCCAGGCCTGACTTCTTTGATTGGCGGTAAACTTGCCCCGATTCATGTTAGAGCACCATAGAGTTCCGCCCAGAAAGTCACTTGAGAGACCTTTGTTCAATCAGGCAACAATTGGAATTGGTAGTGGCGTGTTGCGGCTGACCCAAGCTTACGAAAAGCTCTTCCCCGCGGCAGTGTTAGCGAAGAAAAGGCGGAGGAGGCGCATTGCAAGGGTTCGAGCTATGTTCCTTATCTGAGAAAACTTCCGTGCTTCATAATTGACCAAAGTCTGGAATCTGGACGCGCTGTTTTCTCAAAGATAGGTTCTCCAGTGCCAAGACCCTAAGGCGTCCTCGACACGTGACCGGACAAATCCGTATTTTATCATGCTGAACCCCCTTCACTACGATCTCTCGACCTCCCCACAGTCCTGCTTCCTGGCATACGATCCTGAACCACAACCTCCTCATGTTGCATCACCTGTGAGCTTCTGCCTGCACATGGATCCGCGTGGACGCAATGAGGTCCAAAGGTGGCTGCCATACTTGCAGGTCTAAACATCGCAAGTGCGATGAACAACGACCCAATTGTCAAAATTGTACAGCGAGAAAACTGGTATGTGGAGGGTACAGGAGAGCGTTACGTTGGAACCCCGTGGGATCTTCATCCCAAAAGAAAAGGGCTGTGTCACCAGTGTCTCAGGATCGACCAACTGAGCGCGACAGACCTCCTGTAACCCATGACAGAAGGCCGGAAAACGCATCTGAAAGCAGCACTAACACTACGGTGAGTTGACCTTGGTCGCTGTTCTTCAAGGCGCGATACCAACGACGCAAAAGCTTCTCCTCCAATCTCTGATGTTTTAGGCTGATGCCCTTATCGCGGCTAGTGGAATGAGATTGTCTTTGCAGTGGCCGACCATGATGCCACGACAGAACAAGAACGGCGTATCAGTTGCTTCGACCAATTGTTGGACTCTGCATTGTGTGATCGTTCAGAGCGTGAAAGCTTCGAAAAATGTTTGTCCGGGAGTTTCCCGTTGCTCACTTACACCACTGATGGCTCATCCGTCCAGGGCTCGAGTCCGGTGCGCGGCGTTTCTCTGGAGTCTTACCAAAAGAGAATCGCTTACGCCAGCTTGCAGGTTCGTCATACGAATCTTCGGTAGCCCTTGTAAGGATAGCCATAGCCCTGCAGACTTTAATAGACGAAGGTGCAAGCGCTCGATTCTTGGGCCGATATCAGCGCGCCTTGGCAGCATTTCGTAATGAATTGAACACGAAAAACAACCAGCTCATCCCAGGTACCGTCTTGGCTGGAATTCAACTGTGTACAGTAGAGGTATGTTTCCTACATTGGTCAAGCGGCCAATTGCCTGGGGTGGGTCTTTGACTGTGAGTGATAGATCCTCTTGGGTTCGAAATGGACCTCGAATTTTGACGGTATCTCCCGATTAGTGGCATCTAGTTCTTCGGAATTCTTGAGATCGATACCTCTGTCGGCTTCAATTCCCATTGTTGAAACCCTGAGCCTCTTCGACCTGCCAGTTTTTGTGCTTGGACGGACGACTCCGCCTCGACAAATATGGTCCCGATACCGATCTGGCAAGCTGATCGCAAAGGCCGCACAGCATGAATCTGATTCGATTGAAGGAGTTAGTGGACTGCCTAAGACCCTAATCGACCTGCTGGCCGAGGAGAACAGCCTGGAATCTGCCGAGAAGTTGTGGCATTGGACAGGGTATGCAGGGTCGCCGCTTCAATGTCAACTGTGGGAAGCCTATCGCTTTGCGGGTATCTTGGACATCAGAAAGCGCAGCCTCGGTCGCTTTTCTGCCACATGTAAATTCTGACTCCCACCCCTGTGTGTTTGACTGACGTTTGTTACGCCAAAGCGTCGGCCCTGGACAATATCTCAAATTTCGAGCACATGATTGTTGCCAGAGCAATCAGTGCACTATATGCCATCTATACCGGGCTCTTTGACGGTCCACAGACGACTGAGGAATGGTTTGTCGCCTACGCTGTCAACTATCCTCTCTTCATTGTCGCCTCGGTCGTGCTTGGTTCGAAGGATGGCAAGTATGGAACAAATGGCGAAGTGATCTTGAACGATTGGTTTGGACGCCTAAGGTCTCTGCACAGGAGTGCCAACCTTGCCCACATCGAAGAAATAGCTAGAATCATGGGGGAAACGAGGCGGAACGGTCTGAAGATCGATACGCCAGATCAGATTGCGTACGCGAAGGGCTGGGAAGTTTTCTTACTTTAGAGGTAATTTACTCCTCGGGGAGTCGTCAAGAGAGTATGAAGCAACCGTTGTCTATCAAGGCGATCCTTATCAGCACGCGAGAGGCCACATTACACACTAGTGGAGGCTTATAGGTTTACTCAAGGCACATTTTATACGCCATTACGCCGTTAAGTAGCGTGATGTACTCGTACGGATACTCGAAATAACGATTATCTATTAAATTGACAGCGATGTGGTCCCTGTCGCAATCGACCAACTTGAAAGAATGACCCTCAAGACAGGGGTTGAAACTCCGTCCCCTCCTGGTCTTGTCGATTCTAGAACAGCTGTATTTATATGGTATCTTTGCCATTGACTGGGCTCTGTTCGACTCTAATCGAACAACATTCTTTCTTGGATTGTTGCGGTTGTGTGGTCAAAACTTGCGTGGTGCAACCTGGGCTCATAACTGCCAGCCGCAGCCAATACTCTCTCAAACGGATGGTTCAATGTCTGATTCCTTTTCTCCTTATGGAGCATATTCTAATGCGCATATTAATTCCCCCTTGTGGCAATCTAGCGTCTGGAGCCATACAGTACTTTCCACCCCGTTCATCTCATGCCCACTGTGCAATCAGTCTATACACTGTTGTGTCTTTGCATCTGTTTACCTGTAAGTACGTATGCATGATAAGTCCCAGCCGTCACATCTCCCTACAGCACTACTTTCCCTCTTCTCTCATCTTCTTTACTCTCTTTGCCCCAGGTTCATCCAGCGTTGCTCGCTTCCTTGCTTTTGGTTTCAGAAAGAGGTATATTCGTGCCATCGTGTATTGCTTCATTCCGAACGACATCAAAGCTGGAGAATAGTAACACGAAATCCTTCGGACAGAGGCTTAGTGCAGGATCGCCGTCGGAGGCCATACTACCATTTGTGCCATCAGCTATCGTGTCGGCACTGACTTCACGCTAGTCCTCGGTCGTGTCCATGTCCTTATCATCAGCGTCTTCGTGGCCCGTGTGGCGTTTGGTCGTTTCAATCTTATTCTGACCCAAGCCTCGCATTGTTCCTTCGCTAAGATCCTTTGCACCGCCCCTACGAATATCGTGGATAATAAGCTGTGGGGTAATGCCGGCGATATCTCCCATCCGAGAAAACGTGTCGCGGACCTGTGACGTGACACCCGCATCCTCAATGGACACACGCACATAATGTTGTTTATGTATCGCTGCAAATAAGGGCAACTTCGGATCCTCCCACGGTAGGGTGCGATCTCCTCTGGCAAGTGCAGCAGACAGAACTTCTGTCAAGTTTTGGCCGTCCTTGAACAATTTATGTCGCAAAGCATGTGCTATAAGAAGCAAAAAAAAAGTCAATTGTATTCAGCTCTGGGTCGCCAAATGATCTGATGGTTCTTTCTCTGTTGTTGGTCGAAAGTCTATTCATAGGTTAGTGTTTGGTGGAGCAGAGACCACAGATAGACATAGTTAAACTCACTTTTCGCCCTTCTCGTATTTTAGAGTTGCGATAGCTTTCACTTTGGTGACGTCGAGTTCGCTGCCATCAATGGAAATTTGAATGTCTTCGAGTTTCATGAAGGAACCTTTCTCGACGTGGAGTCTATCTATTGCCATGATATCCCCAATTCGTGAGTCGACGGCGCACATGAAACTGATAGGGAGTGCTTTGGCCAGGATGGTGTCGAAATTAGCACAATCTCTGGAGAATGCTGCTTGAAACCATTTCACCATAATTTTCTTGAGTGTGAGGAAGGTGACAAATTGGCGAGGTCTCCGGACGCCACGGATCAATTTACCATCTCGAACCATTTGTTTCAACCATCTCAAGATGGTGGTTTTCATGAATTCCGTGAACCTGAAGGTATGGTAAGTGAAAACAAGATGGGATTTGATGTATCCTAGTACACTAGTAAGGAACGATTCTGGTAAGACGTGTTTTCCGAATCCTCTGAGCCTGCCATTCTTGTTGACTGTGTAGAGAAACCCCACCAAGTGTTTTGTGGTCAACTCCTCATTGGCTGGATCGAATGGCTCCGCGTGGTTCGAGATGTACACGTTCCAAATTTTTGTCCACATGGCTTGAGTCCTCGTAGCAGACCGAGATCGATGGGTAAGCTCAAGGGTTTCCTATACCCTCTTGGCCTCTGCAGCATCTCTCTCTCGGTGTTTTTGCATTTCAAGAATCTTCCTGACCCCGACATTGGCGTATGGGTTTCTCCTTGGAGGATATGATAGGACATCATCCGATGGATCGGACTGTCTGGCCCTTGCTGATGCCATCTTGCACCCGCAAATCACTGTCGGTACGGCGCAGTCTCATGTAGCCAAGCGAAGTCTCGTGAGATAAGAGGAAGATATGAGTGATTGACTCAACTGAAAGCGGACAGTGTGTCTCGGTTTGTCTGGACTGAGCACCAAGAATTGCTCGTGGTATTTTAAGAACAGTGGAGAAGGCGTAAGCTGGAACTCAGTGGAGGTCAAGGATGCAGGTTGTGGTGTTTGAGGGCAGAGTCTGAACAGCCGTTCAGGTAAGTTCAAGAGCAATAGAAGAAACGCGAGCTTGGACTCAATGGAGGGTGAGGGCTGCAGATTGTGATATTTGAAAGCAGAGTAAAGTTCAGGACCAACAGAAGAAACGCAAGCTGAAACTCGGCACAAATCGACGAGTTTTGTCTGAGTTGTCTGGTACCGAACATTCGCTCTTGATGAGAGGTTCCTAAGCGGGATAGAAGACACAAGAGCTGTAGACTCGAGTCCCAAACCGCGAACGGACGGCCCGCCAAGTGAACAAAGGGAATGCAGCGAGAAGCGACTCAAAACAACGAATGGAAGACTCGCCGAATCATTTGGAATGTGGAAGGGATGGAACGACGGGCGTAAGTCTGTGAACAAGAAGCGAGCGAGTCAGCTAAGAACTGGTAGGACACAGGAAGGTGGAAACGGCAAGTGCGAGGGAACGCTCGTCAAGGCTAGCACGTGATTAGTGAAGTGGTTTTGGATATTAGGATCGAAGCACGAATAACACCAGATGTAAATGGCGGCCGCCCATTCACGAAATGTCTAAGTCGATAATTATACGTTTTCTGAGCATGAATGCTGTCTCTCGTCGGACGTGAATGAGCGGCCGCTGTTCATATCTAACCCTATGCTTCGAACCTAACACCCCATACTTGACTTAACAATAGTTGATCATTTCCGGACTGACCATAGAGCTCCATCCACATATTTTACGACGGATGTCTATGTTGGACCTTATGTTCAGCGATCATCATGTCGTAAGCAATCCAAGACTTCTATCGTCGGCCCTTGTCCCCTTGCTAGAAAGGGCAGACGTCTGTACAGTACATCATGAGGAGGTACTACCTTTCCGCGAGCCTAATTGCTCATGTCGCATGTCAGCAATGTCCTTGTCTGGCCTTCGGTGATGCGAGGCGATCCGCTTTCTGCTGCAACCCTTGATTGGCTTGAGCCATGAGTGGGATCGCCTGATAGACCGATTTCCCTGTTGCTGCTAAATGGTCATGTTGTTATTGATATCTCTCCAGTTACATCAAGACACACCCATCTCGTCGTGGGTTGTGGCATCTGCTGACCGTTCGCAATTGGTACATTCTAGTCCCGAATTGACTTCGCCGACGCAGACACAAAGCACAATATTGAGGAAGGGGTGGTACGAGGAGCCGGTAGTCATGGGCGTTGAGATTTGAGCAGACTATCCTCACTACTCGTGATATCACCGTGGATGTTAGAGGTGACATGTTCCCAGTCGATCGACCTGTCTCTCGCAGCCCCAGTCCGGTCATCAAACACGAGCTTCTAGCTATCGTGCTTGACTTTTCACGGCTGAGAGAATACCCATTACATCGAGTTCTCGTGGTACATAGCGCTATGATACTCGTCGAAAAGGTAATAGACGATCGGTCGCTGGAGAGAGTTACGACGCGTCAGTCCAACTCTCTCGTGAAGATGAATCCTTGGAGATGTCAACTTTCGTTGCACGATATCCCGGCTTCGGACCAGGTTAGTTGCCCGGCAATTGCCCGGGCAAAGCGGATGATTTGCTAGCCTCGCCACTCAAGCTACACTTAGTCCTTACGAACACAACGGGTAAGTTGTCATGAAATAAGTCAATCGATCCGTGCCAAAGCCATATTTTCGACCTCAGCAACTTTCGAAATGGGCAGCATTCAAACACCGGAGACAGTGCGGGTAAAGCCTTCATCGGCGGGAGCACTTGTACGTTCTGTCCTTCTTGCATACGGAGTACCATCCGACAATGCAAACCTCGTGGCTGAGGCACTTGTTCTGGCAGATCTTCGAGGTGTCGATACGCACGGCATCAATCGCCTGCCAAGCTACATTAATCGAGTCGAGGCCGGTGTCCTCAATCCGAACCCCATGTTAGAATTCCAGATGAAGACGCCGGTCGCGGCTTTATTGGACGCGAAAAACACTTTCGGGCCCATCGCGGCCTCTTTGGCAATCGACAAGGGGATTGAGATTGCCTCGACGTATGGTCTGGCCATCATCGCAGTCAAGCACAGTAACCACTATGGTATGGCGTCGACCTATCTGTCCCGTGCGATCGATCAAGGTTATGCGGCCTTTGCCTTCACGAATGCCAGTCGTTCCATGCCACCGTGGGGTGCGCGCGAGCCATTACTTGGTACGAGTCCGTTCGCGGTTGGCCTTCCAGGCGGTGAGAAGGGGGATTTTATCCTCGACATGAGTCCTAGTGTGGCTGCACGTGGCAAGATTCGAAAAGCTGCACGGCGTGGAGAATCCATTCCTGAGGGATATGCTCTAGATGAATATGGGAGGTCAACGACGGACCCTGATGCTGCCTTGAGAGGTGTAGTACTCCCTATTGGTGGGCCCAAGGGCAGTGGGATCGCCATGATGATGGATATCTTCGGTGGGCTGTTGACAGGTGCGGCCTTCAAAGGTGATGTGGTTGATATGAATAAAAACATGAGTGATCCCCAGAACGTTGGACATTGGTTCTTGGTATTTCGACCTGAATTGTTCTTGGATGACAAGGCCGAGTATTTCAGTCGCATGGATGACTTGATGAAGGCAGTGCGGTCCTGCGAGAAGGCTGAGGGAGTCAAAAGAATCTTTACGAGCGGAGAAATCGAGGCTGAAAAACAAATAGTGAATGGACGGGATGGCATTGAATATACTAAAGGCGAGGTTGATACCCTACACGCTTTGGCTGAAAAGGCTGGGTGCAAGGAGAGATTGGAGAGCATCGAGTAGATTAGTGTAAGTAAAGATGAATTCTGATAATTTCTACTTCAAACGGGCTCGAATATGTAACTTCTACTAGGAGAAGAGAAGGGACTACTGGGTCGCGAACGCCTCTCAGGAACCTGTCCTTTCTAGAGCCTAGAGAATCAGGTCGTGGCCGACGCTGCTGTCAACATGAAAGACAAGCTGCTCCACGTGGTTTAAACTTTCCACAACTGGAGATACGTTGATGGAAATGCAAATCAAGAGTTGCTGAGTCAAATGGTTTCATCTTTGGAACATTATTGTTTAAGCTCCTATATACCTAGTTCGGAATCATAGTCTTTTCTGGACTCGAGCGCCAAATCTGGTTACCGTAACTTAGTCTCGTTAGATGACGTCCAAGCTTGCCATATCTATTCATCCAAAGTTTCGAATGGTTCCCACCCAACTCTGGGGGAACTCTCGAACTCATTGCCCAAGTTTTATCTTGATGTGCTTCATTCGATGGGATGGTTCGTCTCGACATAGACCTTCTCGGAAAATTAGAGCGAAAAGAAGATTGTTGCACCTGATTGTTCCAGCCGACGGTTTGCTCTGATCAACAGCCACTTGATAGATATTGCAGTCAAGCCACAGCCAACAGTCGACGCCATCATCAACAACATAGCCATAGTATATCTCGGGCCCTGGTCCGACGGGAAGAAATATGGACTCCAGATGTTACCAAGTTGACTGAGCACGTTGATAACAGCAGTGGCGCAAGCTCTCTTCTCCGGGGATTGTGAGAGGGAGTTAGATGCCCAGCTGAAGATTAACGCATTTGAAGAGAAGCAACCGGCAATATATAGGAATGCAGCGGTGTAGCGAGCTGGTCGATTTAGAGTAGCGACTGAGATAATGAAACCTATACATGAAAATATAGTCGGGATAGCAATGTGCCAGCCACGCTCCTTCCGACGGTCACTAGATCTGGCGACACCAAAAGCCACAAAAGCTGCGAGTAGATAAGGAGGAGCAGTTAGGATAAGTGTTATCGTATTGTTTCCGAAGCCGAATCCTTTCACAATAGTAGGAAAGAAGTTGTTGAATCCATAAGCACTGTGGTTTAGTGTTAGAGTGAGAGTCTAGTATTCTGTTAGTACCATAAACAATCTTCGAGATTGAAAAGTCCATAAACTCACAAAAAGCCATGTTTTTATATCCAAAAGTGCTGCTCGGAGGCCAGTCCAGACCGATCGATCGATTTCATCTTCACTAACTCTGTCTTTTTTGATCCGTTCGGCCAGGAACGTTCTTTCTTCGTCGCTAAACAACCATCGTGCAGATCCAGTCTTTTGGCCAGGAAAGTCGGGGAGGACAACGAGAGCAATCATGGAGATCAAGAAACACCCTGCTCCTTCGAGAATAAAGAGCCATTGCCAGCCTGCAAGCCCCTTTACTTGATCGAGGCCAGAAAAGATTCCTGCGGCGAGTAATCCTGAAAATGCTGTAGCTAGGATCAAACCAGAGTACAGAATTGCTGTACGAAGAGCCAGTTCTGTACGTGTGTAGTAACACGAGAGAAGAAAAACAGCTCCTGGAAAGAAAGGGGCTTCTGCGATACCCAGAAAGAAACGAACGGCAATTAAGTGCTCAAAGCTTGTCACAGCCGCAGTACAGGCTGAGATGATGGACCATAATGCGGCCCATAATGGCATGTAGATTGACGGTCTTACCCGAGACAGTAGCATGTTCGAGGGTAGTTGCATAACCATGTAGCTTTGAGGTATGTCAGAGAAACGTGACTTTAGATATCCCAGGGAGCCCTTACCCAACATTTAGAATGGATACCGCGATGTTAAACTGGTTGCCCTTCAGGCCCAGGTCCTTTTCGAAAGAGTTCAATCGTGCTTGACTATGATGGGTATGAGCTTGATCCACTGTAAATAGTCTGATCCAATTTCGATACGTACGCAATGTTGTTTCTGTCGAGATAGTTGAAGAGATACATGATCCACAACATCGGGACCAAGGTGCAATCAAGTTTTCGAACGACTCTCCTCTCAAGCGTCTTGTAGGCATCACTCATCTGTCCCATAGTCTCAATGCTCTGGAGTGCCGCATGATCTATGCCATCGACCTTTCCTTTCTCTTGGTAGTCATGATGCTCCATACTTGGCTGCGATGACTCCTTTTCTGCCATGGCGTGAGAATTGCTATGACTCTGAAGGAACAAGGCCCGGGTAGTGCGATCTTAAATAGTGGCTGGTAGACATTGATATTACACATTGATATTGTATTCGCATCAAAGTCACAACACAACAACATAATCTATCTGTTTTTGGGGACCAGCGGAATCGTCTCCCGGTACAATCCCCGGGCATTTCCCCGGAACTTTTTTGTCAGTGAAGCCGATCCTTGAAACCCCGAGACTTGACAATATCAAATTTGGGGTAATTGGGGTATCACTCAAGGTATCTAACGAGTCACGTACGCAGCTAATTCCTTCTGGATCATCATCCAAAGTTAGATACCGATATTGTAAGGAACTTCGATTTCGGCTTATTTTCTGATGTAGCACGCGATTTTGTGACTACCATACATCTTTCTTCCCCACCCAGGTGCCCGAGCAAAACATCAAAGTATGAACTCAATCAATTGAGACGCATCTACTTGTCTACCAGTTATATAGTTCGTTGGGATTGACCTTCATCATCAAATCCCACTCCTGGTCGCTTAACCAGTGTTTCAAGCTCTTTAGCCAGGCGATATCATCAATGTCAAGATTTGGCACTTCTAGCATCGCTTCTTCCTTCGCTCTCACTTTCATCTGCGGCGTGTGAGGCCAGTCGCTACCCCATAAAATCCTTCGCGGGTTGGCACTCACCAGAGCTCGTACAAGAGGCTCTAAATCTTCGTAGCCTGGACTCATCTCGCTAACACGATATGGTGCACTGAGTTTTACCCATAAGAACCCGTCTCGCATCAGAGACACAATAGCAGCAAATCCGGGTTGTCGTTCAATATGATCTTCGTACTCAGTAGGAAGCATGGATCTGCCCTTTAGTAGCGCAAAGTGATCCGTGACTAGCCGAACTCCTCTCCCTGCAACGTCTGATATTATTGTTGGCCTCAAAACTTCCCAGAATTCCGGATGCAACTGTGTGAAGGCCATTGTCCAGCCGGGAAAGTCTTTGAGCCTGATTGCATGATTTCGGAGTAACTCTTCCTGGAGTTTCGAATCATGCATCGCTCCATATTCATACAGATTGACCCTGATGCCTCTGACGCCCGCATCATGCATTTTCATAATCTCCTGGTCTGACGTGGCGGCTGGATCAATGACTCCGATGCCTTTGGCTGTACTGGTTCCTAATCTCTGTAGTACAGCGACCAAAGAACTGCAGTTACTGCCGTAACACAGGCCATGAGTCAACACTGAGTGCGAAGCGCCGATGCGTGATCGAAATGCTAGAAAGTCTGCAATCGTTGCAGGAGTTGGTGTGAGATGTCGGTCGGAAGCGTAGGAATATTCAGCTGAAGCTAGGGTCAGTACCACACAAAGACGTGACGAAGAATTCACCTACGTTCGTATATATGATGGTGGGCATCCCAACCGCCTTGAGGAAAGAGCTGCCCGGACCAAGCAGTAGTAGTCATGTCTCTGGATTATGGCCAACGCGTCGAAGTATCTTTGTGCAAGACCGAACTTGGAGCAGGAATGGAATGCCTGTGAGATCCACGAGTACGTTGGGAAAGATGAGTCTCCGGATTGAGAAGAAAAAATCTAGTCCATCTTGCAAGATGGGTTGCATTATCTTTCTACCGCTCGATTGATGGCTAGTATGAAGTTGTCCCCAAGGGCAAGATTTCCCCAAAGTGTATTCCATACCTCACCGTCATAAGCGCTCGGTATCTTGCCTGGGATTTACCCGGTAATTCCACCGTCGACTCTGCCCGCGGATTTTGGCCCGTGTTTGGTTTCATGTTGATGTTCTGAATGACTCGACCCATGAAATTGGCTGAGCCATTTCGAGCATTTAGATATATGGTTTTGGTCTCAGCTCGATTTCGCAATGTTAAATCCCTGCGTTCTTGACAATTTTGACTATGACGGCAGCCAAGGATGTTGATAGCCTTGCTATTTCCAACCTCCACAAGATACTAGGCTATTCAACGTAAGAACCATACCCACCAAGGCGCCACTGGGGAGCCACTCTCAAAATTCTGCTGATAAGACAGATGTGATGTTTCGGATGCGTTGGGTCGACTACGCGTCCCTTATGGCGGTTTCATCAACGGCCCTACACTCTGGTCACCCAACCGTCAATCAGGCGACACTCGGATCCTCGGACCAGCATATACGGTTCAATATGTACCAATTGGTGACACCGAAGCTCCCTACGTATCAGAACATTACGTGAGTTCATGATCACAAGCATATCGGAAAGACTCTTGGCTGATATGCGGATGACATACGGATGGCCCAGATCGATTCCATTCCTGAAGGTGCTGTACTCGTTGTGGCATCCCCGAAAATTTCCAATGCAGTCTTTGGTGGATTAATGGGAAGCAGAGCACAAGCACAAAAATCAGCGGGAGCAATCATTTGCGGAAGGATACGGGACTTGGAAGAACATCGCAATCTCGGATTTCCAGCAAGTTCCAGATTGGGAATAATGGAACTGAGATCTCGTCAACTGATGCTTTGATTACTTAGGTCTTCGCTCATGACACTGGGACAACTGGACCTTATGATGCTGTGCGGGTGAGCGCTGTGAGGACCGCTCTCTTTTGCTTACGAATAAAATCTAAGTTGAGAAAATCGCAGATAAACTCGACAGTTACTGTGGGCGTTGAGAACTGTCGAACCTTGATACATGCAGGTGATTTGATCATGGGTGATCTCAATGGGGTTGTATGTATTCCCAGAGAGCTGGTCAAGCCCGTCGTTGAATTACTGGAACCGCTGTCACAAGCAAACGAAAAAATACTGAAAGACTTGAAGAGTGGCCTACCATTCGTCCAATCAAGCAAAAAGCACCGCACGAATTTAGTTGTTTCGTCGAGTAAATGAATTTCTATCTACAGAGGCCTATTTTGGTGATGAGGGTGCCTGTATGGAAGAGAAGAAGAATGGTATATGCAGGCGGGATATAGGTACCGAGGTTAAATACCTCTCGAGTTAGATAGGTAGATATGTGGTTACTTATGATTACATCAGAAGTACGTACCTGTTGATCATGCCAAGTCTCTTACTCCAACAATTTCTTGAGAAGCAATCCACCCGAACCAATGTCATCGTCCTTGCTTAGTCCCTTCCACATGGTGCGGCATCAACATCTGAGGCTCTTCACGAAGACAATCGAGAACAGAAACTGTGGCACGAACCCAATTGCGTCAAATATTGCAACAGTCTAGGGCTTTGATTAGGGATTGACAAAGGTGTCGACTCACGAGCGGCTTCGGCAATGGATTCTCGTACCCGTTTTCAAACGTCACAAACAAGACCAGAGATGCAGCGGAAGAGGCAGCTGCGTAGGAAGCGAACGCTTACTTGTACCAATTGCCGTTCGAGAAAAGTTCGTCCTCCACCTTACTAATGACTTTCATTACTAAAGTATAACTAGACGAAGTGCGATGGTTCTTTACCCGGGTGCAAGACCTGCGAAGTCTACCAGGATCAGTGCCGTTATGATAAGGCACCCCCTATGACTCAAATTCTGGCGATGTCAGACAAGATTCGTGAATACGAAGAAACCATTGCTTCGCTCACAAATACCCCAGCGATGACTTCTCAATCAAGAACACAAACAGTGGAGCCTAATCTTGCGCATCATGCTTATGAGACGTCTGACCGGGCTACCAGCAACCAAGTGCCTGCATTGCTCAACAACAGTAACGATGATTTTGAATATCCTGCAGCTGAAGCCACTTCGAGGTCTAGGAAAGGCGTATCAGATATCAGCTTGGACGAAAATGGCATGGTATAGATCATCGAGCATCCAGTTATGTTATTCTAACTTGCCTGTTGCAGATTTGTTACCACGGACCAACCTCGGCTGTACATGATCCACCAACTGGAAGTCACTACAGCCAACAAACCGCTGTTCCCACCTCAATCATGTCTTCATATGGTTCGCTTACAGGTGCAGAAGAGTCTCGTGCCATTGAGCAACTGGCGCTCGAAAACGCTGCAAATTGGGCTGGTCTACCAAAGGCAATGCTGGCAGAACTACTTCAACTTTATTGGTCTTGGATTGCCCCAATGTTTCTCTGGGTCTATAGACCAGCATTTATGCGTGAGTGTATTTCTATACTTTAGACAGTAAGCTTACAACGCCAAGGTGATCTGGGGACTGGCGGCCAGTACTGTAGTCAGCTCCTTCTCAGCGTTATCTGTGCACATTCGGCACGGTTTCGCGCCGGCAATCTTGGGGATTTATTGATATCACGAACTCGCAACCTGTTGGGAAAGGAGATACTAAACCCTAGCTCAATCGCCACAACTCAAGCACTTCTGCAACTTAGTGCTAGGGAGCTTGCTTTTGGCTCGATTTCACAGGCATGGCTTTATAGTGGCATGGCCTTCAGAATGGTCAGTGATCTAGGGCTGCATCACAATGCTAGTGAAATTGCTGAACTAGGATCATTCACCGGTGACGATCATGAGACTAGAAAGCGTCTGTTCTGGTCATGCTATGTTTGGGACAAGTGGGTGTCTCGGCTCCCAAAATCGCATTGGTCGTCAACTAATCACTAAGTAGGGCTATTAGTCTCTATCTTGGCCGTATGCCAGTTTTGGTTGATGTGCCCACAGGGAACACCCCATCTTTAGGTACGTTCCTCGCTACGACGATCAGTTCCAATTTTAATATTTATGACAGTCGACGATATTTCCGAAAACGATCTTTGGGTTCCATACTATGGTGACTCGAATACTGGCAGTAATATCAAGGGGGCCGACTATCCCGCCTACAAAACCCATGCAATCTCGTGTTTTGAAAATACCTGCAAACTTGCGGTTATAATCAACGACATAATCGCCAGACTTTATTCCCGTCGATCATCGACCAAATTTGATGATGGCCCTCGTCGCCTTCGAGAGCGCTTGGACTCTTGGAGACGTCAATCACCTGGTCATCTTAGATATGACCCGGAGTGCCTTCCCCAGGTCTGCCCACCCCCACACATAGTGAATCAAAAGTAAGTGAAGCTATCTAACTAAAGAGAGTGGTTTACTCCAGCTAATTACTCAGTCTGCTATACTACGCAACCATAATCCTTCTTCATCGCCCATTTTCGGGATCCCTTACTCATCATACTATCTGCCGCCAAGCGTCGGAAAACATGGAGAGTTTCTTACGTCTTTTGGAAAAGGATTTTGGCTTCACCCGTATATCGTACCTGATGGTATACTGTGTTTACACTGGAGCCTCAGCTCTGATCCATGATGTCAAATCGGGTGATACCATCGCCCGCACCAGATTAAACACTTTCGTGCGGGCGCTTGAAGGTGGTCGGTCAACTTGTCCGATCGTGCAGAGAAGTCTCGACATCATCACGAGCAACCTCGAGTCCAATAAGACGCAAGAGCTGGCGGAACCAAGCACAACAGCTCAGATATTAGATAACTTTCTTCCAGCATTTCCTCGTCAGTTGCCCCAAGCTTCATTCATGCCTGAATCTCAGCCTCCTTTCGCCCCGGACTCAGATTCGCACCTTTGGCTGGACTGCTTTCCGGAAAATAACAATGATCTTAGTTTAGAAGAGTGGTATATTCAACCACCTGAGGGCATAGTAGATGGTATTGACTAGAAGAACAAGTGGCAGACTCCCAACATTCTTCTCCCTTGGTGGACCCGGTTGCAGTGAGCATGAAGACTTTGCACCTAGTGTTGATCGTGTAGACTGACAAGGAGATATTTTCATATTTCACCGGAACTTCAACCCCCGGTCTTTCCTTCTTCGGATCCGAGGTCAATACGACAAAGGGGACAAGTACTGTTCATATTCAGAAGCCATGGATCAATGCACGAAGGATGAAATCTGTGGTTGCATGGAAGTAGCCGAACTTGTTCTCCAACTTTGAATTCTTCCGTACAAATTGAACACCAGAGGGCTTTTTCTTCGTCACTTGATTCAGCTGCGTTCGATCTCGTTGCGACGTATTTGCCTTCAACCACCCTTGATGTCGTGAGGCTTGCACCAACACCTCCAATGGACTCTGTGTTTACATGTCCAATTGGTTGGAGTTGAGCATCCGAATTCGGTGGCGATCTACCGTCATCGCCCAGGTTGATGATAGGAATTGTGTCAAGGATGGCGCGAGTTATGACTTTTGCTCGATTGGGTCTCGGCTGACCAGGTAGCGTTGGTGGGATGTATCGTTCAGGGTGGCGGTATGCGCGAACAACGCCAATGATAACCATAGTCCCAAAAAAGGCGAGGATTGCACCGGTAATGACAAAGAGAACGATTTTCACGATGTCATCTTTTCCCTTAGGCTCATTATTCTGTTCCATCACGACTGCTGAACCTAGACTAGTGAACTTCGTCAATCGAGAGTGATCATCCGGAGTTCAAATAGGCGAAGAGGCCATCACCATGACGGGCCAAGATTATGGTCCCTGGACAGGTTCCAAGGATCTAGCGAAGCTGTGAAGTCTAGTGCCCGTCATAAAGTTCCTCTAATGGTCCCGTCTGCAATGGCTTGCAACCAACTGATTGTCGAGTCCGTCGTGATGCCATATGGCGGGACAAGGCTTATTGGCATTGAGGATAGGAGAAATAGATTATGCCAAGGGCATGATCAGGCATTGCTTCTGCCGGAACTCAGATGGATCGGATCTGAAGTGCTCCAGAGTCCAGACTAAGCAAGTAGGGTCCTGTATAGAAAACCTAATTGGAAGTGGTTGGAGCACATGGTACAGCACAGCCCCGTTCTCACATTCCATCAGCTGAGTTTTCCTGACTGACTGAATGAATGACTCTGTTATTGCGAATCAGGTATTACCACAGCTGAACTCAATAAATTCCGTACACTGTTATTTTCATCGCAAAGAAATGTGTTTTGTGAATTCCAGATTTCGAATCGCTGAAGGGAATATTAGTCACCGAAAACGCACCATGCCCCATGAGCTCACTTTGTCGGAACCAGGAATAAGTGAACCGGTGTCTTTGCGTGGTGATCCTCCCTAATTATCACAAATGGCGTGATTGATATTATCGATGTCGCCATCCAAATCGGCTTGCCAAGATATCTTGTCCAGCCGGAGATATATCTTGGCCATCCATTTAGTTTACTTTGAAGACAACGACAAGACTTCCACATTCTCGGCACCGTTCAGTTCATGGGAGGCCAGACTGCTGGGCAGCCGTCACATGCATGTCCACAATGCAAAAATGTCCTTGGCTTCACATCTACGATGGACGGAGGAAAGAATGTTCAGACACATGAGTTTTCCCACGAAATGACGTGATAACAGCAGGCAGCCTTGGTGCTTGCTATAAAGTAAAAGAAGGGTTCCTGTCTGAAAATAGCGAAGCACAAATCATCTCTGGAACTATTTGAAGGATTTCAGACGGATATTTTGCAAATATGTCGGCAACCGACCCTAAGACAATTCATACTTCCGAGGAAGGCTCCCAGGATAGCGACAATGGCGACGTATTGCTCGCTCAAGTGGACTGGACCGCAGAAGAAGAAAAGAGAGCAAAGCGCAAGTAAGTTTCCCAAATAGACGATTTCATTCAGATAAACTAATGACTTACTGGCAGACTCGACTTCACCATTATGCCACTCCTCACTCTCGGGTTTTTCTGCCTTCGTAAGCAGTCCTCCTGTTTAAATCTTTATCTCAGATTCTCTAACCCTCCTCACAGAACTCGACCGTGGTAACATGGCCAACGCCATTACGGACAAGTTCATGGAAAACATTGGTATAACTCAGAACCAGTTCAATGTTGGTCAGCAAATGCTGTCACTCGGAATTGTCCTTTTCGAGATTCCCTCGAATATGGTCCTTTATCGCGTTGGACCGGGAAAGTGGCTCACTCTCCAATTGTTTCTCTTCGGTACCGTGAGCACTTTCCAGGCCTGGCAGACGAATTACGGCTCTTTCATCGCAACCCGCTTTTTGCTAGGAATCACAGAGAGCGGCTTCATTCCGGGGGGTCTGTGGACACTCTCAACGTGGTATACTAGAAAAGAAACTGCGAAGCGTGTGATGATCTTTTATTTTGGCAATCAATTCGGTCAGGCATCAGCAAAGCTGCTGGCCTACGGCATACTGCATATGCGCGGTGTCGGCGGGAAGCCTGGCTGGTTCTGGTTATTCGTCCTCATGGGAGGCTTCACCATCCTTTCTGGTGCCATTCTGGGATTTTTCCTTCCAGACTCCTTCCGGAACCCGCACAGCACCTTTCTACCAAAAGTCAACATCTTCACGGAACGTGAGATTCACATCCTGAATACCAGAGTTTTGATCGATGACCCCATGAAGGGTAAGAAAAAGAAGAGCATCGGTCTCCCTGCCTTCAAGAAAGCCGTGAGTACACCCTTTGGTACATGTCCTCAACCATTGCTAATGTCATGCATAGTTCTCCGCATGGAGAATGTGGATACATGTCTTGATCACTCTCTCAAATAATGGTCCTCAACGTGCGTTCGATACTTATGCCCCTACTATCGTCAGCAGCTTCGGGTTCGCCGCATTGTCTGCAAACGCTCTTGCTTCGGTTGGCCTGTTTCTACAGATCCCGGTGTCATTTACCTTCAGTTATGTCTCAGATCGTTTGTAAGTCGCACGAGTCGTTCTGTTTCTTCCTGTGCTGACTTGAAGCTAGTACTCGTCGTGGGGAGACAGTAATTGCTGGTCTCAGCATGCATCTTCTAGGTTACATCTTTAACCGGATATTCACCGAGATCAACAATCGTGGCTTGCGATACTTCGGCGTTGTGTGGACCCAAACGTTTGGCACCTTTTCACATCCTCTGAATATCACATGGATGTCGCTCACATGTGATGACTCTGAGGAACGAGCTCTTGCGATGGCCATGTAAGTCATCTACGCAGTAGAATCAGCCTCGTCAGCACTAACATTATCAGGGTCATTATGGGCGCCAACATCGCCGGTATCTATGGAGCCCAAATATTCCGACAGGATGACCGTCCCCGATATCGCCGGGCATTCAGTGTGAACTGTGCTGTTCTTGCATTTGGCTTGATTCTTGCTATAATTAGATACATAGATGACCTCAGGACACGCCGTCGCACGAAAGAACGACGATTCTCTGCAATTGGAAAGCCTCCAGGCTACGCAAAGGCCAGTGATGAGAAATCAGGCCCTGAGGAAAAGGTTCTTGCTCCACCACCAAGTGCCGATCAGCCATCACCAGTCCTACTTGGAGGAGATCTCAAGCCAACTGTATCAAATGGCCTCAGGGGCACCACCTGACGGACCAGTCACTGATTGAGGGGAATTTTACCTGCATTCAGGCAATCGGGAGATAAGTTGCAGCCAGAGAATCGGCTTTGAAGATGCGAGAGACCCTAGATAAGGCTCAAGTTCTATGGATGTGACGAGTGACTTGCGTTCTCTCCAAGGCAGAGTACTATTTATGCAACAAAATTTGAAATAGCTAAGTTGCACGGAGCCTTGCACAATATTTTATGAATAAACCATGAATATAATTATCATTGATGCAGAAGTGGCACCTCCGCGATTGATCACGCTGCCAATCGAACTTGATCTTGCCTTGTTGCCTGAGCTTTGAGTTTGACTTCAGTGAGGTTTTCGGCCACCCACTTCTGCCATCTATCGGAGAACTCTGTTTGCTCATGGAGATACACTCTATCCTTACTCACTTCTGCCACACGACCCGTCTCGTCGCCGTCCAAGAATCGCTCGAAGGCATGAATGATGCTGGACATTGGAGTGATATAGTCAGCCGGGACTATGCCCTGTATGGCCGCTGTGAGACTTGTAGCTACAAATCCGGGGCAAATACAGTTGATTCGTATGTTTTCCTCCCCTAATCTCGGCGCCAGTGATCGAACCAAACCGGGAATCTTCACGCGGTCAGTTTCTGAACGTCTATGCTGAAGTGCACGGATTAAAACACTTACAGCTGACTTGCTAGCGGTGTAGAGTGGCGCCGTCTCAAGAGCGTAGAATGCAGCAGAACTAGATGTGATGGTAATCGTGCCGCCATGAGCAGTATTTTTAGAAAAATAATGTCTGGCAAGATAGACTGAGTGGATAGCCGCGATTGTGTTCACTTCAATGGTTTTGAGGTTGGGCTTTGGTGGTGGGGTCGTGGGTGGGCACGTTTCTGGGCTGGGAAATAGTGACGCACTATCCAATATCCCAGCATTTGCCGCAACTATGACAACCATCATTAGTTAGGGGCGACTGTCAAACTCAGGGAAATTAATTTGGATGCCCAACGCGTACCAAAGTCGATACGTCCCCATTTGCTCCAGGCCTGCTCAAATACCGCCCCAAGTTCCTCATATACTGTGATGTCGACTTCGAAAAAGGCGGCTTGGTCACCTAATTCACGTGCGCGGGCTTTGCCAGTGGTAGCATCAATATCGCACATGGCTACAAGATACCCTCTTTCGACAAGGCACTTGCTGAGGGCGAAACCGAGTCCACTAGCTGTCATTGATGAGTACTGTACATGGGTAGAGTGATTAAGGAGAAAAGTCACCAGCTCCAGTAATCAAGGCCACTTGCCTGTCTTCTAAATTCGCCATTGAAAGTGCTCCGGACGTTGATGCTCTTGCTTCAGGATACCGATTTCCCGTTTCTAAATGTTGCTATAATGGACCTGAGATGTTGCAAGGGGCTGCAAGTCGGTGTTTATCATTGGGGTTTTATCAGCCGGCCAGGTTATGACCACACGAACCATTGCTAGCATATTTCCTGCGAGTTGGAGGCGCCTCCCGCGATACAGCTTCTGTTGGTCAAGGCACAACAAAGATTGATTGAGGTACTCTATCTCCTGGTATTTTCGTACGCGGTGATCTTCCGCCTTCGAATCCATTCACTTGAGACTTGATCGCTACGAAATAGTACATGCTAGACCCCCTTGTTGCCTTGTATGCATGCAAGCTATGCCGAGTGCCGAGTGCCGGCTGCGGTACTCAGGACGTGCTGTGCTATTGTCCACTTTCACCCTCTTCGCCACAGAATGGTGCATAGCAACTGTCGCGTATTAAAATTGTTTTCCTATCGTCGGGGTTGTCCAAACCGTCGGCTGTCGCAACTCGGCAGTACCCAGACGGCTACAGAGAACACTCTCCATCGCTCCCTGGGCCTCGCCCCTCGTGGAGCGCGCCCATACTCATAGGTCAAAAGATTTGAGAATCGCAACATCAGTTCGTCCCATCTACTCGTCTTGAATGTCAAGAGTCACAGAAATTCCATAAACAAGTCGACTTGGCTTCCACATTTGACGCTATCATGAATCTGTATCTCCAAGCACTGTCCGGTCTGGCGGTAGTGACAATCATCTATTTGCTGCTCTCAACATTCCTTGAGAATCGGCATCATGCTCGGAGAGCAATGGAAATGGGGTGTCTACCACCACACCAAAGACATCAAAAATATCCCTTTGGACTTGACCTTCTGATGCCAATAGTGAAAGCTGACCAAGAAAGAGTCTTGCCTGACTACTTCATGGACCTCTACCTCCACGAACTAGGACAACGGAATACCTGGCAACAAGACATTCTAGGGCTTAATTCTGTTTGGACGGTTGATCCGAAGAATATCCAGACAATACTTGCGACGAAATTTCAAGACTATGACCTAGGAAGTCTTCGTCGGAAAAATTTCTTTCCAGTCCTAGGTAATGGGATCTTTACAGTGGACGGTAAAGCCTGGTATGTCTAAAATCCCCTATAAATCTACAAATCTACAAACATGCCTAATTACTAATCCCGCCCACCCAGGGAACATTCTCGTAGTCTCTTACGCCCGCAATTCGCTCGTCAACAGGTCGCAGATCTGGACCTCGAAGAGGTTCATGTCACGCATCTTCTGAAGCACCTTACCACGCAACATGGCTGGACCAACCAAGTAAATCTGGTGCCACTCTTTTTCCGACTCACGCTCGACTCGGCAACTGAATTCCTGTTTGGACAGAGTGTGAACTCACAAAGCGTTACGTTGACTGGCAGTTCTAAGGAGTCTGCTGCTAGAGCCACTGAGCTAGACTGGACCAACTTCGCCGCCTGTTTCGACGGGGCTACTTCAGCACTGGGAGTTCGGGGTCTCCTCGGGCCATTCTATTGGATGTGGTCTCCACCGTCATTCAGACGGAACTGTAAGGAAATCCATCGTTTCGCCGATTATTACGTCAACCTTGCCCTCAAAGATTCATCACCACTAACTAGGTCTGGCCAAGAGAAGAATGAGCAGAAACGGAGATATGTGTTCCTCGAAGAACTCGTCGAGGCTACTCAAGATCCAGTGGAAGTACGCAGCCAACTCCTCAACATCCTGGTGGCTGGCCGGGACACAACGGCTGGCCTTCTTTCCTGGACGTTCTGGTTACTTGTGCGCCATCCTGACATATTCAAAAAGTTGCGACAAAGTATCATCGACGACTTTGGCACCTTCCAGAACCCCAGGGCTATTACATTCGAGACTTTAAAATCATGCGGATATCTTCAGTATACTCTATCCGAATCGCTCCGCTTGTTCCCTACAGTGCCATTCAATACCCGTAGAGCAGTCAGAGATACTATACTCCCACTCGGTGGTGGGCCTGATGGGAAGTCCCCGGTGTACATCAAAAAAGGGACAGAGGTCAATTATCTCGTCCATATCATGCATCACCGCGAAGACATTTGGGGATCTGATGTCGAAGAGTTTAATCCAGATCGCTGGAGATCTCGAAAGGGAGGCTGGGAGTTTCTGCCATTTAATGGAGGGCCGCGTATTTGTTTAGGTCAGCAGTTTGCTCTGACAGAAGCGAGCTATGTGATCGTAAGATTGATGCAAAAGTTCGACAAGATTGAAGTATTTGAACCAGATCCAGTGACACGGCATATGGTTGGAGTGACATCAGCACCCGCAAGGCTATATGTACGTCTTCACGAGGCGGAGGTTTAAGACAATGCTTTGCATGCATGGTCTGCTTGAAAAACCTAGGTAGAGATTGTACTCACAGGTCGCGTTCTGAGGACCCCTACATGGATATGGCTGCGAGACTTATCACGCCTAATTGGTACACGCAAATTTGGTGAGGTGGTTCACAATGCTCATTCATGGTGCGTTGATATACAAACGGCCTTGATCTCTTTAGTATGCTCATGCATCTGATGTATCGAATCTAGTGCTCGTGGCAGAGGTACATGTCACATGGCTAGGTTAAACCGGCAAGGCGTGCCATCCTACATGAAAAGCTTCCCTTCAATTGGTTTCTCTCTCTCCTCTCGAGATAGACAGCTATGCCATGATAACTTGATGTTGCTTTGTGGATTGACCACCATTGTCCTCCCAGGCGACGTGATATTACTATGTCTCGGTCCTTTGACTTACACATTTGTAAAACATACCAACATGCGCACAGCCAAACCTTGAATGTTTACCGCCCCCGTACAGGACATCTAGTCAATCTCTTTGGCGAGAGCCTCATTCAGTAGTTTTTTGACCTGATCGGACCATGTAGAGGCGCTGTGTCGCATCAGTTGGCATAGCGGTTCAGTAAATCGCAATCGGGACTCACCGTTTATAGTTCCAGATCTCTGGTACGTTGCCCTTCTTCAAGCCATCAATAGCCTCCAACATTGCTTGGGCCTGACCATCGTCAATGATATCTTGCAGAGGATAGACGTATTCGTGAATTGAGAGAACGCGAGCGCCGGAAGCTGGTAGTTTGAAAAGCGTCTGAAGCTCGCAGCGAACAAAAATCTGCAGTAGTGATTAGCTCGTGCTCATAATCATTTTGTCAAGAGAAGCTCAGACCTTATCGATACTGACGTCCCCGGACGGCTCACTTAGATAATCTGCATCTGTAAGTTGACTCGAAGTCTGCGATGCTTTAATGGATACACCCCACTGCCGCATTTCTGTCAGTCATAGATTGACAACCTGGAGATAGGAGTGCTCACATTTGATCGAACCACCACTTGGCCAGTCTCTAGCCTGCTGAAGTAGCGATCCATACTTACGTCGAGTTTCTCAGCATACTTCGGTACACGAACATGCAGAGCCTTCATTGAACGACCAATCCGCTTGCTCGGCTCACTGCGATTCGGAAATGCCCAGACGAGCGCGCGTAGGAAGAATTCCTCGCCTTCTGCACCATCAGTTCTCTTCGAGGGTAAGGTGAATAGGAAATCATCATCCACGTGCGCGTTCAACAATTGCAATGCCTGTAAGATATCCCTTGGGCAGGTAAATGGAAGACCATCGCCAGTGATCTTGTTTTCCAATGTCTGCGAGTTCCAAGATTGCACAAATATCGTTGGATATCTCTCCGGTAGGAAAATTTGAACCAGGTAGGTATAGAGCTCGCGAACCGCGGGTTCAGCGTCGGGATAGCACGCAAGTATCTCCGGCCTCACAGCTGGAAGTCTACGGCGTGTTTCGATACGTGATAGATAATTGCAATCTATGTGGACAATATTGTTTATTGTGGTCCTCGATATCCCTAGACTATAGTTAATTTTCGACGACACTGAACCGGGCTCAGTAAGCATACGAACCCATGGTCATAAAATACTTTCGGTCGAATTTGTATACACGTGATTGCTGTGTCGTTCGGTAGTCAAAACCCGGGAGAGGTTCAATGACCCCCATTGCCGCAAACGCGTCTCCTCGGAAAGATATTTGGTTTTTTGAGGCTAGAATGGGCTGTATGCACTTCTTAGTGAATAGCACTTCACTGGAGTGACTGTGGAGGATTTCTACTCCTTGTTTCCCGAGTTTCTGTCTGCTAGAAACTGTTTTCGTCGCAAGATAAAGGCCCAGGATTCCAATAGCAACGAAAGATAACAGTGCAGTGTGTGACAGAGAATAATATAGAGAGTCCATTTTAATACTTTGGACAGAAGTGGCCAGGTTGTTCTAACTTGCGGACAGATCTAGTGAGAGTGGTAGGCAATAAGCATTAAAGTCTAGGATGCCACCTTTCAGACCATGGAATGAAACCGGCACAGCCCATGGTTCGTGAATGACGATACGGTGATTATGATCATAGTCATAGCAGAGGAAAACCACCGCGAGATCTCTTCGCATGCCGCTCTAGATCCGCGAGAATCATTCACGCCTTGCTACACTCATTGCCTCTTCCAGATAAGGAACCGAAAGCCGAATACCGGTGATCGCGATAGTGCGAAAGCCCACTTCGATACTTGACTCATGGTCTTCGATGGGATGACTCGAACTGATAATGTTTCATCCCCACAAGGTAACGTAAAGCCCTCGTATGAAATCAGAAATAGCATGATTGCGAGATATTATGATAGAGATATTTCTAGCTACATACTTTCAGCGGGCTTTTTGCCTCTCATTCGAGGCTATTATTACGATAGAAATCCAAAGCGTTTAACAAAACTCATGTACAAGCTATGCGCTCTCCTCATCCATCGCTTTAGTGATAACCGGAGCATTATGTGTGCGCTGGGAGTCTTGCCCTTCATGATAGTGTTGCATGACACCCTCCCTGGAATAGGCCAAGACCCAATATATGCCTGAAAGTGCGATAAAGCCTACAAAAACAACCGATGTATAGTTCATTGACTCCGGAGTGACAGGAACATAAAGTGGCATGCATAGCCAGACCGAAATAAACACTGACCAGAGACAACTGATCCACATGATGGGCGTCGAGAATCGGCCGAGGTTGAACCATCGCTCGGGGTTAAGACTATGTGACCCACGATAGATGACAAGCCCAAAGGTCGTGACTAGGGATGATATTGTCAAGATACCAGCACTTCCAAGAAATGCATTCATCGCAGTTTGAGATCCAACACTAATAGCTCCCAGAGCGATAATCAAAAATGTGTTCCAGAGAAGAGTATTCAGCGGAAGACTATCGATGGGCTCCAGCTTAGCCATAGTTCTCGAAAATGGTAATGCGCCCTCACGAGAAAATGACCAATATAATCTCGACCAGCTCAATAAGCACGAGCTTTCGGCGATGAAAAGGCAAGAAAGTGTGAGTGAAGTCCCTATTATCGACATGGCGTCAGACCGAAAGGCATTGATCATTAGTTGAACGATTGGTTGACCGCCCACCGGTGTAAGGAGGCTGAGAGGGTCAACGTTGCAGAACTGATAGACCATGATCATAGGCAAGCCCGTTAAAAAGCTCAACAGGAATGACCCGATGAGAACTTGAGGTATTTGTTTTGTTGGACGCTCCACTTCATCCGTAAGGTGAGTGGCATTGTCAAAGGCAGCAAGAGAAGCCATGCCTGGTAGTAGGCCAATGAAAAAGACCGTCCCATTGGATTTCCAACCAGTCTCATTGATGAATTTTAGAAAGACATCATGTGCACTTTGTTTTGGCTGAGCGCGAACCAACAAGCCGATGAGGAGGTAAAGGCTTGTTCCATTGATTAAGAAAATACCCGCCGCCAAGAGGGCGTTGAGAGACTTGAACAGTCTGGGAAGGTTAATGCCCAGGGTGAGAAAAGCAGATGCCACGTAGACAAGGTATGTGTGCCATGCCGTGGCAATATAATCAGAATGATTGGCCTGAACAATTGCTAAGATAAGTTGAGCCATATATAGATTGGAAGAACAACAGATGCAGAACCAGGCACAATTTGTGACCCAGCCCATGATGTAGCCCAGGAGTCGGCTATATCTTTTCGGAGCTAAAATAATGACCCAATGTGCCGGTCCTGGAAGTATCAGCTCTCATAATCTCGACCATACAGCCAGTGACTCACCAGAAGAATGGGGAATAGCAGACGCGACCTCTGCGACAGCCAGGCAGGTTATGAGTTGGAAAACGCCAACAAAGATGAAGCCCCAAAAGTATCCCGCTGAACCCCCAACGCCAATTGTGAGAGAAGTATAGGTTCCCAATGCCAATGGGGTAGCAGTGACTGAGAATTGGACTCCGAACGTTGTGAGGAGGTTGAAGTGTACCTTTGGCTTCACTTCGCCAGTACGCACAGACTCCCCGGCTGTGGAATCAATCTTGGCTATGCCCACAGCCTCAGCGTCTGACTTGGATTTCTCGATATTCATGGCGTTTGACGAAGATCAAGGTCGAGTACGAGACAAGGTGAGGTTGAGTGAAGTGTCAATCTGGGTGAGCAAGAAAACCGAACTTGGTTCTTTTAGACAGCACGACTCATGAGTCCTGGTTACGTAGTTGAATATCTTGTTGTAAACAAACATTTTATGGCATTCCAGCACTCGGGTCCAAAAGCATCCAGTGCTGGCAATCTTGCAAGAGACTGGGTTGAGTATTCATGTAGAGTCTGAATGACAAAGGCAGCAGCTAGTGGCGCCATTAGAGAGACCCCAGTCTTGCCCCGCTTCTCCATAGACTTCGGCTTTGATCAGGAGTGCCCACTCTCAAGTGGAAGATAAGAGACCTTCTAGATGAGCATGAAGCTGTTCAGCGCCGTCCACCGTGCGACGACTTCCGGCATTCGGTTCTCGGGTCATTGCACACACACTGGCCCGGAATCACTCCGCCGTACAAGTTGATTTTCAAAAGATGCCCTCATCCGTTGATCTCTTAACCGAGGTCCAGACCACCGTCGAACTGACTAGTAAACACATTTAAGGTATGACTGAGGACCTGTAGAAACATGAGGCGCTTTCTTGAACGTTCATCCCACATTCGTCATGGTTTCCTCGCAGAGCTCCGCTTCTGACACGAATGGCAATACGCCTGCATCCGAAGTGGAATCCTTCGACTATGATGTTATCCTCATCGGGGCGGGCATCTCTGGTCTCTGTCAGCTCTACCACCTCCGAAAACTTGGCTTCACCACAAAGGTCTTCGAAGACGCCGCCGACGTAGGTGGAACCTGGTTCTGGAATAGATATCCTGGATGCCGTTTTGACTCTGAGAGTGAGACATACTCCTTTTCATTTTCTCAGGAGGTCCTCGATGAATGGCGGTGGACGGAGCACTTTTCAAGTCAGCCAGAGACTCTCAAGTACTGCCAGTATGTCGCAAAAAAGTTTGATTTGTGCAAGGATACTCAATTCAATACTCGTGTGACTGGAGCCTACTGGCAAGAGGAGTCTAGGACATGGAGAATCGTCACAGACAATGGTGACGAGGTAACGTGTCGTTTCTTCATCACTGCGGTAGGACCATTGTCTGCTCCCACGATGCCACGAAATCTTGATGCTTCAATTTTCGAAGGGCAGTCGTGTCACACATCGAGATGGCCACATGAGCCAGTCAGTTTCGAGGGCAAGCGAGTTGCAGTCATTGGTACTGGTGCAACTGGAATTCAAGTGATTCAAGAGGTTGCTAAGACCGCAAAACAACTTACGGTTTTCCAACGTACACCTAATTGGAGTTGTCCCTTAAACAATAGCCCCATCACAGACAAAGAGATGGCAGATATTCGCAAAGATTACAGGGACATTATCAAACGCTGTAATTCTACAGTTGGGAGTTTTGTACACCAACCAGATCCAAGGTCGGTCTTTGATGTCAGTCAGGAAGAGCGGGAGGCATTTTGGGAGAAGTTGTACTCTGAACCCGGTTTTGGGATCTGGATGGGGAACTTCAGGGACATTTTGATTGATGCCAAAGCAAACAAGCTAATGTCTGATTGGGTCGCGAAAAAGATACGACAACGCGTAAAAGATCCGTTCCTGGCCGAGAAACTGATTCCTAAGAATCATGGTTTCGGAACCAAAAGACTACCACTCGAAACTCACTATTTCGAGGCCTATAATCAACCCAATGTCGAGCTGGTGGATCTTCATGAAACCCCGATTGAATGCATAACGGAAAGTGGAATCAAGACTTCTGACCGCGAAATGGATTTCGATATCATTGTCTATGCGACAGGGTTCGATGGTCTCACTGGAGCGCATGATCGTATCAACATCCGTGGTGTCAATGACGAGCGGTTGAAGGACCGATGGACACCATCCCCCAACACATATATGGGGCTGATGGTCAACAACTTCCCCAACATGCTAATGATTTTAGGGCCACACTCTGCTGTCGGCAATATCACCAGGATTGTGGAGTATAGCGTTGATTGGATCAACAAGCTCCTCGTCCACGCAAGAAGCCATCATCTCACGAGGCTAGACCCGAAAAAGGAAGCCGTAGAGGAATGGACAAAACATGTTATCGATGCGGCGAAACATGGTTTGGCTTTCCAGGTTGATTCATGGATGACGGGCGTCAACCACAACGTCGAGGGAAAGAGTAAAAGAATCGTTGCTCGATATGCTGGTACAAATCCCATGTTTCGCGAAAGGGCTGACAAGGCTGCAGAGGATGGATACAAGGATATCTCTCAACTTTGAGTTCCTTATCCGCTGGGTGGTGGAGGTGGTCCCCGTGGACGTAAGGGTAGTACTTAAAAATTAATGAAGCACATGGAGTGAACAATGTCTTGATCTTGTAGTTCAAGTCAGAGTCTTGCAAAATTTCAAGTTATCAATAGAAATTTGGCAGCGAAGGTCATCAGATGTGTATGTCATAACCTGTAATTGTCTGGGAGGGCTACCAACAGTCTGTGTTGTCCCAAGCCTCACATAGTGCCAAGTCTGTTAACCATCTATGACCTAAACTAAGCTAGCCGCACGACAGAGAAGTGCATGATTTGGTCGCACTTGAAGGCAAGTAAATCATCTCTCGAACGTGGTATTCCACACAATCAGAAAAAGTTTGTGCCGTAGTTGTCGTCCAGATAAATGTCATCAAACAGGGTGTCAGTGAAAGCAGAGGAGCCCAATGCATCATACAGCGAATAAATTCCTCCAGTCTCGAAGCCTTCACATTCTGGGTTGGCGATTCGGATTATACCACAGTCAGAAAGAAGCTGGTCAATATGGGGATACCAGTTTCGTACATTGATGAAGAGCGCTTCTAGATCTGAGATCTGCTGCTGATTCGTTCTGGCATCTGGGTGAGACTCGGACCTGTTGTCGCCTTCAAGCATATGTTCCCGCAGTAAGTTTTGGCGTTCACTAGTCAAAGCCGAGACCTTCTGAGCAACCGTCTCCGCAACTCCGAACTTACTGCGCAGTACGTCAAGAATCGAACGGAGCACATCAAGACTCTCTTTGCGGCGAGACTCGACTGCGTCGGATTCAGGAATGCAGTAAAGCAGCGGGAGGGCTGCAACCATGCACCAAAAACCATGAATTGAGCCCAAGAACGATGCGTGTTCGCGACATAGAATTTCTTCGTATATGTCGGTCATACTTGAAGCTGCAATGATAGACGAGACAGAGTAAAGGCACTGTTTGTTCTCGTGAGTCAGTGAGGACGCTAGAATGACTGTCCCCAGATACTCGATGTAAAGCTCATGAAGCCCAAAGTGGTAGTCAACCTTCGATCCTTCGTCATCGTGAAGCCTCAGAGTCTTATGAAGGCTACCTATCCAATCGGAGAGTAATGAAATGACTCTTGGATGATCTAGAGCAGACGGGGGGGTCCTCGACATTGAAGTGGCGATTTCACCTTCAATGTGACACAACGAGGTGTCAGCCATAAAGATTCTGGCATTTAGGTTGTCCTCTTCGAAGTCCTCAATAGTCAAGAAGGGCACATCAAAGGAGTCAAAAGTTAGGCTTGGTGGTCGGCCGTACATGAGAGATTGAGCCCGATCCGATGCCTACTCATTGATGGTTAGAACTGCATTGAGAAATCATCTGGTTCGACCGACATAAAGCGCCCACCATATCCGACGTCGACAACCTGCATCAGCTCTACCAGAATACGTTGAATGGCGATGTAAACCCATCTGTTGGGCAAGTCTCACCGCAGACCCACCTGCGTGCCACGGCGAATCGAGGCTTACAACATTTGATGAATCTGGGCTCCACAAAGTCAATAGAGTCTTCGCCTTTAACACAATCAACATGTTTGGTTCCACATTCATGGCGATCAACAACTTGATTTTCTGATACAACTGTTCTTGGAAAAGACTATATTGTGGATGGGGATGCCGCGTCAAATTTCCAGCAAGGCAAACAACCTGCTGGAGTAGGATGGACGAGTCCGGCTCACAAACTTCCGACCGACTGATGATAGGGATAGCGTGGCCAATGTTGCAGAAAAATGAATCAATCAAAGCACGACGGAGAGGTTGTTTTGGGAGCACATCTGCCTCAGAAGCTTTGAGAACAGCAGCTCTAAGCTTCATAATACCATCGGAGACATTTGAGGGCGATTTGACCGAGATATTTCTGGATGTGGTAGAAGAAGCACTTGTATTCAACACCGAGTGTTCTGCCAGGTAAGCAAACTCCTGTTCATTGATACTCCGGCGAGTTGTCGAAGATGGCATGAGGCCTTGTTGTAGATTTGTCAATGAAGGAGAAGGCAATGCTCCTGTTACTGCGAGGTCGGAAGCATCCAGGAACGGGGTGCTTGAACCGTCGGCCCGATTCTGCCTTCTTGGTGATTTTTTCCTTTTCCTAACACCCTCACGGCGGCTTGGGAGTCTCAGCCAAATCAGTCTGAACTTTGGTTACATGGGGCACTTACACACAAGAGAGGTGTAATCGAGAGCAATTGGTGCAAACATTAGTATTGCTCTCCTGCAAGTTGCATCGTATCTGTCCTCGGAGGTCAATTCAAACACCATCGTTTTGGTGTTACGGAGTAGCCATACCTTTCGCTCGTGGCATTGGACGCACACCAGCCGGGCTCGATCTTTCAGAGAATGATTCATGTTTGTAACAGGGTGCGACAAGTAGAGGAGGAACAAGTTGCGGGATGCAATGGAGGCCTGAGCGCGGTCAAGTCAGCTTTTGCTTCTGCGTCATCCTACATGTGTTGTGTTAAACATAGTCAATTGGAAGCGATGAGAATGTAGGTACCGAGTAGATAAGTATTGCATTCCGGAAAGATAGCATGAGGAGACCCCACGAGTTCAACTTGAGTGCCATTTGGCTTGGCATTTTTTGTGGCCCTCGGTACGATGTGTCTGGCCCCGTTGAGCAGCGGGCCAATTCCGCCGTTGGACCGTTGAGGAAGGGCCCGAGACTCCAAAAGTAAGTGCGGTCCTTGTCGGCGCTGTGTTCGTCATGATTGTCAACAACCCGATAATAATAATGCGAGCAAAGAATCAACTTTTCAAGGCTAATGAGGAAAGGGCCAAAACTGGGGACATTGGATAGTCATGGGTCACTCAAGCATGCCTGATAAAGCCATGCCGTATCTGATCGCCGTTCATAGATAATTGCGTGAATTTTCTCCAGTCATTTGTGTGGACTGAATGCACTGAGTATGGTAGTCAACCTGCCAAAATAGTTTCATTCGCACCAAATCAAAGTCGACGTCTGGCTCCAGGCTGCAACGAAGGGAGAATCAATCTTGACGATGACCAAATGAGGGTTCGTAATATGGGAGTTGTGTTACTCACTGTTCGAAGACTACTACTTGGCTTGCATAACGGCTTGTGTTTTCTTTTCTCAGCGGGCTTCTGATGTTTGTTCAGGAATGTGCAAAACAGTATTGCTTGCATGGATACATTTCTCCTCTCAGTCAATGTGCTCGTGGTTCGCACTTTGCTCGAGGCGGGGTGCGACCTCAGAAACCCCTTGGACTGGCACCACCATCCCATGGGATGATTCATATCAAACCAAATCTCTCGGGGAGATTGCGATTTTTTCGCTTTCTCAGCCTTCTATTGTCGGATGCCAGCGACTTTGAATACGACTGGAGCATTTGCGGGGACATCTGGGGCTCTGTCACTGCCCAAAGTCATGAAGACCACATCCTGCGGCGCTCTCAGCTTGAAGCATCCATTACCGAGGAATTTGACCAACATTTCGAAGCCCGTGCCGTCAAAGCTTCTGGTCTGAACAGTCTTCCGCTCTAACACACGTCGGAGCATTGAACAGGCCTAAGCTGCACTGGCAGTTGAGGTCAAACGTAAGATGCAACACAGCATGCCCGCTTTGTTGGCAATTCGAGTTGGTATGTTGAGAAACCGGTGTCGTCGTCAGGTTGCCAGAAATACAATGTCTTGGTCGCATGATCCGGGACATAAATTGGTCAACGTGATCGGCGCAGTACAGGTTGAAACGCTGATCAACGAGCGGCCCCAATGAGATCGTTTTGCATTCCTCCTGGCTCTTCTTGATGAATGGTTTGTAAACGACTGGAGCCTCCTTCTCCATGGCCTTCTCAATACCGTGTTGTTGTTGTTTGAATTTCTGCTCCTTGGGTTTATCTCGTAGAAGTGATCTCTTTAGTCCGCCACGATCGGACTTCAAGGAGTAGTATTCATGAACACCAAAATCATCGTCGGATCTTTCTAATGCGGCGTCTTCATCACTATCGTAGTCAAATCGTCCTCATCTAATTCCGAGATATCCTCAAGAAAGTCTGCGGAGTTACCACGCCAATCTTGCTTTTTCCAGGACTTGATTTGGATGCACTAATCCCATGAGGGTATGGCGCTCCGGTATCTGTTGGATTGAAGAGACTACCAGACCCGAGAATCGGGTATAGATTTCCCCATCGTGCTAGTAGGAAATGCCTTCTTCGGTCACTGTCCACCTGGCTAAGATAACATCGAGTGACCCATAGCTAGGCAGGGTGGTGTTTGAATTGGTTTTGAATCTTCGGGAAGAGAAAATCACGGCGAATTCACCTTCTCTTACTTACACACCTGGAGCGAGCAGGGAGTTCATGAATACCGAGGTTGTTATGTACCCTGGTATGTAGGTAGGTACTCATGTAGGTGAGCAACTGAAGGAACAAAATTGGAAACTCAGATGCAAGCGCGTTGCGTCTAACCTAAAAGGTAGTAGCCTCATGGGAAACGCGATACCCGACGTGGGTTAGTGGTAATTAAGCGTTCATATCCCGACTCCAGGCAAAAGTTCTTGCACCTTCGCTACCTTCATTATCCACTGGGAATCATCTTTACATATGGAGGTGTTGGATCTCACTGGCTGTTTATGTGGACATGCCATCTTACTCCATATACTTGAAAGACACCAAGGCTCCCTGCGAGTGATGCGCGATTTTTGATTCCAAGGCTGAGTGGAAACACTGGCAACCTTGGCTGGCGTATGATGACTATCGCGCCAAGGGAGCAGACAAGTAAGGATCGCAACGACCGTGAATCTTGGCAGCGGAAACAGCACGTCGCATATTTGGCTACTGTTTTGATTACCCTCAACTCGCATTGATTGGCAAGAAGAAAGGTGCATCTTTTATGTCCGAGCAAAGCAAGGGAGAACTCGAGCTAAATGACGAGCTCGAATCACGAACCCTGGGCACTGGACGATCCTATGCACTTGACTCTTGGCTACCCACCGACCGACCACTGTCACTCAATAAACCTTGCAATTTTCCGGTCGATTTATCCGATCATCTTATCGGAACAGCTATCATGCCATTTTCCATGACTCGCATTAGTTGAGAAATGGCACTCAGGCACGGGGTAGGGGTCAATACCTCCCGAAAACTGATTTACCAAGCATTGTCCTCAACTTGGCAACTCGCTGGCAGAGTCTGGTATCCAATTGTTTCATCAGCAGGACCCAAACCCTCCTCTGCCGATATCGGTCAAGAGCTATCAACAGCTCGGCCTCGCTGCTCAAAGGCCGATATATCGACAATAACGCTGTTGCTTCTCATAATAAACATCTACAGAATGCCGCCTTTCATAGTCCAAGTCATGGAGTAGGTGCCAAGGGTAGTGGGACAAGGAGATTTCATGCCACCCTCTCCACCCGCTAGATTGTTGATTGAGGACTCGGAAGATGAGGCGGGTGTTTTCAATAAAAGGCTACCCGCTGGCTGTGTGACAGCTGCTCTTCTTTCTTGCAGTATTTGTCTCCTCCATCTCATTTGTCAACTGTTCTCTCGCTAATCACAGGGAACCTGTCGTGCATCAGCAATGTCTTTCCTGAGCAGGATGCGATCCACCAAAAGTAGTGCTCTTGAGCACGCTCCAGCTCCCAGTATCGAAGATGTTGAGATCCAAAACGTCACAAATGACAATACTACAGAGGAGAAGAACGATGCGACTGCTATTGACGATCACGGAGACACAGACCTCAAGGATGAAATCGAGGCCCCAACCCAAGATGCACAGTTGGGTGTCCAAAAGATTGAGGCTATCACATTAGCTTGGACCAAGAGGTCACTGGCGGCTTTGCTCATCATGTATGTTTTGTCCCAATACTCTCATTTAGCCTTGCGCGCATTGGGATTATTAACTCATACTGTTTCTCTGGGCAGGATCTGGATTCTCTTCCTCACGAATGGCTTTCGACTGTCGATTCTCTGGGGTCTAGTACCATAGCATTATTTTTCAACCGCTTGATTGATGTCTAGTATAAAGTTGGCCTCAATACTCATTCTGCCGCCGAGGCTGTAGCCCCACCATCCTCTCAAAATGCAATACTGTGATAATGCCGGCAGCTAGTAAAGTTCAACCTGGTCGATGTCTGTCGGAATGAATAAGCAGGCTTCGGCTTCCTCGTTCCTGAGACGGCAACCACCGTGTGTTCCATATTTGTGCCACTTACAAACAAATAGTCTGATCGAGGGTGCCCATACATAGCGCTTTCTCCGAATGGTGATACTGCAAGTGCTTTGTTCTTCGCTCTCTGTATCTCCGCAAAGACCACATGCTAGGCGCTGATCGTCGTCTCCGGTGAGAATAGGATAATGGTGCCCCTGCGGGTCGCGGACTTTCTATTTCGAGTTAGTCACTCGCCATAGTAGTTGGTAGTCTTCCTGTTACTCGCCTGATGTGTCACTGAACAGAGATCACACAGCCATTTTTTCAGGGCTTTGTTGAACCCGTAGTGTTGGTCGGGAGACAGATATGAACCACAGTGGTCGCAGACCTTCGGCTTTGGTGGTTTCAATAAAGACGGGCGCAAAACATTCCACTTCCTGAAGTAGCCCCCACATCGTACACAAACCCAGATGGGGCCCAATTCTGTAGTAACAAAACGCTGCCATTTACCCCTATTTACCGAACCACAGTTTGGGTTTTGGCAACATCTGTCTCTCGGTTTTGGAACGCCTTCGAATATAGCGTCCTTTTCTCTAGTCTTCAGCAGGTCCTCATGAGTGCGTGTTGGGCGACCTTTCAACACTTGGTGATAACAGGCTGCGCATAATTTTTCGACACCATTTCTCGGGTCAGTGGTGTACATTCCTGGCTTGTCCTCACCACAAGCTGTACATACCGGATCTGATGGAACTATATCACGGTATACTTCCTTGAATGGAAAGCTCTCGTTCAGCCGCATATGGTCGTTGAAATGCCCATGTAAATTGAGATGGGTCCATAGTTCGTCGTAGAACATTTGCAGAGCTCGAGTACGTTTTGTTGTATAGCCGGGCCCTTGCTCAATCGTCCTGAAGAACACCATGGTAATGGCTTCGAGTCCTAAGTCATACTGTATCTGCTTTGCGCTATCCAGAACCGCAAGAATCTTCGCCTTCGTTACCACGCCAGCTCTACTTAAGTGTCTGTAGCAGTTCTGAACTGTGCTCCCCCTATATCGGTACCCAATCGAGTCTAGATCTTCGTCTTTGACTTCGCTGAGGTTTCGGATCATTGAAAAGTGTTTGTTGAGACGTCTTCGAACATTACGGCTTCTACCGACATAGCCATATTGCTGCCCATCTTTCCCAACGCCATACAGCATGTATATTGCTGCAGTGCGCCAGGGAATTGACTTGGATTCAACATTCGGAAGTAACCTAGCAAGTTGTCCAACCGACGAACATTGACCATGAAGAATTCGCTTGTCGAAAACACGGTTTCCCTCTGCAGCTATGGCGCTTGGTCCAATTTCGCGAAGTATATCCTTATGGGCGTTACCGACAATCTCGTGCTCAGAGCATCGTTCGAAAAGTCTTTGAGATATGAACTGTAAGGCAGATGCAAGCTTTGGCACCCCATCCAGGCCTGCAGGAGGGAGTTCCGAAAGAGGGGTCGGGCTGAAGATTGCTGCCCATGCTGCCTTGGAAGCTACCTAAGTTTCCATGTCTTGCTCTTCTTCCTCTTCTTCATTTTCGGATCCAGAGCTATATTCAGATCCAGAGCTATAGTCGTAACCATCATTGCTGTCTTCAAGTTCAGCTTGTTTTCTGATTGTGTCTCGGATATCCTCAGGCTCAACAGAATCACTAACCACTCCAGTGAATCGCCAGTGTCGCTTTTGCTGATTCCCAGTATCGAGAGAGCTTCTGTGGGGTTCAATTGAAGGTAAGGTGTACTCAGAATCATCAAGAGCTATGGTTTTCTTTTGCTTGGAACGGTATTTGAGAGAGAGTACGCGTCTGGTGTGCTTGTGTGGTTGAGGTTCAGGACGGTATTTGAGAGTGAGTATGCGCCTGGTATGCTTGTCTGGCTGAGGTCCAGGATCTTCAACAGAGCTGGGCAATAGAGCCTGGCCCCGGTGGATTGCTTTCCTAGCCATGGGCGTATAGTCTTTAGGCTTCATCAGGAGAACTTGGAGACTGAAAATACAAGATTCAAAACATCGGTGAGATCGAGGGCGTACAATGAGAACCACTCTGCTCAGAAGTTCAATGCTGGTTGTTGAACAGGGGTTATAGGAGCGTATGACACACCAGCAAGAATCGTGGATGAAGCAGCTGTGTTGAAAGTGGGCGGTATTTCTGGAGAGGAGCCGGAAGTGTTGAACGAGTTGTTGAGGGGCATTTTGGGGACCATGGAAGGAGCAACACCTCAATGGGAAGGAGCAGGTCCGATTTGGTGTCAAGTCCAGCATAGTTGAAACTGAGGAAGGAGCGATGTGGCATCTGCGTTGGCTGTGCTCTTTGTTTCTGGAACCATTGGGAGTGCGGTCGGTGGAACCATATCCGTTGCTATCTGGACGAATACATTCGGTGACGCGCTTATTTGGTATGGACTCGATCCAGGCCGATGTTCCTCTGATCTTTGGCAACCTGGTACAGCAGCTCTCCTATCCAGTTGGGAGTCCAGAGCGATTGGGTATCCAACAAGCTTGTGGCTACGCTCAGACCAGAATGCTCGCTGCGGGTGTGGGTGTTATGGGCATGGCATTTATCTGGATGCTCTTGATCAAGATTATTAACGTCAAGACCATGTCGCAGACCAAAGGAGTTGTATTCTAGGGGCCAAACGTCTCACAAACCCTATGGCACGACAGTCGTTGAAAGTGAGGTAAGGCTGGATCATGCTAGTGTGAACCCGCTGGGTACCACTGCTTCACATTGGAGGGGAGAATGAAGAATGTCCAAGTGTGCGGTTTCAACACTTTGCCATTGCTGTTTACAGGAAAACCTAGTCCTGCCAATTGAAGGTTATTTGAGGGGTAGAGAGACAATTTTGGGTGAGCTTTCGATTGACTGGTGTTGGTATCATCTCCATCCACACGGTTGCAGTAGTCAAAAATTTGATTTGAACTGGAGGCTCGAATGGTCACCAATAGCCTTTTCGCTTCTTGCATACGTATTGCGTTGCGGGGACAAGGCTTGATTTGGTGGTGGCTGATCCAGCCGCAGCTGAAATGCTTCGTGCCAGCTCATCAATCCTCGTAAAGCACTGGTTGACAATGAGATAATTCAGCTCAACATCTTTGTTTCTGGGCTTTGGAGGTTCACATGCCTCCATATAATCCATCTATCCCTTCAGTGCTTTGCATTGCCGGCCTGAGAATTCCCCAACTTCCAACCGACCGCAAGCATTATCAGCAACTTGGCTACTAATCACAATGTCGAACCTAGTCCCTGACTTTGAGGTCAAACTCCTCTTGAACCCTTCAAAAGTACTAGACTCAAACAACAAACTTGCTGGTGTGGTCCAATCTGAGTTTTCCATCCAGCAGGACGTCAAAACGATGAGTGTGCAATTCGTGGACAACAAAACCAAAGATATCTACAACAGCGGCTGGAACCTTCGCATCCGCAGAACGGAAGGCGCCAAGAAGATCGAGCTGACATACAAGAAGCGTTATCCTATCGACATCCCCGAGATCTCGACAACAGAAGAAACTGAAGGTGGCATTGGGAAAGCGGTTGCCGCGGCTGCCAATGACGGGTTCAATTCGACAACGGATTTCGAAGCCCAAGTTGAGGTGGGCCATAAAAAACAAACCCTCTCAATCAGCCACAGTGAGAAGGCTTCTGCGAAAGGTCTCTCCGGGGTGGATCTTCCTGGTGCGGAAGCCTCAGGCGCCTTCCTCATCGCCGACGCGCCTCCGGAGTTCAAAAATTGGCCAGTGGAGAAAACTTGGCCTGTCGTTTACGGCCCAGTCGTAGCCACCCGGTTGGAAGGTGTTTGGAATGGGGAGAAGCTTTATATCGAGATTTGGCCGATTCGCGCGAGCAAGACCGATGCTACCCTTGTACCAATCGTTGAGGCATCGTTCAAAACCTCGGACGTGAACAAAGCATTGGGTGGACGCCAAGAGCTCGCTGACTTGTTGCAAAGTAAAGGCTGGTTCATTCCCGGAGATTCCTTGAAGACCCAACTTGTGATGGATCGGTATGGCCAGTAGTTGGAGTCCGCCTCAATAGGGTATCGGATGCGTAGTGGTTGAATCCAATTTGTGAGCATATGGCCAGTTCTTTTTGACTGCATGGACATATTTCGTCGTAACACTATATATTTTCAGGACTTACCTACCACTTGGTGAGACAAATTCCTTTTCTCAGAGATCATTGACGACTTGATGGAGTTCCTGAAATGGTGAAGCTGGCGACGGCCAGGCAGATGTAGTCGTCGCATAGAGGCCGTTAATGTTGATACTGGGACACCGAGGCACTTCCCATCTGGCTAGAGAGAGTACCAAATACTTCTAGCGTGCTTCCACTCTTTGGGGGGATGGTAAAGGCCATTCTTCGGGGTAGACTGGAACAAGATAAGCTAAGGCCTGGATTTAAGGTTCTTTGCAGTACTCGAAGCTTGATCGTGATCGAGGCAGAAAGAAGCAATGGTCCACCCGAGCCGACGATACGAACTACCCAACATACTACGATGGACGACGGCGTGCACCAGCGTCGCAACTCAAAGTGAAATGACAGCCCATGACATTCACTATTCTAGTCTGACGAGGAGGTAAGTAGTCTTTCTCGACTCTCCTAGGGGCATCAATCGTTGGTGGGGCTTAAGAGGCCTCCCTATTTAAAATCATTCTCCAGGGCTTAATAGAGAAGACGGACACTGAAAGAGGTTACTGTTACCTAGGTACCCTTATAAGCCGATTATGGATACCCGTGTCTTTCAAACCTCGAATGTCGTCATTATGGGTGCCCATGTCATTTGAACGTCGCTCTTGGAGGTGGACGCCTCGGTATGAGGGACCACGTACCATCTGAAGCAGCTCCGGCGGTCAGCACAGTCCGCCTTCCAGCGGGAATCACATTCACCCATGTTGACAAAGTACTTACTACTTAGTGGTGGACTGATCACCGATTCATGATCATGACTTGCAAATCAAGTACGGAGACAAGGAGCCAGACCCTCATCCTTCAGATCGAGCTCCTGTTTCCAGCCACCACTTAATCTGGAGTTCGCGTTGTGCTTGTCCATCCCGACTAACCAAAGAAAACACGGCCTCGGCCTAGGGGATAAATCGGGCATAGTCCTTTTCTTTAGGAATTGTTCTGGAACCGCCGGGGGGAGCGCCCAGGTATACCCCAGGGACCCCAGGGGACCCCAGGCTCGAGCAAAGCATCTCCCCCAGCGCCGAAAGCGATTGTCGTTCCTCCAGCCACGCCAAGGATATCGAGGAACCCCCGCGAATTGACCCCCAATATCACCCCGCTGAGCCTGTCTGCCCGGTTTCCAACTCTTTTAAGCCTCACAAGTCGACGGAGGCGATGTTGGATCAATCCCAAGAACGGAGATCCACAACAGTAAGTCGATCCCCCGTTCCCCGCAGGTCTTGCATGGCTCTTAGGACCGTAAGATGTCTCCCACCTCTCAAAGAAGTGCGATCAAGAAGCTTTGGGACAAATCAGACTGCTGCCCTCACTACGCGGCATCCCCATGATCCACCCCATGGATAAGTTTTTGCCATGTGATTAGCTGTGGGAGGACGGGGATAAGATCGTAAGTAGTATCGCATAAAGAGAAAGGCAGGTCCCTTCCTTGAACTTGGACGTCGCTCACACAAGACCATCATCACCATCGATTTCCTGCTCCGTCAGACTCGCAACAGCACACCATGGCTAGAGATACGGGTTACCGTTTGTTCAGCAAGATCGTTCATAACGATGCCATGAAACAAGACCCGCCAGAGATCTACGGCTGGAGAGCATTCTTCCTGGCACTCTCGGTAATTGTTCTCCCTGCCCGAATACACAAGTACTAGTAGCTTACGATATATCTACCGCAGTCCGGTTTTGGAGCCATGCTGTTTGGCATGGATAGCTCCATTATTTCTGGCGTCGTCGTTCTACCTGCTTTCCTCACACGCTTTGGACTTGCAGGCGCCCCAAACAAGCAGGCTCTTGCAAACTTGCAGGCCAACATTGTCTCGACTCTGCAAGCCGGATGTTTTGCCGGTGCCATCATTGCAGGGTTTATGGCTGACAGGATTGGCCGAAGAAGATCACTTCTGGTTGCTGGAACGGTTGTCTTGATCGGAGTCCTTCTTCAATTCAACGCCTGGGGCCATCTCGCAGCATTATACGTCGGAAGATTCATCGCCGGTCTCGGTGTGGGCGTCTGCAGCGTAGTCACCCCTTTATACACCTCAGAAAATGTCCCACGCGCCATCAGAGGCCTTCTGACCGGAACCTACCAATTTTTCATCGTCCTTGGCGGCATGCTGGCCTACTGGATCAATTATGGTGCAAGCTTGCATCTTCCAGGCGATAGCTCGTGGGTCGTGCCTCTAGCAGTTCAGGGCTTGCCTGCTGTCCTCCTCTTGATCTGCATGTTCTTCTGCAACGAATCACCTCGCTGGCTTATGAAGCAGGATCGATGGGAAGAAGCCAAAGCAGTCCTTTCGAAGGTCCGAATGCTTCCTATCAACCATGACTACGTCGAGGCGGAATTTGGCGAAATGGTGACTCAGCTGGAAAATGAACGCGCGCTGATGAAGGGGGCGGGCTTCTTGGATCTAATGAAGGAAATGTGGCTCATTGCAGGCAACCGACGACGTGCGATCACAGTTGTGATCTTGATGATTTGCCAACAAATGACAGGTACGGACATACAAATCACCTGCCGAAGATTCATACTGATCAGGACACAGGAACAAATGCCATCAACAACTACGCCCCTCTCATCTTTGCTGTAAGCTACCTCCCGTGTATATGTAGACCATGGCCCTATACTAACGCAAGTCTGTCAGAATCTTGGCATTACTGGTCACAACACTGGTCTCTTCGCCACTGGTATCTACGGAATTGTCAAGTGCATCAGCTGTGCTATCTTCCTCTTGTTCCTTGCGGATACCCTTGGCCGACGCCGATCGCTTTTGTGGACTGCCATTGGACAAGGCTGCTGCATGCTGTTCATCGGCCTCTACATTCGGATTTCTCCCCCGATCAAAGGCCAACCAGTTCCCCCAGTGGGCTATGTGGCTTTGGTGTGCATCTTCCTATTCGCCGCATTTTTCCAGTTCGGATGGGGACCTGTCTGCTGGATTTACTCGTCTGAGATCCCTTCTCTCCGTCTTCGTGCCTTGACCGTGGCATTGGCTGCGGCTACTCAATGGCTTTTCAATTTTGTTGTGGCCCGATCTGTCCCAGTCATGTTGGTCACTGTTGGGTAAGTTTTTCTTGATCTCTATGTATATTCCTTCCACTCATGTCTCTTCTCAGCGCCAACGGCTACGGTACCTACTTGATCTTCTGCTCGTTCGCCTTTGCGATGTTCTTCTTTGTGTGGTTCTTCGTCCCAGAAACGAAAGGTGAGTCATACCTGTCCTTAATCAGTGGCCACCAACTGACAAATGATAGGCCTTTCTCTTGAAGCAATGGATGCGCTCTTTGGTGTCGTTCCTCATGATGAAGTTGCACTAGAACGTGGTGAGCTTGGTGCGGTGAAGAGTATCCGCAAGAGCGTTGAGAAAGATATTGCCGTTGAGCAAGTTGAAAGGGACCACTAGTGTATGACAGCAGCCATTCTTAGTACAGAGCAGTTAATTAGCGCCGACCATAATCTCTTGTCACCCTTGCTGAGATATTGACCTCGAATTCTTCCCCTAATGATCCCTATACCCGGTATCCCTAGCTGGTAGTCATCGATAACCTTTCTCCCAATCGCGTTCCTGTAACTGATGCTTCAGCCGAGGCTTAATCTGGAGCCTATTACTGCTCAAACAGAGATCACTATCAGAGACAATGGTTCATCGCTGACAATGTTGGCTTCGTTAACTTCACGACTGACAGCTGCGTCAATTGTGGCCAGTCGCCTAGAGACGCAATACAGCAGCGAGTCTTTATCGGATTGGGGAGACTGTCATTCCTACATTAGGTACTTTTCATCAATAGCTAGCACGATCCTCCCGGTTCGTGACTCTTAACTAAGCATTGCAATCTTCTCGGCCACAGAATTGTGGGACAAGCAAACGAGTGGATTCCCCAATCCCCCTTACCATCCTTTGACATCCTCGAATGATGCTCACCAGACATGGCTACTGGACTTGGATCTCACTGACCCCTGGGAAAGAATGTGATGATCCCGTCTCCATTCGAGTCACTGAACTCTCCACCAATGCACCAATTCTGAAATCCACCGTCACCTGCAAGTTGAAAACTGGCCAGATGTCAACATCTCGATCACAGGATGGAATGAAAGTTGAAAGGAAGACTCACTATCCCGTGTCAAAGACCCAGATCTCATAGCCTTTGGTGAAGCCCAGTAGCAGATCCAACTCGTAGTGCGCGTGCACTGCGTCGGTCAGGTCGTAATAGCTGTCTTGGTCATGATAGACGATGACGTTCTTGGTGGGATAGGCATCGAGTAGGTTTTGCACGGTTTGTTGGGTGAATGCTCCCTCTTTCTCGGCCTGATCTTCGACCAGGTCGATGATGAAGTTTACCACGTCCGAGGCAAAGTCAATAATGGCTGTGGAAGAAACTTGTCAGTGATGGGTTCATAGGAGGATTGAAAGGTAAACTTAAAAGCGCAAGCATACTGACCAGCTGCTGTGAGGATGGGATTGCGTTCAGCGACGTCACTGGCTTCACGCACTGAAAGTGCATTGGAGATGCGGCGAGGTGCAAGACTGGTGGGAATGTCTGGCTGTGGTGCTGGGGCAGAGAAAGTGAGACTTGTCAAGATCGAGACAAGAATTGTGAAGCAAAATTGTGGCTTCATCCTGGGCAGTATGTGATGGTTATTGACTCTGCGTTGGTGGAAGGGAATGGCAATCCTTATCCGAATTGGAAGCGTGGACTAAAAGAGGCACAGCCTTGTGAGATACCAGATTATCAAGAAGACTTTCAGCTGACTATTCACTTGGTTGTCAGATACAGGATTTTGAAAGACCGGACTCTGGAAAACTCCAACACACAGACTGGAGTCTTTTATAGCAACCATGCTCCCTCGCGCTGTATGAGGCTGTCAATTCAGACTGACGATCGCCTTGAGGTGCATCCAACCGAGCACGGACTAGTATCGACCATTTTCCTTCTTCGATTGCAGTGAGTTGTCTGGGGCCAAAAACCGCATACTGTTGCCCAATCGATATCTGCCTTACGGAGTATTTTATGGTGAAGACATGATGGCAGTGCTGGACCTACTGCACGTGGAGTGTGCAGCCCGCAGAAGGTTTCTATTCTAACAGCTTGACATGCGCCAGTCCGAAGAATCGTAGTCCAGCTTGTAGGTTCTGGAGACAAGGCGTGCAGGACATCACTGATATGTGGACGAGTGCGAGCCGCATGCCGTCTCGCCAAGCACAGCACCGCATACCTAGTGGGTGGCTATGGTTGGATACTATATACTTAGCGTTCAAAGGTCACAGAAGACGGGTGACGACCGACACAATAGGCCAGATTGAAGCTTACCAATGCTTGTGAGCGACAGTCGGGCAAATTCTAGTCAGAGGGGGCTGAAGTAATTCTTTGCAGGCTTCAGACAGTACTGCGTTCTGCCCCTCTGTTCAGGCATCCAGCGTGCTAAGGCTACAGCCTTATCCGTGACACTTTCATTATGATGTGAGTAAACCCAAGAATGGGATCAACGACGAGGTCATTTAACAAAGTTTATTGTTGTCTGCACCGGACAGTCTGGAGTCAGCCTGGAGCAAGCATGGCGCATCACTTGTCGTTGAGCCTCTCCCTCGCATGAGCCGCATGTGGAACAGAGTCTGGCTAGCGTGGTTGCGTGAGGCTTGAGTGGTGAAGGCTGCCTAACGATACTATCGTAGTTAGCACCCGAAACCTCCGCAGTGCCTAGGCCATCAGCCTTGCGAATACGCCAGTAGCAACTTTGGGGGCAGATTATCAGAGGAAACAAAACCATCTGTTTGTTCGATTGAGTTGAGATGTCTGGGCAACGTAAGACCAGCTGTTTCCATGGGTTTTCTAGATCATCTTTGGAGATTGTCTTGATACGAATCATGATCAATGATGAGCACTAACACCTTCATAAGTCACCGCACTTCTAACATGTTCAGTTGATGACAGCTTGATCCCTACATCGTCAAAGTCTGGAAGATGCCAATCACTCAATATACCTGAAACTGGGGTGTCTATAGCCCAAGTTTTCAAGCTCCTCGTCAGTGGTCAGGCCTTGCAAACGGTAGTCACGCTTGCCCTGATCTCTTTGTTTGTTCTCCCACCTGACGTAGATGATGCCAACCACACCAAGAAGACACACAATTATTTCTGCTCCCATGTTGATGAAATGACCTTTTCTGTATCTTGGAGCATCTGCAGGAAGATACGACCAAACTGCGATTAGGGACCCGAAATTCCCCATGCAGATCACAAAAGCTGAGCTCACTGCCCGGATGGAGCTTCCTGCTGCATTATTGAGACACCAAGCTAAAACCGTCGTTCCAATGAAGAAGATCCCAATAGCTGCAATATACACCGCGGCGTACTTAACGTTTGGGTTTTTGACAGTGCTCAATATTGCGTACCCAGTCATTGCTAGGAGGGCACCAGCTGAGATGAAAACTCCCCGCTTCTGTAGGCGATCACTCAGCCAGGACATGAACAGCGAGACCACTGTGGCGACTGTGTAAACTGGGACGGTATATAGTTGTGCTTTGATGGATGTATATCCAAGTGCTGCAAGGATGGTCGGCATGAAGAGTGCCAGTGATTGGACTGCAACATTGGCGAACATGAAGGAAAATCCACAAATTGCATTGTTGATGTTGAATATCCCACGGTATACGTCCTTCTTCGTCACCCTATGTCCCTTCGTCCGCGCGTCGTTGTATTCGATATTGATGCGCTCAGCAGCGATAAATCGATGACGCTCAGAGAGAAACGTACAATCCATAGGACTCGATGGGAGGAAATACATAACAACAAGGCCAATGACAACCGTGAGAATGCCTTCGAAGAAGAAGATGTTTCTCCATGTATGGATCGGCGTACTCTCGACACCCCAGCGTGGTATCTGGCTGAGACCCGCTGCGAAAAGGCCTCCAAAGGCACCCGCCAGGCAAGCCCCGTTGACAAACCAGCCAATTCGAAGAAGGAGCTCAGAGCGACGATAGAAGCTTGTGACATACCACGAGCGGAATGCCCATCGTAGCTAGATGCGAGAGGTAATGTCAATTGATGATGATACTGAAACTGTCTAGGTACAATAGGGGGTACGGGGGAGAAGCCTAGTAGATATACCAGGGATCCTAGACTAGCCCTAATCGGGACTAGACTGCCTCGTATCACGTGATATCACGTGATCTGGATCCTGGTGTTGCTACCAAGACCTCTCTACTCCGCCGTAATGATTCGCCGTAACGCAATTTACCACTAGTGCAGTTATCAGCTCGACAAGGACCAAAAACCTCAGCTGGACAGGGTCAATAACCAGTTATTATAGCTCAACGAGGGTCTCAGGAGATGCGGAAAAGGCCATTCTAGATCGTCACCACGCGTAATTTATATAGAGAGAAGAACAGCCTCCATGAGTAGAGAAAACAGAGACAATTGGACAATTCCTGAAGTGCATTTCCTACCGCCAAGCCTCCAACACCTGGCACGTCACAAAGCACGTGAGGTAATATGAGATCCCGGGCATGAGACCCCCCTCGGCGAAGCCAAGGAAGAATCTGCATGCTAGTAATCCTGGATAGTTGTGGACGACTGAAAGGTCGTCGATAATTAGCTTCACTTTGGTATATCATGATTGAATTCGGTAGGATATTGAAAATATGGGGTCCATGGTTGCTGAGGTGAGGAAAACTTACAGGCAGTGCACATTGAGACAAATCCAAAGGCGACCACCAAGGATGGAAGATAGTACTTCGCACCGACGATCTTGAGGAGCATATTGGAGGGGATCTCAACAATGAAGTATCCGACATAGAAGATTGTCTGTATTCAATAAGCACTTCGCTTTGCTTCTGCAGCTTGAGACAAACCAAAGCCATATTGAATCGGTACCCATGTAGGTTTAGGTCGGTCTGAAGTCCCTGGATGCGGGCATTGCTGTTCTCGTGTTAGCATCCTTTGTATCCTTGTCAATTTTAATGAACATTGCCGCACCCAATGTTGGCTCTGTGGACGACGTCGTTAGATATACTCGACCGTGTTGTAGAAGATGGCCGCCGGGTACTTACCTGTCAAGAAAGCACAGAAGATAAAGGACAAACATGATTGGCACAACTCGAAAATCAACTAGCCATCGCACTGTTGTCTCTTCTCTCTCTGTCCATGTATTTTGCTGAACATCCTCAACTTCATTTTCTGAGTATTTTTCAGACTTCGTATCCATGATTTGACGATGGGATCATTCGTTGGTACGGGCAAAATGACCAAGCGGTAGAATCTGGAAAAGTGGGCTGTCGACAATGGACGACGTATAGTCGGTCGAGTCTCTGGTTGATATGTTCCCAAGCTGCCGTTGCAGCGTAGTTGAATGCCTGCACATGAAGGAGACCCATCAGTTTTATGAACCAGAATGGATTGCCAAGTCTTAAATTCATCCTGTCCCGAAGGCGGTTGGCACTCGAAGCGACAGAGTGTGGAGGGGATGTAACGTGTCAGGATCCGCACGGCGCCCCATGGAGTAGCCAAGACTGGAGCACAATGCGATGCTAACGCTCCAATACCCCAATATAACGAGCTTCTGCGCAAGTAATTGTATTGCCGATCCAAGAAGTCTTCAATTGCCATTGTTGATGGTCAATCAATGATGCATTCTTGGCATGAGGTACTTTTCCTGCTCCGCCGGAAAGCAAGATGCCGATTGGTGCAAGGATCACTCAGGCAAGGTCGATCCCGACTGGCTGTCCAGAGCAGCACACAAATGATACGACTATCCCCAGCAAGGTAGACTCCTGGTGGAAGAAATTCATGTCTTCACAAGCCACAACTTCAGCTTGTCTCCGGGGAGACTTCACGGGTTTCTTTCTATGGTCGTAAAGAACCACTCACCCAACTTCTTCCGGCGGTCATGACACATAGCCATAGTTATCCCATAGAAAGTCATTCTCACTACTTTGGAAGAGGAAGTCATCCGCCGCCTGAACGATGTAACTTGACATGGAGCCCATTGCAAATTCTAGAGCCGACTCAGCATTGCCACGGGTAGGGCCACACGGCGAGATGTCCTGCTCGTCCATATCAGGGGATTTGGACCTGACTGCAGATAATCATTAGTATTGTTGATAGTGAAGCTAAATTGGAGATACTTACCTAGCGAATCGAAGAGGTCGAGAAAGTTGAAAAAGCAATTGCTACCCCTTTGACTCATGAGGCTGGCTTTTCCAATAGCCTGTAATGTTAGAAGACCGTCATTAAGGAAACCTCGAACGTCAACGAGATGAATGTTGGAAATGGACAGGCGATCTGGATGTCGTGCACAAGCCAGCATGATACCAAAGAGATGGATACTGGCAGTGAAAACTATACAATCATGAGCTTCTCAGTGCAAAGTCTGTTATGCTGAAGCAATGTTTCCATACCTGAATAGTTTGCAAGAAACCAAGCCCCGTAACGATGCAAAAAGCTAGTTCCAGAGCTCTCGATGGCCTGGACAATGCCGACAAGTTCTTTTGCTGCGGTAAAGTCGTTCTGTACGATTGGGAGGACAACAGCTGTCGTTGTTTCTGGGACTAAGCTCAACTCCGTAATCCAAGACTTGAGGATTGACGTAATCAGCGGACGATTGATCAACATTAAAGTTCGATAGTAATGTATGGAGAGCAATATCTCGAATCTCAATGATTCGTATGTACTCTTGGGTTTCCCATGTAGCTCTGCACCAGTAAGTAATTTCCAGGACCCTGCAGTAGATATGCGCCATCTCTCTAGCTCGAGCTGCAGTTCCAGTCTCCGAACAAGAAGGTTGTCAATGCTTGATTTCGCTGAGTCAATGTTGTGGTCATATAAGACCTCGACTGCTCTCGAGATGATGGAGATGATCGATCTGCCATCCATACTAGTTAGTAAGAGCAGGTATGACGGGTGAAAACCATTACATGACGTGTCGGAAGTAAGTCCAAGATTCGATGCGATCGGGACTCACAGCATCGAGATATATTGTAGTCGGTCGCGGGTCATCTGGTTCAATTCTTGCATGCTGTTTCGGAATAAGGCATGGCCGGCCCAGTGCAGCAGAGAGCAACCTAAGCGTTCGTTAATACTGCAAGATAAATTGCGAAAGAGTTCACCTGTCTTGATTCAAAACTCCGAACCAGAGTCGCTTCCTCAGTTGCTGACTCTCGGCGTTGAGACTTTGATATGAGCTTTGAGAGTGAAGACCAAGCTGGAATGCAGCTTTCACGCTGAGAGCGTGGAAAGTCCAACTGGTCACAGATCTTTGATTGTTCTGTTGATAAGACGTGACAAGGAGACAGGTTTGCACTGATGTCTTGTCAGTAGAGGAAAGAGCCCATTGACTCCGTGTTCGAACTCACCCATCTCTTGACTTGTCCTACGAATCGTGAGACTGTCCAATAGGCTTATAGCTCGGCGATAGTAAACCTCGGAGTCTACCGCGCCGAGCGAGCAGGAACCATGCGCCCAGATCATATTGAACAAAGCTCTCTGGACTCTATCAAAGTCTTGAAACCGCCGCTCTTTCAGCTTAGTGTACCCGCGTACAAGCGCCGGTCTGTTGAAAAATGGCATTGTCAATGCAATTGTGGTGAAAAACTGCTTGAGAAGTGCCAAAGCTGTCTGGTCATCTGGAAGTGCCATACAGTCGAAGATACCCGAGATATGAGAACGCCTTTCTGGGACGCCCGCTATCAAGTTTCGAGGAACTGACCACGTATTGAGAGCACTCGACTGTGTCGTGAATCCATCACGCGCCAGATGTGCGAAGATCCCGGATAAATTTCGAAAGTAGTCGTGATTGGAACTCGGTCCTTCGGGGCAATTAGCGAATTTGTATCAACTGGGATTGAGTGAGGATCATCACCAAAATGACCTATGTCGGTCTCAATTTCATCACTGAAGGTTCCTGTGGCAAGTGTGTCAATTCGGGCTTCCTCATCTGACACTGTGATATTTCGTTCATCACAGTGTGAGACATCTTTCGACTTAGAGGCATGCACCAAAGGATCAGATGGTTCACTACTAAGCATAGGTTGAAGCAGCGACGACGTGTCTCGTGTCGACATCAAGGGTTCTACATTGAGTTTTCCTGGTAGTGAAACTTTCTCAGGCTGGTGGAATGGCACTGTCACCGTGCGTTTCTTCCTACTGGTCGTAAGCTAAGGCAATAGTCATGATGCCAATTTATCGGTACCTGGAAAATGGTTCATGCTGCCTTTGGCCCCGACCTTTGTTTTGGTCACCAGAGACCTCCAGGTATTCGCAAGAGATCTGAGCTTGTGAGCAACTGGAACAAGACGGTTGTTCTCCATCACACTGTCGGTAATGTTCATTGGTATTTGACTCTAAAACGATGAGCTTTTCATGCGGTAAGCTTACTCGGGATTTCTTTTGCCTGCAATTTGTGCATGCCAACTCAACACGTCGGCGCTTGGTCAACGGCTTGTGACGCACTGCCATTGCTACCGCCCGGAGGGATTGACAGCCTTGTTAGGGTCAGAATGGTTCGGGAACGCAGAAACCTGCTAAGATAGAACTCCGCACGTCTACCATTCCACGTGTCCGCTAGACTCGCTAAAACGCGAGAGACATGATTTCAGTGAACACCCCGCAACTTTCTAGCCAGCTGGGCAAAGGGTGCGCGTGGAAGTGCCAGTCGACGAGAGATGAGAGAGGTGGCAAATGGGAAAGAGATGGAAGTTCGTATCGAGCTGGCGTCGTACATGAGGAGTTTGTGGGGTGAAAATCACATTAGCCGCTTGCCCCGGGAAGGTTGATCCCGATTGGCAGAGAGCAGCGTCTCGAGGAACTCGGTCGGGGATAGGATTTGTTTGAGGCGAGACTACAATATTGCCGACCGCATGGTTGACCATATTTTAGTCGAATGTCCTGGTCGTGTTCGAGTAGCTGAGATCTATACAAGTCTGCTGCCAAGGTCCGACTCTAAGGCACCAGACATCACCACTCAGATAGGTATGTATCTCAAATCGGTAGAACAGCCACACCATCTCGGGTACGCCATCCTTGCTATTCTAGCCATATATCTCGTCGCATACATTGTCTACCAGAGATGCCTGCACCCTTTAGCACAATATCCAGGACCCTTCTGGGCCTCGGTTACTGATGTCTGGCAAGTCTTCGAATTTTTGTCCTTGAAGCAACCATATCGGCTCACAGACCTACATGAGCATTATGGACCAGTCGTCCGTTATGGGCCTGATAAGATCAGTATCACGCATGAAAGTGCCGTGCAGGCAATATATCAAAAGTCCTCGAAAGCCTTACCAAAGACAGAGTTCTATGATGCTTTTGGTGGTGCACATCCAAATGTGTTTGGAACTCGAGATGAGTCGGTAGGTGGCCTAGTCAATTATTTTCATTCGTGTGCCTAACGAATCTCGAAGCATCACTCTTTAAGACGACGACACATGTCTCATGCATTCTCAATGGCAAATATCAAGCAAATGGAGCAATATATTGATGAGAACTTGTCCATCTTAATGCAAAAGATATCAGAGGAGGCGACTGCTGAACGGACTTTTGACCTGAAAAAGTTCCTGCATTACTATGTCATCGATGTGCTTGGAGATCTAGCCTTCAGTAAATCATTTGACCTTCAGATCACGAATGATACATCCCGAGTGCCGCCGGTTAAAGAACATACATTACTTGCATCAGCGACGGGAGCGTGGCCAGCGTTGCTGCAAAGTCTCAAATGGTTGCTTCCTAGACTCCCGATTCCTGCAGTGCAAGGGTTGGTGAATGGCCGGAGAGATTGTGCTGAACTCGCATCAAGGAGTGTCCAACGTCGGCTGCAGGAACTGCAGACGAGCCAAGATCAGAAAGAAGTCTCGTTGCCACAACGAAAAGATCTTCTGACCAGTTTGATACTCGCAAAGCACCCCGATACTGGCAAGCACCTTTCACAAACGGATCTAGAGACGGAAGCATTTGGGTTTATGTAAGTTCAGAGGAAACTTTACTACGCTTTAGGATCGTTTTACTGACGAAGAATATTCCAAACTAGCATTGCTGGCACTCATACTACAAGCGCATCAACTACACTACTATTCTACAATCTGCTCCATAACCCAGAATCCATGAAGCAGTGTATATCTGAGCTTGACGCAAACCTTCCTCCTCTAGGTGTAGATGAGGCAGCATACCCGGTAACTGACATCGAGTCCTCCTTGCCATACCTGAGAAATTGTGTCAAGGAGAATTTTCGTATAACGCCTGTTTTTACCATGCCACTTGCTCGCCGCATCACAGCCCCAGAAGGGCTAACCATCGAAGGTCATCACTTCGAAAAAGGTGTAAGTCTAAAACACATAATCGAATCCTTGCCCTCAGTGAAGGGAAGACTAATAACATAACCCAGACCTCGATAGCAGTATGCAACCACGCGTTTCACCACGCCCCAGCCGTGTGGGGAACAGATCACAACACTTTCGACCCAAGTCGATGGGAGCGACCAGAGACAGCGGATCGGTCACGACTACTAATGCATTTCGGGCTTGGTGGACGCCAATGCATTGGAAAGACCATGGCTACGACCAACATCTACAAGGTGATGAGCTCTTTACTCTCCCAATTCGAATTCAAGCTGGCAGAGGAGGCGGAAGCCCTGCGCGCTCAGCAGGGTGGTTTCAAGGGCGTGTTGCCGCCTCTTATCAGCGTGGGTGTCAGTGATCTGGAGACTCCGCTCATGGTGACGGCGAAGCTGGGGTTGAAAAAATGAAAGATGGGTTGTTTCAGATCCACAGATTATTTTGCAAACCATCATTTTAACCCATGGCTTGTGGTATTATCACCACAATTACGAAAATCCATATTCAGGTCGCTGGTCTAGACCCAGGCTGCGAAGTGAAGACGCTCAAGCAATCTCTTCAGTCTTGGTATCTCGAACTCTTGATCACAACATGGGCCCACTCCAGTAATTTGCCGACGTAGAGAAATGAACCTGATGGTAGGAATTGATATTATTAGACACTTCCGGTGATTATAGCTCGATGGCAATAAGCCAAAGACTGCTGTCGCGTCGCAACCAAATATGTACACATTATTTCTCCAGGACGTATTCATGCACCGAGGCGAAAACAATCCCCTGATTTATGCTAATTGACCCCTGACAACACCTGGAACATACTTGACGGTGTGGCTGTCGGTGAAGAATCCCGCCGGGTTGTCTTCGATCTGCTTGACGGTGAAACCAGTGCCGGTGTCAACACCATTGGACAAAACTCCGGTCAAGAACGGACCGGTCAAACAGCCTACTGAGCGACGAACAACTTTGGGGTCGTTGCTGACAGGTGAAGGGTTGGGGAAAGCAATACGAGGTGGGCCACTCGCTCCCTTCGCAGCTTGGTGAATGTGGGTAGCAGTGCGTGCTGGCGACTGATAGTCTCCAGTAACCCCCTTGAGAGTGATGTTCTACCTGAACGTTAGTACATAGAATCATAAGTTTGACAGAGTACTCACGTAGCAAATAACATTGAGCTCGGAGTTGATGCCGTAGTTGTAGTATCCAATAGCGCCAGGTTCACCTGGAGTAACAGTGGTACCATTGATGACTTGATCTGGAGTGGCGACGACCTTGTATACTGAGGTGAAGTAGAATGGAGAGTTATCCCATTCAGCCCATTTCGAGCCCCGGCTGTCGATTGGGCTCGCTGCAGCTAAGCTGCTGAAAGCGGCGGCAATGAAGGCGATACTGGTAGTCTTCATATTGCAGATAGAGAGTGGCTGACACCTGGACAAGGTGGGATATATGGCGGACTCGGTAGTGCAAAGTCTTTTCTCGTGTTTGAAGCTTGGATGATGAGAGCCGATGATCGAACCTTCCGAAGTATCACGGATTCTTCAAGCATCTTATAGATTTCAGGAAGAGCTCATTTGCCTACTTCCATCCATGTCTCACATCGTCATACCTTCTTGGGCTCTACGAACCATAACTGTCTAGTTTGGCAGTGACAAATATTATGGATCCACGTTTATGATTCAGCCATGGCGTGGAAAAATATCTGTAGTTCAATCCCATCCCGCGCGAAGTTCTGAGAGCTATGACAATGCTAAGCAGATGCTAATTGCGACGGATAGACTAATATGCCTGTTGTAGCAGCTCTCATGAACATTGGCAGAGGCGAAGTCAGGCTGAAGGCCAATCTGCCAAGGGCCAAAGGGTCACCAGATTGCCATCAGCATTAGCACCAGAATCAGCGTATCTGAAGATCTGCGTCATGGTGAAATCTTGTGAAAGGCAGTCGATATAACCAAGACAGTATGGATGATGGACGACGCCAAACCTGGGCAGGTCGTCACCGCGTTGGGAACTAATGGCTTGGTATTGTCCCTTTTCTGGAAGTGCCAAGGTTCGCCAATCGCGCCAACTAGGTATGCTCTCAATGCTCAAATCATGTTACGTCAATGCTTCTTCCATGGCGATTTGAATCATCTTCCCGAGGTTTCCCAAGTCCCGCGGATTGGACCATTTTGCGCGTTCCTTGCTTGCCTTTACCGACCTAGGGAGGAAAGTAGTTCTTTAGCTTCCTAGAGATCTTCGTTTTCCCGAGCTTGGACGATCGATATTGTGGAGTTGCTATAAATAAGTCTCCATCTCGAGCAAGAAGAATCTGCGGAGAAGATCGACATGTCCCGAATCTCCAGGCTCTCGACTTTCATTGTTTACTGCGGATGGACTCCTTGGTCTCAGTCTTGCCCATTTTCGCGCACAGTTGAAGTGTCGGTAACCTGCTTCGGGGTCGCGAGGTGACCAAGGTTTTGGCACCTCTTGTCCACCATGAGCTCAGTGATCATCGCTAGCCGAAACATTTACTTTAACCGGTACTGTGCTTGGCGATTGGGAAATCTTCTTCCACTCAGAAATTGGAGCACGAATTGGCTCAAAGTTTCGTGGCTTTGCTAAGGACAGTCAGCCATATTCACCTTTTTTGCGACTAAGTCCAGACAACTCGAGATTACTTATCAATATGGCGAAATCGAATTTCCAAAGATTTCCATCAAGAAAGCCATCTCCGGAGGCCGGAGTAGTTTTGATCACGAGGATGCATTTAGCGGCCAAATTCATAGCTCAAAAGCTACCGCAGTGCTCCACATGCGTTAACATGCTGCGCCTCAACTACAGATCCATTTTGTCTTTACAGTACGCACGCCAAGTTATGAACCAAATGCACGCCCGGGGCATCAGAAACTCAAAATGGAGCATAACGCGATTTCCTGCCGGTTTCTCATCATTTCATCAAGGAGATCCATCAAAACAAAGAAATCGAGCCACATATCAATTTCCCAGAATGACCTCTTTGCCCGATGACATGATTTGGCGATGGGAACCGACTGTTCTGGACTACTCAGTCTATTTCTCAATATCAACTTTAGAATCCTTTCCGGTCGGCCAAGTGCTGCCCCTGCCAAGGTCAGAGAGATTATTGAGCGTGCCGGCCATAGGGGACCGGTGGACTTCTTCGAGACCAGCCATGAAACTCACCTGCCAGAACTCTGAAAGCGCATGTCGACACCGGGTTATAAAGCATTTCCCAATGAGCTAAAACCTACAATGATAGTAATTACCACAATAGTGGCAAGAAGTCTTGATTCATCTAGTAGCCGAAATACGAACGTGTAAGTAGACCTTTATGCTAAGGTATCACTCTCGAATAGTTCCTTCTCAAGGCCGTCCAGGTCTCCCTTGGCCCGCCATTCTTGCATTATCTGTAAGAACTTCAGGGGGCCGCCGCCATAAGACGAGTTCCTCGCCAGTTTAGGGTTTGGGATCCCTTCGTTGTTATAATAGCCAGGGGTACACTCCTTTGCAAAACTCTCTCTGAGCGCGGCAAACTCTATGATGGTCTTCACCCACTGGTCTTCGGCCTCCTGCGTCGGCTGAAGCGTTTTGATATTTCTCTTCTTCGCCTCGCTAATCACATATGCAAAATGTACCGCTTGGTCGGCAGTGACATGCATGAAGTTCGGCGTCAGGGCTGCCTGCAATATCTGCACCATGAAGAAATTGGGGAATCCGCGTGTCGTCCAGCCATGTAGAGTCGCCGCTCCGTCTTGCCATTTGGCGGAGATCAGCAGCCCGTCTTGTCCAACGACCTCGAAGCCGCTTCGCTGCGTCCAATCGGTGGCCAGCTCGAATCCAGTGGCATAGATCAAGCAGTCGATTTCATATTCTTGCCCGTTGGCAACGACCCCTTTTTCGGTAATGCTCTCAACACCCTTTCCATCCGTGTCTACCAGTTGGACGTTTGACTGGTTGAAACTCTGCAAATACTCATCATGGAAGCATGGCCGTTTGCAAAACTGATTGTAGTATGGCTTAAGCTTTGCGGCGGTTTGCGGATCTGTGACAATCGAGTCGACTCGGGCTCGGATTTGCTCCATCTTTTCATAGTCAAAGAGCTGCCGTTGCTCAGCTAACTCCTGTGCGCTGTTCGGATTGTTGGGGTCGACTGGTTTCCGAACAAGAAGCTTGCGAATGATATCAGTCCAACCATCCGCAACCAAGTCCTCGTCTTGTTGACCACCATTGACTATGATATTGAAATTGTCCATCCTCTTTTTCTGCCAGTGATCTCCTAACGATTTGACCCAATCCGGGTCGGTCATCTTATTTCCACGCACATCTATACTGCTTGGAGTCCGTTGAAAGACGTAAACCTGCTTTGCATGATTTGCTAGGTGTGGCACGATCTGTACACTCGTAGCACCAGTGCCGATGATGCCGACACGCTTGTCCGCGAGTTTGTGGAGATTTCCTGTGCTGTTGCCGCCAGTGTATTCATAATCCCAGCGGGAAGAATGAAATGCGTGCCCTTTGAAGGTGTCGACCCCGGGAATTCCGGGTAACTTTGGACGGTGCAATGGTCCTGCAGCAGAGATGAAGAAACGTGCTTTGAATGTGTCTCCGCGATCACTAGACGCATGCCACTCGCTGGTCTCTGCATTCCACTCAACCTTCTTGATCTCGGTCTGAAAGACGGATTTTGGATAAAGTTGATATCGACGACCAATCATTCTGGCATGCTCGAGAAGCTCTTCATTCCGAGCATATTTTTCAGTAGGCACATAACCAGTCTCGTCCAACAAGGGCATGTAGACATAACTCTCGATGTCACATTGCGCACCAGGATACCTATTCCAATACCTGAAAGTGTTAGCACCTAGCTTTAGATCATCGTCGAGCTATAGTCGCCCACATACCATGTGCCTCCAAAGTCGCCCCCTTTCTCGACTATCCTGATGTCCGTGATACCCGCCTCCATGAGCCTGACGGCGACCAACTGGCCCCCATAACCGCCACCAACAATCAAAGCTTCAACTCTTTCATTGATTGCGGCTCGTTCCTTTCGTTCAATGTAAGGGTCTTCAATATAGTGGCCAAACACGGGATCGCCATCCTTGATTGATCGGTATTGGTCAACTCCAGTTGGGTTTGCGGCAAGTCTTTTCTCACGCTCTAAATCATAACGGGCTTTCAGAGTGTTTGGGTCAAAGCCAATACTTTGAGGTTCGGCAGAAGGTGGTTGTTCGTCCGGTAAGCTAGATAATGTCGACGGGATCCCAGTAACATCAGAGGCTACTGGTGTGGGGTCTCCATGATATTCAACAGTCTCATGAATCACTGTGCCCATTGACGATGATATAGTGTTTGTCTCAACCTGCGCCATGTCGGTGGAGCGAATAATTGTGAATGGTCGAACAGAAATACAATCGCTTCGAAATCTAGAGCATACAACGAGGTCGCCGAGTGTATAAATGTAAAGCAGACACGGCACCCGTCTGAAACCTCATGCTGATGTTCATGGTAGGCTGAGAGTGCAATTCCATCCCTCAGAGTCAACCACTCCTCGGCACGTCGACGACACTTTGAACAGTCCGGTACCACCCCTCAGTTGCTCTAGGCTTCTTTCAGATACCGCGGCATGAATGCTTACCCCTCACACAATGTTGAAAAAGTACCAGCTGGCATTGGAAGCCTACCTAGGTACTACACCCAATTAGCTTTTCGAGTACGAGGTTTGTCGAGAAGATGTGAGATGGCTCTCGTACTTCGTATGGATAGACAACAGGTCGCAGAACCCAAAGCTCACACTGGTCCCTGAGCCGAGCCCAACCAACACAGATTGACCTTCTAGACTTGGCCGAGTCAGTTGGCTTGAACGTGGGGATTTCACCAAAATAGGTGGGGAAGTTAGACACCTCCTACGGACTACGAGTTCAATTCTATGCCCATTGAGCACGCGTCCGATTGAGGCTGCCAGCGCGAGCTCTACCCCAACATTTAGGGAAGCGCTCGGTCCCAACTACCTAAGGTAATTAGCCGATTCCATGCCTATTGATGGCGCGTCCGATGGAGGGTACCAGCGCGCGATTACCCCTGGTATTCGATAACTAACTAGGTATGGTGGCCTAACTAACTCACTAACCTTGAAACAATAACAACCACTCAGCTGTAGAGGCACTTTATTCTCTCGGGTATTATTGAGTGGCTTCATATCTTCCTCCACCTTGCGAATTCCTGGCGGCAGCTAGAATTGGCGTCACTCTAGATCAAGACATGAATTCGACTGATGGCTTCTCAACCCATTGCGCCCATCGAGATCGGATCATTCACTGCATCATCTCGCCACAAGACCGAATTTTTAGGTAGTGCGAGCGGAGTGTTCTTTGTCAAGACCGTCTTCCGCGCTTTCGCACGATCCGCTTCAGGCACGATCAATGATAAGCACAGCAATACAGCTCAACAGCCCTCGCAGCGAGTGGATGACGAGTCGGTCAGTAGCCGTCTGATTGACCCAGAGACGCCAGCAAGGCCAGACACCGACAGTCCCGTGGTGAGGATAGAGCTTGAGGATCTAGACCGTCATCCCTCGGCCACATCGCCACGAACATACGGCATCAAGGGCCATGGTCTAGGTATTGCGCCCAAGCAGGAGGTCGCACAGGAGCTGTTCAGCATCTACCTTCGGAACTGGCATCCCCTGTTCCCTTTTCTTCATGGCCCCACCCTCCTTGATACGATGCTGAGCTTGTATGAAAACGATGTCTCAGGATCTACTCAGTCGGCACGGTCTTTGCAAGATCGCATCTGCAAGGCTGTCATTTGCCAATGTGTCTTCAACATTGCTGCCGTCGACTGGCGCGACCAGCAGCTCGCAGTTGAATCACGAATAGCATCCCCAATGCAGATCCTCTCATTGTTGGGCTTTCTTGCGAGTAACCATGACCTGCAGTCACTCCAGGCTCTGTTGGCCGCAGAGCTGTACCTCCTATGCACCATGTCTCTCCGAGCTGCTTCGACGATTGGTGGCACTCTGACCAGGCTCATCTACCATGCAGGCTTGCATCGCTGCCCCTGTCGCTACGTACAGATTCCAGCAGAGGAATGCGACATGCGCAAGAGGATCTTTTGGACCGCTTACATCCTGGATCGCTATCTGAGCCAGGCACTAGGACATCCACTGTCGTTCCAAGACTCGGAATTGGACGTTTGCATTCCAGGACAAGGAGAGTATCACAAACGTGTCATGGCTCGACCGCACAACCCCAATTCAGCATTGGCAGGCGGGGATGATGTACTCGATCACCTCCCTCAGACACAAGCAGACGAGCGACAAACCGCCGAGGGACATGAAAGAACAAGATCCTCCGATCTGGGCGGAGCACGTTCCAATGATGAGTCAAGTTCCCGTCCTCATCGCGAAGATCACGGCCATGCCTCGGAGATTCTCGGCCACTACGTTCTGTACTGCCGCCTGACAGGGCAAGCGCTAGAGATGTTCCACAAGTCACTCCAGAACCGCACCATTAACAGGGAGAGCATCATGGAGTTGCAGTCAAATGTTCACGCGTGGTGGAATGAGTTACCCGCCAAACTTCAGAATGAATACGCTGACGGGCAAGGCGAAACCCCCTCGGCCTTTACCTTCTTCTTCAATCCAATCTACAACCAGCTCATTCTCTTGATCAACCGCCCTTTCTTGTCTCTCCCACCACATAGCATTGAATTTCGATTGAGCCTCCACAATTGCATCAATGCGGCACGCCAGATAATCACATCTTCAAAACGCCAGGTCCAAGCGAAAATACAGGTTTCATGGCCTGGGATGCTCTCCATGAGGTGGATGGCAGGTCTTGTCCTTTCCTTTGCTTGTACACTGAACTTGTACCCTTTCAGTAAGGCACAACAGTGAGTTCTCCTTCCTCGCTGCTATACTCCACACCTTGGGCCGATTGGCTGACCAACACCTTGAAAGGGAAATCGAGGACTGTGTTCATGGTCTATTAGCCATGGACCAAAAATGGAACAATGCCCGACATTGCGCTGCAGCATTGAAAAGTCTTCTAGGTCACCTGAGCGACCAGTACCGGGATTCGTCGAGGCAGTTGCGGATGGAACATAACAACCCGAGTGCTCCGGAAGCTTCGAGTTTCCAAAGGAAACGCCTGACTGCGGAGACTATTGATCTCGATCCAGATCTGCGATCTGCGAAGAGGGCGAATCGGGCCTCTTCGTCGGGGCCATCTAGCTCCAAAAACAGTGATAACAATCAAGTGTTGTCGCAAAGCCAACGAGTGTCTGATGTCCAATTCTCTGACGCACAGGCACCGCCTATGGATTTCTCTGCCAATGATTCAGTATTTGGCCAGATTGACCCACAGTACTCGCAAGTAAATGACGGTGATTTTTTGTCAATGCCCACAGCTGCAGAGTTCTATGGCAATCTAGACGGTGGGTTTGGCAATATTGAATGGGAATCCATGGCCAACAATTGGGGTTCCTTCCACGATTGGGGAAGCTGGGACATGCCGGATCTCTGGGACCAGTGACTTCTTCTTTGAGGCCGCAGCTAGCTTGGGCTTCGACCAGCTTTTGTCAGAACTACCACAAAAAGGTGTCTTGGAACTCTGAAGATAGTCCGAATTTCCCAGCAACGGCACTTCGACTGGGATGACTGCCTTGAGCGGACAACGACAGCTCGTAGTCAAGGGCCTGAAGCCTGTTCTGGGTGAAGGGCAGCTCATCTCGGGCTACTGACACCGTCGAATTCGCTTCCGATGATGGGGCAGTAGCGTGAAACTCACGCTGGTGATCGTACTGCTCAGTCATCTCTCGCTCTGGGTAGTCTGGTCGTGGCTCTTCTGTGGCTACCCATGAGTCTTGGGGGGCGTCGTTCTCGCCCGTAATCGAGGTTAGAGCGAGTGATGGCTCCGGAGTTGGCATCGGCTCGAGATTTTGCATCCAAGTTTGCACTTCTGCGGCAGACCGAAGAGGAAATTGCTCCCAGTGCGATATGGCGGACCTTTTCTCATCCGTGGTCGCCAATGTACAAATAGTAAGGCTCTTTGGTGTCTTTGCAATAATGTGATCATCAAAAGCTCTCAACAAGTCCTGCTCGTTTGAAGAACTCAAGAGTCGCCACAACACACCCTCTGTGACTTTTAGCCGCGTCTCCAGGGCTTCGACATAACCCTTTGCAGGACCTCTAGCTCCTGGTCAATACACAGTAAACCTTGGCTCAATTTGACCACCTAGCCAACTCACCTCTTCTGCTTCCGTGGCCATACGCACTCCTGAGACAGATTCCGGCAGCGGTGACAGACTGGCCTGACAGTAAAGCATCACAAGTCACTAAATGTCGCAGCACTGGACGCAAGATCGCATGACTTGGCAGAGAAAACCATACCGTTTAGCATCGCACTACCTCAGCGAGTGTCAGCGCAGGCCCGAAATAACAAACACGCGACTCAAGAGCCGGTAATTGTGGGTAGAGAAACTCAATTGCTTTCATTGTACCTTTTGTTTCTTGTTTCGGCAAGCATAACATGCCGAGACGCTCCTCGGGCCGCCTAGAACATCTGGAAGGACTTTCGTCACCGGCATCATTGAGGCATTGGGTCCTCTTATCGACCTGCAACGAAATATGTGCACTAAAGGATGCTCACCAATAGTCACTTGACAGCACAAATCAGTGAGAGTGCTTCCTATATAAGATGAAGAGGGATGGTAGCATCGACATCGGAAGCGTACCTACCTAAGTAGATACTTTGATCGAAAGGATGCCATCCCGTCCAGGTTGCCAAGATGCCGAGTTTCGCAATGGAAACCAGCACCCAATTAGAACGGAGGAATCACTCAGCCTTATCCAGCCGCCACGTGACCTTGTCTTGCTTCAGCCTCGTGAACTATACCGATGCCACGCAGCTGCACTGTAGGGATACCATCGCCACATACGGATCGGTCCGGTTCAGTAACGACCATCAGGCCCTCAGGCGACCTCGTCACATGATATTGGTTAAATCAGTGAAAGCCGGCTTAACGAGTCATAAGCAAGCTACACAGCAAGAGCGGGAGAACAGCTGGTGAGAATGTGCGCAGAGCAAGTATCTGCATCAGTATTGTTCCAGGCTTTGATATAGATAGAGAAAGTAAACCATCTGCGACACTATATAGCGATCAACAGTTGTCACATAACCAGATACACGACCAAATGACACCGCTGACCATCTCTGCTCATTTCCTGTTTCACGCCCCTTCTCGTTTCCGGATTTCAACGACGGCTTTATAGGCCCCCTTGGACAAGAATGGCGCTTCCTTCTGCCTCTATGCCCCGCTGGACTATCACGACAGGAATCCCTTGGAGCAGACTTGTGTAGGGCAAGAAGACATATTCGACTTCACCTTCCTGCAGGTCGCGGGTCGCAGGGCACAAAACAAAATCGTCCATTGTGCGGGTGCGTTCCAACTAGTGGTCGTCGTTGATATCGACAATGGTTTTTGTCCACTTGCGAGCTGGGACATGGCGGTTGAACAGGATGTCAATCTCACGGTAAGATCTGTGCTTCATCTCGGGCAAGAAGAAGTAAGCCATGACAAGACAGACAAAACCGGTGCCAGCCCAGACATAACCGCACTTGCCGCCAAGATCTGCACCGGTCGAGTTTAGCATATAGCTGGACAAGTAAATGCAAGGAATGTTGATTGCATAGTAGCAGCCACGGCCAACACCAGTGGTCAAAGGTCGAAGACGGATTGAAGATGTTTCACCAATGATGACCCACGAGGCGGGGGCAGGTCCAAGACAGAACAACACGGAGACGATCAGACCAAGAGATGCTTGGGCGAGGGAAGATGCATTTGACTTGCCCACGGAGCCTGCGATACCGAGGGCGACCAGCAGGATAGTATTGAAAGCTGAGCCCCACAGGTAGATGGTACGTCGGCCGAGGTATGTGGTGAGAATCCAAGAGAGCATGACGAAAACGGCTTGAAGGGCGGAAGTAATAAGACCAAGGGCAAATGCAAGGTCTACCTTGATACCAGCCTCTGTGTTGATGTCAGTCCATTGATTCTGCAACAGTCAAGTAGGAGAGAAATCACTCACGCTTGAAGAAGAAGACAGCTTGATTGGCGATAAGGTTACCGGTAAGATTCTGAGCTGCGTACACACAGCACACAATAAGCGTACGGTAGCGGTCGGTGCCCTTCCATAATTCGATGAGACTGGGCTCTTTTTCGGTCTTCTCGAGCTCGACGGTACGACGCATCATGGCAACTGCATCATTACTCTCCGACTCACCACCGAGACGTCCGATTCGTGCAACGGTCTTCTTGGCGTCCTCAAGTCGTCCCTTTCGGACCAACCACCAAGGAGATTCGGGTCCCCACCAGATAAGGAGGGCGAGTGGGGTGGGGAACATCCATTGAAGTGCGATGGGAACTCTGGGTGATGGTGTTAGCAGTGGTCCATTAGTTGACTGGTGTGCGCATTGGTACATACCTGTATGCAGTCGCCGACTCCAACGGGTTGTAGCGATAAGTCACACCACCCACGATGATAGCCCCGATAGCCCAGAACATCTGCAACATCTGTGTAGCAGGAGCTCGGAGTCTGAGAGGCACAATTTCGGAGCAGTAGGCTGGTGCATTGGCGATGAAGATACCCCAAGGGATGCCTTCGAGAAGCTGACTCGCCAACATGACTCCGAGGCTGTTTGCAAAGTAGAAGACGAAGATGAAAGCGTTAAGGAGCATCAATCCAAAGATGGTGGCCCAGCGATATCCGATTTTGCTGGTGAGGGGGCCGGCGAGGAAGACACCGATGAAAGCACCGACTGGTCCACCCATCTGGAGTGCAGATTGCCATGGAGTGGTGATGGCTCTCTCGCCAGTCTTGGGATTTAAAGCACCGAATTCGTTGGCGAATGCGGGAAGCGCAATGAAGTTGCCAATCAGGAACACACAGTAGGCCTCCATGATCTGGAATTGGTCAGAAACGTCAATTCATCCAGCGCGGGTAAGGACAAGTAGCATACAATGGTGCAGGACATGACAAAAGCCCACCACGAAGCGGACGGGTATGCTCGAACAGCCTCCAATACACCCATGCTGTGCTCTGCATTTTCAGCGTCGATCGCACCGGCCTTGGTGAACTGGCCCTTCTCGCCAACGTCGTAGACATGTTCCACTGAAGACTTTCGAGCCTCCATCACAGCCTCGTTCTCAGGGTCAAGCCCCGGGTTTTGGGAAATGACGTGCTTCTCAGTCATGGTGAATGGTGTTTTCCCCTACAGAGTGTTGTGCGTGGAGGGAAAGAAGGCGTAGCACATCGAAGGGAAGAACAGAAAGCAAGAGTCGATCTCCGGAATCTAGCTCCATGATATACTACTTGAGATGACACCCTGAGTTGAGATTGGAAGCTTAGCCTGATAAAGGGAGACCCCGTCCACCGGACGCGGCCACAACTTCCCCGACTTCCCCATCTTCTCCACCTCGTCTACTCATTCAGTATATTCCCGATGGGCACAGCGTCGCATCCAGGATTTCACAGCGTCGCATTCGCCAGCTTTTAGACCGAGTCATTCGTGCCTGAAGTGCCGCACGGCCCACGTTGGCCCGCGTCGAAATGAGAATGCTGCGATTTGCGAATGGCTAGCGGCCGGCTGTCGAATGATTTAAATCGATTCTCGATTCTCCGGCGGCCACTGCCCCGGGGGGCATTCTCAGACCTCCATACGGAGTACAGATGATACCGCAATACTACGGAGGTACACCCTTCGGCACATTCAAGCCGGAGATGATGAACCATATGTTGCATCCTTGAGTACAACGTTCAAAGATGACTCGCGGCTGGTGAGCTGACTGGTGGCGGGGTATCAGAGCTAGCAGATCTACACTCTACACCTGACCCATCACGAAGCCAGGGCAGGGCAGGGAACGAGAGCATTTCCCCTCTCATTATCGTCATGTCAAGCGGAGTTCCAGCGGCGAACTCGTTCGTGACATTGATATGCTTTCATGCTCATGTCCAGGGCAATTTGATGACCACGTTTGTAAATCCGGCATCTGACCATGAGAAAAACCTTTCACGTGGCGAGTGCGTGCTCCACAACACGTTGTTTGTTGGCCAGGCCAGCTTACAGGATCACTATGAAAATCCACTCCCGTACTCCTTATCCCTCAACGAGTCAATGCTTCAGGTGCCAGAGGTTCTTGAAGAGGCATAGTCGAGTATCGAATATACTGGGGGTCATGCCATGAATCCATAACTGGATATGGAACCACTTGGCAAGAAAGTCTTATCCATCTGGTGAGGCGAGCAACACGAGTACTAAGACCAGAAGAGTCAAACGGCCGCACATAGAAGGTTCTCAAGGTTTTTGCTACCGAGTCCACCATTCCTTTTGGCCCCTTTCCCCAAACAAGATATATCCTGCAATTTTAATGATTCCTACAAATGGTCCTGCGGTCCTGTGGTCCTGTGGTCCTGGCAATTGTCAGCCCCCAGTCACTGGCATGGTTCCCCATCAAAACTTATTAGTTACACCACACGCTCCGATTGTCCCGCTGCAAGAGTTTGACTTCTTTACACCACTCTCCGTGTCGTCGGAGTGCCACAGCTATATTCTATTGCGGTGCGATGCCGTGTCCGTTGATCCGTATTGCAGACGTGCCCTGCATTCTCTCATCCTAATCTAGCTCGGAGTCATGACCGTCAGTGGCCTTCGATTCGACAGCTTGGCCTTCCAGAAGCATCGTGAGCTAGACCATGTCTTGGAGCGTCACACGAGAAGTTCAAGTCTGTGTGTTTGCGGCTCGTTGGCATAGCTTGAACACTTGGGCCCAAGCCTGTTCTAAATATGATGCCGTATATCGGACATTGACAGCTACAAATAAAAGCCCTGCGTGAGTTTTACAAGACCTTTCAAAGCTCGGCATGGACCAGGGAGAGTAATCCCACGCAAATGTAGTCCCAAGTAGTGGGAATAGCTCATCCTGAGGCTCAAACGACGCGTGACTTGCCCTCAAGTTGTCGCTCGTCTCGACGGAGCAGACATGCCCAGCAACAACAAGCAAAGCCAAGCGAATGGTCTGGAGCATGTGGAAAATGCTTGACTATCCCGGGAATCCGGGGCTTCCCTAGTCAGTTAGTCATGATTAGCCTCACTTCGTAAGAGACGCATGGCGAGCCATGGGCGGCCAAGCCGGCCAAGGACCAGCTAATCACCACACCACTGTTACGGCTCTAGTAGATACAAACACCCCGACGGCAATGAAATCTGGGCAAAATGGCCTTTTGGTACCAGTCAATCTCGTCTACGAGGTACTCCGTAGCCAAGGAGTCGCAAGTCTGAGGACTTGTCTGATGCTTCCACACGGATGATCTACCTGTGCCTTTTGATTGGTGAAACTCAAACTAGATAGCCCTCTGTAATATTATTGTCTGATTCCCTCCGAGGCTCCGAAAGAGCCTTCTGTTCGCTTGCTTTTGACGTGGTTCAAATATTACGAAGGCTGATTTGCCAAATGCTTCAGGTCGCCCAGAATCCCGGTGGTCAAACGACGTCCCCAGTTGTAGGTAGTAGGAAAGACCGGTTTCTTTGATGACGTTTCGCGTACAGCTTCGACTTTACCTGATTTACACACACCTGCGACACTTTCCGCACCCTCAAACCACTTTCGATTTTTTTCGTGATAGATCGTGATCGCTTTGGGTGGTCTACAGGAGGGTTTCCCGAGAAACCTCTCTAAGCTTCAACAAGGTCGAAGGTCCGGATCAGACCCGGTCGGTTGCCTCAGGGAGCGGATTGCTCAGTCGCCATGTTCCCAGAGAGCCTGCCGACGCCCTCTCAACCAAAAGAACCTGTCTCCTCAAAAGCTGCGATATCGTGCTGCATCTCGGGGAATTTCTTGAAGAACCCCGGCTTCATGGTCCAATTTTTGAAATCGTACGCATATTCGAGGAAGACCCTGGACACCTCATAGCGATTGTTCTGGGGATTGAACGCGAAGATGTCTCGATCGGAGAAAGGCCAGTAGAAGTTGAAATACTCGACAAAGGCGGCACTGAATGTCCCTGTTGATGTGTATTTCTTGTGCTCGAACACCAGTCGGTCACGCAAGCCGGGCCATACGAGGAAGTCGATTACTGCAGGATGCTGAACTCGCTCCTGTGAAGGCCTAGAAAGTCAGCCACCAACGACTGCCTGAAGACCGAAATACTTGCTTACCTGGGTCGCAAAAACACCGGGACTCGCTCCAAATTCTCCTTGCTGGGGTTTTCTCGGTACTGGATCAACGTCTGACAGACATACATCAATGCGATCCTCTGGGCAGTTGATGTCCACGTCCCAAAGACCTGCTGATCAACTTGCCTCAATGCTTGCCAGACAGGGTGCTGAGCCTCGGCGCCGACATTGTCCCATCCCCAGATGACCGCTTTGAAGGGAACATGTAGGTCGAGAGTGGTGGTGGACGTGGCCTTTTTCTTCACAGAATCCAGGCAACCTATGAACGCCCCATTCGACACATGCCACTTATCTACATCAGGCGCGATGCTGGTGACCGGATCAGCGCGAGGGAAGTGGCTGTCGAACAGAGACGGTACTGCTGAGCTCCAGCCAGTAGGACCTAGTTCAAATGCTTCTAGAAGGGACGTTGGGCTGAAGGCGAAGAAGTCTTCCAGCCCAGTTAATGAAGTTTCTGCTTCGTCTGCGCCAGGTATTGACCCCGTTGCGGCCTCCATAGTTATATCTTGAGCATCGATAGGGTGGAGGTAATGCCCATTTACCACCTCTGTCACATCTGAGCCAGTGGAGACGGAGTTCTGTCGCCGGGAAGTAGTGGGTTGCTCGTCAGGAGCGATGTTCTCAGTCAGCTCTGCCGACACGGTAGGTTGGTCAAAGGGGATTTGCGAATAGTCAAGGTCTATTTGAGATGATGGAAGCGGATGCTCGTCTTCAGTCGTGAGCACAGCCTGATCAATGGCCGTCCGGATTTTAACCATAGCATTGCGAAGACGGTTGTTGTCCTGGCGGACCGAATCAATGATCTTGGTAAGGCTCGCGATTTCGCCGGCCTTATCGCCAGCTTCAAGATTTCTGAGTCGTTGTTCGAGATACGCGATCCTATTTTTGGTCCTCTCTCGCGTGGCTCGTTGAGCGAGTCGATCTTGGATTCTTTTCCGTTCGGCTCGTACCTCGTCATTGTCCTTCTTCCGCAACTTTGGTTTGACAGAAGACGAAGGGGTATCCATTGCCTAGTTTCTAGCCAGATCTGACCAGGGTGTAGTCTGGGCCCTGACTCGAGAGGATGAATGTCATAGCAACATGTCTGACTTGTGGATTGAGGAGTCAGGACGAAATTGTAGGTGTTGTGGAAGAAGGCACAATTGTTTCCAAGTCAAGCATGAGGGGAAGGGGTAGCAGGCTGCTTGTCCCGAGGTGTAACTGAGTCTTTGGGTTCGGATTTCTCCTCTTCCAAACTTCTCTAAGCATTTCAAAATATGTGGAGTAGTAACCATCACTATCAAGTTCGTAATACAACTAACATCACCCTGCTCTAACACATTTGTTTCGAACCCCAGAGGCAAGACATGGAAGATCAAGCATTTGCCCAGGGGTCAATCGTGGGGAACTGAGATGAGAACATCGAATACCCGACTACCGGGATTCCGCCACCCATCAGCCGAGGTTTATGTCAGCGACTCCTCCCAAGATCGTAATTCTAACGCTCTCGATCAAAGTAGAAGACTGTCAAGGTATGTATTCTGATGCTAGAATGGATGAAGTTGCCATTCAGAGTGAAGATAACGGGGTATTCCAGTGTTCCAGAGAGGCACGAACAAACGTCGTCAGTCTCATATCGGAACTGCAAACCTCATCCTTACCTTGACCGAGATAGACATTTGAGGCAGGCGATGGAATCTTTACAATTCTGGTGCAGATCGCGAGATTTGACAATTGAATTGTCCTCAGATGTGGTAGGTCGAGGTAGAAGAGTCATCTATGGCTCCAGGTTACAGACCAACGGTTCAAAGCCAGCCATCACAACATTTCATGGAGCCATTGGGCAGTAGAGGCTGCCTATTCAAGAGTGAAGAGTGAATCAGTGATAGTGCTTTACCGAGTTGGATGAGCTTACTTCCTTCAGTTTGCAAATAAATGCTTAGATTGCCAGAAGGGGGGACAATCTATCCATCAATTATTTCTTGGGCTGTTCCAAGGCCATATCTCTGAGGACGAATTATTGGGTGGATTTTCTTGATATTACTCCGAGATAGACTCAATTATCAGTTCTTGACTGGTGGACCTCTGGAGTTGCGTTGACAACAGTATTCCTCCTTGACCATCGTTCGGAAACAACTTGCTGTAACAATCCGTGCTCGACTTGTTGACCAGGCTCACTAATGACCTAAAGTATCATCTGTTTTTCGCCTGAACACAAACAAAGCGTCATCCTTTCCAGCGAAACTCGGCAGAGGTACTTGGGCGCATTTCTCCCAGGATTTCCGTTCCTGGCTCATGAATTTGTCAATCATCATGTCCTTGAAACCGGTGTAGCCATTGCCATTCTGTGTGCCAGCCACACAAACCACATCCCCAGTATAACTTTCGATGACCTTGCGAGTGAAGTCGGCGCCGACGATCGGGTAGACAAGAAGCAGGACCGTCTCAGGACACCCACCGCGCTTCCGGAGATATTGGATCCCATCCGTGGCGATTGTGTCTGGAACCCAAACGGTGCGCCACTTACTTTGGGCATTGTCGACGGCGATGACAGTCAAACCAGATCTTCGGAGCATCAACGACCAGTATCCGTTTCCACTGCCCATGTCCAAGATTGATTTGCCATTCGCCACCTTGTTTATTATCTGTAGAGCTTCGTAGGATGGCACCACGCACCCAAAATGATGCATCAGAACTGGAAGCAAATGATGTGAGGACTTGACGAGAGAAGTGTTTTGGCATGGACCTGCATACTCGAGGGCATGACATGTGTACGCCCAGAAATCCAGAGCTGGATTTTCCTGTCCGGTGTGAGAGGCATCGGTGGCACTGGGCGGTAGCTTGAACCTTGGAACGATGATCATGGAATCAAGATATCGCTTGCTAAGTAGATAGTCCGCAACGCTTTGGCGGATGGAGCCTTTCTTTGCATTGGCCGCCAGAGATTTCAAGCTGTTCGCAGCAGATTTGGTTGGGTCGAAGAGGGCTATGTATGCCTGGATATCACTTGGTGGAGGGTAGCCAGTCAATTTCAGCGACGGCTGACCTGTCGGGCTTTCGACGACCTCTCGGTCTACAGTGTCTTCTGAGACTGTGCCATCATTATTACCATCTCCCTTGGGTTCGATATACCAGGCGTGCAAGCCATTGGCCCTTCCGCCTTGGATTGCCGCTTCAGCCTGGCTGAGATTGACACTTGCCGAAGCGTGATACGTAAAGTTGTCTCCATGTGGAAGCTCAAAAGCGGCCACAATTGCGAGCTTGAATTCGTTGGCCTTCAGATGAGAGTGTATCTTGTCCCACAATTCGGGATTGTTGCTCTCAGAAGGGAACAGATGTGATGGCGACCATGTCTTGGACCCATCAGTTACAGCTGGTGGTGAAGGAGCCATGTCGCCTGCGAGATGGACTATGTGCTCTAGATCTTGAAGATTTGACCCTTAGTAATGCTTACTCTATCTCTGTCACGATATATCTGTTGACTCAACACAAGGCGCGGTCTGGAGGATCTCATTTAAAATTCATTCGGGGAGACGGAAGACGTCATGTCATGTGTGAACTCCTCGCGAAGGGGGTATTTTGGTGTTGGCTCACAGTTTACAAATGGTGATTCACAATCATATGATTCCAAAATTGGTTGTGATATCAACCGCAAAATCAATTCTGCCATTACTTATTGGTACACATGACTCCATCTATCCTGGTAGCGCTTTTGATCTAACTGCAACTTTGAGCTTTCTTACAATCAGCTCAGAATGCAAAACCCCTACCAGAAAAATATATGCACCTGTAGTAAGTCCTTCGGGTTTCGTCCATAGCCAGCAGTCTGGAAATGTCTGGCTGGACAATCTAAAAGGTAGGGACTTTATCGTCTAGTCTAAAGAGGCAAACCCAGTGTAAGTGCCTCAAACCGTGCATAAAAAACAGCCCCCGCAATCGGAAGAAAATGCGATGACTTCGTTATCAAGTAAAGTGCTCAGGCGATTATGCGGCGATCTCAACACCACCGGTGGCACCAAGTACTCTCTGAAATGGAAGTTAGGATTGAAAAGCAGGATGAAGGGATAGGGAATCACGGACCTTGATATCACCATAGATGGCGAATTGACCAGCGGTCAAAGTACCAACCATGAAGAGACGAGCGCCAATACCGGTGTAGCTGCCACGGAGACCAAGCTCCTTGGCAATCTTGATCAATCGGGAGGTAGTGCCCTCACCGGGGAGACCCTTGGTCTTGTTGATCTTGGATAGCATGGTGTCTGCGGGTTGTGACACAATCGCGGCAGCAAAACCAGCGACGAGACCAGATCCCAAGTTGACAACAGTCTTTGTTCCATCGGAGGCAGTCTCCTTGTTGACGAAGGACTTGTAGACACCTTCCACGACCTTCTCGTAGACGACGAACTTGGCCATGGTGTAAGGAACCTGCTTGAACAGGATGGGGCCGAATCCACTGTAGAAAGCGCCAACGCCTTCAGTCTTGAGAATTTTGCTGAAACCGCCGACGAGACCGGAAGCGAAGGTAGGCTCGGAGACGAGACGAATGCGGGTGGCTTCGAGAGGGCAGAGAGCAATATCGGCGAAGAATTCAGCGGTGGCAGCTGATGCAAGGTAGACGGCAGTTCGGTTGTTTTTGGCGGTCTCATAGCCGAGCAGGTTGATCGACTGCTGCTTGAAGAATTCGTAACCTCCGAATTTCAGAGCTCCCTGCAAGAAATAACCGGCGAATGTAGGGCCAGCACCGGTCAAGAGGGCGCCTGCGCCTTCATTCTGGATGACTTTTCGGAAGCCACCAACCAGGCCAGTGTTGTATGTGACGGGGTCGAGTTGAATTCTTGTCTTGACGCTGGTGTAAAGGTCAGATGCTGGGGCGCGGAGGGTGAGGTGATCAGGAGAACTTACACGTCGACAGGAGTGAGACCACCGTGGGTCAGCGAGCAGCAGACGGCGCCAGCGAAGGCCTGCTAAGGTCAGAAATGATTAGAAAGAGGAAGATGGTGATGACAACTTACGAATCTGCTGTAGAGGTTCAAGCCGGAGAGCTTCTCAGGTGTGCTGGCTGCTGCGGTTTGGATCGCAGCATCGAGCTTTGTTGAGCCGGTGGTGGTGGCGGCCATTGTGAAAGAACTGGAGGGGAGTGGAGAGGAGAGGAGAATGTCAATAATGGAAAAAGGTGAAGGTGAAGTTGAAGTTTGTCAAGAACTGAGCTTAAAGCAGAGTTGTTGTTATCGAGATGGATCAAGATGTAAGAATTCTTTTTCCCTGGAGATTCCGAAGGAGAAAAAAGACGGAGGTCGAGATTGGACGGAGCTGGGAAAACTCAAAAGCCGGCCGACAACAAGCGACGACGAGGATGGCACCAAGCAGGTCGGCTTTTGCTCTCCGGGGGGCACTGGAGCTATCTCTAGACTCTAGGCACTGGGGCGGGCACCCAACGGACGCCCCGTAGGCACCCCAGTGGGCACCCCAGCGGACACCTTAGGCATGCTGGTTGCTTGGGAAATCTTGGGCTGGTTGAGCCTGCGAAAAAGAACCGGGCGAAATTGCCGCTTACCCGATGGGTTGCTGGTCGCCCCCTTCCCTTTGTATTGCATGTGAAATTTCAACCAATGATCTGCATCACGTGCACACGGGGTTGGCTCGGCTGCCCCAACCTTTTTCCTTTCAAGTTCTTGGAGGCAAGAGCAGACTGCTCTCACTGAAGACGAACACCAGAAGGATATAATGCTGAAGAGCAAATACTACTTACACCTTCTTACCTTTGGAGCACTCGTGACCTCTGAGAAAAGCCATAGTCCGTTCGAACGTGTTATGACTAACCTTCATGTTCTGGTACCAACCCTCAGGGAAGAGCTCCTTGTGTTGAGCGCCGGTACATCACGCACAAAATTACTTGAATGATAGGAGAAAGGAAATGAATCACCAGCATTGATGCATACCATATCACGTGGTTCAGGTCTGTCTTGATAAGGTGCCCGTGATTGAGCCTCAGCCGCTCACGGCGCCTACCGTTGGCGGCCCGGCCACATGTTCAGAAGTGTCGGTCGATGCTGATTTGGAACCTTCTTCAACTTGAATGCACTTCAAACTGCAGTTCCCTGGCGACAGGATGCACAGCAGACTCGTGTCTACACGTGTAGTGCACGACAGGTTGCAGTTGGACCGAGTTCAACATCCTCCGCTGAGGATAGAAATTATGACTGGTATTAACCCCCTGTTTCCACGACAGGGAGAAGATGAACTTATCTTTGAAGTACTGAAGTACTCGAGACCTGGAAATCCTATTACGGTTGAGCTGTGATCCACGACTCTCGTCGAGACCTAGCAGTTCAAATGCTGAAGTGAGATCCCTCAGGTGGTCCACCCGTCAGAAGTCAGGAGACAAATGGACATGTTGATGGGAGAAGCAATTTTCCTCGTACAGCTCGTGTCACTGGCCCCATGAAGGAGCCAACTTGACAACTGAATCCATATTCAACATTGCAGGATCAATTTCAAAACACCAAATTTCTCTCCAACAGCATGGCGGTTCAGACTGAAAAATTCTCGCGATGAATGCGAAGCTGCGAAGCAATTGTTAAACTTAGGGGTACAAGCTAATTTTGCAAAAGGAACGAATGGACGTATTCGTACTCCATACGAGATGATTGTAAGGCACATGAGCAGGCGAAAGCCCGAGCAAATCACCTACCAAGCTGGCTAACTGTCGCGCAATGAACTCATCGCTGAAGACAACCGTTTCTTTCAATAATGTCACATAGCCTACTCCGTACCATTGACTCAGATGCAAGGTGACAGGCTAGAACCCTGACATAACACTGGAGGATGCGCTTCAACTACCAAAGAGGAATATCTAAGCCCCATAACGGTCTTGGCCGTGTTGGGTAACACGGCCATCACAACACATCGCACCCCTGTTGTATCATTGTTTCGAGATTTTGAGGAGCAGGTTACGAGTCAGTCCTTCGAAGGTTGTCGCGTGCTCAAACTCCGAGTTCAGGCATGGCTCATTATTGTTTACGAGCATTCAGGATCCCTGTTGCATATCAATAATTTGTTGTAGACACGAGAAGGTCCTCACTCTCCGAGTAATTGCAAAGCCCAGGGTGCGAGCGAGGGAGTCAAGGCAGAGAAAATCGGCCGATCCGAAATTGAATATCCTTCGGGTTCCTGCATCGTACCTGCATCCTGCCCCAGAGCCGATGTGTACCGAACTCTCCTCGCGTGGTACAGATAGGGAGGAAAAGGCGCAGAGGGCTGACTTTTTGGGCCAAACTTGGTTCGAAAAGAGCCTCACAAGAGTGCAAGACAAGCCCGGGGTCAATTGCGCCATCAAATGTGGCATTATATTGTGGCAATGAGGGGTCGTGGACAGCCCATACTATATCTACCGCTTTATGGGTGATAATGAAAGTACAGTTATCTAGAACCGCCGGACACAGAGATAACCCTGTAGATCCCACGCCCAAATGCATTGTTATGATTACGGGTCTTACATCCGAGAAAAAGACCAACAACGCAAAAAACCCCATCAAAGCAACTTCGAATCATTTACACGTCCAAGAATCACATATTCATGTTCACATGTTTGAGATTGATCGGGCGAGCCGTCGGCTGGCTGGGAGAGTCCGAGACTGACAGACTGACAGCTGCCACGCAGCCCGCGGTGACAGGCGGTCCATTGAATACCCAGATATTTTGACCGCTGTCAAGGGTCGCAGCCAAACTCCTGAGTCCTGAACGTGAGACCGTAATGAATCCTTTGACGTGTTTTGTGAGGTGTGAGGTGGCTTTCTCAGGGGGCCACGCGCTCAAGTCACCTCCCGTACGAGGCGGGCGAGATCAATGCCGCCGCTCAGACTCCGTGGTTCTATCCAGATGTTATCGACGTTGCGTGGTGGTGGTGGTGGTGGTGGTGGTGGTGGTGGCTGGGTGTGACTGTATACGTGCTCACAACCATAAGATAAGGTATCTTGGAACTGAGGCATACGAATATGCAGATGCCCGAGGACCGTTTATGAGATGAGTGAACCCCCCTAAGCGTCTCTGAATAGATGGACAGGTAGAATTTTGGTGCTTGAATACTTGCCAGAGACCCCGTAAGTTGCTGTGGTCCAAAAAAGGCCCGAGGCCTTCGGTTGCGACAACATTGCCGCCTGTGCAGGAGGGGCCTTGGACAAATGTATACTGATACGGGAGTTTTCGTACGTGGTATTCAAATGACAATACGCTCAGTACGGAGGATACCTGCTGAGCCTTGACTCCCTCGCAGTGGAAACACCCCTGACCAGCCCGTCGAGGTGAGCAAAGATCACGTTGCGTGCCCATCGGGGCCCTCTCAGCACCTTCCAGACAGATCCTCCAGTGACTTCGCCCAGACTGCGCAATTTTGAGCAGAATTTTGTCCGGAAAGGATCGAATCCGGTCAATCCTATGTTAGTGCTTGTGCTTTTGCTTAGGAGAAGGGACAATGAATAGGTGAGTGTCAATCCATCAACAAAAGAAAAGAAAATGAGAAGGAAAGAAAAATTGACCTTGGTTTCGGATTTGCAGAAGAATTTCAGCCCATCGCGAGAGCTATGTAGATATAGTATTTCCTGTACTCGAGATATCTTTTGACTGCCCTGCTTTTGCCTAGGCGGGACCAATCTGCTAACTTGTGCTGCTGTGCTGCGTTGTGTGGGTTTTTGATGCTTCATCGCCTCATCATTTCGTGAAAATGACCTCCCCCCCAAATCCAGAAACCAAACATCTATGAATAGGAAGTATGAAAGAATCTGTGTGTAACGTGGCCGAATCGACCGCTTGTCCAGATGAAAATCGCCATCTCAATCACTGTTGTAGATCAGAGTTTGTGAAGCACAATCTGGAAGAAGCTTCCTCACACGAATGAAAATGTACAAAATATCCAAGTCACCAAAATACAATTGCGCCCAGTGTCCTCCCTTCGCCTGCTGGTATATTCCTGAGATATCATAAATATGACCATACCTAGTGGAAGCGGCGTCCGAATTTGTGAGATCCATATTGAACTCCACGACGAACGTTGGTGGGAGCCGCAAAGTCAGCATCCAAATCACCGGAAGGATCGAAGGATGTGGTGGTGGATGAGGCCTCAGAGGTGGTCGTAGCAGCGACCGCGGATGTGGTTGTGATCACAGCTGGAGTCGTGGTCGCACCAGCAGTGGTGGTCGCACCAACTGTCGTAGAGGTGGTGGTTACTAAAGACACGTCAGTGATATTCAGTCATTCATCTTCGAGTTGAACTTACGGTTGGGAACCTCAGCAACCAAAACAACCACAACACACTGGAATGGGGTCGTTCCGCCAAATTGGATGAAGACGCTATTGTCTGCGGACACACAAACACCGTTGTTGGCCACGTTAAGACTCAAGACACCGGAAGCACTGATAGACCATGTCGCCGTGGTACCCATGAAGGAGACGGACAGCGAGAATGAGATCCAAGGTTGGGAGAAATCGGCATCAACGTACAACTCACCAACCTTGAGGTATCCCAGGTTGTCCAAGCTGAAGACGCTAGCGTCAGCCTTGTCGGGTGTTAGGATGGCATCACCATTGACGGAGATCTTGAGGTAGTTCGAAGCTCGCTTGCGATACTTGGTAGTTGAACCGACTCCGATAACAAAGCCGTTGGGGTTGACTGGGATAGCGACAAGCGAAGAAGTGGTCGATGCGGATGAGGATGTGGTGCTAGCACTAGTGGAGGTGGTCAAGGTAGTGATGGTGCTGGCGCTTGTGGTGCTATCGACAGAGGTGGACGAGACGCTTGACGATGAGGTGGAGACGCTTGATGATGAAGTGGAAGATGTGTTTTCAATTGGTCCAACGCTGCTGAAGCTGCTTGTGCTGCTCGTTGTTGTGCTGCCATCGATGGGTCCAATACTGAAGCTAGACGTAGAGCTGGTGGTTCCACTGAAGCTGGAGGTGGAAGTAGAAGTAGAAGTAGTGCTGCCATCAATTGGTCCAATGCCGAAGCTTGAAGTAGAGCTGGTGCTAAAGCTGGAGCTGGAGGAGGAAGTAGTGCTACCGCCAATGGGGCCAGCACCGAAGCTAGAGGTAGAGCTTGTGCTAATGCTGGAGCTGGAGGAAGTAGTGCTACCGTCGATAGGGCCGGCACCGAAGCTGGAGGTAGAGCTGAAGCTAGATGTAGAGGTGGTGCTGCCATCAATAGGTCCAGCGCCAAAGCTTGAAGTAGAGCTAGTGCTGAAGCTAGAGCTGGTGGAAGACGATGCAGTGCTGCTGCTGGTGGAAGATGATGCAGTGCTGCTGGTGGAAGTGAAGCCGTATGAGCTGGTAGTAGTCTGGCCGATAGGTCCTTGGCTAACGCTCGAGGTGTAGGTAGTTGGAACAGCGGTTGAGCCAGTGGCCACCCAGTCAGCCCAGTTGCTGGGGATTGGTTTGCTCGGGTCAAATGCACCATCACTTCCCCAGTCGGCCCAGCCGTATGGGTCACCACCGTTGTTGTCAACCCCACCGTTGTTCCAATGGCCTGGTCGTGGCCAGCCAGGGAAAGCATGGCTTCCAGTCGGTAGAGGAACAGCGCTCGAGGTCTTCGGTGGTTGTCTGAAGGGAGGAGCGTGCCAGTAGACGGTCTTGGTGATAGTGGTGGTGAAATCAACAACCTCGCCTCCACGATGGCATCTTCTGGTCACATATGCCCAGTAAGGAACAGGACCGACAGTGATGGTGGTCTCTGCGGCAGTGATGGTCTTTGCGGGAGCAACGAAGGGGAAAGTGAAGGTGTAGGTACCCGCTGAAGGAGCAACCCATCGGGTAGCGCATCTGTTGGCGATAGGAGCAGATGTCGAAGGGGCAGGCTTGGAGATCCAGGTCTCGTCGTAACCCATACATTTGGAACCGCCAGGTCCAGCACGGCATTCCGTAACACCGACAATTTGGGATCGGCTTCCATCAGCTTGAACCTCGCATTCCTTGCAAAGTCCACTACCGCCGTAGCCGGGAATTGCGAGAGGACCCAGCTTGTTATATGGAGCAACGAAGTCCTTGGCAATGGTGAGGTAGATGGGAGTTGGCTTTGGCTTGGTGGTAGTACCGCTGTGAGTAGTCACGGGAGGAGTAACCCACTTGGTCAAGGTCGCTGAGAATCGAGATACCGTTACTGTTTGAGTGGTGGAAGTGACTTTGGTGGTTTGAGCCGACTTTCCATCCCAGGCAGCCGGAATGACGGTGTTGACATAGGCGAAAGTCTCGAAAGGATACTTGGTGGTGCAGGTTCCCCAGTTGCAAGACGAAGTAGGGACGCAAGTTGAAACTTCTTGATATTGCTTGGTAACAGTGATTGGCTTAACGGTTGAAGAGCCTGTCTGTCCAGGGCAAGGGGTAATGACTGTCAATGGCTCAGCAATAGCGACACCGGCCAGTATGGCGGTTGCCGAAGCGGCAGAAGCTGAAAAACGCATAATGAACGACTGGAACTGGACTGGATGTCCCGAAAAGAATGGCTGAAGGAAAAATCCTTCGAATTATAACGAATGGACGAGTAACCGTGCGGCTCTGTGTAAGTTGATGAAAGGTGGTTGGGAGAAGGAGCGAGCGCTGAATGCTATATATCCTTCATCATGAGCAGTCTCCTGTTGCTCCCATCCCTCAGCCAGGAGGCTAGGTGTGGATTCACTGTGGAGGAGAAACCGGCTAAGGAGCTGTGTTCTGACCTGTCGTTGACCCGAGCCCCAACAGGGAGACTGGCAATCTGCCGCAAGGCTCGAGACCAGCACATGAGGAGCAAAACATCCATGGGAAGCGAGGCAAACCGGTTTGGGCTTGGACCAACAGCCACTGGCGCTCAAGGTCTGTGCAATGAGCCTTAGCCGGAGAAAGCGTCAAAGGCTTAATGGGATCTCTCATGAGACGGAATGGAAGATGTCAGCAATGCCATGAATGGGGCGGTGACAGGAATGGCAGAGCCAGGTAATTTCCCTGAAGTTCAGACGTATGATAGAACAACGAACTATCGATATCAACTACAATTGATCAGCTAGCGCATAAGGCGAATGGCGACCGTAATCGCCAACGCGGGTACGAAGCTTCGTGTTCAGGAACCATGAACCTGGAGCCAGGAGAAGATTGAAGCAGTTAATCACGGCTTAGGTTCATATTCTTGGTGAGGCTGATACTTACTTGCAGGACCTCGGAATCATCCAGGGCTATGGGTCGATCCCGCGAAACCGAAAGAAGATTGACATGCTCGTACATCCCTGTGTATATTGAAGCTCAAAATAGCGTGTGATTTTGTTGCGACGGAGGAATCGAACAAGGATGCCACAGATACGAATACTCCCAAAGGATACCGTCCAGCTCTCCTCAAACATAGGAGGGCGCACAAGTGGACCCATACAGGCAGTTGTTGCCAGAGGGGATGACCAGGATGAGGCGGGCATTTGCCAAGCATCACACTGTAAAGCCCCAGAGGAAGACGTGTAAGTAAATTGTCGGGTCCATAGTATTGTGGTGAGAGTCTCGCGTTTTTGGATGGCGAGAGGTTGCAAGTTGCAACCTCACTAAGTGTGAAAGGTTTGACGTGGTCTTACAGGATCACCCTGAAGTCAAGGACCGCGTTGACACAAACTTTGGCAGTGTCCAACCCCCCTCCAGCCTAGTATCCCGGTGGTAGAGATTTATGTCGTCACCCACATCACATTTTCCGAGCGAGCACATGGGCCAGACACACCAAAAAAGGGCACGTATGAACCCACAGTTGGAATCCTGATAGGTGATGTTGGTTGATTAGCCTGTAGGCAGGTGCTGGTAGGAGGTGGTGCGTGAGTCGCTGATCTGAAGAAGAGTTGACGTCTGGAAGCAGGCTCAGGCTTGGCATGATGGATGACAGACAGGAAGCTAAGCCCGAACGGGCCACGAGTGTAATACCGGGTTTTAGTGTAATGACGATTACCTGTTACAGCTCCCGAGGCCCCCTTGATGATGCCTGTGTTCCAAATCCAAATGCCTGTGATCCCAGCCGGTAAGATCCTCACCGGGCTCTAACTGCCTACCTGCCAGTACCCATCATTGGGGTCGAGGGCCGAATCCCATTGCCCAGGGACATCCACGGGTGACCTCTCTCCTCCTATCAAGTCCTCGTCCTTTGTACACTCCAGATAAAAGGTCTCGGAGTCAACTTGAACAGCAGCCAGGTACCTAGGTATGTAGCTAACCGATGACCCTGAGAGGCTGAACATGTAAACATCTGGCAATAATAACGACATACTATCGTTGCTCCAGATCGCGTGCTTCACAGCCTGAAGGCGTCTAATCTCCTCATTTATCACCTTGTTCATCAACCATGATGCCTGCAAAAATTCCGCTTTTGGAGGGAATCCTGCTATAAATCCTATCCTTATTAGCCCCACCCTCGAGATCAAAAGTCAATGGATCTCATATTCTATATCGCACTCCACTGTGCCCTTGTTCCTGCAGCGGATCAACCATGGAGTGGACTATGCTGTACTCCTTAAGTCGTGAATCCTCAGCCCCGAAATATGGCACACGCCTATTTCCCTCTTTGAGGTTTTGTACCCAAAGCCATCGGAAGGCTAATATGCAGAGAGGTACCTCGTATCCAAGTCATGCTCCGCATCGTAGACAATAGTTGGTTCTCGTTCTACATTGCCACCAAACATCCATGTTTCATTACCAGAGAACTTGGAAGCTGGCGCTCCTGATGGCATTCCCCCCAATCTTTCGCAGCAATGACAATCCTTGCCACAAGTGTGCCAGCCAATGTTCGACCATGGCACGTCTAAGTGCTGTCTAAACTGTCGTTCATAGTTAGCAACCATCAAAACCCGTCCCAACACTCGAGCCCTCCCTCATTTCTCTCACTTGTCAGTTACATTGTCCATTCCACGTGCAGTGCGGTGAATCTTCACAGAATTGTGTCTTTATTTTCCTATTAGTTTTGCGACGGCATCGAGTGGACCAGGCTTTTGGGGAGTGAGGTTTGATAGAGCAATTTCAGTCGGAATTGTTATGGTGAGCGGGAGAAGTCAATTTGCTTTTCTGCGGCTGTTGTGAATTACGACCATGAACCTTCCTTTAGATGGCAGGCGGTGGGAGCGCAAGAACTCGCAGACCTGGCGCAACCCTCGACTTGTGCAACGGTCAAGACGCCCTCTCTTCCTCACCATAGCATGTATTCTATGTCTTGTCTTCTGGCACCACTCTCGATCAGTGTCTCTCTCTCCAAATAGGCAATGGAATAGGGAGTGGCCCGAGGATGAGAGGCCCACTATTGCCTTGACTCAAGGTCGCAGGTCGATCGATCAAGATTATGCGTTACCTGTTGAGCGAGTACAAGAGGTCGAGTCCGGCTTCAACCACAAAATCGAGAACCAAAACAGCATTGAACAGGATGTTGAAGAGAAGGACTCGGATGAAAATGTCGAGAGACTACCCAGTGATCCTCCTATCCGAATCTCAGATGAGAATGGTGACTCCCTTCAAGACGATGCAAAATCATCACCGAACCCCCGTGTCAAGCCGGATCCGGACCTACCATCTGGACCGGAAGTCCTCCTGATTCCAGGTGATCCTATTGAAGACACACGAGAGGAGCCACAACATGCGGAGGTACTGGCAGAAAGCCTACCTATGGGTCGAGTGGAAGTTCAAGCAAATTTGAATCCAGAAACGGAGAAGGAGCCATTGATTTCATCGCCGGATCAACCCGCGAAGGAGAAGGTCATGGAATCCGAACCCCTCGACCATCTGACATTGGAAGAGAAGGCAGATAGTCTACCGGAGATCATTCACATTCCCTTCGAGGACGCCATCAAAGACGACGTGCTCCAGGGGTGGGAGGACCGTTGGATCTCCGAGGCTTTGTATGATGTCAAGAAATGGGGAAAGTTGGATGAGATCAAGATAGATTTCGTCTATCTCTGTGAGACTATATTATCATTCCTGAGAAAGTCATGGCTAACCTATGCAGGGGTGAATGGCTCACAGGAAGAATTTCAGAAGACCAAATATCCATACGAACTGAACTCGGTACTGAATGACGAAGATGGGCACTGGATCAACTCACACGGAGTCAATCGTTATCGAGACTGGGACGAATTGCGGTACTCTCTCCGGAGCGTTGAACAGCATGCATCCAGTTTTCGCAACAAGATACAGATTGTGGTCAACTCGGTGGAGGGCACCCCAGAAGGAAAGCAAGTCCCAACTTGGTTGAACGACAAAGACCACACCAAAGAAGTTGTCCAGGTCTTGTCACAGGAGGAGTTTTTCGATCGCGAAAAACACGCCTGCCTTCCGACATTCAACTCGCTGACCATTGAAAACCAACTCTTCAACACGCCGTCGGACACGGATTATGTTCGTCTCCCAGACCCGACTTGACGCAATGTTGATGCTGACTGACATAGTTGTACGCCCTCTCCGACGACATGCTGTTGGGTAAGACGCATTCGGCATCGGATATTCACTCGCCACTCTTTGGGGCTGTCATGGGTTTCAAGACCAACTCGTACAGCGCCACATCACCACCGACCGAGGTGGATGCACATCGATTTGGAGAAAAGCCGTTCCTGATCTACACTTCGTGGTTGCTGAACCGTCGATTTGGGATACGGAAGCGCAAAGGACAAGGTCATTTTGGACATGCCCTGTCTCGGAGCATCATGCGTGAAGCTATCTCTTCCTTTCCCGGCCCGGAGCTTCAGAGTGCGTGTAAGCGATTCCGTGGAGAGCCTGGATTTCAGTTGTATTCCTGGTATGTGACGTTCCATTACCTCATGGAACGACATCGTGAGGCTCTACTCTGGAGTTATATCATGCTACGAAGTGATGTGGACGGAGATGGGAATCTGTCTTGGGAAGAGAGACAAACGATCATGCAAGATTTGGAGATGGGAATGACGAACGAAGGCAAGACGACTTACCGCAAACGTAACTTTTACCACGTGTCTCAAATGCTTCAGAAAGCTGGGTTGGAGCCGCCGAAAGTCAACACGGACATTCTTTGGACCTCGCTGGATGGACCGCAAACGATACAAAACCTCGACTGCATTGAATTTGACGTCAACGAATGCCTGGCACCAGGATTCTCAATCTCGTCAACAGACGCGCGCAACAAGAATCCGGTTTTCTCGACCTCTAATGTGTTTGATCGACTGGCCAGACAGGAACCCAAATGTGGAGATTGTCTTCTCAAGTTGGTCTTGAACAAGACACCCAAAGGCTTGTCGCCGCTGCTCCCGCGAGCAGACACGCAACAGGAGCAGCGAGAAATGGTGATCAAGGCGGTAATGCGCTACCGATATACCATCAGCAACCCAGACGCATTGTTTGTGATGGTCACCGATGCGGAGCAAGTTGACAGCACGTTGGTGAGTCGGTATGTTCGATCCAAGAAGGAACTGGCGGGACAATTGTGCTTGAACGACGATGTCTCAACGAGTGATGCTCTAGAATTGGCGGACGTGAAGGAAGCCATGACGGAACTATATGAGGGATTGTTCCCCGAATCCAGTCCGTATGAAAAGTGATATTGTCACTCTCTTGGTGGGTGTACCTGGCAGACCAGCAGAATGCTTGAACGACCTTATGACCTTGCCTGTTATGTACGATAGATAGCGCCCAATGAGTGGGCGGAGTTGAGGGTTGACTTGGGTGGTAGCATCCCAAGTTGTCATATGTAAAACATACAGACATCTGGAGTTTCAGACGGAGTATGAATCAAGTTGGACTCATGATAATAGAAGGAAAAGTCAAACATGTTTCTTCCTATTGATAAAGAATGCTTGGGTCGGTGGTGTTATACGCCGAGACACCAAGATAGTTAGAGTCACCGGGCTCCCCTCCATTATATGACGTATTTACCTACCTCTACCCTTTAGCAGTAGTAGACAATCCAGTTGTTTGTTGGATGAGTAGAGAAAGAGAAACCGACTCAAACATGGAATACACTGACAGAGAACGAAAAGTCATAGCACACTATGAAAGGAAAGAAGTTACCCGCGTCTGTCTGTTTGCTTAATTCAAATCGCACCTGCACTTCCACCACCGACCACGACCGACACGCACGCGTGCCTTCCTTCTTGATTCACCCTCATTCAACCTGCGGCGCGGCTGGCTGGCGTGTTCTTCAATCCATCCACCAATTTTTAATTTAATCCACCAGTCTTACAGTTCAATCTGATATCTTTTTCCACTCTGCATCTCATCGTCATTTCTACCGTCGTTCACCTTCAATCCTGACCCAGCGCCTTCTACCATGTGTTCTGTCTCGTGCTGCTGATGCGCTCTTCTTTCTGCCTCTCATCTAACCACTGACCGCCATGGCAATGGCTCAAGGTCATCAAGAGCTTGACTTGGCCTCACCCAAGTTGATGGCCCTTGCCCAGCAATATGACTCCCGCAAAGCAACAATCCATGCAGCTCTATCCTCCAACGATGAGTTGATCCAGGTAACCAAGACCACCCTCCCTTCCCACCATCTGCTAACCCTGGGTAGGATCTCCTCCAACTTCTCGCAGACCAAGAGAAGGAACTCAAGAACCTGCAACTGGACAAGGCCTTCGAAGCAGAGGGCCGTCGAAATTGGCAGGAACGCGCCACCCTCCTCGAGTCCAAGATCAAAGGCTCTCAGCACGTTCTCTTGCTCGTCGATGGCAATTACCACTTCTTCAAGCAATCCTTTTTCCGCGCTGGGACTGCCGGTGTCAAAGAGGCTGTAGAGCCGCTTCTTGACCAAATTCGGGACTTTGCAAAAGAGCAACACAAGCATGATCTACCCGAGAACACTATCCCAGTGGTGCACATATTCTCTGATATTGACCGGTTGGCTGCCGACCTGCAAATTGCAGGTGCTGACCCACGAGCTTTCCTTGACTTCTGTCAAGAACTGTGTCAGCTGCCATACTTTACAATGAGTGACTGCGGAAGCAGCGATCCTCGAACTACTGGAATAAAGGTTGAAAAACTCTACGAACTCTACCTTGAGAACTGCCATTGTCGACATGTTTTCCTGGCCCTTGGTCCAGATTCGGAATACTACAAGACTCTCCAGATGTACAATGACGATCCATACACAAAAGGCAAGACATCGCTAGTCCTCCCGAACTCGGGGGGGAGCATTCCAAATAACCTGTCCTACCACACCGTTCAGTTTAGCTCTCTCTTCATAATTCCTCGTGGATCATTTCCTCAATTCATACCTTCCCACCCACCTCGGACCATTGAACAGGGGCGTGAAATAAATTCTCAGACCAGCTTACTGCCAATCGTTGATACAAGCAAAGTCCCTGATGCAGGACAACCGGTGGTCAAACTGCCTTCGATTGCGGTGGGGGAGCCGCCAGTGACTGCGACGAGCCACCAACCTGTAATGGAATCAGCCAAACCACAAGCCGGCGGGCTGTCGGTCAACCTCTCCCGTAATGAAGTGACCCAGTTCGAGAATGATCAAGTCTTCAAGTTAGCACCCACCCACTCTTCGTCCTCAGGTTCGAACAAAACAGACAAGCCTGCGCCATGGGATAAGTCCGATGAGGACCACACATCTACATCACTTTTGGGATCATGGGGGGATGAGCCCGTGGGCGCCTCATCGGGAGCTTCCCCCTCATACCAGCAACACTCTACCAGAAATGGGAGTACGAATGGAAATTGGAACCCAAAGAACAACGTGAACAAAACCGGTAATGGTAATACCACCGGTGGATGGGGCAATCGAGGCAATACGAACAATATCGCGAACGGGAATACCACCGGTGATTGGAGCAGCAGAGGTAATGGAAAGGGCAGGTCCAGAAGGATGCCGACGGAATTTGAAGGGTCTTTTGATGATTGGGTTAACAACACACCTCAAACACGGCCATCAATTACCTCTCCTGGCCGGTTGACATCAGACCAATTCCGAAACAAAAAGGTCGAGATAGATGATCCCAACCCGTTTGCCCGTCCTATATGGGCACCCTTTGGTGTGAACAAGCAGGGCCAACGACTTGACCTCAACCTACCAAAAATCACGCCGAGTCAGTCCAAGAACTACAGTGCTCGGGTCAACCATCAAAGACTTTGCAACAATCATCACCTTCTACAGAAATGCGACCACGCCAACTGTCCATATGACCATGATCCTATCGACGCTGATATGTGGCTGTCTCTGCGCGTCAATGCTCGCAAGTCTCCCTGTCATTTGGGGTCCTCGTGCCGTAAGCATGATTGTGTCTCTGGACATCATTGCGTGAACATGAGCAACACAACCAAATGTCTCAGACACAGTTGTCCATTCAAGGACCTGCATGAGACGCGAGATCTTGAGGTCACAGAGGTTATTACGCCTCCCATGAACCAGCTGTAACTGCCTACACCAACTAACAGGGACACACTTGGGTTGGTGGCCGGGTGGGCACAGCAGTGCATGGTGACATTCGGCCGACATGGATCGAGAAATTGACGGAAGGGCACTGTGATTTGGAAGATGTTGTACCAACAACCCACGATGCGGAAGTTGGTGAAACTGGTGAGGTGGCAGATGATCAAAGGTGTTGGATGAGAAACTCCATATCCTATGCAGTCATCAGCGAACAGTGCCACCACAGATTGGTGATTATTTCGGGTTCATACCTTCTCAGTGGCTTGCTATGGTGCCGATAATTGATCGGCAATAATATCATATTCAATGGCTTGTCATTCTTGACGACAGTCCAATCCCTGGTAGATGGTGTATTGCTTCGTTCCTCTTTGATTAGAACAGTCTCTAGTTGGTGATGGAGGACCGTTCGGCGCATAGGTCCCTGACTCAATGATCAGAGACATCTTTCCTTCAGTCCCTATCCATCGTATCCTCATCCCGATTGTTCTTCCTCCTCTCCCGATCACGACTCCGACTGCGGCTTCGACTCTTAGACTTGCTACGACTGCGACTCCGCGCTGCTGCCGCCCGACCACCCCCGCCACCTCGACGATCACCCACCTTTCCGCCGCGGCCAGCCTTACCGTCACCCTTGGATGCCGGGGGCCGCACAAACGCGTAGTCGACCGAGATGGTCTGATCGAGGAGTTTCGAGCCGTTCAAAGCTTTGATCGCCGCTGCAGCTTCGACTTGTGTGGCGTACTCGATGAGAACGTAGCCCTAAAAACAGACGAGGAGAGTAAATGTCAGCTAGATTTCTCTCTCCCTCGGTCTGTTGCGTTTATTTATTCTCTCTTCTCCTTCCTTACCTTGACATAACCCGTCCGTCGATCCAGATTGAGATGCAGATTCTTGATCTCGCCATACTCGGCGAACAGATCCGTGATGTCTTCCTCGGTCGCCTCCTCGTGGATATTTGTCGCAATCACAATCCACCCTTCGATGCTGCGCACCGCAACCGCTGCTTGCGACGTACGTGCTTCAGTGCCCGTGGCTCCACCTTGTGTCGATTGCTTCGTCTCGATTGCGGAGGATGTCTCGTTGTTAGTACTATCCTGACCTAGAGTCGGCTCGGCGAGCGCCGGCACTGGGTCGATCTCCATTTCTTCGGTCGACATGTCGGTGTTGTTCGGGGTGTGGCCTGATACGAGAAGGTGGGCTGCTGTGGGAGTGATGTCTTTGTGGAGGGTAGCGATAGAGGATGAGTTTAGGTCAAGTCAAGTCGTGAGTGACTATGATTAGGATGCGGAAGGGAGGTCTCGCTATTGTTCTGTTGGGTCAGGAGTGGGAGACAGACAGGACAGCCTTGTTATCCCGCATCCATTTTGCAAGGTCAAACTTCAAGTTGAGGCTTGCGGGTTGGAATTCATGATTCAATTCTTGGCGCGGAGAAACCAAGGCTGTGATCAGATCACGTGCCTGTTCAGCCTCGTCGCGTCTAGATCGTGGCCTCCCTCACTAATGACAATCACGCTGCGTTCTACATTTAATTTTGCACAGCTAAGTTTCCTTGTTTATTATGCGTGGAGTCACCATTGTCCAAAATGCGGTCTGGACTCCCTACCTGAGCACCATGTTATGGTAGCTCGCTCGGCCAAACCATCAGTAGAATCCTTCTCTTTGAACTCTACTAGAAGGCACCCCGGCAGCTCTCAACCCTTCCTGCACAGAATCACCAAAGCCGCCAGGTCCACAGATCAAGACGTCTCTATCACCAGCGACCCCAATCCAATATGCGGCTGGAATTCGACCCTTATGGGTTACGACCTGAACTCCAGTATCTTGCATTTCTTGCGTAGAGATGCTTTCCTCATTGGAGAACAAGTCAACGCGCACTTTCACACTTGCTGGTAAGCCATCCAGAGATTTCTTGAGGAGCTTCAGTGACACGTTTGGCTCCCTTGAGGCCAGGGCGAGTACAACGTCGCCCTTGGCTTCGGAACCCCGCTTAACAAGGGCAGCAAACATGGCCATGAAGGGTGTCACGCCGATCCCTCCAGCCACCCAGAGATTTCTTGCTTCTCCCTGACCTAGGCAGAAGTCTCCTGTCACGCCGACGATATCGGCGATGGTACTGACCGTTGGCAGAGGTTGCTGGCTTCGCAGAATCTGGAAAAGCGCACCCGTCACGACTCCGCCTTCCATTTCACGCATGGTCAACTCAAACCATAACGTGGGCCCACCTTCGTGTGCACTGGACACTGTCCATGTACGTACTCGATCGTCGTTCAGCGCCCCTGGCTTTCCATCTGCCATGTGTTGATACGTTGGGGGGCCAATCCAATCCATGAAGTCGAGCACCACGGCCTGCCCGGGTGCAATGACTAAACCTTTAGCGCCTGGTTTCGGACTGGCCTCAAATCTCAAAGTGGCAATATTCTCTGCGTCTTGTACAGCACTGACCAGCCGCACTTTATGTCCGTCAAGTCCACCCCCAAGTGACGGGTCTTCCTCCCGAAGGTATTTGACTTTTGGGCTGTAGGGACTGCGTTCTACCTCACTTCCTGGCGCCTGGCGGAGAGGCAACGCGTCACGAACCAGAGTGAAACCAGTGGTCTCCATCAGAAGTATGGAAGGCTGTCTGGCCATGATGTTGAACGAGGGCTCTCCAATTAGAACTTGTGCCTTACCAGTTAGGTAGAGCACATCACCTGTCGTGAACGACACAATCGTGAGTCCAACTACCCCAGATGATTCGATATTACCAAGACTCATCAGAAATCGATTTCCAGAGTAATCTGGGAGAACCACGGTTCGCCCATCAGACGGGCGAACACGTGTGAATCCTGGCAGTCCACTGCGTGCATTCATTCCCGCATGGGAGGGATACTTTGTCGCGGGGGAAGCTCCGGTTTTATATACGGAAGCGATGAATACTGTGTCGGCTTCGGTGATGAGGTCAATCGCTTCTCTGGGCAATCTCTCGGCAGGATCCATAGCAGGCCTGTGAAATGCAACCGACGGTTTCGTAGATGGCCACGGGACGAAGTGGCGTATATTGATATACTTGGGACAATTTCTATTCCAAGCCACAAATGGTGAGTATCAGAGTGCCTTTGAGAAATCACGACAGCTTTTGTGGAACTCACCCTAGAGTTTCCTGAATTTCCAAATTGATTCGGAACTCGAAATCAGAATGCGACTGCACGCCTTTGATCCGCCCAGCAAATTTATTCCGCCTTCGCGTGGTGAGCTCAATCCCCAATCCTGCCATCAGAGACGTCTCTGGCGTAGATTTGGAGTCCAACCATCTTTGCATTGTGCTCAAAAGCGGGTCTCCAGGCCAAAGTCGAGCGTCTACATTCAAGGTGGTGGTATCGGGACTGGTCACGAAACCGATTTTCCCCGTGGCCCCTGCGACTATTCCTCCCCACGGTCTGCCCTGGTCATCAAAGGTGGTGATGGGGATGAAGGGAAGATTTGAAGTATGGAAGGTGCGATGCTGTTCTCGCATGAAGTTCTCAGCCAACATCCAACGTCCACGCACCGCGTCGGTGAATCCATATTTCTCCTGTAATATTGCCTCGCCGGGATGCCATCCTTGAAGTGCAGAGGTCATGTTTGGAGACAGTTCAAGTAAGAACGATTCAGTGCGATGCTGTGACTGAAAACCGCTCTGGGTGAAGTGCAACAGACCTTGAGGAGAAGAACAAAACAACAGTGGACCGAAAGGAAGACGTTGTCAATCCAAGCTGGCGGCCGCTGAGTCACTAGTCAGTTGTGCCTTGAATACGAGGTTGATCCAAAATGGATATCTTCCCTGCCCGAATTATGGTATTTCTGACTCGGTCGATGCCTGACAAACTCTCGGCGGACAGCGCAAGAACTCGGTTGATGCAATGACTATGGTTCTATCCAGCATGGATCCAGCAGAAGCTCAAGCACAGTCGCACTCTGACTAAGGCTACTACCCAATTCAAGTCGGTTCATCGCATTGCTTGTTCTAAAGTTGAGGATATCTGCAGAAGCATTCAAGGCTGTGAATCCAAGTGGGCCAATGCGGAGATGGGTAGGTTGTTCTCCTTTTTGATTACCGCCGATGCTGCTTTAGCACTAATGAAAGCGGCATCGTCCCTGAAAAGTCATCCCGCCGTTTGGAGGCCCACCACATGGCTTTTAATTGTTCGGTGAGGTCGGTTAGCATACCTCTTGCGATGTCACTAAACTACCTTTGGTAACTACCGAATGCGTTTAGCTTGGTGGCTTCAGACTACGACAGATCCGTCTTATACCAAGACCAAGACGTGGATACCATGAATGTTAGATCATTCCACGGATTATGAGAGCATATCACGAATTGTGTTAAGGCAGCACAGCACAGCGGGTCGAACTTAGCAGACCGAGCTTTACCGTGGTGTCAGGACTCTGGAAGCATAAATAGGATGAGAGTGTCGATGAATGATAGCAGATCTTGCTCAACAACGACATCATCAACTCCTCATTCTTCCCAATCGCAATATCAAGGCGTATTTCAAACACCAGGTTCAAACCCACCGACCTCGAAAGTACTCTGATCATGGCACCTCCCTCAACAAGACCAACTGTCCACTATCTGGACATTGGCTCTCTTGGACGAGGAGAGCTCGTCCGGCAAGTATTATCCTTCCCAAGTCTTGGTCTTTCTACCTCAGCCTTCCTCAAGCACGCCAGCTAATACAACGATACGCTAGTCTGTTCTTCAAAGACGCAGGAGTCGAATTCGAGGACATTCGGTATCCATACGATGACACCTGGCCCGCGGCTAAGGAGAAGTTGAAGGCTCAAGGTCTCTCCGCCACAGGGCTCGTACCTGTGCTAGAGTACGATGGTGCAATTTTAACACAGGTATGTCGCCCATGATAGACACTGCCAGAAAATACAAGTGTTGACTCCACTGATTTGTACCAGCATATTGCCATCTTGCGCTTTCTCGCCCGCGAGCTAGGAGGCTATGATGGCGAGACCAGTCTGGAGAAACACAGGGTCGATACGGTGTCCGATATCTACAATGACTGGAGGGTATGTGTTGAGCCTTATCGTGGTGAAGGTCCTTGTCGAAGCTAACAGCAGAATGTCCACTAGACTCAATGGGTGGCCAACTTGAGTAAAGTCAGCGACGAGTTCCGGAACAAGACCGTGCCGGCATATTATGATGTCCTCTCAGGCTACTACTCCAAGACGGACGGACCATTCCTTCTGGGCGACCGCATCTCGTATGCGGATATCGCCGTTTATCAATCCATTGACAACGACGAGAAGATCGGCACGCTGCCGGTGAGTACATACCTCAAGGCTGCTCTGCCCTCTTCCCGAGGTTGATTTGCATTTGACACTGACTCGCTCTGATGGGGCCAGGCATCATTACCCCCAGCAATTGCGACATTCAGAAAGTCGTTTGAGGCTCGCCCTAACGTTGCGGCATATCTTGCCAGTGGCCGTAATACTAAAATATAAAGGAGCTGTAGCCCATGCCCTAGCTGCAGCGATTCAAGCAAGGAATCCGTGCGTAGCGGTACCACGGCATAAAGGACAGGCTTCTCTCTTGTCATCATCTAAACGAACCAAGGCTAGATATTATCAAGTGCCTTTATGGACACCTGGTGGGGGAATGCATTGGCCACGCCCAATTTCATTCGTTTTGCCTTGTTTCAAGTCGATGACTAAGTTGCAGGGCTGTGTACTTCCTCGTATTAGGTGGATATGTGAATAGATGTGGAGCCGCCATCTCACAGACTAGATAAAGACCGAAGATTGACGTATGAATTCCCTCTGACTAAAGCTCCAAGCACATCCATGTACCCCGTACGTGACCTGAGACCTAGTCTAAGCCACGGCATCTCTTCCGTATATCGGATCGGTCTTAATTCTCTTTCGGCAATCTATACGAAGAGGTGGACACCGAAACCCAACAACACCTCTAGTTTTGCATTTTGGACCTCTCCAACGGTCGTCGCCAAGGCGAGAATAACCAGCGCCTATCGTTAGCATGTCTTGGGAAGCGGCTCGCTTGAAGGGCTAGTTTTGTTTAGAGACGACTGTATCTTTCACCATTCACCTCATCGGGCTGTCGAGTGTGAATACACTTTGTACAGGCGTTGACTTCTAGTCCCGAGGTCAATGTATTTAGTACGTGACGTCGGATTGCGTTTCGAGATTTGACTCGGTCAATCAGAATATTTCGATGCCCACGTCTAACAAAACAGGACAGCTCGCCTGTCCCGGTGCATGTACATCCGTCCATCCAAATCCAGTCATTTGACATCGCACCAAAATGGAGGGCGAGATACGTTTTCCACTGATACTCAATAACAAGACGAAACCCACCATCCCACAAGGCAAGAAGTCCAGTATCAGTACTACGGCCACAGCACGCGCTCCTCGACGGCGAGCCACCATGGCTGGCGGCCTCTTGACATGGAGGCTCGGGGCAGCGCCATCGTTCCACAAAGAGACGAAGCAGTTGACGCGAGCCCGACGCAACGGCGCAACCTTTCGACCAAGCGTCATGGAAGCGCGGCTGGTCTGGGCACAGATTCCGGCGAGTCTGGCTGCGAGGCCGTCGCTGAACAATTGTGAGTAGAGTAGATATGCAGACATCTTTTCATATCCATCTTGGAGGTGTGGGTGACAGATGCCATGAAACCCGACTTCTGACTCGGTGGTTTCCAACATCAGGGTTCGAAGCTGAAGGCTCCTTCACGACTCAAGCATACATGTTCCTCGATGCCGGCAATCCAAAGGCGCAATGTTTCTTCTCGACCCTGGACTTCAAGGAGGTCCACCACGCGGTCCTGGGCATGCTGCTCTCTTGGCTTCACTTCGAGTTCCCCAGGCAGTACCCGCTCTCCGTTGCGCGCTGGCACCAGGGACAAAGTATCGCGGAGCTGAGGCGGCGATTGGGGCGGAACCAGTACGATGATGAAACGTACGTGATCATGTTTTGCGCCATGCAGGCCGATGTAAGTGCCCAGCGGTGAGCGAGGCATACTCCTGTGCTGTGCTGTGGGTTTGAGGTTCTAAACGGGAAAACGCATTCTGATATGAGATTTGTACTACCTAGGCGCTTTTCGGCGACAGGGCCGGGCTGGTGGCTCATCGGAGAGGGCTGGAAGCCTTGTCGGGCATCATGAGTGGACGCGGTTGTCTCAACGAGCATTGCCAGTCTCTTAAAACCAGGTAAGTCATCTCAAATCAGCGCTACATTTTAGTTGGCATATCCAAGGCGACACGGGGCTTTTCTCCTAACGACATGGGTCGATTTGGACAGGCTGGATTTCTTCGTCCTGGAGGCCCTCGAATCGCCTTCATCTCGCCCTTCGATCGGCGTAGACTACGACCGCCACAGCAAACCGCTCACATACCCGACGCCGCCGTACACCGCGCACGTGGAGGAGGCGGTATCGCGATTCCCGCCGGGCTTGCAGGACATGGCGCGACAACCGCACGGGATGAGTCTGGAGGTGATCAAGTGGTGGGATGCGCTGCTGCGGTGGATGGCACACGTCAGCATCACGCCTTACGCCGAGCAGTACGACATCTACCCGGACTACGACGAGGTGGGCTGGCTGATCCTAAAGCGCCTGGACGGGCGCACCGCGCCCCACGAGCGCGCCTCCTGCATCGCCGTCTCCCTGCACATGGCGGGCATCTGGTACCGCCGCATGGTGTACAGCTCGATCGTGTTCCGGACGCTGCGGGCGCAGGGCACGCGGCTGGTCGCGGCGTGTGAGCCCACGACGGCGGCGGAGCGCGACTGGTGGATTTTCCACGGCCTCAAGATCTACACGTATTGGAAGACGGAGACGGCAGGCATGGACGAGGCCGGCTTACGTTTGCTCGCGGGCTTGAAGGCAAAGTTCGACGAGGTCGCCTGCTGGGATACCCTGCTACCTGTGTTGCAGAAGTTCCCTGCTTTCGGTCCTGATCTGTCGGAATGGGAGCATCTTTGGCTCGAGGGCATCAACTCCTTGGCGGAGCATGGATCCCTGCCTTTGCGCTGACCACAACTGCATTATTGGGAAAGGAAAGGAAAGATATCTAGATCAGTAGACGATTCAGGAGGAGTTCAGACATTCAAAGATGTGTTGTTGACAGTAGGATGTCATATCTTTGACGCGTTTGTTGTTGTCCAAGGTCCCAAGAGTTGAGTATTTTTATTCGATTTCTGAATGCTGTCTACAGCCACACCAGCATACTTTGATACTACACCACCCCTATCTTTCCAGCAATGTCGTGTCGACCAGTTGACGAACCATTGAGGCGAAATTACTCGATTATGTAGGTTTCGGCATCATTGAATCAATGTAACCGACAACACAGGAGTATTGCGTAAGCTCCACGCTGTCTTAAGCACCTGTCTACAACTACTCGATGAGGCACTCACAATCGGCCCTCGGATGTCCATCAGGTCGTATTTACACGGACGAAGTCGCTTTCGGGGGTCTATTGACTTTGTAACTCACTCGGGCCTACAGGTAGACTTACTGTTACTAGATGTAGACAGCTCCCCTGGATTGTGTCCAAACAGCCACAAATGATTATTCGAACAATATATATTCTCCAGCAGCACAGCACAAAAGTCCCAATCATGCTCTCTGAATCGTCGTCAAGCGAATTCAATTCTTGTGTTTGACTTTTATCTGTAGACCGCGTGACTCGTCTTGGATTGCACTCTACGCTTACATGGAGAAAAAAGGTCTCTCACGACAACCAAAAAGACGACAAAGACTCGGGGAAAGGACAGGCTCCTGCTGATACTTATTTCCACCCCATCCTTCCTCTCTAGAATTCACAGACCCATGCTGAGTGAGACATCGTAGTAGATCAATATGGACGCGTCGCCGCCACGCGATGATCCCACCAGCAATGGTGGAAGATTGGAGGATCCCCTCCCTCCCGGAATGCCCACAGATATGGAGATAATCGACCAGTCGTGTATTTTCCAATGGAAGCGTGGTAAGTGGTTTCTGAGCTATCCAAGTTGGACCGTTCCGAAATGTTGAACTGAATGGCTGAGCTGCATCAGAAAAATAGATAGGCGATGAGGAAACTGAGCAGACATAACCCTGCAACAATCTGTAGGGGGACACCGGACTCATTGCTTTGTTGGACGATGGTCTGAACCTTCTCGCTTGCTTCTGCGGCCTTCCTCTGGCGGAATTGGGGATCTTGGATCTGATTGCTGAGTTTCGTGATCTGGGCCTTTGCAGCGGCCAGTTGTTCCTTCAATTCTTCGTTGGATGTCGGGATAGCATTAGAAACAGCGGCGGCGGCGGCGGAAATACCGGTGGCCTCGGAAGCATTGGCAGCCGTGGATTTGGCGGAGACGGCGGTGGAGGAGCTTCTGGCGGGAGTTGAGACGGCGGCAGCTGGTGAACCGAATTGCGGCGAGGGAGAAGAATATGCTGGAGGATCTTCATGGGAAGAAGAGACACCGTTGGGAGTAGCACCAGCGGCAGGGAGGAAGTTGACGCGAATCTTGCGCTCTTGAATGGATTGTTTGGCCGTCTTTTCGACGGTTTGCCAGAGGGTGGTGACGTTGGGATCTTGGTCGGCCGAAGTGAGAACGGACTGAACGAGGAACTTGTCGCGGCATTTGGCATCGAGTGGAGGCTCTTCTTTCATGGCCTGAAGGAGGACTGGGGGATTGTCAGCTCATGAAATCTTGGGAAGTCGATGGCGCAAGACTGACCCTGGACTTCGACAGACTCATTAGGCTGGATGACGCCGGAGTTGGGTCGCACACAGTATCTTGGAGGAGGTTAGCATTGCGCCGCTTGAGATGAGGCGCGGATAACCACATACTGCTTTGGGGCGGTGGTTTTGACCTGTTTAGAAGAATAGTTAGGGCGAGGACAGATAGAGGAGAGCGGGGGAGGCAGGTGTTACCTTGAAGGCGACAGGAGCCGAGTTGGGGTTGGCGAGTTTGAGGGTCTCTGTGACTTCATGATCGAAAGGACCTGCGCTCGTGTGAGTATAGGAGGATGGGATCACAGCGGAGTTGAGACGGTGATGTGAAAGTGTGGGAGATACTGACGTCTGAAGCCCAACTCGGCGGGTATGAGTTCGACGGACATGGTGATTGTGATGGCCTGGTAAGAGCAAATTAAACAGGAGCAGTAATAACAGATGATGCTGAGACAGGCTCAAGTTGAAGGGAAATGGTTGTGGTCGTGTGGGTGAATCAAGGTGGCTGCGATCGTGCGAAGTTGTAAGTTGGAAGTGTCCTGGATTGTTCAGCAAGTGACTGCGAGTGCGAGTTGGTAGAGGTACGAGGTACTCGGCACTGCAGGTGCTATGACGGCAACGACCAAGAAATGGTATCTGGCCTCTGTGGGACACTGGCACTGGAAGGGACACCAACGGCGCATCAGAAGGACTTTCGGGGGTGGTTGGGCTTAACTAACTTCCTTGAGATAGGCGCGGGCCAGGCGGGGTTTGGTCATAGCCTCAGCCCTCAATTTGGTGAAAGTCGTGGCTGGGGCCGACATGACATCCCCCTTCAGCTTCAAGCACGAGTTGCATGCCGGAATAAGTACGGGACAGCATAGGTATCAGAAAAGTACCTCCAATGCCTGTTCAGATCAATACTCCTCCGTATCGCCGGATCTTGGCAAGCGATGACGCCAGTGAGATTCTCAGGCGCAGGCACAGGCACAGGCACAGGCACAGGCGGGTTCGTCACTGTTCAAGAGACCGCCTGAGTGTCCCGCAATTGTCACTTCTACTGCCCTTACTCGCACCCGCGGTCGGTTTGTTCAAACGCAGACCCTTTGCCCGGACAATCAGCGTGACACTCCATTAATTAATCTGGCTGTCGTGTTTTTCACATTCTTCCAAAGTTCTCCCATGACTGGAAACCACTGTCTTATATAAAGACGATTCTCCCTCCGTCTAATTCCACCTCGCCGATCATAAACCTGCCCTCCTGCAACTAAAAGATTGTTCCATCCGACTACCTCTTCAATACCGTCACGATGACAACCTCAGATCTCGACCAGCTGGTCATGATGGGTTTTGATAAAGAACGAAGCGAATACGCACTCAAGAAGTCCGGAGGCTGTAAGTCGCCCTCCCCTCCCCTCTTCACGACCATCATTGCTGACAGAAGGAAACAGTGGCAGACGCCATTGACTGGCTGGACGCGAACTCGGAAAAGTCTCTGGACGATATCAAGGCAGAAGCACAAGCTCAGACCGCCGCCGAGGCCGCTGAAGCCGAAGAACAGGCCAAGAGTCTGGTCTGCAATGAGTGTGGCAAGAAATTTCGAGGAACTGCTCAGGCCGAGTTCCACGCCTCCAAATCCGGTCACACTGATTTCGCCGAATCTACCGAAGAGATCGCCCCTCTGACCGAAGAAGAGAAAAAGGCCAAATTGAATGAATTGCGAGAAAAGTTGGCAGCCAAGAGAGGACTGCAGGCCGAGCAAGACAAGGTCGATCAAAAAAGAAATGAACAGATCAATCGCAAGAAGACCAAGGAAACCGAAGACATGAAAGAGCAGCTCAAAGTGCGGGAACAGATCAAAGATGCGGAGAAGAAGAGGCGGGAGAAGCAAGCCGACATTGATGCGAAGAAGCGGATACAGGCCAAGATTGCCGCCGACAAAGAAGAACGACGACTCAAGGCCGAGCGGGAAAAGGCAGAAAGAGCGGGCGCAGCACCGCCAGCGGCAGCACCAGCGGCGGCGTCAACTTCGAAACCCGCGTCGGAGTACAAGGAGACCCGACTAAGACTGCAAACCGACGGTGGCAACATCATGAAGACCTTTCCAGTGGAAACGACGTTGTTTGAAGTGGCAGCAGCAGTGGGAGACGAGACGGGACGAGATGTGGAGAGCTTCACGCAGAACTTCCCGCGGAAGGTATTCAACCAAGAGTTTTTTGGAGAGACGTTGAAGGATCTGAAGCTGGTACCTAGTGCCAGCCTGATTGTCAAGTAGGTGGCTCTCTTCTACTTGATGGTCTTTCTGCTTTGGCGAAGGCGTTATGGAAACGGTTGCATCATCACGGTCATCATGGCTGGAATTGAGCTGACGATGAGCGTGTCCAAAAGGGATTATCCGTTACCATGGTAGATGCGACATGGAAGCTGCCACTTAGACAGTTAGACATGAAGCCTACCTATGTCCGATCGATGGTTGTCAGATGTGATGTTGTGCTGTAAACACGTGCCCAGAAGACGCGTCCTGGGCGTGGCTGTCCCATTAAGCCGCCCCTCGGCCCCTGTAAATCCCCGTGGACGATAAACTGAAACCCCCCACCAAAAATGGCCTGATGTGAATCTGGACTCCTCAGACATTCGGTGTGCAAAAGTGTGATATTTTCCACCATATCAGACTCCTGAGAACCTACATACAATGCTGGTCGTTGGTCCCCCTCCTTACCCTTCTCCTTGATTCCTACAACTCCCATCGATACACAACCACTCCCCCCTCACACACCTCCAGTCATGTCGACAGCTACCGAGATCCGATCCGTCAATCGGACTCGACAGGCCATCACATCTACCACACCAGCAGTGCTACAGACAGAGACTTGGTCTGAACAGGGACAAGGAAAAGAAGGCCACAAGTCCGAGAACCCAACATCTGAAGACAAGTTCTTCTGGACATACACTGAAGAACCCCATCGGACCAGACGTCAAGCCATCATTAAAGCTCACAAAGACGTCCTCAAATTATGTGGTCCTGAACCCTTGACCATCTTGACCGTCACTCTGGTTGTGCTGCTACAAGTCACCTGTGCAGCATTGCTCAAAGACTCGGCTATTCTGTCCTGGCCCTTCTTTCTCACGGCCTATTTCGTCGGAGCCACTGCCAACCAAAATCTCTTTTTAGCCATCCACGAAATCAGTCATAACCTCGCCTTTCGAACCCCTATCTTCAATCGTTTCTTCGCCATCTTCGCCAATCTCCCCATCGGCGTCCCTTATTCAGCGGGCTTCCGCCCTTATCATCTTACCCACCATAAGTCTCTAGGTGTCGATGGTCTGGATACAGATCTCCCCACGGCTCTAGAGGCCGTCTTTTTCGACTCAGTCTTGGGCAAGGCCTTTTTCTGCACCTTCCAGTTGCTGTTCTACGCCATTCGGCCCATGCTCGTCTATTCCATTCCCTTTGGGCCAATCCATTTTTGCAACATCGCGGCCCAGGTTGTCTTCGACTTCCTGGTGGTCAGGTTCCTGGGATCAAAAGCTTTGGTGTACCTCATTCTCAGCTCCTTTCTGGCTGGTTCGCTCCATCCATGTGCCGCCCACTTCATCTCCGAGCATTATGTCTTTGCTAAATCGACCCTCCCGAATGGAAAAATGCCAATGGATGTACCAATTCCCGAAACGTATTCTTACTATGGCATTCTGAACATCCTCACTTACAATGTGGGCTATCACAATGAACATCACGATTTTCCCGCCATCCCATGGACTAGACTTCCTCAGGTTTACGAGATAGCTCGCGAGTTCTATGAACCCCTACCAAGTCACAAGAGCTGGCCACTGGTTCTGTGGCAGTTCATCACCGATAAAGAGGTAGGCTTGTGGTGTCGAGTGAAGAGAGCAGAGGGTGGTCGAATGGTTGGTGGCTGGCAAGACGGTGAGATCCAGAATTGAACCTGCATTACTTGCCCATGATAGACAAGAAATGAAACTAGACATGACGAATCCAGACTTATAGAATTACAAGGTACTAATAGCACACTTGATGAAACCTACAGTTTTGCTCCTTCCTTTGAGACCGATGAGGTGGTAGTCAGAGGTGCTCCTTCCTCTGGTCGCCAGTCGTTCCTGCACATCTGGTGCTTCCCAAAAGCACCGCACATTCTTTTTCTTTTTTAATCCATTGTCCTACAACAACCACTACTTCTCAGGTGCCGTTCGCTGATATCAAAGCAATCCCTTCTCTGATCCATGTCATCGTCAGCCTCTCGACGCTCAGGTCGCCAACCTCAGGCTTTTCCCACCCGATGTCTTTCGTCTCGACAACCATCCCTCCGATCAAACCGTCCTCAACCACGCCCATGGGGCCCTTCAAATATCCTTCCCGAGACCCACCATCAGAATGAAACACCTCGAAGCAACAATCATTTTGTTCAGTCCATCGATGATTCTTTGGATCATGTCATTGTGGCACTCGACATGAGGGACAAGGACAAGGTGGGTTGTGCCTATTACCTGGCCAGCGAGGAACGTCTTTGGTGTATGGAAGAAGTCACTGGCGGAGGCATCGAAGTGGTGGAAAAGTGTATGTTTCTTGCTTCATGTCAAGGACAAACCAGGACTCACCACGAGCAGTGCAGGCTGACCTGCAACCAACCACAGTCATCTTGTCCACACGCTCTGATGCTGCAATAAATCTGTCTGATCGTTGTGCGACGCGTCACGCCTCTTTGGTCGAGAATGGTGAGTCTTATGAATGAGTTCCTGGAGTCATCTGACAGCCTTGCATAGATGACGACCACCATCCGTTACCTTATGAATTGGAGATCCGACCATCAGCTGAATTTGGCTATGAATCTGCCTTGAACAAACTTCTGGGCCTACAATTCACCTTGGACCTTGAGAAGAATGTCCAGCTACTCGTTCCGGGAGCCCCTGCTACCTATGATCAAGACTTGTTGCCACAGGACCTTGGTTTGTCCACACGACGCGGTCGATACCTCCAATTATCGTCATGTCTCAATCTAGATAACCGGATCAGTGTTGGCTGTGCTGGAGCAATTGCTGGTTACCTCCAAAGAAAGAGAGCCTCGGAGTTCTTGCCTGAAGATCCCAACGCGAATCTGGTTTGGCGAGTTACGAGATTGGAAATGTTCAGTCTCAAAGACACCATGATGGTCAATATCGATACCTTGGTGTCTCTCCAGATCCTCCAACCAGAATCTCACCCCAACACCTTCAATCAAGGTCCGGGCACATCAGGTTCCAAAGAGTCTTTGTCCCTCTTTGGGCTCTTCCAGAACTATGCACATACACCACAAGGCAAGGCTCGCCTCCGCCAAAGCTTCTTGCGTCCATCTCTTGATACGGACATCATCCACTCCCGTCTTGATTTTACCTCTGTTTTCGTCCGCCCTGAGAACCAACCCACGTGTCAGAAGCTCAGCAAAAGCCTGACTAAGGTCAAAAACATGCGAACAACTTTTACTCAGCTGCACAAAGGCACTGATGGTGGGAAGCCAAAGCAAAATGCGTTCAAAAGTGGCGTCTGGTCATCTTTGATCGAGTTCTGCTACCACACAATTGATATATTAGAAACTCTGGGCGAAGTGGTTGGCGCCTCGATGTTGCCGATCTGCGTGCGTGTCATTGACACTTTCGACCGACTTCGTCTCCAGAGAATTGGCCGTCTGATCTATGAGACTGTCGATCTCGATTCTTCGGCCGACCAGTATCGCACTGTGATCAAGAGGGGCATCAATGGTCAACTCGACGAGGTCAAGGATGTTTATGATGGAATGGACGACATTCTCTCTTGCAAAGCCGTCGAAATTGCAAGGCTCTTGCCCCTTGGGATGAATATTGCTCTCAATGTCATCTACTTCCCACACCTCGGATTTCACTTGACGGTGCCACTTCACGAGGCCACAGGTCAAGCGGTATACAATGGTGCCGACCTGGGTTGGGAGTCTATGTTCACCACCACAAACCAGGTCTACTTCAAGGACGTGGCCATGCACGAGATGGATCGAGATCTGGGTGATCTTTATGCTGTCATATGCGATTACGAGATTGAGATAGCGTACGACCTGGCGCAAACCATCTTGGCTGAGGAGAAGTTACTGATCGCTGTATCAGATCTCTGTGGTGAGCTCGACTGTCTACTGGCTCTAGCACACGCGGCACATCAATACAGGTTGACACGACCGTGTATTTCCGAGGAGAACTTGATCGATATCAAGGGTGGTCGGCATCTCTTGCATGAAATGAGTATGTCATGCTATGTGACCAACGACACCTTCTTGGTAGGCGGGAGAGGCAGAGACGGGATGGACGACCAGACGAGCACAAATCAGACGCAGACAGGACCGAGCATGGTGCTTCTGACAGGGCCGAATTACTCTGGCAAATCAGTCTATCAGAAGCAGGTCGCCCTCATTGTCTATATGGCCCACGTGGGCAGCTACGTACCAGCTGAATCGGCAACCATGGGCATTACAGACAAGATTCTCACGCGCCTCACCACCCGCGAAACCGTGTCCAAGGTCCAGTCAGCATTCATGATGGATATCCAGCAGACTGCCATTGCTCTGAACTCATGCACAAAACGGAGTCTGGTGGTGATTGATGAATTCGGTAGAGGCACCGATACCTGTGATGGCGCAGGCCTTGCAGCAGGTGTTTTCTGTCATTTGGTATCTCTTGGTCCGGACGCGCCCAAAACGTTGGCCGCCACCCACTTCCACGAGATCTTTCACCTGGGCTTGTTCAACAAGTTCGACAATGTTGCGTTTGCACACATGGAAGTTCGAGTGAGCGAACAGCATGATGGAGGTACCGTTAGGGAGCATGACATTGAGGTGACATATCTCTACAATCTTCGGGCTGGCATGAGTGATCTTTCCTATGGTACACAATGTGCAGCACTGAATGGAGTGCCCGCCGAAGTGGTGGAGAGAGCAGAACAGTTGGCCAAGATGTCGGCGAGAGGTGAAGATCCGGTCATGGCGTGTTCAGCCTTGTCCACAAGAGATGCCCAGGATTTACAGGATGCCGAGTCAGCAGCGCGAAAGTTTCTGACTCTTGACTTTGACCACGAGATGGGCGAGGTTGAGCTGATGGCAACTCTGGAGTCAATGCTTGGTCCTGCTGAGAAGGAAGATGAAGGATATCAGGGGGCTCGTGATGTCCATTCTGCGGGGAGGTCCTGAGTGTGGGAGTCCTGCCGCGCTCAATCTGTCTTACCTCCGGTGGTCGAGTGGACGCCTCTTTGCTTGCCCCAGGCTCTACACTTGTTGATGAAATCGGGAACAACGAATAAAACGACTATTGAGCCGAGCCAATTCCAAAAGACATCCACGACACCACCTCTCAGACTTCCACCCATTCCCGCACCACGCATGAGATGCCCCACGAATGATGTGGTGATTATATAGTCACCTGCTTCCAGTCTCTTCAGCGTGATTTTGGCCACATCGTCAGGTTGCTGTGGCGTATCGTCCTCCTCCAGCTTTCGCGTCAATTCGGGTTTGAGTCTGTTTTCGTTCTCAAATCCGGGCGAGATGATGCCCATGGGAAAAACAATATGCACATTAATATCGGCATCCGGGGAAGGACCTTTTCCTTGTCTGGACCCGTTGTAGACCGCCACCTCTTGATTCAAACCATCAGCCATGGCCCGCATAGCTGCTTTTGCCGGTGAATATGGTGAATAGCCTGCCACAGGTAGGAATGCCAGGGTACTGCAAGTGAAGACGATATGGCGCGTGGGCAGAGCAATCTTCTTGCCGGTGCCATTATTGTTCCTGTCGTTGTCGCTCGAAGAAGGCTCCTTCCACAGATTTAGGATCGCATGAGCCATGTACATCGAAGACCAGTAAATGGTGTCCATCTGACCTCGGTGGGTATCCAAGCTCGCATCAGCAAAGAAGGATGGGTGGCAATTGCCCGCGCAGCAGAAAAGCAGATCCGGAGCACGACCATCGTTCCAGCTCGTCACTCTCTCCACGATCTTTTTTGCCGACTCCGGATTGCGCAGGTCATAGCTCAGGTTCAAGAACCTCTGCTTTTGCTCCATGTCACTGGGCTTGACCCCCGCGGCTTCGATCTCTGCCTGTGCTTTGCGCAATTTGACTGTGTCCTGCGCCACGATCACAACGTTGGCGCCTTTGGCTGCGAGTTGCGTTGCAAGTGAGAGACCCAGGCCCTGCGAGCCCCCTGTGACGATCGCCGTGAGTCCCGCGACGGGGAATTTGTTCTTGCGTGATGACCACAGCATTTGGACGATGTATCGCGTGAGGATGATTATAACGAAGGATATTGTGTACAGGATGTAGGGGTGGCGGAGGGCCAGAAGGCGGAAATCTGTCATGATATGGTATTAATACGGGTGAAAGGTGAGAGAGGAGGGAGGCCGAAGAGCGTGGTGGTAAGTTGTAAGGGAGATTGTTAAGATTGGGTGGTAGGCCCGAACGATCGTAGGTTAAGCGAGGGTGGTGGCTTGTAAGATTGTGCTTATTGGAATGTCTAGGGTGATATCTAGGGTTGTTGGTTGTACGAGTAGTTCGAGCTCAGGCTCAGGCGCCATAAGCACATAGAAACAAATACCTACCTACAGAACCATGGGAGTTAGGCGTGGGTAATCGGTTAGGTTCTTCGAGGTTGTTTCCAAAATATCCTCTTGTGTTAGTAGGTACCACCCATATTAGGTCAGCATGTGGTAAAGGCAGGACCGGGATGCGGAATTAGGAAATCCCGGCTGCGTCTACCATTTTCCATGCCAAGTCCAAGCCACGTGCTGGCACTCCAAATAAAAAATAGTTGCCCGCAAGTTGGATGTCTAAACTGCGGCGACATGAGCAAACCTCTTTAGAGCATTTGGGCAGTCCATGACCCAGCATCTATAATGGCGAAAAAGAGAAAAGCCAGTGGAACAGGCGGTCGCAATGCCGGTGCCCGCCAAAACCCAACTACCCACCCAGAAGACCATTTCAACGACTCCGAAGACGAATTCTTCACTGGTCGTGACAAGATCCTGCTCGATGAGGAACCCACCGCTAAGCGACGCCGCAGACTCCAAGAACAGGAGGCTGAGTTGCAACCCTCCGACGAGGAGGTGTTTCAAGACGCTGCATCGGACAATGAGTCAATCGACGACCAACAGAGTGACCTTGAGAATGCGGAAGGTGCTGGGCCAGATGCAGAGGACGGCGAGCAAGACGATGGCTACTGGGGCACGTCAAGAGGAGACTATTACAATGCGGATGTCATCGAGACCGAAGCCGATGCTCTTGAAGAGGAGGCTGAGGCTAAAAGACTGCAGCAGAAACAGTTGCAGGCTATGACCGACGCGGACTTTGGTTTTGATGAGGCCACCTGGGCGGATGATGCTAAGGACACAACCAAGACACAGAGACCGGCCGTGGAGAAACTGCCCGATTTCACTGTTCCGGAGGATGCAACGACAGAGGAGCGTAGGCAGATCCTGCGGACGCGATACCCAGAATTCGAGTTCTTGGCCAATGAACTCGTGGAGCTGCAAAGTATCTGCACTGTTCTTGAAAAGGACCGCGATCTTGTCACCGATAGTGACACCGACACCAGCGTTGTCTACGCAAAGATCACCGCTATAATGCTTTATATGGGAGCCATCATGTCATACATGGCTATAATGACCTCGCCCTCTAAATCAGGTATGGCCATGAATCCGGCGGAACTACACGAGCACCCTGTCATGAAATACGTGTTGAAAGGCCGCGAGCTGTGGAATGCGGTCAAGAACCTCGAAGTCGGTCACGATGATGAATCTGAGTCACAGGACGAAGCAGCACAATCCATATCTGACTCTCAACCTGAATATGGCTATGGATCTGATTTGGAATCAGCTGTTGTAGAGAAGATGTCCGGTTCTAGACGTGAACCTTCAAATCCTATCTCGAAAAAGCCTGCAACCAAGAAGAGGGCACAACCATCCGCATCATCGAGTCCCGAACCCAACACATCTCACCACACAACCACCAAAACCAAGAACTCTCGAAAGAAGAAACGCAACGATCTACAAACTCTACTCGACGCCTCACTGCAGCAGGCTGTTGAGGAATCGGATTTCGGAGACGAGGCGCCATTGACACAAGCCGAGGCAGAGGAGAAGGCCAGAAAGAAGAGGAGTCTTCGGTTCTACACTTCCCAGATCGCACAGAAGGCCAATAAACGCGGTGCGGCATCTCGCCACGCAGGAGGGGATGACGACATTCCACACAAAGAACGCATTCGAGACAGGCAAGACCGTTTGATGCGGGAGGCCGAGCAGCGCGGAAAATCAGGCGCTCACGATCTCGAGGCACTCGACACCGACGACGAGGATATGAACGTAGTTCGCCAGAACCATGAGGAGTCGAACGACTATTATGCCTCGCTCATAACAAGCTCGAAACAAAAGAAGGCAGACAAGAAAATGAAAGCCGATGCCTACGCCGAGGCTGCCAGACTCGGGGCACAGGTGTACGAAGAAGAGCAAGTCGGAGCCGATGGCAAACGCAAGATCACCTATGCGATTGAGAAGAACAAGGGTCTGGCGCCGAAGAGGAAAAAGGATGTCCGCAATCCAAGAGTCAAGAAGCGGAAGAAGTACGATGAGAAAATGAAGAAGTTGAGCTCCATCCGACAGGTCTATAAGGGTGGTGAGGGGAGAGGTGGCTATGGTGGTGAGGCTACGGGCATCAAGACTAATTTGGTCAAGAGTACTAAGCTGTAGTGCTTTGCCGTGTTGTTGGTGAAGTGTTGTACATGGCACGTGGCCAGATGTAAATAATATATGCCGCCGCTTGTGACACTTGTGATGTCCAGAAATGCACCCCTGTGCTATTATGACCTCCTTTAATAACTCCCATCATATGAACACGTTCAGCCATCAATCATCCTTTGCCTCCGAGCATGGCGCAGCATGAATCTGCCAATACTTCCGAAAGATTCTCGAAAGAACCCGGCCTTCTGCCTTCACATCATATTCCGGATGTGTCACACACTCATCGAGCAAACCAGTCATCTCACCAGTCACCTGATACCGCAGGAAACTCTCCGACACCCCAACGTACTGACGCACCCCTTCGTGAGCATCGATTGTCGAGCCCGTCGTCCAACTCAGCAGGAAAGGCTCGATGACCGGCGCGTCCGTCACCGACGGGTGAGATGTTCCGACTATCATCCTTGTTAGTAGTCTACCAACACTACTATATTTTCAAACCAGTTGAGCTGGGCGTGACTTACGTGACGTTAAGAACCACGCATCCTTGCCACGGGCCATGATGCCCTGGACGACATCCTTGACGACGTCGAAATGCGGTCTGCCGAAGAAAATGGACCGTTTCCGTGACCACGAGTTCGAATGGACCACGAGTGCGGGAACACGCACGTCATCGTTCAGTCGGCCGCTGGATTTGCCGCTTGAGATGGGTCAGTTGGGAATGTAAAATGGCTTCCAGCTGGAGAGATATGGACTTACGGGTCGAGAACCACAGCACCTCCGAAAGGGAGGGCAGGGGAAGGGCCATCTTTCAGCGTTTGTAGCTGGAACATGTTAGCACTAGATGCACAGGTAGGTAAATCAAGAGACTAGACTCACTGCAAGTGTTGCACCAAACGAATGTCCTCCGATCGTGGCATTGTCAATCCCGAGTCGTCCTCGCCAGAGCTTCAGTTCTCTTCCCTCGCCACGCGGATTTCCAGCGAAGATCTGATCGCCCTTGCCTTCATTGATATGTCGAAGAACTCGCACGGTTTCTTCAATCTCAATCTGCCGGAAATCAAGCTGAGCCTGCTTGAAGGTCTCCGCGTCAAGCCCTGAGCCATCTCTGTTGAAACAGGTTAGCAACCCAGCTCTGTCTCCAGTTGCGTCAGGAGCAGGTCCACATACTGAAGGTGGCGCAGCGCAAACATTACCCGATCCTCGTCCTCAGAACCTCGCTTCATGATGATACTGCCTGGCCCACTTCCATCACGATGCTCCAGGGCGGCGACCACAAATCCCCGACTCGCCAGCTCCCCGAGATACTGCGTGTACTGGGTACGCGAACTGGCGAAGCCGTGCGAAAACACCATGACGGGGAAACCGTCACTCGCGGTGGAAGTGGATTGAGCTGTGCCGCCGGGCGTCTGCACCGACATCGACACGACGCTTCCACTCCCATGCAGCGGCACATCGACCTGTGCGGGGATCTCGGTCCGCCCAACGAGTGCCCAGAGCCCGAACGTGAAGAGTGAATCCGTCACGATGTTGCTGATATGCGCGAACCTCGCGTACCCGGCCCCGACGAGCCCGAGCGGTCGCGGCACCCAGAGATGATGTGGCTTCGTCGATATAGTCCCTTGGGTTGTCGGGTAGTATATTGTGAACAGAACTGTTTCGACCTGCAATTATGATAATCCTTTAATCGCCGATTCAAGAAATACCACTTTCTAACCCCCTGACGGGTTCAAAGCCCACTTACCTGGAATGCAGGTTTGTCATTATGCTTGAACCGGGCATCGTGCGCTCTCCGCGGCTCAGCTACAGGCGCTTCGAGATCGATGGCACCAACCGCATATGGCCCCGTGTATTGTGGTAGACGGGATGAGAAAAGTGGCGAGGCGAATAAAAAGCAGTATAGTAGATATGTCGCTCCCGTGGCGCCGAGTATATATCTCCAGGTCCATCGTGGACGGAGTGTCGGTGGGAGACAGATCATCGAGACGAAATCGATCTTGTTTTTTGCTCTATAATTTTTCGACACTGGTACGTCGGAATGAACAATTCTCAATCTTTGTTGGTGTTTGAATGCATTCATGTCCAGGCTGATGTCGATCGATCGAGGGACGGCCGGAATGACGTATGCTTCGATCTGGGCATGTCGAGGCTTACCTAAGGAGGACTCCAGGGGTCAATAATTTGCCATTGGGGCGCCTGGTATTGGAAGAGTTTTATGTGCCTGTGGAATTCCCATATGTATTGTGGCTAAAATGGAGGAAGGTTGTTGAGATCAATTAAATCGTTCAGAAGTTCGTAGGGTACTAAGTACATTAATCGAGGAATAGTCTCACATCTAATGCTAACAAGGTTGTCTATGGTAATCGTGATTTTCGTGATTCGTGATGGACTGTACGCTGCCCTCTCTATCACTCAGTTTCTGACCCTTCGCCACTCCCGTTCTCATTCGATGGGACGGTCGACGCCTTTTCGGGATCCAGCGCTGGTCTTTTGGCCCGTTCCTGTTCGGCCTTGTACTTGGCCTCCTCTATGCTCGCACAAGCCTTCCACCTGAACACTCTGGCGGCGAGGGGGAACAGCAAAGTATTAACGGCCCACCACGCTACCAGGATACCAACGTGTCGTCCCATGTGTTCCTTGGTGAGGTCAAAGAGTATAATCCGCGTAGCCTTGACCACGTTGTAGAGTGGAAAGAACAGACCATACTTGTACACCCCAGCCGCCAGTTCAAGTGGGTAGAACGCCGTGCAGACATTGGAGATGACCCAGAAAATGAGCCAGATGGCCGTGAATGGCTGTCCCACCACCATGGCCACATTCTCACACGCGAACCCGAGGGCGCACATGCCGAGATAGTTGATGGCCCAGTACACGACGAATGATGCGTGGCCATATCCGTTGACCGATGTTCCTGGGGGAGGTGGTTCGACGTGGGACATCGGCTGGGAGGAAAATGGTATCTCAAATGCAAGACTGACCAAGGAGTAGAAGAGCGACATGAATGCGTATGCGATAAATGTGGACATATACTTCCAGAGCATTAGCTGGCCGAAATAAAGCTTACGGTGGTGTTCAGTGGAGCCAGGGCTGGTCTGTATGACGAAGAGGGTGTGTGTCGGCAAGAAGAACGTGTACGAGAAGAACGCGATGATGATGAGGTAAATTAGTCCGACGGTCACTGCAGGTGTAACTTGTGAGGGACCGAAGGGGCGAAGATTGATGGTGGTGAAGTCGATTGCAGGGGAGAGTGCCTGGGGTGGAAGTGTTGTGGGTTCTGTGACATTGCTCAACAGTTTTTGAACCTCTGGCACCCAGAGCGCTGCAAATGATGAGGATATGAAATGCTGAAATGCATTTAGCTCGGGGATGATGTAGCTGTCGATGGCTACTTGATCGCGTGCCTCGACATAGATTGTCTGGCATGCGCCTTTAGGATCATATGATGAGTTTCCTTGAGTGACAGCTTCACGGAGCAGACTTGAAGCATTGGCATTGACGATGATGGCCGAGAATGCCTTGTTGTTGTAGATGGCTTCCCGGACTTCCATTGGGTTGTAGTGGAAGTCTGCCGGTGATTTGATACGGTAACTTATATGTGGATGTGGAGACGCCTGCATCGTCTTTGCCGCCTCTACAATTGCTGGACCGACGATTGAAAAGTTCTGCTCATCCATGTAAGGCGCGACCTGGCCATCGAGATTGACAATCCAGACATCGAGGGCATGTAGGTGGTCATGGACGGTGAAGAGTGAACCCCAGAAGAGGGAGAGGACTCCCAAGATACAGACGCAAAGAATCGACGCTGCATGAATCATTAGCACTCACTTCTTTGATGAGCCCCTTCTGGCATGGGATGATAAAACCTACTGGTCTGTACCCATTCCTTTCCAACCCTTGCCCGTACTGCTCTCAACTCTGGATGCCAAAATCCAACTCGTGTCTCCCCATGAAATTCTCCCTTGAACCAATCTTCGAGTCTTGCACGCCAATGCCGTCCCATCATGGTGGTTATGGTTAGGCCAGAGAGCTGACTGCCACGCATTGATGTGTTTTCCATTTTGTTGAACAGTGCATGAAGTTTAAGATCATTGATTGAGGTAGACACTGGTTGACGAAGAGTTTAGCCATCTATATCCTTTAAGACCTGGACGTGCGCCGTACAAAGGGTTGTGACCCTATTCCCTCATACGTCAAGTGGTTTGGGAGATGTTAGTCAGGTGTTTTCCATTTTTGGTATAGAAACGTTCCATCCATCCCCAGGGCAGCGCTCTTATTGGGAGAGCCGAAGAATCAACAATTGGTAATTGCCGACTCGCCGAATATATTGCTGACTATTCTGCGGTACTTCTGCACCAGGCTTGAATCAGGACAATCATGTAGATCGCCCAGTACAATGATCCTGATGTCCATACTTGCGAACTGGGTTGTTGTTGTACGAGGTAGATTCCGATGTATGAAGATCTGGCCAAGCATATGGAGAACCACGAATCATGGAGTACACTTTCATTGCTTGTGGCTGAGGTGATGTCAATCGATCTCAACGTTGTCAAGGTTGCAACGCAGAAATGTTGTTCAGATATACCGGGTTTGTACGAAGATATTCGTACAACCACAAACTATTCGGGTGGCTTACACAAGATGTTTCCGCCTACCTTTTTACATTGTTGATTGTATCACAGCAGCTGCAGTGTTCAAAGATCGATATCTGGCAAGACTTCGCGTTCAATATGATCGAAATAGTAGATGCGTTTTGCAACAGTCAACTAGCAAGACCAGTGCACGTGACCAGTCCCAGCCATGCCTGAAAATTGAACCGGTTGATCCGGCACAACTTTGTTCCGTCAAACTGCGCTCAACCTCCACACTCAGCGACATTTTGTCGAGAGTGACTCCATACGAGCACCTACGTGGTATGTACTAAGAATATAAAACCTCATCCAGTTCCAAACGATGTGAGAGAGGTCAACACCTTCAGTATAGGAAAGACAGTCGGTCACGTATCCAACGCTTGGAGTTTCAATATAGAGGCTGCGCTTCCGGGTACGCAGCTTGACTCTCTTCACCAGGTGTGTGGTATCAGACATGTGTCCGATAAGAGGAATCACAGCACTGCTTTTCAAAAAGGGTCACTTTTAGACTGATGTACCTATAGAGGTACTAAAGATAGTAGATGGAAGGAAGGTACGACTTGACAGGACTGAAGGAAAGATGGAAGTCGCAGGCACTGGACTCGAATCTCAATGCACTTGCCTTGGGGTGCTGCCAAGACTTCATCCCGACCCCTTAACGTGATCACGTGGACGCTAGACCCCTTTGAGGAATGAGCTCTCTTGAAAATTGAGAAAGTCTGCCGAGAGTCAACAGCTCTTCCAATTTCATACCAGCAAATCTTCTTCATACTTCTTCTCTTTCATCCTTTTCATCTCCACTCATTGTCACCTTGTCCGCTTCGAAGTCTTCCAGCTATCTCAGCTCCTTCACCCAATCTTCACCAAGATGTATGCCGCAAGCAAGATGACCGGGGCCGTTGCCCGTATTGGTGCGAGACAGTCGACCCGTTTCATGTCGACATCGCAGAGTAAGCTCCAATCCGACCTTGAACCTCCTTCGATCGTGCTTTTACTCACAAAGCTGTAGCTCCCATCCAGAGCTCCATCATCCGCTCTACTCGTCAACCCCTCAACCGCAATGCCCTGCTCTTCAACAACGCTCGCACCACTTTGAGCTCCAACATGATCCGCGGTGCTATGCAATCTCGTGGTGTTGTGGCCGAGACCGCAACAACCGCCATTGTGGTCGCTGCTAAGCTTCACGGTGCTGGTGCTGCCACCATTGGTCTTGCTGGTGCCGGTATTGGTATCGGAACGGTGTTCGGAGCTTTGATCCAAGGTGTCGCCCGCAACCCATCTCTGAGAGGTAAGTCGAAATTTTACAGCTTTCAACCTGGATACAACACTTGATGGCTGTACTAATCATGGTCGATGAACACAGGTCAGCTTTTCTCCTATGCTATTTTGGGTTTCGCCTTCGCCGAAGCAACTGGTCTTTTCGCGTTGATGGTTGCTTTCCTCATCCTCTACGCATACTAGACGCATAGTCGGAAAATTCAATCATGTACACCACTAAGCCGGACAAGAAGAGATGTGTACATGCTACGGGGGAGGTTGCCAATGGATGCTGGATGTGATGCAAACAGAATCAAGGTTCCTTGCTGGTGGATATATTGACCAAAATCCAATATACCTCGGGCCGGGTTATTTGTATCAGTAGGATTTTGTTGCATGACATGCCACCTTACCGCATCAGACAATAGAAAAAAATCCCAACTTCCCCGATTTATCTTACACGCCTCGCTATAGAGCTTCCCTTATCCCGAACCTACCCAGACCTGTGAGCAATTTATCTTAACTGGTGGGTGATGTGACTCCTCGTGGGGAGTCAAGATTGTTTCAGACATATCGTCTCGTCTTTCAAGAGACAGTACTTCTGACTTATACTTGAACATGGTGGTCTTGGTCCACCTACTGCCCTCGGATTTGCAACACTGATCACCCCCAACCTTCTAGACAGCGAAGACTGGCAAAGTAGTAAGTGTTTCCGTCCAATTCTGATGTTGCGATTGTGACCAGATTTGTTGCAAAAAGCGAAGTGCTAGTGGCAGATTTGCAAACCCAGTACGCTGAGAATGCATGATCAGAGCTTGCTCAAAGAACTCATGTTGTTGAGGTTGAGACGACTCTGCAGCGGCCAGGAAAATAGTGAATGGAACGAAATACATCCCAGGTGAGTTTTGAGGGAGTGATCTCAGCGTTTTAATGAACCCATCTACGAGTTCAACATGTGGCGGAGTTCCAGGCTCAGCGAGAGCTCTGACCACATATATGTTACACGCCTGCTCGTTCAGCTTATAAATCAGGGACCATGAGCTCTGGAAATTTGGATACAGCAGACAATCATTGCTGATGTCTTCCCACCCCTCGCATTGGAATGGTTGTGAACTGGACTGGCGTAGTCGATTGACACCATGTTCCAGACTCAAGTGCGGCGATACCCATCCCCGGTATCTGGAGCTCGTTAGCCATGCGGTCGAAGAGCATCAGGGTGCCAGCACAAACTTCCGGACCTGCCGTACTATGAATTTCCCAAGCTCGCCGACTGCTACACGTTCTTCCCCACCCAGAGCAAATATAGCTCCTTCAACTAGGCCAAAGATGGTTCGAAAATCGGAAGACCCGCTCACTATAGCGGCGACCAGTAACACCAAGAGGGATACGAGAATTCTCTGCTGTCCTACTGTGTCGTACATGGTCATGTCCTGTCTCGATCGTAGTTTGCGGATTGCTTGGTGGTAAAAAGCTATGGGATGGAGGTTCTTGCCGCTAACATTTGCGGCAAAATGAAATGCAGCAGCTGACAAGACCGACTCATCGACCAAATCATCTGCTTGTGCAATTGGAAGAACAAGATAGCGCCAGCCATTGCGGTGGTCATCAATTCCCACCATTTCCCCGGCAATGTTGTTGGAGACTAAGCAAATAAGCAAGATATCAGATCATTTCCAGGACTCCCTTTGAAAACTTACAATATGTTAGGAGATACTGCCTCCACGGATCTCGAGAACTGAGTGCCAGGTCCCCAGAGATGAAAGTATTCACATCCTCGGAAACCATGGCCAGGTGCAACCCATTTTGTTTCTGGGATTCGTCGTCTTGACTTGAATCTTGGTATAGTAAATATGGCGGTTTTTCTCCGAACGCCTGGCCGGGTTGCCCTTTGTCAATTCGAAGTACCTCATGACTCGAGCTTGAAGGTTCATTGGTACTGGCTACCGACTTAAATCGATATCTTACACCATATCCACTGCACTCAATGCCTCTCGAGGCACATTTGGCGCATGAGGGTTGGGTGTTATCGCAGTGTATGCGACGCTGAGAACACTCGTAGCATCCTAGAAGAGGTCAAAACTCTTGACCACGCTCCCGGGGACCCACTCACCTCTGGTCTTTGGGACATATTGCCGCTTGGTACGAGGCATTCTCCATATCTTTACATCTCGACGAAACCGAAGACGATGTCGAGTGTGGGGTAATTAATTGGATTTATACCCCTCTTAAAACTGTAGCTTAACATTATCCGACATCTTCGTTTATTACTACTTTATTACTTATCGACTATCATTTTTCTTTCAGTCAGCAAGATAAGAGACGATGTCAGTCGTCCAGTATCATCGCTGAGTTGAATAGGTTATCGAATCCTCAACGTTCAATGTACTAGTATGGGGCTTACCCATTGAAGCATCCTGCTATGGTCTGAACGGGTATATTAGTAATTTAGTACACGACATTGTTGAGAGAGGGATTGATAAGCTTTACCTAGCTCCATCCTAGCGTCCTCTAGCTGCCAAATTAGGCATGAATTATGAGAGCACTCAAGCCTAGATTTGTCGACGACTGTGATATCTGACTGTCTGAGGATTTGACTACCTAGCCAGGACATCAGATCCAGGATGGCTTTTATATACCGTACATAGCCTTCATCGACAGACGTTGGATCCAGCTTCCGACACTCCGATAGGCGATCGAAGCCATCTTTGCCATGCCCCTGGCTCCAACACTGAGTAACAGGGACTCTCGAAGGAACTCGAAACCGTTCCCAATTTGACCTTTCTCATGAGAACATCATGCTTTCGGACAGTGATACGCTCAATCATAACTCCATGAGCGTCATGTGGGCATCTTCCATCAGCTGGAGGCAACATGGCCCATGTGGAGGGGTCGTTGTTCATAGCAGATAAAGGAAGTCTCTGTTCGCCCTTTGGACCTCTTCCAATCCAACACGAACAGTTTGAATCTTGACCAAGCTCAACATAAGATTTCTTGACAATGGGTGTTTTGAATTATCTTGGCATTGGTGGCCGTACACCTTCGACTGAGAATGAAACCAGCAATCCTGTACGAGCGCTTCCTTCTAGCTGGTACACTTCACAAGAAATGTACGAGTTGGAGAGACGAGCAATCTTTTCCAAGAGATGGATGCTCATCACTCACAAGACGAGACTTGTCCAGCCGGGTGACTGGCTCAAATTCGATATTGCAGGATACGAGTTCGTGCTATGTCGAAGCAAAACTGGAGATAGCATCCATGGATTTCACAATGTCTGCCGACATCGTGCATTCCCCGTCGTCCAGGAGGAGAAAGGATCAGCAAAGATATTCGCCTGCAAGTACCATGGGTGGTCATATGGCCTTGATGGGAAACTCGCAAAGGCTCCCAAATACGACGAGCTTGCTGGCTTTGACAAGAGTCAGAACGGCCTTTTCAAGATCCATGTACGCACTGACAGCAGTGGGTTTGTCTGGGTCAACCTTGATGGTAAAGAAATCCCAGAAGTGCCATGGGAGGAAGACTTCGACGGTATTGATAGCCAAGAAAGATATAGTGTATTCAACTTTGATGATTATGTTCTCGATCATGAATATCGAAAAGAGGGTGATTACAACTGGAAGATCTTGGCCGACAACTTTAACGAGTGCTACCACTGTCCGACAGCACATCCGGACATCCCCACGCTCGCCGACATTGAAACACACAAGGTTGATACTGACCACGGTTGGATAAAACATCAATCGACACCGACGTCTGAGCAAAAGGAGCTGGGTCTTGCCATTGCCAGTACTTACTTCTTCCCAAATGTTTCCATCTCTGTCCTGTGAGTCTCCCAGTGTCCTTTTCTTTTGCCCGTAACGACATGGTCAACTAACATGAATCCCAGGCCACATTTCATCATGCTTCAAAGATTCCTCCCAAGCGGACCGAAAAAGTCCACAATGCATTATCAGATCTTCCGCAACAAGAATTCGACAGACGAGCAGTTCCAACTCATAGCACAGCTGTACAACAAGGTCGTCAGTGAAGATAAGGTCTTGTGCGAATTGGCTCAGAAAAATCTGAACGCCGAGATCTTTGTGAGTGGCGAAATGCACCCCAGACTGGAGAAAGGCCCGCTGTTCTTCCAGCAAGTGACACGGAAAGTCATCAGGGAACACTTTGAGAGAGAGAAGGCAGCCAAAAAGGAGATATGGCCGGCTCGGCAGCAGCTGCCAAGTAGTGCTGTCCATAACACCGAGGATGCCGAACTGTGTTCCAGTCTATCTTGTCAAACAAATGAAGCAGGATTGGCTTGGTAGAAAAGCATATTGTGGCGACCGGCTTGAATTCCCAGCGTGGCTGTCCATCACATGTTCCAAGGCCTGCCACGCTGACTTTGATCCTGTCTTCTTATCACTTGGCCGTGGCCGTTGATGTAACGTAGGGCATAGCTAAATATCTTAGGTATTGGCAAAGTGGAATTATCAAGATGCTCTGCGTCGCTTATATCTGGATGTCGTCGGACGGACCGGCATACCAAGGCTGTGAAAAGCCTCCAAAACTCTCAGCCTTTCGTCACGCCCAGTCTGTTTCCTCGGCGGCAGCCTTGGCCCACCACCTCCTCTCTCAGATTCCACGATGGAAAAGGAACATCGTCCGGCCAAAGGCCTTGGGTTCAGCAACCACAACCAATGGTTGAATGGATATTCCACTGCAATGTGAGATCTCGAGATTGTATCTGCAATCATGGTCGTAAATGAAGGTTCAACAAAGAGTCTTGGGAGGAGGTGGCAAAAGCAATCCCGCCGAGATAAGCCAGCATGTTAAATAATAACGTCTGTCCCCAAGTGCGAGTGCTTGGTCTCGATCAGATTGTGTCGTCTACCGATCCTTATCCTTGAAAGACATCACTGGAACCTTCTGCCACCATGGCGAACGCCGTCTTTGACAACAATTCGAGTGAAAACTCCACGGGTAAAGAGGTGCCGATCGAAAAGGTCTCGAATGACTCTTACGGCAATGCACCACGAAGACTTTCGACCAGCGGTGATGTAGCAGTCAAGAACACCTACGTGTACAATGAACTTCCGTTCTGGACGCGCATGGGATGCACTCCCGACTCTTTCAGGCCACGCACGTTGGAAGACAAGCACAACCAACTCAATCAAACACTCCGCTCTCGACACATGCATATGATTGCGATCGGTAAGTGACTTGGTCGGATGCAAGAGTCGAGAGTTCAAGCTTACAGAAATCAAGGCGGCTCCATCGGCGCCGGTCTTTTTGTTGGATCTGGTGGTGCGCTGGCAACAGGTGGTCCTGCATCGTTGCTCATCGATTTCATGATCATCGGTATCATGATCTTCAACGTTGTCTATGCACTCGGCGAACTGGCAATCATGTATCCTATCTCCGGCGGCTTCTACACATATTCAACAAGGTTCATCGACCCTTCATGGGGCTTCGCGATGGGCTGGAATTACTGCCTGCAATGGGCGGTTATCCTTCCTTTCGAGATCGTGGTTGCATCCGAGTGTATTCGCTATTGGGATAATACTACAAGCCAAGCCGTTTGGTACACTATGTTCCTGCTCGTCATCATCATCATCAACATCTTTGGTGTTCTTGGCTATGGTGAAGAAGAATTCTGGTCCAGCCTTCTCAAGCTTGCCACAATCATCATCTTTATGATTGCTGCTTTGGTCTTGGTTTGTGGTGGGGGACCAAGTGATGGCATGTTCGGCGAGTATTGGGGAGCTAGGTTGGTAACTTGCTTCTGATGTTTGTGATGCTCGCTGACTTTCATAGGAACTGGTATGATCCAGGCGCGTTCAGAAACGGTTTCAAAGGCTTCTGCTCCGTGTTTGTGACAGCTGCCTTCTCTTTCGCAGGGACTGAACTCGTTGGTCTTGCGGCTGCAGAATCAAGAACCCCGTTGAAATCACTGCCCTCAGCCGTCAAGCAGGTGTTCTGGCGTATAACGCTGTTCTACATTCTGTCATTGACATTCATCGGTCTCTTGGTCCGTTCTGACGATGAGCGCTTGTTCGGAGCCGGTAACTTCATTGACACCACCGCATCCCCTTTTGTCATCGCTGCTGGAGACGCTGCCTTGACTGGATTTGATTCTTACCTCAACGTCGTCATCCTGGTATCCGTCGTCTCTATCGGTAACTCGGGAGTCTATGGTGGCAGCCGAACTTTGACCGCTCTAGCCGAACAAGGCTATGCACCACGCATCTTTGCCTACATCGATCGTGCTGGTCGGCCATTGTTCTCGACGATTTTCATTATTGCCATGGGGGCTCTCGCGTACATTGGAGTAGCTGACCAAGGAGTGGAAATCTTCGATTGGCTTTTGGCCTTGTCTGGCCTTGCTGCGTTGTTCACCTGGGGATCAATTTGTTTGGCTCATATTCGATTCCGCAATGCATGGAAGTATCATGGGCACACGAATGACGAGATTCCCTTCAAGGCTATTGGTGGAGTTTATGGCTCTTACCTTGGGCTGGGAATAATTGTCCTTGTGCTGATTGCCCAGTTCTATGTTGCCATCTTCCCAGCTGGAAATGATGGGGAGATGAACGATGCCGCTGGCTTCTTCAAGTCGTATCTGGCATTCTTTGTGGTCGCTTTCTTCTGGTTGATCGGTTATGCGTGGAAGAGAACTGGGTGGCTGAAGCTTGGCCAGATCGATGTCGATAGTGGTCGTCGCGAAATTGACTGGGAGGTGCACCGCGCCGAGGCGGAGAAAAGGAGAAATGCAGGACCGTTCAAAAAGGTCATGTACTTCATGTTCTAGGGTCGTTCCATATGACAAGAGGTAAAACGATGACAGAATCCAGCTCTTAGTAGTGATGCGAATAGCATGGGTAAGACCACAGTACGAATGGATCTCACTTGTTCAATCACTGAGATTGAATTCTAGGTGCGTCGGATAGGATGTAGCATATATGAATACCATGTACTTCATGAAGACTTTCTTGGATCTTAGCATCAATGGATTATGATCGAACATCATTCCATTTCGTGAGTCGATTTCCATCAGATATTGGTTGACCAGTCAACTGCGAAAATCTTCTGGCGTTGCTATCTGTGCTAAAACTCCGAGGAAGGTATCAATCTTCCATTGCCCGCATTCAAACGGACCCGGTAAAGGTCATCCTTGATTATGGAGTCCTCCTGTTTCAAATAATCTTCAATTCTCGTGGAGCAATCGACATATCTCCCGGACATGAAATCCAACTTCCCTGACGACAGAACCGAAGTCATACCTGCAGCCATATAAGGGGTGTCAAAGGTGGCTTGGTCAAGGAAATGAACAGCGATTTGAGCTGATTTGTCCTCGCCCTCAGCGCCATCTACAATGTAGGATCTCTCATTTGACCGGCCCTCGACTTTGTCTTTGAAGTCGTGATAGAATCGTGTCTGAATGGCGCCAGGATGAATAGCGAACGCTTTGATGTTGAACTCCTTGAAGTTCTCCATATGGATGATCTCTGCCAGCCGTACCATCGAGAGTTTGGCTGCAATGTAGCTGCCCATTCCCTGATTCGCGTGGGCGCCGGCGCTCGAAGTGAAAATGATCCTTCCGTCACGCTTCTTCTGCATGATGGGAAGTGCATACCGGCTGAAATTGTACGCACCTCGGAGAGAAACACCCACTGTGTCCCACCAGATCTCGGGATCGCCTTCGGACGTTGGGAGCCACTGAGGTGGTCGGCCAGCATTCATGAGGACAACATCTATGCCGCCAAATTCGCCATTAACCTCTGCAAGAAAGTCTTTCACTGCCGCCGGATCTTGGACGTCAAATGCACCAGTCTTGATCCGTAGATTTTGATCGTTGGCCTGACATATCTTCGCTGTTTCGGTGATTTCATCCAATTCTAGAGCAGCGATGCTGAGAGACCCAAGTTTCCCATAACTGAGAAGCTCTGCACATGCCCGTCCAACACCTCGCCCGGCCCCAGCGACGACAACATGTTTCCCGTTCAGCGCCTTCGCCAGGTGTGTGTTTACCCTTGGGTCTGTCTCGAAATAGCAGTCATGTAGATCTCCGAGAAAGGGTTCTGGTTGGAGGGTCATGGCGAAGGAGTTTTAGGATATTTCACTTCTGGGTTGGATGAACAGGACCGACTTGGCATATGGCCCGATACAGGGTGAATGCATCTCAACGACTCCTTCCCTTCCCAGCCATGTGTCATTACCCCAACACCCTTATAACCTTCGACACAAGCGAGTGGGGTCGAATTTGGGGTCATAGATTTCAGTATTGGGAAAGTGGGATCGGTTTATCGCGTCCTGCTCTTAGCGCAAATGCTGTCAAGCCCCCGCATCGAAATTCGGTGTGAGAGCCTGTGAATATGTACTGTTTCCGATCGTGACTCGAAAGGATGAAATAGAAAATCCATTCGGTTCTTGGGTTGATGCATGTGACACAATGAAATTGTCTGGATTGAAGCATGGATGGCGCCGGATGTGAACGGCTGATGAAGGTGAGTCGACGATCGAACAGCGGGGTTTCTCACTTCCCCTTCGCAGTCCTTTTCTTTGTAGGAGATCTCATCTAGATCACTATTAATGAACTTCATAGGACTATGATCACATTAAATATACTTCCTTTCTGTAGCAGATATCGATCCTCTTTGATGATCTGTGACAAAATCACTAGTCGATTCGCGAATAAGGTATATTCGTACTCAGACTGGAACTGGAACCACGTCCTTGGCAGGAATTGGAACGGCCTTCATGGCTCGTCTTCCTCCATGATTTTGAGAGGTGGTGGCGGCACCACCAAAATCGAGTTGGATGATCCAGCAGCAAAGCCAGTCTTCTGAAGAAAGTGGCTACAATGTACATAAGCAGACTGACAGACTGGGCATGGGACCCTTGTTCGACACTTCGTTGAAACTGCCCGACGACTCTCTGAGTATTGAACTGGGTTTCATTGCATGCAGACTTGAAGATGACGACTTCACTGCTTGCGCACCCTGAGTGGCCTGATCAGAACCTCCTGACACTTCCGCGACATTTCGCTTTTTCAAACAGTGCTGAATACTGTCGAACCAAGAGATGCTCATCATAATCTACCATTTCTGTTGGCTGAAGGTAAGACCGCGATCTTGCACAGTAACAGAGCATCGAATGAAGGTCAGGATGCGGAAAGCTATGTATGCCATCAAATCTCTATCGCTAGCAGAGATCGCATTGCTGACAAGACTTCTCTTACCCAAACTCATTGGAAGCGAGCGTATTGGTGGTGGAGATGTTGGTCAGCCCAGGCGTTGGTGGGCGCTTACCGAGCAGATTGAACCACGACTCCCAGGACGCAGGAAGAAAGATACCCGCTAAGGGTCGAATGACGCCCACTGCCAGAATGCTGCAGAAAGACGCATGATGCCAGATCCTCCTGACTGCAACAGTAGATCGAACAAATCGAGTCACGCGGGGTTTGCTCCTCAGTCGAAAGTCGGTAGGCTTCAGAGTCACGACGCCACGGGAAACTGTCTCGACGGGCTCACAACAAGAGCCTTGAACGATGGCCATATAACCCGTGGAGGGAAGATGATCCCTCTCAAACAGCTCGAACAGAACCAGTGTGGCTCGCTGTCCTCTTGTGCTGCTACTATCAAGGCTGCCTCGTGTGCTTCAGATGATGGAGTATCTGTCCTCGACGAATCAACAGAACACAAGGCGAGGAACCAATGCCCAAAACCACCGCACGCGCAGTCCCAAGAACGAACCTGATTGCATGCGCGGGGAGCGTAGTTATATCTCAGTCGATGTCTGCTGCATCGTGCATGACGAAAAGAACAATGTAAACCTAGGTATGAAAGGATAAGTCACGTGCATGGCTGGTGTGTTTTGGGACAAGAGAGCAATTTGGCAAGCCAATCGTGATCACGACTCCGAAAATGAGCTCCGCCAATTCTGTCGTAACACCTGCGGCTGTTGTCACTGGTTCATAGCACTGAAAAGTACGCGCCGATCAAGCGATGGAAGACTCAAGGCGAGTCGTGCTGCCCGCGGAAGATTCTCAGGCTGCCTAGCCAGCTATTCCGAACAAACTGGAAGTCAGTTCAGGAGGTGGCAATCTGGAAATTGCGGCTCCATTTTATCGATAAGGCCTCGGCGAAAGCCTGGCAATCTAGGGTCGTGTTTCATTCTAGGTTTACATTCGAACCGCATCATCAGGATAGATATTGTCAGGGGCAGGGACCCCATATATGTGCGTCCGGCGGTAGCTGCCAAGGGTAGGCTTCTACTTCGTATCCGTGAATCCGGACTTCGTAGGCCTGACCAGGGTGTGGGTGATTAGACTTTTGTCGGGAGCAGTAGTAACTCGGGGCCTCTGCAACTATCCGAACGAGTGGTTTTCAGCTAGCCGCCTCATCTGAGCTCCCACTCATTGCATGGCATTTAGATGTCGCTTAATGTTCAAACAACCGCCTACCTAAATCTCATGCAATCAGCTCAATTCAACCATTTCACCACGTTGTGGCCCGACTTGAAGGACGCGGAAAAGGGGCACGTTGGACGCTGTCCTCGGCCTCGGTAACATAACAAACATTGGTCGACACCTTATCCACAAGCGGTCCTAGGCCACGATCATTTATGCCTTGAGCACCAGATTCTACAACCGCCGAGGACACCGATCATGTCTTTCTCGTGAGGCTCTTACCGAGACCTGGAATCTCTGTTGGCTGTGTCTCCCAAGCAAGGGAGGCGCATTCACCATGATAATAACGCGGACCCAGCTAGGGAAACCTAGCGTGATCGCAGTATGTCTGTTGTTCGTCGCTACCTGTCTCGTCTCATTGTTCCTGGCTCGATCAGACCTGGATGTTGATCATTTGAACCCATTCAGAGGATCGGATGAAATAGCGATTCCTGACGATAGCATTGCATTGAGACCCGCGTTTGCTACTGCCTCAGTCAGCGAAAGCACTTCGAGCAGCAGCCTCAGTGCATCGAGTAGCAGTCCGACCACGCCGAGCAGCGTCGCTACCACGTTGAGTGGCAGCCCTTCCACGTCAAGCAGCAGCCCTACCACTTCGATAGCAGAAGAACAAGATGATCAACCAAATTTCAATGCAACAAGTGCCAAGGATCCTGCAGAGGACGACGCATATGACCCAGGGAGTGACTTTCGCGAGATTTATTCTCTCTCCCGCAGCGGTGGGACCTTCTTTCCGGTCTCCTTCGGCAACGAGTTGGCGTACAATCTCAACATTCTGCCTCATCCTGAACAACCAGATCAGTATGTTCTGCTCGCTCAAGCAGGTCTCCCGGGGGCGCTTGTACTAAAGGAGACGACTTGCATCGCTGAAATTCATGATGGCATTCTTGCTTGTATCGAACCCGCAGTCTATCTAGAACCAACTCCCTCGATTTCCTGTGTCAAGTGCGTAGATGGAGAATCACCCCCTATGCTCAACATGGTGTTCGGACCTCGAGATGCCCGTATGTTCAACGGCCCTGAGCATTCTTATATCATGTACGGCTCTCAATCTCAGTACACCTGGCTGGGGCTCTGGATCCAGAATGCGGGAAGACTGATCCCGACTTTGGACCAAGGCAACTCAAACGATTCAGTTGCGTTTCCCGAGGTTACGGAGATTCAACGACCACCGCCTACTAAGCTGGGCTACGAGAAAAATTACTTTCTTTTCTGGGACGATCAGGGAACCATGTACGCACATCACGACATATTTCCCAATCGAACATTTGCTCAGCTCTCTACGAACGGATCCGTCGGCGCTGATCTCTCTCTGGAAAGTGCCCCGATCGATACAGTTTGCATGGCTAAACATATGCCCAAGCCAGGACCTGAGCTAGAAAGTGTTCACCAGTCTACCAATTCGTTAGCTCTAACCCTATGCCGGCGTGCTGATCCGAGCTGTTCTCCGAGCAACGACAATACATTCATAATCACCATTTTCCAGCACAAAACCTATCATTACTACCACGCTCTTTACTACTCTTATGTCATGTTGTTTCAACAAGCTGCGCCATTTGCAGTCCATGGTATCTCTTCAAAGCCACTGTGGATTCATGGCCGCGACATGCTCACGAACAAGACACATGCAGCGTTTTACGAGGAACACCCGTCCTCATTGCCCCCAAATCATACGGAAATGTTCTACATCACCAGCATTAGTTGGAAATCTCCTAGCCAGAGATATCATGGATATATTGACGATGCCCTGTTTGTGTCCTTTGGGATAGAAGACACAAAATCCGGCACCATTGATGTTCTGGCCGGCGACTTAATACAAGACTTGGCATATTGCGATGAAGAATAGGTAGACAGTCTATGCACATAAATAAGGATAGATATTCATGATGTTGATTTTTGCAAATGCTTCTTGGTTTTAAAGTCTCACAAGTTCTCCCATCTTCTTCAATCGGCACAACCACTGCATAACTCGACGTTATTATAGCGGTGCTCTCCCATTATCTTCCCTGTCGCAGTAGCAACCAGGCGCACTCCGATGCGCGCCGTCACATACATGAAAACGTCAACCTCGCACTTGACCACGAACAGATGATTTCGAAGACATATGCATTAAACGTCAGACGCTTTGTGCTGACAGTCGTTACGTTTATACTGTATTTATACAAAATGGAATGCTTCGTTTCCCAATCCTTAGCTGTTAATCATCAAAAGTCAGCGGGTGCGCCTTGGCGCCTGACTTTAGCACCGAAAAGGTATATAACCATCTCTGGTAAGACCAAACGCCATCTCTTGACCTCCCAAAACCTCCAGCTGTCGCTGGCCTCAGGGCTCTATGCCATCATCTATCACATCTCGATTGCAGCCAACTCCGATCTCCCTCGTCCTTGAAGATATGAGAAATGGATATCATGATATTCTTTCATGTAGCGTTTTTGGCGCCATTCTTGCCCTAGGCGGGTTGTTTCTGCTCTGCTTTGCCCTGATGAGCGTCCCCTGGAGGCTTCGTGTCGACATTTTCTAATCTTGCGGCGGGTCGATCTTTCTCTGTTGGAGCTCCTTCGGCCCGCGGGGTAGTATCCATGGGAGGCTGTCCGGCGGGAGGAGCAATTTCAGGTGGTGGTTCATCTTTGGGTACCTGGACTCCTGTTTCCTTGAGCTTTTGAGCGTCGTCAGCCTTCTTAATTTCAATCATCTTCAATTGCGTTTCCTGGGGAAGACTGGCGAAGAATGCCGTGTTGGAATCCCAAAGCGCCACACAGTCTACGTTCCAGTTGCAGGTTTCGACCTCGCCATAAACTGGGTGCTTATAACGAGGATGAGTGTCTGTCCAGGTTGAGGCGTGGAAATGGTGCTTGACGAGTGCTCCCCTGCCGCCATGGTTCCCAGAATCCGAATGTCCAGTGCCAGCCGCCATAGCCTCCGCTGGGAGGACCAAGATTCGTCCCATAATTGTAGACTCTTCCAGGTTGTGGAAGTCATTCCAGGTAACCTTTTTGCCAGTTACGTCGGACATAAATTTGAGAATAGCTGTGGTGAATGCAGAAGGGCCCGTGCCGCTTAAAACTTCGTCAAAGTCGAGCTTTATCTTGGAAATAGGTACGTCTTGTTTCTTGGCGAGCTCATTAAGCCACTCGAGAATGTGTTCAATCAACATCATCATGACCGGGACTCGAGGTTTGCACATGAATGTCCACTGGCAGAAAGACTGCGATTTAGAGCCAAGAATGGGATGATCCTTTAGTCTGGGTTCATCCGTCTCCACGCCGATAAGCATATCGATGCCATTCACATCGACCCGGTGAGGAATGAACTGGTCGATAGATCTGAGTGCTTCGACGTCGATATCTGTGTACACTCCTCCAACAGCGTACATGATTAGATAACGTAATAAATCGGATTGGATGATTCTCAAATTTTCTAGCGCCTTGAACGTGCTGACGATATCTGGTCGGTTTAGGCCAGTTGCACCATAGTGTTCTTCCACCCACGACATGGAGTTGCCATCTGTGAGCACTTCATATCGGTAGGACGGATTCTTGACCGTCCACGTTCTTGCCCGCTCAGAATCTCTGTCCTCGAATCGTGTTGGATCGACTTTCCATGACTGCCAAATTTTCTTGGGGAAGGTTACGGAAACGGGAGATTGGGATTGCGGTAATGGCGCTCGATGTGTGAAAGATCCCGTGGAGGAATTGTTGAAAAGTCTGTGTAGAAACAAAAAGGCTGCTGCACATCCCATGAGCAGGAGGGCTATCCTGCGAGTTTGCCTGCTAGGGCGATTCGCGGTAGATCGTCTGGGCTCCATGACTGAGCTGGTCACGAGTGACTTCTCGAGACCATACAAATTCTTCGCGTCTAGCCAACTTTCATCGCTCAACGCTGGTGGTGAAGAGCGTGAGCGGGTTGAGAACAGCGAGCCAAATGGCAGGCGAGAAGGCACCATGTAGAGAAGATCGTTTCGTTCGATTCTCAAGCAGGCAACTCTTGAAGATTGGCGGTGTAGGTCAAGCTGTGAGAAAAGAAAAAGTCAAGAGATCACTGCCGGTGCATCTCGCCTAGGGAGTGGTGCGGGGCACAGCTATGGTAGATTCGATATCTTGAATTACCAGGCGATGATCCAGCAAGGCAGATATCATGTAACAAGAGCCAAAAGGCCTTTTCGATGAGGGCGCCTCCTAATCCATGGTGTCACGACCCACCACATGCCAGGAGCACATGTTGGGATTGTTGCTGTAAACCCCTGGGACTGGAAGCTCTCAGTACTAGCCGTATCAATCCTTCGCTAACCCGAACAATCTGGTCTAGATTAAGATGTTCAACTCAGCTGAAATGAAGTTGAGCCCCATGTGGATTGCACTAGCAGATTCCTGCCTCGGACAGGGGCTTTTAGTTAGACCTTCGGAAGGAGCAAGGATGCAAAGCCCGAGACACCCGGGGTGCCCAAGCAGTACCCCCACTGCAGGAACAAGGGTCCTTGTTTTAACCTGGTCACCCACGTGGCTTGGTCCACAAATCTATTGCCAAAGAAAAAGCATCCCCTGAAGGATGAGGACAGTCGAGACCATATCCAAAGATTGCAAACTATCACGATATCTGTTTTCGGCTGTTCAGCTTGCCACAGATAGGGTTTCGATTTGGATAAGCTTTTCGATTTCAATGCTCTTGTAAACGGCACAACAAACCGGAGTCTGCTTCCGTTTTCCTGTTGAGGTGATCAGACATGGGAAAGTAAGACGGTTTGGGTTCCCGGATGATGGTGACATCATGATTCATCAATGCATCAATGCATCCTCCAATTTCCAGGGGTGCTGCCAGCCTGCGACACACTTCCAGCGCGAAGGAAGCCATATTGTCACATGTCTCGAATTGTAGGTACTGTACCACGAACCGATGGACATGTGGTAATGCGTGCGGTGAATGAAACTTCCAGGCAGGCGGACAACGACTCAGAGGATGCTGGGAGCATAACTTAGTGACAATGCCGATGAGATATCTCCCAAACAGCTGATTTCTGTGACCTTATTGGGGGAAGAAATGCATGCGAGAGAATCTATTCAATCAAGCTAAATAAAAATAACAAATCTAGATAGTCGTAACAAAGCATAACCCGGTGAACACCGCGCTATCATAGGAATTTCGGCCCAACTAAGCAGAAAGAAGAGCGACCAAGTTCCACCCTCAATTATAAGGGAGATGCAACTTTACTCACGCCCATATGGTTAATGATCAACCTTTTCCCGACACCACCGTCTCCGTCCATGCGTTGATGACATCGGTGCAGGGCCTGACGGCACTCTTGTGCCAAGGCGAAGGCCAGGGAGATGCATCACGACAGTGCCTCACACAATAATATTGCCAGGGGTCTCTCTATCGTCGCGTCGTCACGTCGTTCTGTAAAGTACTGGTGTCATCATTGAATATCAACATCATGTAGCGAGTCAAGATGTCATCGCAAGTGCCGCGAATGGCAAGCCTGGAGAGACTTCCTTGTGTGCTAGCCTGAAAAGACAGCTAGAAAACCATTCTCAAAAGATGCAGGTCCGTTTCATCGCGAATTCCCTGATTCGGCGTCTGGTGGCAGGAATAGGTGTATCGATGATCCCGTGTTGGCAAGGCTAGCCACTGCAATACTTCCATATCCCAAACACGCACAATTGGCCCTCTTGAGGGTGACTTCCGACGATCCCAATTGTATGGTCAAATGCCAGTAACATGAAGACCTCGGCTTAATCTGCACAATATGCAAGATCCTGTAGCAAATCGCCAGCCTTGATGTCGATGGCACCAGCTTTCGCATCCTCAATACCGAATGCCAAGAAGAGATCATCATCAATATGACCGTGGTATTTCTGGATGTGACTCTTCCAGCTCATACTCGTCATGTAGAACATTTCGGTGTGTCCTTTCGGAAGCTCTTGATCCCTCCATATAATCGAACCGGATTCATTAGTGAATGGACCACGACCAGAAATCCACAGTGGCCGCTGAGAGATAGCGTGGAGAGCAAAGGGTGCATCTCGCTGGAACAACATGACGTAGGGCTCATAGACCGCATGGTAGTCCAGAAACACCTTCTTTTGAAATATAGACATGATAAAAGTGTTGGAGGCATCAGCTGAACAATCATTATCCGATCGCTTGCAAAGCGTGATGGAGAGAGAGTTGGTGGCCTGATGAATCGATTCGAGCTCTGGGCCCACGTATGGCATATATTTTGCCATGCACATTCTGTCTTCGTATGCCGCAGTAGTTGCAATATCTGGTCCGCTGGAACCATTCGCTGAGAGCTGGGCAAAGGCACGTCTAGGGGTGGTATCATAATGAGCATACATCCGATCTTGGCTGTCCCAGAAGATGAAGAAGTTTTTCTCTATTTTATGATATGGCGCTGGTCGTTGTACCTCGGTCGTGTTCTCGAAAATCTTGGGCAGGGTGAGCTTCTCCAGACGAAAGTTATCGAGCAACATTCGGACATCCTGGATCCAGAGACTCAGGCACGTAAAAATCGACTGGGACCCGTACATTATGTATGGTGCTGAAGGGCCATAGAAAACCCGGGGATCGCGCGGCCCATATTGAAGATTCAGGACGGCGAGGTCCCCTTCGCATTCGCCTTTCTTGGAAGGCGTGACGGGTAAGATGATGGGGGTCGAGATGCAGCTTAAGACATCATCCCAGAATATGGCGTCACAGTAGATCTCCTCCAAGTCCCCATGAGGTTCGCAACTTCCTTCGTGTTGGCCAATAATGATCCATGTATCGTGCTTGGTAGGGTGTGGCAAGATATTGGGGTTGTAGACGATATGGTTGCCAAATTTTAGGGGAAAGAATTTGCGATTTTTGGTAGTCAGAGAGAACAATTCGCGATGATCAAGTCCAGTGGTGAGAGCAATCTCATTGGTGAGGACTTCATCATCTTGAAACCTCTCGCCACCGAGGATTTTCTCGTCGTGTCCCTTCCCATCACCATTTGCGAACTCCGCGGCGTCGATCTCCATGGTCTCCTCGAGCTCCTCATAAGCAATCGGTTGCTTCGGCATCAATTGGGCGAGGCTATCCCCTTCCACAATTTGTCCCAGTCCTGGGACATTGGCGATTGTCGGGTCTTGACTATTGAGCGCCAGGACATCTTGGACTCGGGCGTTCAGGTCTGCCTTTGTGGTAACCTGATATTCGGGTCGTCCATCTTTAATGCCAAAAAGGGAGATGATGCACACGAAGACGATGAGTGGGCAAATGAACACAATGATCTTCCTTGAAGCGAAGCTCAACATCGTGCTGTCTTGATGTACAAATCGCAGCGAGGGCGTCTAAACAACCATAAAAATTGACAGCTGTCGACCACAAAATATTACGGAGTAGTAGACGGACTTGTCAACTTGTGCGATTTGGGAGACAGGCACGGCAACTTGATCGACCTAGCTTTGTCAATCCAGATCCTCGTAGACTAGGGACCAAGATGGGGGTTTGCAGATTCCTGTCATGTTGACAGTGAGGTGGACTCAGGAGCACGGTTGAACAAGGACTTCTACCGAGAGTTTCTCCACCTTGTCCTTATGAGGCTTGGTTTGGCTATGAAGATCTGGCCCTGGTCGTTTCTGGGTTTTTCTGTACCGAGTAGCTCGCTTGAGGTATAGGGGTCCTGGTAAGGCGGTTAATGCTCCCCTGCATGCATTCCTTTACCCGTCTGTGCAACAGAAAATTATTAAGGTACAGGTTCACGAAGCCATTGGACTGTTGATGAGATTGTCAAGTGAACACCGTTGGACGAGGTGCTCGACCCCCCAGCAAGCGTCCGTTGATGGTCGCGTACCATCAGGTTTGGGCCTTGGCGATTCCCCTGACATATGACCCGCACCGGGCCGGACTCGAGATGTGGATAAGGAACTAATCTGTCTTATCATGTATCTTGCACGAAGTGGCGCTCAGCCCCTGAAGCCGCAGTGGGGACGTCATAGGGGCTTGCATTGCACATCAACTTGAGTTCACTCGCCTGGCTGAATTCGAAAATTGACCAACCGGAGATAGTAAGTGACTAAATCTAATTCAGGTTCCGAGTAAATATGCTGGCGCCATGGCATTTCACTCTTCCATCTCATTGACGACTTTTTGCTGGTTTCGTTAACCATGAATGCATACTGAACATTTCTTTCTTCGAGGTCCGACTTTCATACTTCGATCTTAATCCAGCAACAGGAACACTGTAATCTGGCAGCCTTTCCTCCGAGTTCGATGTCTCGCTCCCTACTCGATGGCGAACTCGCGGAAAAAGGCCTTCGTGGAGACCTTCTACAAGAGAACCGAATAGGCACAAAGCTTGTAAAGATAACCGGCTCATTCTTTGCTATGTTGCGCGGTACAGTCGAGTCTCGCAAACCAGCCAGGCAGACATCATTGAGAAGCACGGCCTATCTGGATGGCCTAAGAGGGTTCGCCGCTCTGATGGTTTATGTCGTGCACCACGAGGGTTGGGGTCACTCAAATATTGAAGGCAGCAACTCGTTCCTGGAAGATGCATTTGGTTACAAGGGCCAATACTATTTTGTCGGCCTCCCTGGAATGCGCCTGCTATTCACTGGGCACGTCGCTGTGCCTATATTTTTTGTCGTCTCGGGCTACGTCTTGGCGTGCAAACCCCTAACGTTGCTCCACGCAGGCGAGCACCTACAACTGGTCGACAACCTGGCATCTGCGTTATTTAGGCGATGGTTGCGGCTCTATCTGCCTATAATCGCGGTCACCTTCACCTGGATCACCATCTGGCATGTCTTCGGCCTACGGCACACCGATTCATTCAGCGATCCACCCGAATCTACATTTAGGGACGAGGTCTGGAAATGGTATTGCGACTTCAAGAATTTCAGCTTCGTCTTTGAGAATGAACCATGGAACAAATACGATGCGCCAACTTGGACTATCCCCAAAGAGTTCCGGGGTTCCATCGTTGTCTGGACTGCCCTGCTCTCCTTTTCACGCTTCACGAGAAATGCACGCCTGTGTTGTGAGGCCGGCCTGGTGTTCTACTTCCTCTACATCGTCGACGGTTGGTATTGTGCTGCATTTGTTATAGGACTTATGCTTTGCGATCTTGATCTGCTGGCCCAAAAGAATAACCTACCAGCTATATTTTATCGACTCAGCAAGTGGCAAGGCCGAATCTTTCTCACAATGTTTATTACCGGTATTTACCTGGGTGGAGTTCCAAGCGTCACCAACGACATTGAACACTTGAAAGAGTCGCCTGGATGGCACTATCTGGCCATGCTTAAACCGCAAGCTGTTTTCGACTTTCGCAACTTTTACCGCCTGATTGGTGCGACTCTCATCATGGTCGCCATGCCCAGGCTGCCTTGGATCAAGGGATTTTTCGAGCTATCGTTCTGCCAGTACTTGGGCCGAATATCGTACTCCTTCTACCTGATCCATGCACTTATCCACTGGGCGATTGGAGATCGGATCTATGCTGCTGTAGGCCGAGTACGTCCGGGACACGAGGTTGTGGCGGCTGCATGGATGAATCGATTCACTCTGCCTGATTATGGCCCCTTTGGATTAGAAGTGAATTTTCTGGTCCCGCATTTGGTGTTGGTGCCGATGACTTTCTGGATTTCAGAACTGTGCACCAGACTATTTGATCAACCCAGTACAAAAGCTGCATCGTATCTGTACAATTTTTTGTTGGATCAAAGTACGGTTTCGGAAAGACGGTAATGACGTAGATTCGGGATTAGTGGGCGTTACGTTAGTATGTATTTTCGAGAAGCAATGGATTTCAGGGTGGAGTTCAGGACACATGAGGAGATATCAGAGAATCAGTGTCACGACTGGAATGCAAAATATTTAGTTTCGCCAATTGGAAAATGTCCTCCAGCAACGGACGCAATCACTGCTTCACTTTTGTCATGTGCACCAGGCAAGATCACAAACTTTGAATGGGAGTTCATGCCGTTTCCAAAGCGACCTTAATTTTATTGCCATGCACTGTTTTGATGGATTCTCGCTGATGTCTCCTACTCACGACATTGTGATATCAAATGCTCCCCATGACCGTCATGATCCGATGAGGAGAAAAGGGATGTAATTCTCTGTTTAACAACCAAATACCGCCCATGACCCCAGGGACTTTCCCATTGCAAACCATACGTCGAGCTAATCGCGAGATATCATAAAAAATCTACGTTGCCGGTAGTGGTGAACGTGGATCAACCCACAAACCCTTCTCGTCCACGAAGACCTTATCCTGAACCGCTTCTCCATTACAGGCCTCCTCCCAGCTCACCCATACTGGAGTTGAGCTATTGTCACCAATCATACCACCCTTGCTGTCAATTGGGCTCCACCACACTTGCCTAGGTAAACCTGACTGCTCTGGGATCACTGCAACAGGTTCTCGAGGTGCGCGTACACGTGCACTGAGTAGATCTCGGAGATGTGGGAACATCCAAATCTTGTCCCAATCGGTATCCATCTTGTATTTAGGACGGTTGAAATGTATCGTGGACGGGACAACCCCGGTATACAGGTTAGTATAAAGGCGAACGTCGGACCATGACCGTCGAGCAAGATTTAGGTCTTCGAGAGTACCTTGATCATCGTTATCAGCACCACTGTTGGTAGCATTCTTGTAACCCTTTAGAGTGGAAAAGGGAGGCTCAGAGCGTGCTATGTCGACGGGCAAGTCGCCGATACGAACCGGGGTAGGAAGGCCTTTTTCTTCCGTCCACTTGACCACCTCCTCGGGTTTAGAAAAGACATGCCAGTCCATATCCTCAGCTCGGTTGTCCAGGGTCTGGACGAGTTCGCTTAGGTAGTCTGGGCCAAGATGAAATTCATAATCATCAGAAATTGCTATGTCACTTGTAGGCCAGAATGTTGATTTGGTACCCAGCACCTTTTTGCTGCGTTCGTCCACAATACCAAATGCGCTGTTTACGCGTGCCATCAAACGCTGTGGCGCTGTAAGATGCCAGTCCCTTACGAGCTCTCGGAAGTACTCTTGCTGCCCGAAGACTTCATTGAAAGCTGCCTGATCGGAGCCTCGACCAGGAGTCTGTAGAATCATGTTGTTTACAGCTTTGAGAAGCTTGCGTACATCACCGACCGGGCCCATCATGAACCCAGAATTCAACCAGCGGTTACGCGTACTCCGTGGGGACTTATCAGTTTTCCCTTTGCCATAGATGTCAGGCGGCACTTCTGACTCCGGCACCACAGAGCAAACGGGCGCTTGATTGTCTTGAGGCCAACACATATTCTGGGAGTTCATAATGATCGATTGCCTGATGCCTTGCCGATCCATGGCTCGGCCCAAACGGCGACGTATGCGCATATTATGACGATTAACTATGCGCTGGTATCGGTCGATAAGAACGTTGGGTGGCAGCTGGAACCATAGGTCAAATCCATCCACCATCAAGATCAATTCTTGATCTGATTCAGGGCCTAGGGCATCCAGATAGGACAGAAGCCCGGTAATTTTGGCAAGATGGGTTCCGTCATATTCATCCCCGCCTGGAGCTGGGGCCTTGGTGTTACCCCAGTTGATGAGTCTAGGTGTCGGGTAACCAAGGACCGCGGCGCTGAAAACGTTCCGGCATAGCCCATGCTCACGACTCGACGTAGCTGGGATTAGAAGATGAAGAAAGTTTGATGTAGAGTTGGAGGTTGGAGTAGAGAGTGGTAGCTCATTAGTGGTCGGTGTTGAAAATATGACGCTGACGACCAGCACCATAGATAACAAGAGAGACACTCGACCGGTGACAGACAGACGAGTGCGCGATATCAATGACGGCCATGAGAACAACCAGTTGTTGGGTCTAAGGGTGGTTGTCTTATCGCTTTGGAACTCGTCGCCGCGATCCATTCCGGGGACACTCCTGTACTGAGCACCATCTCCTGGGTTGTGGAAGAGGCGGTTTACCCACTTCATAACGTGCAGCACGTTTTCCCAGCAAGGTCGAAGTGAATAAACAGTTATGGTACCAGGGAAATTGAAATCAGTCCCAGACCATAAACCGAGGGGACACCAGCAAGCAGAGTCAAGTCAGGTGCAAGAATGGCAATTTTTGAGGTCATACCTGAGAGCTTTCATATTTGTGCAGCAAGTGCCGTAGGGGCAAGCAGTCATAATAGTAACTTACCAGGGCGTCGTATCAGCTCGTATTAAATACTAGGATTGTAAATTCGACCCCCCTGTTATCGATTGCAAAACACAACTGACCAGATATTCCGTACCGACTACCTATCCGTACATGATGAGCAGTCCGGACTTGGAGCGCACGAGAAAGGTTTAACTGGCGGGACATTCAGCTTTGAGATTAGAGGGGTGCCGAAGGACTGAATTTGGACACAGGATTGCGAGGACCTCACAATTAGCTAGCGAATTGAGCAAACGGGCTGATTGTGGTCTCCCAGCCTCCCAGGGGTTTGAGTCTGAACTTGTCGATCAAACTCCTAGAATAAGCATAAACAATGGCACAACACTTCCTACCGAGTACAGGTCCGGACTCGATGACCTCGTTTAGTGATCACAAGCACCCAAGTCGACGGAACTACGAAGGAGAGAGGATCTTGAGAACAGCTTGAGGTGGATCATCTTGCCTGCCACATGGCAATCGAAATGGAGCTGGACATGCTTCAGAGCCAAGGCCGAGTTTGCATGGCCTAACCACCCGTACTGAGTGCAGGATTCAGGGCTATTGTATCCTTGTAGCTTTTATCTAGCCCATCGGGTGGTACCTAGCTTTGACCCCACCCCGGCCGGTGCTGAGTTTCCCGTCGTTGGTGGCCAGAACATCATGATTGATAGTGGCGCTCCACCTTAATTTCTTGAGGAACATCATTGAATTACTCCGTTTTTGACAACAGCCGCATAGGGGTCAATGATTTTACCTACGGAGTACTTCGTAGCACCGGCATCCTATTGCCCTAGGCTTGCGCAAGCTTGTCTAAGCGTACTCTTTGGAGCGAAGCCACATTGTTCTAGCACTCCGGTGGGATCCTCATCTGAAGGAGGGGGCTTGTACATCTGCAATGAAGCTCAGTACTTATCTTACGCGTTGAATTTGATCCTTTAGCATCAACTTAATGCATTTCCAGACTTTCCCTTCTAAGCATATTTTCGTTTGATGCGCTGATTGTACAACTCTACGCAATTCCATCAATGCTTCATCAATCAAGTTGAGTGGCTCTGCGCTCCTTCGCTGAAGATTGATCCCCCCAGTGAAGAGACGATAGTATCCCGCCCTATCTTTTTCACAGCATCATACCGAGGACAGATACACCCGTACGGAATAGTGAAGTCTATACGACGTCATCATGAAGCAGTACATTATCGTTGCTTCCGCTCTGCTCGTAGCAGGAGTGTTCCTGCGACTGGCCATTTTCAATCCAACGGGATCTTTCTCCAGCGTTGCACCAGCATATTACCTGAATAACATCCCGTCGGGCTCGTCGCTAGGCGTCAGCAATAGTAGGACGGGGGAGATCGGCAGCCAGGATGATATCCTAAATTCGACTCTCGGATTTCAAGAAATCTTTGTCGTCAACCTACCAGAACGAACAGATAAGAGAGACGCCATGGCCGTGCAAGCCTCGCTAACCAACATCACCTTCAAAATTTCTCCGGGGGTCCGGGGTGACACGATATCAGAGAAAGCGAAACCCTATGGAATGGAGAAACTACGTCCTGCAGAAGTCGGTGCATGGCGAGCTCACTTGAACGTGCTGCAAAAGATTGTGGAGGATCGCATTAGCACAACATTGATCTTGGAAGACGATGCAGACTGGGACGTCAGTATCAAAGCTCAGATGACCGAGTTTGCTCGCGGAACGCGCTGGCTCATGAATCACACAGGCCCATCACGCTCGCCTTATGGTGACAGTTGGGATATTCTCTGGGTTGGGCACTGTTCGGCGCACTCACACCATTCCGACACTCGTCGCTGGGTGATTCGAAAGGATCCCACGGTCCCACCCCCAGATAAGAGAAATTATGTGCTGAAGCCTTATGATCTGGGTTACTGGGAAGGGGCCCCTCTCTTCGATACGCAAACTCGTCTCGTTTACAAGGCTGGCTACGGATTCTGCTTCGCAGGCTGGGCCGTCTCTCTTCGAGGTGCTGAGAAAATGCTGCACAGAATGAGCATGCTTCCCTACGAATTGGCCGTTGACCTCGGTGTTGCTGAAATGTGTGGTCGGGGGACATACAACATGACCTGCCTTGCTCCTTACCCAGCATATATTGGCGTCTCGAAACCTGCTGGCAACTCCAATCGCGGCAGCGACATCGTGGATGCAAACGGCCAGGGTCGTGCAGGCGATGTTGGAACCGTCGAGCATACCGGTGAGAAGATTCGCGATAAGCCGACATCGGAGAGAGTGGTGTTTTCAACGCGGCTGAACATCCCGCGACTGCTCGTTGGGCAAACCGAGTTCGACAGCAACTATCCCAACGTCACAGGTCCAATCAAGAGCATTGGCGAAATTACTTCCTTCGCAGGCACAGGTCATGGGGAGTGGCTGCCTGACCCTCTACCAAGGCATCAGTCCAGCGGGCCTTAACCACATCTCCAGTTAATAGGATGGAGGATGGATGAGCAAGGTCATTTGCCTTGCACTTTCCATCAACGGATCGGCCTGTGTCTTCCCAACCCCTGATGGTGATCAAAATGGTACGAAACCAATGGGCAATATGACACCTGGACGCTCATGTTTGAGGGTAGTCAGCTCCACTGCCTTGGAGACAATACGCAGTCTGTGACTATAACTGTGGCCGCTGCTGAGCTCGAACGTCTTTCAGAAGTCCCCGCACTGAACGCGACACTGCTCTATCATTCGACTCATCGAACCGTTCGCACTGGGCTCTGGTTGACTCACACCAAGCCTGCATAATTCTGTGCAATCTCATCCAGGGCACGCGTACCTCATGAACTCGGAGGAGTTCGGACAATCTGCACGAGTTAGACAAAAGAGCTGAGGTGGTAAAAGTGTGGTTCCGGAGTCAAAGCACCTCTGGGATTGACGACAGGGCAAACACTTGGGAAATTTTCATCTTATCATGTAATCTTGCGAAAGGTTTTGCACCATTGGTATCTATCGAAGGCCCAACCCCGGAAATAGGACGGGGATAGAATTAGCACCCCATAACGAGTTTCTTATATTTTTAGTCGACATGAAGAAAAGGTCCAAACGGTGCTCTTGATTCTTGCGCCTTTTCCCTCAAAGTCTTCCCTTGCAAATTCCAAATCGGGTTGTCTAATATGGTCAGTCGAGTGCATCTCGCCGTCATCGTGCTCTCTGCATACGTGTAGTCAGAACATAGGGATGATTCAATGCCGACCTCGGTGCCTGCTGGCTAAGCAACGGTCAATTTGGCGCCACGGGGCAAGAACGTTTAGGGGCTTGTTTGGTTCTAGCTGACTTGCAAGTGCGAAGTAAACAACGTCTCGCGATTTTCGCTTGAGTGCACCATCTACAGCCAAAGGTTGGCTGATTCGATTGTACTCGTATGTTTGCACGTACACGCAGTAGGGCTGGCTGAACCATTTCAGCCTCCCTCTAACCAAAACCAAAATAAAATAACTTCCGTACCTGCATAAGCTCCTCCGGTCGAGCATGATACTAGTGACGTTCTGAGCGAATTACGGTCCACTTTTCATCTTATTCTCCTTACCCTATCTGGTCTTGTGTTCATGATAGCCGACGACCTGCGCTCCGTCTGCGTGAGACTGTAACAACCCCTACTTCGTAAGCCAAGTAGCGAAGTGAACTAAATCCATTGTGAAAGCTTCTCTCTCAAGCAATGGATTTTCAGCCAGATCCTTCCACATTATTTGGTGGCGTTGTACCCAGATGAATTGCCGCTGTTACGGAGTACTTCGTAGCTCACATCCTTGAAAATCCATATCCGTAATTTAACAGGCAGACCATTACGGATCTGGTCTTTCCTTTCCTGACCGGGCCTCACTAGCAACCTCGTCACAAATTCGCACTATGAACGCCGCTTCAGGATCTTGACTAGCCCAGGAACCGTCCTACCATGATCGGCACCTTGTCCCGTGGTCAAGGGTGCACTAAGATCAGGTTTATGTCACTTGAATGCTTGTAAAGTGTTTCTCATACTTACAAATGCCGGAACCGTGCATGATCATCCTCACCACTTGTCAACCACACTCATTCTCGATCAACAGCAGCATTTTATCATCCTTGAGTCATCACAGAAGACAAGTCGCCTTGGAAAAATCGTCTCGATGAGTGGCTTGCAACTCGCCCGTAACTCAGACCACCCAGAGTCGTTCAGCGATGACGGAAAGGAGAGCGAGTCTGGTATCCCTTTACTTTACACCGAGAAGGATGAGGATTTGGAGCATCAGTACCACAGTGCCGATGTCACCCTCTCCAAGTCTCGTGGGCAATCATACATCGATGCCATTTGGATGCTGGTAAATGTAGTCAGTACTGTTGTTATTGTGTTCTTGAACAAAATGTAAGTTTTGTCTCCGTCTAGAAACGGCCTCGCGGTACACTGACAATCACAAACAGTGTTTTCTCAGACCCTCAATTGGGCAAATGTCAAATCTCAATAGCAATATGGCACTTCACGGCCACCTCCGGCTTGTTATACGCGTCGACCAGTCACCCGTTTCGTGCATTCGAAGCCATACGGGTGCCTATACGTCAAGTGCTTCCGATATGCATCTTCTTTGCGGGCTTCCTGCTGCTGGGTAATCTTTCGCTCGCCTTGAATGACGTCGACTTTTACCAGCTCGCCAAGATTATGACCACACCGACCGTGGTGGCACTGGGCTATGTGCTGTTCCGGAGGACTATTCCTGCTTCTGCCTTGCTTGCCGTTGTTATAACCTGCTTTGGTGTGGCACTGGTGACCGCCAAAAGCTTTCACACCAACACCATGGGAACTATTGTCGCCATTGCAGCTTTCACAGTTACTGCGCTTTACCAGGTATGGATCGGCAAGAAGATTGAGGAGCTCAATGTTTCACCACCGCAACTACTTCTCAACCAAGCCCCTGTGTCTGTCGTGCTACTATTGCTGGTTGCACCTTTCGTTGACACGGTCCCGGACTTCAACACTGTGTCCTCTAGCGTTCTATTCTCTCTCTTTTGTTCCGGCTTCATAGCCAGCTTACTCAATTTGTCTCAATTCTTTATCATCGGCCGCACATCCACCTTGGCCTTCAATGTCGTATCCCAGGTCAAGACAATTCTCATCCTTGGCATCAGCTGGGCATCGACTGGGAAAACCTTAAGTTTCATCGAGATTGTTGGCGTTTGTATGGCTCTGGGAGGTGCATGGGCCTATGCACAGACGGCAAAGCGATCTTGACACAGTTCAAATGATTTGACATATCTAGCGTGATCTGGTTATGGCTTGGAAATCTAGGAGAATTTAGTCTGGCAAGGCAAATGGAAAACCAATGTAATGCACATCGGCGCATATACCACTTCGTATACCTCATATTCTACTCCCTTTGTCTCTGTAGATCCATATGCACTCCAGTGTTGTTGAATCAACCGAATGATGGTTAAACTTGATGCAGCCCAACCAACGTTTCTTAAACGTGCGGTGTCCTCGAGGCCATACCAGGATATGTCCTGGGCATATCTGCTATCGTGCCATTGCACTTTAGCTCCGCAGACCTGTGTTGCTTTGATGACACTCATTCTCCCCGACTGGACCCTGGAGGCTCCGATGTTCTGCTTCACAGTGCACAGCATGAATATTTGTTGCGGGAGCAAGGCGCTGCATAGACCAGAGAAATGCACGTCACATATATTATGATGAGGAACCGATAATTTTAATGAAGAGTTTATAACTTGGTCTCTGAATCCATTAATGATATCTATCTACCTTTCGCACCGATCCCCGCAGACAACAGAGTAAATAGTGATTTGAATAGCCCAGGCGCCGGCCTAAGCTCGAAAAGAGCCATCAGCTACCCCAAATTGGAAAGCAGAAAAGTCATGTGTACCTATTTTACAATCTTCAAAGCATTTACAACCTGATACGCATGATGATGAGCTAAGCGCAAGGAGAGTTTTTTTGTTGTGTATCCGTAATATTCAAGCAGCTGCAGCTTCGACTTTCCAAGAGCTGGCAACACCCACAGCCTCAACTCTGAGACCGAGCGTTTCCAACTTGGGTGCATCAATGATGTTTCGGCCGTCAAAAACGTATGAAGGTCGTTGCATGGCACCGGCGATCCGAGACCAGTCCAGGCGGCTGGGTAACTCATCCTCCACAACGACAGGCGAGGATGGCCGCGTCCACTGAGAAGGACTAGGTGGTTGTCTAGCATCGTTGGGCGACGTAACGACAAGGTTGGAGCTATTGGCATCCAGGGCGGCGGCAGTATGCGCAAAGTAACCCGGTGACGATTCCTTGGGAGAAGTTGAGGAGGAACGAGAAGATTGCGACACCTCCTCGGAATTGTTGCTGTCATTAGGTTGACGACTTCGGTCTTCATCAGCCACAGAACTGAGGGGTGTGGGTGGGAGATGTAGTTGTAAACCGAGACCAGTCTTCTTGGGAGTCTCCAGTAAAACGTGTGCTGGTGTCTTATTACTGAACATGTCCCACTCCGTCAGGATGACTACGGCGTGGGCATCATCGCAGGCCTCGTATGGGTCTGTGTGCACTTTGATGGACGATTTCAGGACCGCTGGATCGTTGTCGGCGCTCAGGTCGCTCATAATCTGGGTTTCGGTGACTTTAGGGTCGTAAATACTAATCTGGGCATTTTCGGCCAGGAGATGATTAACAACCGTGATTGCGGTACTTTCACGGGTGTCCCCCGTGTCTTTCTTGTATGCGAAACCGAGTACAGCAATCTTTTTGCCGTTGAGCGTGTTGTGGAGGCAAGTGACAATGCGCTTGGTGAAACGACTCCTCTGATACTCGTTGACCTGGACGACGGATTCCCAGTAAGCCGCTACCTCTGGAAGATTCAAACTCTCAGCAATGTACACGAGGTTCAGAACGTCCTTTTTGAAGCATGAGCCTCCGAAGCCGACTGACGCCTGCAGCATTTTTGGGCCAATGCGGCTATCAAGACCACAGGCGTACGATACCTCATTGACATTGGCTCCTGTAGCTTCACAAATGGCGCTCATGGCATTGATACTGCTGATCCGTTGTGCCAGCATGGCATTTGCAGCCAGCTTGGACAGTTCCGAGGACCAGAGATTCATGGTAACAATTTGGTTGCGGGGAACCCATGCAGCATAAAGTTCAGATAGTTCTTTGGCTGCTGCCCATCCGTCTGCAGTCTGGAGACATCCGACGAGAATTCGGTCGGGATTCAAGAGGTTCTTAACGGCTGTTCCTTCCGCCAGGAATTCTGGGTTCGACAAAACCTCAAATTTCACTCCTGGCTTGCCATTTGCAAGCAAGACCTCCCGGATACTCGCAGCAGTCCTGCAAGGCACCGTACTCTTTTCAACGACAATCAAGTCTCGGTCTGCCGCTTTTGCAATGCGTCGAGTTGCCGATTCGAGCCAGCCCAGATCTGAGGCCTTCCCGGCTCCTAAACCCCGGGTTTTGGTGGGTGTGTTGACTCCGATGAAGACAAGATCGGCTTCCGAGATGGCTTTATCAACCTGAGTGGAGAAGAACAAGTTGGCTTTGCGGAACCCTGGGATGCCGTCACGCGCTGTCTTGACAATGCCTGCGAGCCCAGGTTCATACACGGGCAGTGATTCTGAGTTCCACGCCTGAATTCGCTGGCTGTTCAAGTCGACGATGGTTACTTGGACATGGGGGTTCTTGCTCGCGATGATGGCTCCACTGGGACCTCCCTGTGTCATGAATCAGTAGCTGTCTTCTTCCCCATAACCGAGGGACCAGTTCAATCAATGATGGCTTACCACATAGCCTGCACCAATACAGCAAACACGCTTAACCTTCGGTGTGAATGTGGACTCTGCCATTTCGAGATCTGTAGGGAGAGTGTGTTGGTATCCTTGGGTAAGAGATGGAACAAGATTGAGTGATGGAAAAGATTCAAAGGTCCAGGCAGTGGGAACCAGACCTAGAAATCATATCACCCTTGACACTCAACCTAGGCGCAAGTCAGCCAGCCATAGCAGGATGGTAGACTCGTCACTCCGCCTTCCTGGTAGATGGGTGCCGAAATCGCACTAGACGCAACGGATAAGATCAAGCAAAAGTGTATGTTCAATGTGAAATGTTTAGAAAGGGGGAATCCGCCATGCACGACCACTGCCCCTTGCAAGAATAATGAGCCTGGGCTCTGATATTCCGGGAAATACCTATAGTCCAAGATTTAGCTCGATGCCATTCTCGACAAACATCTTGGTGTGGCGGTCCAAAGCGGGTGTTTCCAAAAGCCTCGAGGACCAGAAGACCCCACTCTCCCGTTTTGGCATGGGATTCGTGATAGTTCCACGTTGTCAATCTCAGGAAGGAGTGTCCGTACAGGCGAACAACCGTCGATCTGGGTTCCCAATATGGACTGAAAATAGGTAGGTGAAGCTGCGACCCCTGATTCCGCCGAAGCCCTATGTAGCCGATATCATGTACGCCACAGGATAGCAGGGATGACGATCACAGCGCCTGCTTGATTATACTTTGCTATCCGTACTCGGTATCCGTACTCCACGGCTCCATGGGTCGAAACTAAGACACCATTTGCAGCCAGGTGGGTGAGAGTGGTCGGTGAGAGTGGCCAAGTTGTGGGACGAATACCGGTACGGAGTCATACAGCTAACTTTTCCTGATTGGGTCGACGACCGGTCGAAGAACCGGTCCGGAGCCGCATCGTTTAATTTGATCAAATCTTCCTTCGCGAAAGCTCAGGAGTTCCCAAGTTCGAAGTGATTGAGACGTTGTTTGCTTGCGAGGGTTCCAGCTTACGGAAGGATTGTCAGGCGAAGATTGTGCATGCAAACCTGATGTGATGGTCAAACCCAAACGAAGCTGGAGTGGCCACGTTCAACTTGAAGTTGATTCATGCCTGGCTTGGCATCACGTGAGAGATGGCACGTGATATGACGTGTTCTCGAATACCCGGCTACAGAAACACCTTTTATTGCTTGGACCGCAACTAATCGCAACCGAAAACATGGTACGAGGTACACGAGCATGAATGGAGTGGTTAGAGCTCAACGATGGGCGGTGAATACCTGTGACACTTCCACGTGCCCTTTCGGCTCTTTTGAGAGATTCGTTGTGCAACATGTCATCTACCTGTCAACGCCTGGAGACCATCAGTGACACAGGGTGGAGTGACAGCCATCATTCTCTGCATAACCGTACTTCTGACAACACTGACAACGGCAAGGATAGCCTTATGCAACGTGGTCCGTGAGCCAGATCAAAGTGCTGGGGGTCTTGAGACTAAGGTGACTACACTTGTTATTCTGCAGACAGCCAGGGATTCAGTCTCGTTTTCATTCCCAAACGCGAACAACTGCATTGCCACAAGGCCAACTAAGGCCATTACCTATCCCGGACTTTATAGCAAGAGAGCAAAAACAACCAGTAGGAAAGCCCATTTTTATTCTGTGATCGGGAAATCCATGACCATGGAGACATCGTAACGCCCCCAAGTATCAAGGTACAACATCAATGAGATTCAGATGATCGCAAGCTATTGACTATCAAACTGAAAATCTGGCAATTAGATCAGGACACGTCAGCCCGACATCTCTAGAGAAAGAAAAAAAGGAAAGCCATGTGTCCGTCATGAGCCAGGTACCCGGTTTCGCTGGCTTCAATCTAATGTCGTCATTTACCAGCCGGTGCCAGTGGGAATAACAGTTTGAACTGGCTTGGTTGTCGTGTATGGGGTCCAGGTAGGACGAGTGTGAGTGGTGGTGGGAGTGGTGGTTGGAGTGGTGGTAGGGTCCACTGGAGTCCAGCCTTGCCATCCTCCGTCTTCGGTTGGGTTGGCCGTCACAGTTGGGTCTGCAGGGTTGGCAGATGACCAGTCTTCCCAGGCCTGGTTGTCAGATGGGACAGTGGTTGGTGTGGCAGTTGGCTTGGTTGGTTCAGGCTGAGTTGCTGGGGGGGCTTGAGGCCACCATGGGCGGCCACCTTGCCAGTTGCCAGGTCTGCCAGCACCTGGGGATGAGGGTCCTTGCCACCAGCGAGGACCGTTGTTGGCCCACCAATCTTGAGTCTTTCCCTGGTACCATGAAGGACCGCTGAAGTGCCAACCGTTGGCTCTCCACCAGTCATAACCGTTCTCAGCCCACCATTGAGCGGCTTGTTGTTTCCACCATTCTTGAGTACCAGCTTGGAAGTCGGGAGCCCACTCGACTGGCTTAGGGGGTTGGGGAGCAGGGGCAGCAGGGGCACCAGGAGCAGGAGCAGCTGGTCGTTGAGGTCGTCTCCATCCCCAGTGTGGGCGGCGTGGGCGGCCAAAGCGACCTCCAAACCAATTGCTGAAGTTGAAAAATCCAGATCCCCACCAGCCCTTGGGTCCATTTGCATCAACGTTGGACCAAGATCCACCACGCTTCTTCAACTGACTGTGCATGCTTGTCGTGGAGCAGAATTGTTCAGCAGACTCGAGGGTGACTTGAAGTAGTCAGTGAGGTTCGAATCGGGAGCACCAAACAATGCATTCACTTACCGAGTTTGTCGTCCTCCATGCAGCGCTTCTCCACACACTCATTGACCGATGTCATGAAGACCTCGGAGGTGCAGATGCAATCGGTGGAGACTGCATCGCAACCAGTAGCGACAATTGCGTCTGTCAAGCAGACAGCCTGTTTGAACCGATCAGTATTATTTCCGCAAATGTCAAGATTGCCACTCACAGAGCAAAGCGGCAGGCGAGCGGCCTCGACGGAGGCGGCCAGGCCAGCGGCCAAGAGAAAGTTGAAACTCTTCATAGTAATAGCATACAACTTTGATGATATGAGGATTAAACGAATGTGGGTGTATACTGAGTAGTAGCAAGGCTTTAAACGACACAGATAAACGAGTGTGGGTGTTACAAAGAACACAAAGCAAAAGAGCGTGGGCGGACGTGACAATCGTTCGTCAGGTACAGGAAGAGAGGAACACGGAGAATGGGCGAAGTGCGAGAGCTTTATGGCAGATGGACCATTTCCAGAAAGCAACAACAAGCCAACGACGGAGTACACTGGCTTGGCTTGCACCGGCCCTGGCGCAGTGCCTCAAGAACCAAGCATCTCATGGCTTGCAGCAAACTGTTCCTGTCTTTCCATAGTCGCAAGCCCCAGCCGGTGTAGTGTTTTGTCCGTCGAATCAATCATATGGATACCGTAGTCGATCGAATTTCCCTGGGCGGTCCTCGCACATGTTTTCATGCATGTTTTGGCTCGGTCGGCTAAATGTGGTAAGCAGCCTTGTCACAATATGATACAATGCTGGGTCCAAAGAACTTAGTCGGCCATGGCATTGCTTGCAATCTCAATCCACAAGCTCTATCCACACGATATCCTGGAAGATCCTCCCGATCCCCGCTTTCATGCCGGAGCGGGATTTCAATTGCACGATCTACCGCAGTCCCGTTAGTCTCGACCAGGATCCTCTCACCCTTTTTCATTTATCTCCTGGTGCACTGTAAAAACATGTGTTGCCAAGTACGAAGTGTATTCCTGTCTCGCTCGTTCTGTTGAACGCCCTTGGAAATGGATCTTTTGAACCTGCCGCTGTGGCTTGACTAGACTGCGAGGCGGTTTGCCCTAACTATTCTTCATCTGGTTCAGCTGGGCGAAAACCTCAGCCGCCTACTTCGTGATGCTCGCAATTTCACAGGCGATCCGCCGCACACACGGCCAGCTATCTGAGTCTAATTTACCACGTACCTCACAGAATATACTGTGCCGTCGCTCGCTCCGTGTGCTTCCAAACTTCGTGGCTAGTCCCGAGGTTGTGGCTGTCACGTCTCTCAACAATGAGTCTGTGGATATCTCATGCCCAAAATAGGCGGAATGTGCCACAAGGCTCCAGGCTGTGGCAACGGCGAGCCCCTACAACAAAGATGAAATGGATATGCCTCATCGACCAAATGGTACGGAATGCATTGTTTTCCCATGCTTAGGGGCTGAATCCTCAGGCATATCAATTCAATCTCGTTAATTCAGTATGATGAAGATTACAGGCGCGTGACAGTCATCATGGCTATGCCAACTCTTTGCATCGGACGCTTCAGTATGTAAGACCGAGTAGTGGGTATGGCGATCCAAGGCAAGCCAATTTTGTAAGCCTCACATACAGAGGAAAATCCTTCACAGCCTCACAGGAAGCTATATGAAGTATGGTGATATTTTGTGTATGGTTCTGGGAACAAACTTGCTCCACCAGATTGCGACTTACTGTTGATTTCAGGGTATCATCCAGTGATATGGAAAAGAATGAATGGTGCAGCCCTCAGTGCTGATGGCGTGCTACAGTACGGAGTATTACCGACCGGTGAAGCCGTCCCACAGTGCGCATCATGCAGCGAGTCAGCTTGAACGGCCACTTAGTAGTAGATTGATACTGTACTCGTACCTACCAAGTGAATTGCCCCTATCGCAAAGACTGGCTCAACGCCGCATTGCATTGACCCCCAGGCATGGATGCAGATGCTGAGTACGGATGCGCAGCATTGAGGAATTGGCATCCGTACATTGTAAAACCTCCACCTCGCTTCGTTCGCAATACTGATATCCGCATGCAGTACGAAGTGAGGTTGGCCTGATTAACACCGGTAGTTTCCGCCACTTCTAACTGCCTCCTACGTCGTTTTATCAGCACAATCTTAGCGCCGCACTAATGCAGGCCCGGTAATTGCGCTCCAAGCCAGGCAACACGGGTGATCCACGGAGTGCTTCAAATTGGCACAGGGGTAGGCGAGGGCTTGGAAACCACCGCATCGGCCTGCCTTCAGCCTCCAGGCTGGCTGAAGCGTTTCTTTGGAAGTCGGTTCTCCACAATGGCACGGAGGCTTATCCGTCCAGTGGCCTGCGAGTATGTTCAGCCTTACAAGCAATAGCCGTGTCATCCAGGTCCCCCTGCTCCTACTTGGTGCAGCCTTAACTCAGTATCCACGATTTCCCCCTGATTCGTGGTTCGGTTTGGATAGGAGGGTGCAAACAGAGCCATCCTACGAAGGTCAGGGGTATTACCTTTCTACATTCAGAGGGTTGGTTCAACCGCACTACTCGAGCACGTGTCACTGAGGGGTGGGCCAATAAATGAGTACGGTAGAGTACAAAGTAACTATGTGCGTGCGCCGAGTGGGCATGTGATTGAAAGAAGATATCCATGGTAAATCATAGATACATGAGATGTTGTTTTCTCCTGATTTCAACACACGTCGGGAAAAAGTTCAAGTGAACTAGCTACGTGCTTGACCTACCACCATTCCCTTTTGTATGGGTCTCGTTCACGCGTTAGCTATATACCAAAAGGAGAATTGCATGTTGCCATCGTCTCTCTATTGGCTGTGAGACCGTGAAGTACAGGATTCATGGCGGGACAGGCCTTCAAGCGATCCTCGAGGCAGCCGCTTGCAAGACATGGCCAACGAATTCTGCTGGTGCTGATCATTGTCTCGATCTTCATTTTGATCCATAAGCTGTTTATGACCAAAACTTACCATCCTATGGGAGGGGAATTTCCCCGGAAGATCTGGCAGACGTGGAAGACGGAGGCAGCTGGGCTCGATCCCAAAGATGCGGCTAGAGTCCGTACCTGGACTCGGAAAAATCCAGAGTATCGATACGAGCTTCTCACCGATGAGAACAGTCTGAGTTACGTTAGACATCATTTCGGATCCACTGGCCTCAACCGACCCGACATTGTCCATGTCTTTGAAACACTAAACGCTAAAATTATCAAAGCGGACCTCCTCCGATATCTGGTGATGTACGTTGAAGGCGGCCTCTATGCTGATATTGATGTGGAATGTCTCAAGCCTATCGAATTCTTCGTTCCGAACCGATACACTGAAGAGGAGATTGACCTGGTGGTTGGAGTAGAAACCGACATGCCAGACTTTAAGGACCATCCTATCTTAGGTCAAAAGGCTCAATCGCTTGTTCAGTGGACTTTCATGGGGAAACCAAGACTGCCAGTCATGCTGAGGCTAATTGATAACATCATTCATTGGCTGAATCGAGTCTCGAAACAGCAGGGCAAACCCATCTCCGATATCAAGTTAGATTTCGACGATGTACTCGTCGGCACAGGTCCGTCCGCCTTCACAGCGGCGATTTTAACAGAGATGTCGGTCCAGACTGGAAGACAGGTTACATGGGACGAGTTCCATGGCATGCTGGACTCTAAGGTCGTCGCCGGTGTTCTTGTGCTGACTTCAGAAGCTTTTGCTGCTGGTACAGGGCACTCAGACTCTGGCACTCACTCGGGTAAGAGTGCCCTAGTTCAACATCATTTCCATGCCTCATCATGGCCGACCAACCACCCGAGATTCAAGCATCCAATCTATGATGAAGTGGAGAGGTGCAACTGGAACACAGAGTGTATCAAGCTGTGGGATTCAAATACCGCATTTTTCAATTCCCTTGCTGAGGAAGATCAACTTAAGCTGGTCGCCGCAAAGAAACTCGAGGATAAGAAGCACCCACTCAGGGTCGATGACCAAGGCTTGATTGGCGTTATGAGCCCCGTGGGTGGTGATACTCACGCTGCAGCGGAAGAAATGCCCGCGGACCAACACCCACTTCAGGAACCAGAGCAAGTCGGCGGCAGAGCGCCACCAGGAGATCGCAGGCCTGGCCATAGACATGGCCATCTGCATCTACATCTTCCCGGGCCTGATACCTCAGATGACAACCCTGTGGACTGATTTTTCAAGCGCACGGAATCGAAGGAAACGGGCAGGAAGCCCCTCGCAATGACGGAAACTTGCCCGAGACGCAAGATTTCTAACGCCATGCCATCGAAAGAACTTCAGAGGAAGCTGCCGCATAAGATGACTTGCGATGGAGTCGAAATTCAAGCCGGCCTTTAATCCCACCCGGTGGTAGCTGTTAAGTGGCCCTGGGTTCTAGACATCCACGTCTCTGAGAGCACCGGCCTCACGACGACTATTGCAGAATAACTCAAAAGTGCAGGCAAGAGTCCTACAGGTGATGCATGTTACGCATGCCAGACCGAGTCGAACCCCTTCACCAGCCACAGCCACATTCAGGATCTCCGAAACACGACAAAATCTGATGGACCTTGCCATGAGCGCCTTCCACAACTACTGTGTGTATGGATTGGTTTGGAATGCCTGAGCTTATTTTGGTTGATCCTGATTCGGCGGCGTGTACCGAAGGCTATCTCTGATCGACATCTGGAATGTTCCAAGGTGAAGTATACTGCAAGGGACGACAGTGGCAGTGACAGTGACAGTGGCATTACTGTTGACACTGACACTGACATTGACACTGACACCCGCGACAACCCTAATCCTGAGATCTGGGGTTCATGTCCTGCACGTATGTCGGGATCTGATTGACATCTTGGCTTAGATAGACGTCCGCCGTCTTTATGACTTGGCGATCATGCTTGAGCCGTTTTGATATAGCGAAAATATTTATCTACACTGAAAGCTTACTTTACCTTTATGAGAGTGATATTAATTATCTTTATATGCGATCCGTGTGGGATGTTGTGCTGTCAATTGGGAATGGCTGACTAAGCTGGATCACGAGTGGCGCATGTGTCGCATGTGGCGTCGAAGGCTGTGGCTGGTTCAGGACTCTTCAGATCCCGAAAAGATGTCCGGAGTTTTTCTCCTACATCTATTCGTGCTTCGCCAATTCTTCGTATTTGGTCCTATCTCCAAGGTTCAAGGCCATCTTGATGACTGCTCCGCGTGTTCAAAGTCCGTTCCCTATCAGTCCGCCGTCTGTGGATTACTTTAGCATGAGTCCTTTTGGTCTGTCGCGATGTTGGTCAGAGCAATTCCTAAGTTACTCTTACTGCTGAGCCCTTTTCTCTTCATTCTCTGGCTCCTAAGCAGTCACAAGTCGGTACAGGTGTCTGATATCGACAAGTTTGGTGGCTTATGGAAGAAGGGGGTCGCCGATCACAGAGTTCTACACCCTTCGAGTGTAGGAAGTAAAGACATCATACATCTACCTATCCCTCCAGGACCAACACCTGATGTTGACGATGATGGCCGGCCGATCATTTACCAGTCCGTGTACAATGAGATCAGCTCACTTTCATCGGTCACCGCTCAGTTTCTCCCAATTGCTTTTGGTGGACTTAATGCATACAATCCAACCATTATCCCGCATCCTATCAAGTACGACCAATGGATCATTATCGCCTACCAGGGAGACAGCTTGAAACAGGGTGATGGGTTCCACACCGAGCTGACTTGCAATGCCGGCTTTGTGAACGGTGCACTGAGCTGTGCCGATGTTCCAGTACCAGTGCCGCTGAAGGTCCACGATCCTCATTGCAAAGGGGCTCTGGCCTATCTCAATTTCGAATTGGGACCTCGTGATGCTAGAGTTGTGCACGGGCCGGATGCACCTTACATCTTGTACGGTGCCCACTCTGAATATACTTGTCTTGGGGTCTGGATCCAAGACTTGCGTATGCTTCTCGAAGACTATGTTGTCGAATCAAGTATATCTCATCGATTTACCGAGCCCAAGGAACTTCAGCGACCGCCACCCGTTAAAGAGCTTGAAAAGAATTATTTCATATTCTGGGATTTTCAGCACAACATCTATGTGCACCATGATTTGTCCCCACACCGTGTCTTTGCGGCTGTGGATTCCAACGGCCTTGTAGGCACGAACCTGGCTCCACAGGCTGCGAAATCAGATGACGCCTGTCTAGCCAGGTATATGCCAGTGATCAGTTCGAAGTATGAGACGATTCACCAGGCGACAAATTCACTGTCCATCACTATGTGCAAGCGTACCAATTCTACTTGCCAGCCCAGTCCGGAAAACACGTTTATCATGCATATATTTCACTTCAAGTCGTTTTATGAGTGGCATAGCGTTTATGAACCATATGTGGTTCTCTTTCAACAACAAGCCCCTTTTGCTATCCATGGAATATCGAAGAAACCTTTCTGGGTACGTGGGCGACAAATGCTCACTGAATCGACAGGGGCCGTACAATGGGAAGGTCGACAGCTACCAGTTGGCCATTCCGAGGGATTCTACATGACGAGCATGAGCTGGAAAACCCATGGTCAAAAGTATCATGGCTATATGGACGACGAACTGTTTATTACATTTGGGATAGAAGACTCCAAGCCGGGTGTAATCGATGTGCTTGCTAGCGACCTATTGCGAGATATTGGACACTGTAAAGATAGCCACTGATGGCATAGATTTCCGTCACGTGAGTTTGTGGTCAGGACTAGGATTGGAAGGACTAGAACTAGAATGGCGAATCAGGCGTCCCGGTCAAACAGGATGAAGAATGAGAGGCCGCGAGACGTGAAAGAGGGCCCGTTTGACTCGTAATGGCATGGTTGATGCCGATCATGGCTTCAGTACCTCGAGGCTCGTACGAAGGCATTGAAGGGACGAATCCCCGAAAAGTTGTTCTTGGGCAACAACTCAGGGGCTCATTTTGGGTAACGAGTGTAGCCCAATCCAACAAGTTATAGGACATACCTAGTAAGCGCCTGGACCGTTCAACACTGCATGGAACTAGCAAGGCGGAACCTCTCCTTTGGGAAGAACCGAAAGACAAGTGGACCATTCCAGCCTGAATTGGACCAGGGTCTAGAATTTACGAAGTATTGTCCTCAGCAGAAGTGGTTGTGGCCCCCAAAACCTTTTGAATGCCTTGTGAGAATTAATTACTTGGGACCGAGTATTGAGGCAGTGAGCATCCAACCTTGCCCGAGGCTCGCATTCACAAAAACTGCCATCTCGTATCCCGAGTGATCCTGTTACAGTCTGGTACGTGGCTCGGCCAACCTGGCACGGGTGGCCCATTTTACAATGCCAGGGGTTGTTACTCAGTCCTTGAAGGGCGGGTCAAACATCTTTCGCCATGTCAATTCCGCTCCTTCTTATCCGAAAATCCGAAAGGCCATAGTATATATTATTCATCGTGACGTGTTCAAGAAATTTTGAATCGGCTCGGGGGAATGGTTGAGTCTGTAGGAGGCATGGCATGGCTTGAGGGGGTAAATGCAGCCGATATTTCCCTTTGGATTCTCCACGTAGCTCCACCGTGACCACTATGGAGACCTCGAACCACCAAATTTTCGGCACTGTTCGATCAAGAAACTATCACACTACGATTCACAACTCAGAGATCAAGATTAGCGAAAGGTCCACAGCACGAGGGACGAATTCGCATCCCCGGATGAATGGTGAATATTGGACAACAACGTGAAAAATGGCTATCCCAAGGACTTTGTTGGTTAGGTGGGGAGGTGCTACGAAACGGCACATCCCATCCCACATGCCAACCAACCGCTTATCTACCAACATGTGCCAAGTGAAGAAGAAAGTGATTGTTTTTCTTCTGACCCCTTGCCGACGCCGGTAGCCAATACGAGTCGTTCTTGGATATAAGCCCAATGAAACCTGTCAGCTATGGTGTGCTACTACTAGTCACTGGGTCCAAATCTCCAAACCCGCGCGCGCCGAAATGTTCCTACCTGCAACCGAGGAGTCGAGCCCAACCTTAATCAACTTCTGCGAACGCTAATCGTTCAGAGAGTAAGAGCCGCCTGTGCAGAAATCTGAAAATGGCTGGCTGCTTGGGTGAATAGTTGGAAACTGTGTTTAAAACAGGGCTGGATGAACTCTCGACTCTCGAGGCGTGGCCTTAAATATCTTGGTGCTCGAGGAAATCATGGCTTATTTCGAAGCTGTACCCGTGTTCCCATTTTGGACTCCTTTTCATGATCGACCAGCCGCCACTCAACTTCTGGTGCCATTTGGGAACAGGGCTTAAACGTTAATTCGACGGTTGGACTCTCTCGGCATGATGCTTGCAAAATGTCCCGAGTGCGTCTGTGCACTGCCAGTGCCGCAGGCCCCCATTGCTAAGTTCAACTAGCAATATGGAGTGGTGACCACTTTACTTTCCTCGGTTGGCCTTGACGTGATTAGGCGTAGCTGTGATGACAAGGACGTTCGTGAGGCTCTCTGGAGGCTCAACATGCTTGCTTAGGCTTTTTGGCTCTCCCGTGAATGCGCTGAAAACGATACTTCTTAACCCAGAAAGTACGCCACTGTGGTGCCTGGCTCAGCTGAGCAGGATTCGCGTCAGAGTTTTTGTCTTTCTGGTTTCTGCCAGTTCTTCTTACTCACTTAATAATTACCAGCGCTCCTGATAGGCAGCAGCTCATATTTTCAAGCCACAAAATCCCTTATCATTGATAAAATACTTCGACAGACAGTCTACTTACGTCCCATTAAGAACCCAGTCAAACCTCGTCACGGCCAGGCCTACCTTGGTAAGAAGGATTCGTACGAGTACTTACTCGTATTATTTGCAATCCCCATTTCAGAGCCACATCTCCACTCGACTTAGCGTTTCAACTACCTCGTACACTGGGGTCTAAGATGGATCATCTGGTCCAGAGAGCCTAGGGGCAATCGCCTACGAGCGTGCGACAACCAATGCCTAGGATTATCCACACTACCACAGAATGGATACGGATTCGTAGGGTTCAGGACCACTCCGTACTGGATTCCGTACCACACATGGCGATCTATCGTCCCAAGCGAAAGTGTCCCTCGCTTGTGGGAGCGGTTTCCTACAAGAGACAACAGTGCCTGGGCCTGTAACTCTGAGGGGACGGAAATACCTTGCGACCGTTGTTGAAGTAGAATGCCCGTGAACGAGGACCAGGCGTGATGACATATGAGAGGCTATATTGAGCCGCCAATTGTGTGTGATCAACTTGGACGCGTGGATCCTTTACTATTGCCCAAAAGCTTAGCGGCACTTACATCACCCTTTCTCGGATGTGAAAATCCCTTTTGGAGTATGATTCTCATCGAGAGTTCCCTTTCCACTTGATAAATCATCGAATCGGTCAGGTGACAGGCTGTCTCATCATGGACTTCCGTCAATGACTGAGGGTCTTATCAATACTACTCGTACCAGAGGAGTCCTATACGCAACATATCGACTCCTCTTGCAGTGACTGCGGCGCTGTGCTGCCTTCAAGGTAGCAGCAGTCAGCAGTAGCACCATTGTTCGTCAACACATATTCAGAAGATGACAGCGCCCCCAGAAGCAACAAATGGTCGAGTCGGCAACTTGCCCAAACTGGCGTGTCTGCCATGTCGACGTCTCAAGGTGGATGAAACATCCCTACTTTTATCCCTCAATTCGACTTACTTATCGTGCTTTTCCAGATGAAATGTGTAGGAGCACAAAATCCACCCTGTGCGCGATGCGCCAAAGTGGGAAGAAAATGTGTCGTCCCACCAGTCGAATCCCGTCCGCGGACAGTCTCAAGTTATAGCTCAATGGAGAGCATCAAAGGATTGCCTAGTCAAAGCAAAGCCAGACCAGTTGTTTATCCTCTTACATCAGTCATTGATAGTCGAGATGATGCATCCGTCTCCCTCCATTGGGAGCCACATCAGGGCTACTCAAACATGATGCAGAACATAGTGCCAAGTATGTCAGAAGTGCCATTGGCAAGGACGAACACTCCACAATCGCAAACTTGGGACGAGGTTCACCAGCATCCAATGCCCTCAATCCCGATTAACTGGACCTGCCCATCCCTACCAACACCTGGAATGCCGCCAACGGCTATACAGCATAGACCCTCAACAACTACGCCCAGCTCCAATGTCGTAGTTTCGAGCATGAGTGTGCCGGTCACCCCATTGCAGCATCCCAACACCATCCCATCTGGCTCGCCACAGAGCCTCCCAAGTTCCGAAGAACTATCGCACCTGTGTCGATTGTAAGTTCCAACATCTGATCCACCGTATCATAGCCCATGAACTGACGGCTTCCCAGCTTCGTGATGAATCTCATAGCCCATGTGCCAGTCGTCGCTGAGACAGATGTCAGGGACTTTGCAGAAATGGAAAAAATGCACAAACAACCACTGGCATACAGCATGGCATATGTTGCAGCGCGGTTCGTTCCAGGCTGTCGATCAATGCGGGCTATGCTCGTTCCGGAGATCCTCTCCATCGTGAAGACTCGATTCGATCACTTAACTGGCCACAGTGAAGAGCAATGGACGCTCTTGCAGGCTTTTGCAGTCCTATCCACCTGGGCTCCCCGGGATAACGTCGAGCTGGACACGAACAATGCCGAGCACGAAATCTACCTGAGCCGAGATGCTCTGCGTGCGTCGATGGCAACTCTCTCGAGACGCTGGTCCCTGCACAGAGCTGGAGAGGAGGTGACCAAAATGCAGAATCAGAAGCAAGATGCCAATCACATTCGGCAAAGCTTTGGTTTCCGGAAGTACTGCTACTGGCTCTGGTTGTTTGCCTCATCTCACTTTCACTCCATGTTGACACGAACCCCTCCAACAGTGAAAGAGGATGCGACAATCAGAAGGGCAGGTCAAATTCTGCAGCCCTACACCGACGACGAAGTACTCCGTCAAACTCTGGCCAGAGTAGAACTGTGTCTGATATGGTCTCAAATCAAGCTCAATGACCGTGAACTTGGCGAATGGTGGTGTTCCATGTCACACGAGACGCATGCTACGACAATACTATCCGTGTTACAAAACTTGGATGAAGCTTTGCATCTCTGGCACCGAAAATGGGCACGTTCTGATCGCCACCAAAGTGGTCAATTTTCCTCGGATGTGGCAAGGAACAGCTCAATCGACCTCTCATACCGGTTCGTGCGTTTCTGCGTTAGTGTAAATGTCAACAAACTCATGCACACCTCGTCCTCAAAAGAATCGGTGGCAGCCATGGCGGGAGACGTCATCACTCAGTCCACAGCGAGGGCATTGAACATATGCCAGATGTTTCTAGAAATCTCTCCATTGAACAAGTCATCCGTCCGATTTGTGCCCGAGTCAACCTTCTCTATGATCGCGTTCGCCTGCGAGTGGATCATCCGGGCCAAAGGATTATCAATGGGCATCGAATACGTGCGTCCCAACGATCTGATGGCCGTCATTGGCGTGGCCGAAACCATGGTCGATGTGAGCATAGACAGCAAGCACAGTGCTCGCATGTATGGGGAAACCATTCTGAGCAAACTACAACAATCTACAACCCTCAAGATGCACTCTAGAGTGACCCAGCCATGGAGTCCTCAAACACACCCTCACTCTCAACAGCAGAAGCAGAATCAAACCGGGGGTGCACCTTCTCCCAGCCATATGAGCTCGAACGCATTACTGGAAGCTGCAAATGCCATGGATGATGTTTGGCCAGTGCAAAATCCCCAGCTTCAAAGCCGTGCACCACTTCTCGGCCCACCGATGGTTTTGGCTGCTCCGCCTGGTGACGGTAGCAATACTATCACCGATTATAATGCTTCGAACTACTTTCAATACAACGGTACATGGTCTGTATGAGGACTTTTAGCAGCACAGACCGACCTCTTTTGACCAGGTAATGATGAATGAAACGACACGAACCTACAGGGTCCTGGGCTCCCCTAATCTGGGACCCGACTCTGGGTTGCATGAGTACATAGGATACTCAACGACTCAGATACAATGCCGATTGGTAGTACTCTAACGACTTGACGACTACAACGCAGGTGATAACAGTTCCACCCAAGTGCACTCCTTGGCATGCTACATGCACGATCTCGCGCTTGAACCTAACTCCTGCAAGGAGACCTCCATCCAAGCTACTATCAGTTGCATGTCAGGCATGCGTGGGTTCAGATGTGGTGCGGAAATGCTCAAACGTCTGTGTCTCTGAAAACACACATTCACAGCCATTGTGTTTGATATGTTTACGAATTGGCTTCTCGGGGAAACTGAAGTGCTCAAGGGTATGCTGTAACACCCGATTGCACATAAATGAAAAATCGATACATGGCTCCCCGGTTGTCCGCAAATGCGACCGGGGATGGCTTCTTTTCGACAAATACCAAGATTTGAGCGTAGCATAAAGAAGGAATACACGACGAAAAGTCACATGCAATGAAAGAGCACTTTGCCGTTACTTGAACAGCATATATGGAGGTCATAGAAATTTCCTCCCTTGTCAGACTGAACATCTCGATCTCGCACCTCAGACATTACATTTTATAGACATGGTCCCACGAGTCGTGAGTTAAGTGGAAAGTCGATGGTTCGCGAGAGCTGACGACACCCTTCCGAGTCACCGTGAACTAGTTGGACTGGTGAGGCTATTGACTGAGGCGATTTTCGCTTGCACAAGACTACTCCGCACTCCGTACAAGGTCGGATTCACGTAATTGTACCTGCGTCGTTAGCACAAACCCTCGTGCCCGCACAATTGTGCTTGGTACCTGCGTCACTAGTTCCTCGTACTTCGCAGTAGCCTGAGAGCGATTCTAGGCCGACCTTGCCCAGGGGCTCAGAGTGGACAATCCTGCATTATCGTAATCAGTGACTCGAATTCCAAAAATGGAATGTGATGATGCTGCAGTCATACGAAATAATGTCAGAGACGATCCCTAAAGCGTTTCTGTCAGGGGATCAGCACTGACTCGAATGGTCTCGAGGGTGTCACAGAGACTGCACTGTCCGTAAGGTTCGAGAAATCCCCCTGGCCTAAAGCTTACCCACGGTTTTTGACCCTGGTCGTTTTCCCGGTCCGGGCGGACCCATATAACCGGCCCTGACTTCGCCCGCGTCTTCTATAGTCTGGCCGGTCGTGCATGAGTAATCTTATCAGCCTTGTGGTGGTCCGTGAACACTTGATAGTTCCCACACTGGAGTTGGTACAGCCTTACCTGACCATATCACCACTACTGCCCGATCCTGTTCAGCCACAACCAGAAGTGGACATCAACAACCAGACTGTGCTGAAAAGGAAACTACTGGGAGCATTTCAATCCTAGTCTAGATCCCAACTCGCGCCTTCCAACGTTCCAGTCGAGGCAAGATGATGAATCCCCCTTTAACCATGCATGGATTCACTACGTGCTAATTAGGCAGGAATGAAGGATGAGCGCTAAACTTTCCAAACGGATACAGGCCTAACAAGCGAAATGGGGACCGCTCAAGTCCCAGGGATGGACTATCGTTTTCAGCCTCCGGACTAACCGCTTATCGGACCTGGGGTTGAGTGGTCACCATTCTCCCGTCAGGGCTGAATTTCGATGCCGAGGGGAGTTACTGTGGACCACGATAGGCCCGTGTACGAAGGAGGGACACACATACCTGCGGCTCACCTAATTATCTCTCACTCTGCATTCTATCAGAGCGCCGATGTGTTCTTTGGCCTATTGCTTCAATTCGGTGTGAGTGTGCCAAAGTCAACAAACGACCCTGCTCTCCCAGCTCCGCCTATTCAGATAGCCAGAAGTCTCAATAAGAAAGTGAAGCCCTCGAACCACCAAATCGACATACCGTGACCTGAAGACCATAGTCTCCGGCGAGATGGCAGAATTCCAGCGTTACCGGGACTCGTCCCTTCAATCCTCATCCTCCGCCGACACAGATCTTGAGCTCAAGGAAAAGTCGCACGAGACGCCCTACCAGGACGAGATCTCGCTTGAAGACAACGTGGGAGAAGCTCGAGACGCCCTTCTTCCTCGACATGCCGCGAATCAAGCCATCGCAGCAGATCCCAAAGTGGCCCTGGAATATACGGTTCCCACTTCTAAGAAGTTCATGGCGTTGGGCATATACTTCCTTTGCAATGTTGGTCTCACATTATACAACAAGGCGGTTCTCGGTTCGGTGAGTAAAAATCATCCCCGACTGATGTGTCCCTTAGACGACAAGGGCTCACTTCGCAACGGAAGACTGGATGGCTAACTATCGATGAATGATAGCTCCCATATCCCTGGTTTCTGACAGCATTGCACACCGGATGTGCCTCAATTGGATGCTATGTTTTGTTACTCACCGGTCACTTCAAGCTACAACCCTTTGGTCGTCGTGAAGCCTGGACTCTGTGTGCTTTTTCTCTTTTGTTCACGGTGAACATTGCCATTTCGAATGTTTCATTGTGAGTACCAGGTCGCTAATTGGTTAATTTGACCGAGTACTGACCCGACTTTCCACAGAGGCATGGTATCCATACCATTTCATCAAGTGGTCCGTGCGACATCTCCGCTGGTAACCACCGGCATTTACCGCGTGTTTTATGGACGAACTTACTCGAGAGCGACTTATCTTACGCTTCTACCCATCATCCTGGGTGTCGGCTTGGCCACATATGGTGATTACTCATGGACGATGGGCGGTCTCTTGATGACACTTCTGGGCGTGCTACTTGGAGCAATGAAGGTCAGTATTTCACGAACCTTAGCAGGAATCCCACCCGTCATTCTTTTCGTTGTCGCTAACTGTAACCGACCCTCAGACGATCGCCTCCAACCAAATCATGACCGGCAGTCTGAAACTTGCGCCGTTGGAGTTTCTTTTCCGCATGTCACCTCTTGCGTGTGTGCAGTCGCTCATTTACGGCATCTGGACAGGCGAGTTCGCAAGCCTGAGAGCCGACATCGCCCCTATGAGAGATATCTCCAAGGCTGAGATGACATACGGGATGACGGGCTTGGTGCTCATTATTCTCTGCAACGGCCTGCTGGCCTTTTGCCTGAACGTCTCCTCATTTACCACCAACAAACTAGTTGGAGCCTTGACGATGACCGTGTGTGGAAATCTGAAAGTATGTCTCACCATCATCTTAGGCGTGGTGCTTTTCAATGTCACGGTTGGCTTCTCCAATGCTTTGGGCTTGTTGATCACCATGTTGGGCGTGGCTGCGTATAGCTCTGTGGAATTGGTTTCTAAGAGAAAGAAGACGCCGGCCCCGGGTTCAGTTTGATTCGATTCTTTGGTATTCGCTATGATGTTCAAATTAAAAACAGCGTTTGGTCTCGACTCATGCGCCTTCATAGGCTCAAGTCTCGCCGATCACTTTAGGTCAAAGAGGACAGGGTACGGCACAGAAGGCCGTCAGACTGGTCGACCATTGTACCGCCATTATACCACCATGATGGCCCAAGAAGGCCAGGAGTTGGCAAATTCAGGGACAATTTCCGGCACGGTTAAATTTAACGAGGGCAATAATGATAATTGTCCGCTGTTCAAATGATGGGCGAGCAGAGCTGTAACTACAGCGTTACCCTGATGATAGACTTCTCCAAGGGAAATAAAGCTATTCTTTTGACAGACAAGAGACTGTGGTATACAATGAAGAACACCTGTTTCCAAATGATTTCTCTATCCCAACATGACGGCCTTCAGAAAATTTTGCAAATTTGAGTACGTCATAGGCATAAAGCGGCCACCTAAAGTCCCCAGTCAGGCTCTGTCCCTTAAAAAGGCAGCATGTCAGCCCCCGATATGTGACTATCAATAACTTGAAGTTCTCATACAAGAAAAAAAAGTCACAAACTAAACGAAACGGCCAGACGTCCACGCACCTGATCACCATGCGTTAAACTTCCTCAGTCCCCCCCCATAAACCCTCAGGCCCGAGAGAACACTTCAGGCCATTCCATATCGACCCATGGACGCCCACGCGCATCTCCTCTCCCTGGGCTGGGCAGGACCTGGTCACGCACTCGACTCGAAACCCTACCAGCAGAAAGGCCACCGGGGACTCGCGTATGACCCGGCCAAATCGTCGAATACAGGAAACGGTCTTGTGAAGCCACTCCTCGTGTCACAACGCAAGGGCCGCCTAGGGATTGGCAAAAAGGCCCATGAACCGCAGGCCGGGAACGAGTGGTGGTTGAAAGGCTTTGAGAGCGCGTTGGGCAACGTTGGGAAGAGTGAGAGTGAACGCAGCAGCGGTGCTTCCACACCGGTGCCTTATTCCAACAATGGCCGCAAACATACTGGCCTGTATAGTTTTTTCATCAAGGGCCAGCAGATGGCCGGGACGATAGGCGAGGATGGAGAGATCATAGGATGTAAAAGGCGGAAAATTGATCTTCTAGACAGCGGACATGACCAAGACGACAGTTCTTCGTCACGCCAGACGACTGCAACCGGGTCGAAGAGGTCGAAACCGGCCCCAGCCGTGGAATTCGAGCTGGTCTCCGAGTACATTGCACTGAGAGACAAGGATGAGAAGCGGAAGAAGAGGAGTGGAAGACTCAGCCCTGTCACAGAATTCCGACAGGTAGCCGAGTACATCCAAACTCGATCAGAGAAAGAGACGAAGAAACGAAAACGACAGTCTGAAGAAGAAGAGTCTGAGATGGCGGATACTCCCTTGCCGGACAACGAAGCTTCAGCGGCCGTCGAAACAAAGGAAGAAAGACGAGAGCGGCGGCGGCAGCGTCGGGAAGAGAAGGCGAAAACACGTGCAGAGCGCACCAAGAAAGGGTCCTCCAAGTCGGAAACGGTTCAAGATGGCAGCGACAGCGAAGAAGACCCGGCTGTCAAGGCTGCTCGCCGAGCCGAACGCAAGAAGCGGAAAGCAGAGAAGGTGGCCAGGCTGTTGGAGTGACCAACCCACCACTCCTATCATATCTGATGCCCTGTCACGAGAATTACGATGGAAAGCGATACAAAGCGTTAGAGAATAGCCAGATACCCTGTTTGTGAAGCACGAATGAGTTGATTCATCCATCCATGCATGTTTCGAACCCGTCCCTTTTTTCGATACCGAATCAGACCTGCGGATCTTGATTCCCGACCACCAACTCCCCGGGCTTTCCTGTCCTCAACCAAGGTCGTTGCACCCAAAAGTCGTCCTTGATGATGTCGACATGCCTGACCACGACTTTGGCCTTTCGTCTCAATCTTTTCATCTTCTCGGCCTGTGTCTTGGACACTGATTGCTGCACTCCCCCTCCAAAACCATCTCGTTCGTCCCTTGATATGATTCCTCCTCCTTCCCGACCATCGTCTGCCTTGACATCTTGCTGAGAAGGGGCCACCAGGGCATACTCTCGAAATACCACACTCCCCTTGCGAAACATCTCGGGCTCATTATTGTAGTTGATGCCGAACCGACTAAATAGAATCTCATTCTTGTCCGCTGCCACTGTACCTTTGAGCTCCTCCTCAGCGGCCGTGGGTGACATGTTTCCCTTATTGACCATGGCCCAAAATGTCGTGTTGTAGAGATTGTTGATATGGCCTAGAGTTGGTGTCAGAGTAGTTAACCAAGTGCAGGCCCATACCGCGTGGCCACCGCGAATGGAAGAACTTGTTACATACAATCAACCTGTCTCCATGACATATAGTCCCTCAGATTATCCCACGAAGGATAGCACACAGCCCGTCCGTCAAACGTTGGCAGCATGCCCATATTCAGCGGCGCTAATACTGCCCCAGCATCGATATCAGCATCGGCATCGGTGCTATCATCGGCACCGACGCCAACATCAGTAGCGACATTCGTATTCGTAAAGAATCGACTCCAGAGCGCTATATACGCTGCAGTGAATGTGCTGACGACGGTGCTGACCAACTTAGCAGACCGACGTTCGAACAGATCTGTCGACCGGTGGAACACGAAGCTGTACTCGTCCGACACACCGTACGCGACCACCAGATCGGCGATTGTCGACACCACATGTGTCGCCGCCGCGTTCATGAGATCGAGGGCTCGAGTGTCGTTAGGCTTGGCGAATTTGTAGTGCGTTGAAAGTCTGTGGAAGCAGAAACAGGAGTGCCATGGTCAGCAAGTCAATCGCCTACACGACAGGGGTTTCTAGAGATGTAGCATCGTTGACGTGGTAGGATTTATGATATCAACCATATCCCTGTTCCCACGTTACCAGCATCCAGTCTCGTTCACAGCCCACCGTCATTTGTAAAAGCACGCCCAGCACTCTGGGGGATATTCCCTTGGGAAGGAGAGTGCAAAGATGCAAGATATCTCTGAAAAAGAACTCACTTGTGAAACCCCCTCCCATCAACCCGAACCACAATCCACGTGTTTGGCAGCAAGATTTCATCTCGTTCGAAATTGCGCACATATTCGTATCTAAATCACTACTGCATTAGCCAGGCATGTTGGGGATCGGCAGGATATGGGATGATTTTACTTGGAGTTCGCCATCCGTTCGTTGCCTTGTCTTGCCGTGCCTTGCTTTGCGTTGACGTTCGTTTATTATTTGAGCAAGATGGAGACGAAGCCCCTCGTTATCATATCATCGTGGACGGACTACACTGACCTATGCTCTTTCGTATGTCACAAATCAGGTGCTGATTACTCGAGTGCTATTGTTCTGGGTTGATCACCCTGGATAGTGCGAGTATCGAAAATAAAATAGCAATATAATTAAATTTACAGGAACTTTTTCAGCATGAGTCACACACAACGTCGACAACAGAAGATCTCAACGCAACGTTCAGGGCAAATACTTCAATCTGGAGATACTTGTTGATATCCTTCGAGGTAGTTCTTAAATATCATAACTACATGGCTTGCTGCCACTTTTGCCATCGCTGCTAGTACTCATTGATCATCCTCATCTCTTCCGTCGCCAGCCTCGCTGGTTCGTTCGCTACTTTCACTGATTTCACTCGCAGTCAAGTCTTCCTTGGTTCCTTTCTTGCTCTTACGCATGAAATTCCAATTACTCAACCCTGAGCGTGTGCTTTTCTTATCATCAGTGCCTGGTGTCGTCGCAATGCTTTCCATGCTCTTGCCCAGGTACTCACTAGATCCCTGCTCCTCCTCGTTCTCGCCATTGGGTGCAGCCGGGTCTTTTCTTGAGAAGAGCCCACCACTTTTATCCTTCCACGATCCAAATTTGTTAGAACTGGCTTTCCGCGTAATCTTGGAGATGAATGTGGGTTTGACAGGAGTACTGTCCACCGAGATTTGTGCACTTGTCGCAGACATGGTCCGGTCCAGTGGCTCGGACTCAACCGTGGAAATTGTCGCCGCGATTGACTGGGTGTCCCTTGATTTCCTAGATTCTGGAGGGGAATTGGTCTCCAGATCACCCACCCTTTCCCTCGAGTCCTTGGCGCGAGATTTTTCTTTATCCTTAATCTTCTCACCTTTCTTGCCGAAGAACATGGTGAATGAAGGAGCTGCGGGGTTCAATTTGGGTGTAGCCTGCTGCTGAGATGAAGCAGGGCGTGTACCAATGGGTGCCTGAAGAGGTCGGGACGGCTTTCTATCTTCAACCACTTCTTCATCACCATGAGGCAATGAAAGATTGCTGGTTGACCCATACACCACGGATGGCCGTCGGGAATGGCTCCGAGAAAAAGAATGCAATGATCCCCAGTCAGGTGCTAGAGGACTATTGCGAATTGGTGGTTTCTCGCTGGCCCAGGCACGGAACTGACTTTCCATCGACGGTCGAGGCATCTTGTCGAAGGAATAAGTGGACGATGGTCTGGGAGAAGAAGTATCTCCACGTAGACCAGGATCAAAAGATCCCGACCTCGCCGCAAATGGATCATAACTAGCCGTAGCTGTTGCCGACTTCCCAAATCCTGGAAAGAGAAATGGTCTCCGACTAGGACCTAACCGTGGATTTTCCTGGTCTTTCTCATCTGTCCCACCATTGGATCGTAACAGCGTTCCAGGGAATGCCCAGTTGCCTCCATAGCTGAGACGCCTCCTAGGCTGTGAGGCTGGATCAAATTCATCCATGTTGCGAGGAAAGGACTGACTCTGACCAGGCTTGAGAGATCCGAGAAGCGGGGGTTGGTCAGCAAGAGTCTTACCGCGTTGCCGACTCAGGCCGAACATGGACGACATGGAATATTTGGGTTTTGGGGGCTGCTGCAAAATGATATCCTCCTCCTTCTCTTCAGAGGTCGAAGACTTCTCGTCAGCCTCTACAACTTGAGCAGGAGCGGAGGTTTGCAAAGGGCTAGAGAAAGATCGACCAGAGGATGAACCTGCAGACGGAGTTTCGACATGTCGAGGCTCGGCCAAAGTTGGGGACCCGACTGTTGGAAAGGGCAACGTGGTTGTTTCGAGGTTGGGAGGAGGGAGGTCGAGGACCTCCGTGTCAGGTAGCTCGTCGGCCGACTCGTCGCCCAGTAGATCTGCTGGCAGCAATGAGTCTGCTCTAGGACTCATTGGGATTGAGCTTATTGCCTCGATATCATCCCCAGTCGAAGTAGGCATATCCTGTGGAAGCACCAACGTCATGCCATTCTGGGGATTGAAATAACTTGGCCCGATAATGGTAGGAGAGGCACCTGGCGCTGAAGTGTATGGCGGTGCAGCCTGGAATGGTTCAGGACCCACGAATGGCCCACGTGGAGAAGAAATACTGCTGCCGTGAGATCCAGGATGCCGTGGTCGTCGGATGGGACGTAGACCACGACGGACGGCATCCATGTCTAGAGGAGGCATAGGAGCAAAAGCCAGCGAATTCGCCCTACGAGTCTGAATGGCGGTGATTTGTTCGCGGGTGTAGTTAGCCTGCTGGTTGGTGAATTGCAATTCTGCCCAAAGCCGACTGTACTGCTGATTGAGGGCATCGTAGCGAACACGCCACCTCGCAGTCCGCTCCCGCTGAAGTCGGTCGGCTTCCCTCGACTCATCGGTCTCATCCTCGACGTTGAGTTGTTGGCGCTCCTCCTCCAAGGCCTTGATATTGCGAGCTTTCTCCTTGTTGTCCTCCTCGAGCATGGCTACTTCCTTTTGCTCTTCCTCGATCTTTTTGCGGATTTCCCTCAGCTCGGTTTGCGTTCTACGCTCAATGGCGGAGCGTTGAGTCTCGATTCCCGCCATTTCTTCCTTCATGATGGCGATCTGGTCCTTCCATTTCTCCACTTCGTCCTTTCGCTTTCTGCGCTCCGAATCCTTCTTTTCCAGGATGCGCTGTTTCTTTGTTCTCTCGTTTTGTGCGGTGCGGTTGGCGGTTTCGGCCTTGTGGACTTGTTTTCGCAAGTCATTGCTGATTTCGTCCCGCTCCTTGAGTTGCTGCTTCAAGTCATCCCGGCGGGCCTCCAGCTCCTTCAATTGGGCCTGGTATTCGATCTCCTCCTCTTCTGTCTGCGCTTCGATGGCTTCAGTCTCCTGCTGGATCTTTTGAAATGTTGCTGACAATTCAACGAGATCGTTGTCCACTTCCACCTCACCATTTCTCGTTCCCGAATCCTGGGCCTGTTGTGAGTCGGTGACGTGATTTGCAGGGGAAGGTCTGCGACCGGTGGTGCCCCTCCTTCCGAGCGGTTGGCCTCCACTGAGCTCTCGGGTCATGGCAGGCGCGGAAGCTGGGGTGACGATGAGAGGGTTTCGGACGGAGATTGCGCGAACGGTAGGAGTGACCTCGGAAGAACCATCTTGGGATGAGGCAGAAGAATCGTGAGGAATTTTGATGCGCAAAGGCGCACTTGGAGTTTGGAAATTTCCAACACTGACACAAAAAATGCGGATGTCATATTTTGCACCGGGAACCAGGTTGGATATCACAGCGCCGGTCTCTGTTTTTCGAGTAGTTCCGATGACCCTGCCATTGACTTCGACATGATATTCGGAGACGGAAGAAGGGGATTCGACATGTTTCCAGGTGATTTGAACCTCGGATGAGGATATCGCCTCGAGAGTGAGGAGAGGAGAGGGTGGGATGTCCAGACCGAGTTTCTCGACCAAGATGTCGTTGGGGGTTTGGATGACCTGGTAAGCTCGCCAGAGCAGCCTGTGGAGAAGTCAGTGGATGTAGTTTTGTAAAGACTTTTAGTTTGTACTTGCCAGCCAAAAGCCCAGATGACGGCGACCAGCAGAAGGAGAGCCATACGTCCTTTGACATTAACTCTGGGAGCTAGTAGGTGGTAGGCATACAGGGCTGCGTCAAAGCCCTCTCGCGGCCACTTAGCAGAGTCCATCCACAAAAGTGGTATGGGAATGGCCGGCATACGTTGACGCAGTGTGAGTAAGAAGGATTTTGCGGCGATAGTCACAGAGGCAGACGACATGCCATGCGAGACGGCGGGTAGGTCTAGACGAGACGAGACGAGAAAAACGGGCTCCCAAGGCGGGTGGTAGGAGGATGGTGTGTGTGTGGCGTAGAGATAGTGTCGGTCGACTCGGTTGGATGAGATGGTGTGGTGCAGTCTTGTCTTTTGCAAGTTTGGTAGGCCGAGCTCCGGCGCGCGTGGTGTTGCTTCCAAGTAATTTAGGGATGGTCTAGGCGATTTAGTGGTGTCCGGGGGTGAGCTCCAGGCGGTGGTGTGCGAATCAAGCACCCAGTTTGGGGCCGCTAAAGACCCTAGAAGAGCCTAAAAGCGCCTAAGCAGCCTGGGGTTTTGGTGCCGAACCAGCTTAATGGACCGGCCTCCAGATGCACTCTGGGGTGAGCATCTGAATTTCGCTCGATCAATATATGATAAGAAACAACCATATGAATGTGAGATATGAGAAGATTAAGATGGGTCTGATGGAGATGTTGATGGTGTTCAAGTTGGTGATGATGGAAGCAGAAGCACGAGACATTGAAGTTGAAGTTGAAATCGAAATCTTTATTTCATCAGCCTGGATTTCCAAAATGGCAGGAACGAGGTCCCTGCGTTGTTTTACATGCATCGTGACTTCCTCGACACGACAATCATCATCTGCAGACATCCACTACAGAATCAGGGAACATCCTCCCATCGCTGTTCACACTCTCAATGCTAGCCAGGCTGTGATTCCCATGGCCTACCTCTGACCAGCCATTTGGTCTCTCTTCCTCACCATCTCCTCTGCAGCCAACCGAGCCTCCTCCGCACCATTTCTCCTCTCCTCCTCTTCTCTTTCGTACTCTCGTCGGATCCGTCTGGCATGTCTCTCCTCCCTCTCTTGCAGCATCCTTCGTCTTTCTCGTCGTCTTTTCTCCCGTTCATTCTTTCCCTCATGTTCCCCCTGCGCCTCCTGCAACATTGCCTTTTGTTTCTGGCGGGACAACTCCCATGGCTTGGAGAGGGTGCTAGATAAGAATTGGCTGCGGGAGGAAATCAGTTTGAGTTCATGGGTGGTATCGGGCACGATAGAGAGACGGAGCAGGCGTATTTGGCGAACGGATCGGAATGTCGTGATGACTCCCTTGGCCTGCACCACCGTCCCAATCTGTAGAAGAGCAAGGTTACCATGAAGGGTGCGTTGGGCAGCCACATCGACGTCTTCGGTTTGGCCCTGATCATCTTGTAATGCGTTTGCTCGAGCTGGAGCGTTCGTTTCCCTGCCCTCTGAGCCCGGGGTGGTGGCACCTTTTTGATTGTCCTTTTTCTCTGCCTTGGGGCAACAGACATCAATGGTTGCACCACTGCTATCGTCCACAGTAAACAACCAGAACTTTTCAAAGTAGTCTTCCAAGACCACGACCACCCCCACAACTTGTACAAACTGAACAGGATGGTTCAGACAGAACAACAAGAGCCCGCCATGCTCTCGTCCGTCGGTCGTCACATTGATGTATTTCTCATGAGGTCGAAGGGTCGAATGAATGTGATTTGCAGTCAGCTTGACCCATTTGGTGTACGTGTCCGAGGCCTGGAAGCAGTACGCTGGGTAGAAGGTCAACGAGTCATGGCGGTGGATGTTTGACTGCTGCACCTGCTTTGGTAGTGGCTGCATTCATCTGTTCGCCGTGCTCACATGTTTGAGCAGTGGGAGGATGGAGATGAACCGGAGATGCGGCCGTGCGACGCGCTTCACGATGCAAGGAGGATGACGCGTGGTTGGTGTGTTGCGAAAGAGATGAGGAATAATCCCGCCGCCGCGGCTACAACGGCAAATCATCATCCGATATCGCTGAGTGTATGACACGGCCTTTTCAATTGATTGCTTGCACAAGGACATACAACTTACACCATATCACTCGAGGTTGCGCCGCAGATATTCTGGTCTTTTAAACCGCGACCCCTCTTCCCCAACTCCAAGCAACAACAATACTTTTCGGCTCAGCATCTGCCGTTACAAACTCGACGCCATTGAATGGCCAGTGGGCGCTCGTGTCATCGTCCGGGATCGGTGGGGACAAATGATGATCATCATGGCTTTATCAAATGTTGGTTCGTGGCAACACGATCCTCCCGGGTTTGTTTTCGTTTTCTTGTCGACTGCGTTTGTGCTTCTGGCTTGAGAAGGCGGGAATCGAGCTTAGACCAGTTCCTGCCCTATACTTCATGTTGGATCACTTGATGGTTCCTTCAACCATATATATTCTCATATACATGTCCATTTCTCCCAAGTCATTGGGACATCTCGCTGATGTCGAGTGAGAAATATATTGCCAACCAATCGACCCGCTCTCAGTCATACCCAGATGAGTCCCGGATACCTTCCGAAGTCGAGTCCCAGATTGGTACCAACACGGAGAAGCATTCTCGATCGCAAGGCGAGCCTGTGTTGACCACCGAAACCCAAGGTCGCCAATCTAATGGCCAAGATCATGGTCAGGACAACCTCCAAAGAGCTCAAACTGCTGGAGAGGATTCAAGCGACAGCATTCCCGTCGAGCCACTCGCCACCATGGCCTCGGCGGCAACCCCAATCTACTCAGTCTTTACGAAACATCAGAAGAGATTTATAGTCTTCATGGCCGCTTGGGCCGGATTTTTCTCTCCTGTGTCCGGCAATATCTATTTTCCCGCTTTGAATCCGCTAGCGAAGGATCTCAATGTCTCCAACACTCTGATCAACTTGACCTTGACCTCGTACATGGTAGGCCCTTGTTTGCATGAGGGGAATTGCCCATACTGATCGTCCTGCCCTTTAGATATTCCAAGGTCTTGCACCAAGTTTTTTTGGTGACTTCGCTGATATTGCTGGAAGGCGACCTGCCTATGCTGGTAAGTAGATGTCTCCCACCCTCGAAGTCACTGCTCTTACTGACAATCCCATAGTCTGCTTTGCCGTATATATTGTTGCAAATATTGGTCTCGCTTTACAGGACAACTACGCTGCACTTTTTGTATTGAGATGTATTCAGAGTACAGGTAGCAGCGCTACAATTGCAATGTGTAGCGCTGTGGTGGCTGATGTCGCTACCCCTGCTGAAAGAGGCAAGTATATGGGCGCTGCATTCTCTGGATCCCTGTTGGGCCCTGCCATCGGCCCCGTCATCGGGGGCGTGCTTGCAGAGTTTCTGGGGTGGCAAAGCATATTCTGGTGTCTGACAATACTCGGATCTGCATTCGTACTTGTCTTTGCTGTTTTTCTTCCCGAAACAGGTACGTGCTTAACCTCAGCCTTGAGCCCCAGGTCCTCACTGACAGCTCATACAGCTCGGACACAGGTAGGAGATGGATCAATACCACCAAAAGGATGGAATATGTCTCTCATGAACTACCTCGCTGTTCGAAAGGCGCGGAGAACGAATCCTGTTGTCCAACTCCCCTCACAGGAGGAGGTGGAAGCACTGTCGTTGAAACGCAAGAAGGCTGGGTTCCCCAATCCTCTTCGTTCCCTGTATGTCATCTTTGAAAAGGAGAACGCCCTCCTTTTATTTTACAATGCCTTTCTCTTTGCCGCATTCTATGACGTTGGCGCTGCAATACCTTCTCAATTCGCCGAGATCTATCACTTCAATGTTCTCCAAATTGGACTCTGCTACATACCATTTGGCTGTGGATCGCTGCTTGCAGCCTTTAGCAACGGCCTATTTCTGGACCGGAACTTTGCCCGTTGGTGCAAGCGTCTCAATGTCAAGATCAAGAAAGGTCGAGATCAGGATCTCACCCACTTCCCCATCGAAAAGGTTAGGCTCCAGATCGCGATCCCTGCCGCCTACAGCACTGCAATCCTTGTTTGTATCTTTGGGTGGATTTTGCATATCGAAGGACCACTTGCAGCAATTCTTGTTGTCCTGTTCTTCACCAGTTACTCAATGTCGGTTGCTTTCAATGTCACCACCACACTGTTGGTGGACTTTTATCCCAAATCGCCTGCAACAGCAAGTGCAGCCAACAATTTGGTCAGATGTTTATTGGGCGCTGGTTTTACAGCCGCAGTTATTCCAATGATTGATGCTATGGGTAGAGGTTGGACGTTCACCTTCTTGACTCTATTCCTTATCGCCACTTCCCCAATGCTCTGGCTGCTTTATTTTCGAGGAATGGGCTGGAGACAGCAAAGACTCGCAAAAGAGGAGTCTGCTAGAAAGATGGAGGAGGAGAAAACAAGCAGATTAGATGGTGGTGAGAGTGCGGGTGCAGACAAGCCGCCACCTGTGCGAGGCGGTATACCAGAGATGGCGGGTATAATGGAAGCAGAACACGAGAAGAGGAAAACTCATGGGACACACGTCCCGGGCAGCATAAGCCCGAGGACAAATGCAGACAAAAAACAGCAGGAGCACAACGATGAGGGAGATTTTGGCATTACCAGAACTTTCTCGTACGAGTCTGGGTTCTGATGTGTTGTTCGACCTGCGACTCAAAGATATAGTTCTAAGTCCGTCGAATGCACATGTAGCAGATCCTGATGATGCAGAGTTTTCTGCAACAACCACCCGGAACGTTCGATCGGAACGATTTCCACTTTCAAAACTCAGTGAGAATACTATGTTCGACCTCCATCTCAAGCCCGAGCTCGGCGTTGAGTGTCTGTTCAATGACATCAAGTGTCTTTTGCATGATGCTGTCATGATAAAAAGCAGTGTTCCAGTGGACCTCGATGGACATCTTGCCAGCGAAGGTCCACACGCCCAGCACAATACCCGGACCGAGTACTGGATCGGCGAAAACCATGATGTTCTCTACTGTCAGCTTTCCATGCTTGGATGGTATCATCTCTCTGTCAAGGACACCGTGACTCGTAAACCACGGCATAGACGCCTCAAGCGCCAGAGGATGGGTCCTCAACTGCTCACTCATTTCACGTGTGTCCTCGTACAACCATGTCTGCTGATCGGCAACAGCGTATTGTCGCTTGAGGTCAAGCGCTCGTGATAGAAAGCCTTGCCCTGTTGCTGCCGTTATCATCAACATCTGACTTGCGTTCCAGCCTCCCTGATCTCGAAATGGCGAGGTTTCAGGCAAGCGTGTGCGAACCTGAGCCGGCATCATCGACGCATAGTTCCTGCCTCTCTTGTCGCTGTCGGCCAGTTTCCAGACGGCTTCCAAGTATGCTGAATGCACTGCCGAAGTCACACTGATGCCTTTGGCTTTGCATGCCCTGGCCAGACCAGACGTGGCACCTTCCTTGTACCGCCTCAGATGCAATTTCACCGACGTAGGTGTTGTGGAAGGGTCCCCTTGCATGGGAAAATCCACAGGCGGGAGTTTTGAATCATAGTCTGCGAGGATCCGCTGAATGCGAAGCTTGGATTCTGGGCTGGTGGATTTGTTCGGCATCAGGATATCTTCCAATGTCGGATTGAGCAGTGCGGTCTCATTTCCTGCAACATGCCCTGTCAGAGCATCCCTGGTAGCGCTTCCACTCAGTAGCTCAGCAGCGTAGTCGAAAATGTGACTGATGAGTTTGAAAGCACCGGCAGCCTCGGTCCTCCAATGGCTGATAAACAAGATCACTGAACCCTTGAAGCCAGTTTCGGCCAATGCAGGCACCAAGTAGAGGACTGGTAGCATTTCCTGCATTGATTGCATTTTCTTGACCACTGTCTGCGTCGAGATCCCCTCTCGAGCCACTCTGAATGTATTCCGTAGCCATGACTCAAGCTCCTCGTCGGAGGGCACCTGGTAATGAGTGTAGCCATCTGCATATGTGGTCGCGATGTCGGGAGATTTGAGCAGGCGCAACGCCTTCCATGCATCTCTGAATGCTGCAATGGCATCCTTGGAATTGCCTTGATCAAGTATGAAGTCCGCGAAGGCATGGATTCGGATCGGCTCCCGTACAAGCTGCCTTTGCACGGTGATGGCCACGATCATGCCGTTCTCGGCGCCACCCAGCGGCCGCTGGTAATGGCCTGGCTTGGTTTCGGTCCATGACATGTTGGGATGATGTGCTTGTCACTTACAAGACTTGTCTAGTCGAGAGCGAAAGTCCCTACCTTGTGTATCATGGGAATCAAACAAACAGTCCCTTGGACCTATGGACTTGTCTGCTATTTATCTCGGTACGAAGAGGTATCTAGATACCTAGGTAGGTAGATGTTCAAAGCAGACATGGCCAGCCTTGGCAAACCTACCCGGGTAACTCGAACTTCATGGTGCGGGATGAACTTCGACCTTCGGCCGACTGTGATACGAATACTACCGGATGACTTGAAGCTATTTAGTGTTAGTCTTCGATGAACATGAATGACTCAGTTCAAGAATGAATATGACAAGTCGCTCCAGGGTCCAGCCAGGCCCATTCCTTCAATGTTGGAATCTTTCAGCAGCGGCCATCGACGCATGACCGTCTGTCTTCATCAAGAAACCATCGAGCTTTTGGAGGTCATCACCTACCAATTCCCTCTCCACACCGGCTGCCAGAAGGACCGCACTGTCTAACGACAACCCTGCCGCCAGCTCTGAGGCATCGTCCGGCTTCTCTCATCGCATGGGGTAGGGCAAACGATCGGCACTCCTCCTCGTCGATGTGTACAAAGCATATTTTATTTCACCGTAGGGTCGCCTCTCTCACTCCTGTCCAACCCAGAAGCAGTCACAGCCGCCGACGTAATGCGACGGCTACTCGCCGCTGCTAGAAAAAATCGTTCGCCTGTCCTCTGTGGCAAGATCGAATATTCGATCCCAGACATGGCTGACGCGGGACTTTGGTGGCGCAAGGCTAAATTGCTCGACGTCTGAGTCAAGGGCGATCCACGAGGTCTCGAGCAGGCCTTTGATAGCTTGTTGCCTCAGGATGGCGACGTTGTGGTCGTGAAGAAGTTTGTTTCCGCGTTCTTTGGTACACCCCTCGTGGATGAATTGCACGTTAGTTTTCCAAACCATCTTCATGTTGGTCTCTGCCACTGGTGATTGATGATGTTTATTGAGTCGTAATGACGTTGATATAGCGATTGAAATTCGAGACGCTCGTGATCTGCGGTGTCAGTACATCTGGATGTGTGAGGGCTATGGCTGGTGACGCTATCCAGTTGGATTTCGGCCTATGGCAAGCTGCTTACCCTCGTGTGGGACATTGCGGAAAGTCGGTTGCTCTGACATAGGAACTGTTGGACCGCTAGGTTGTTGGGCTTGCCTGTGGCGATAGGACCTCACAGATTCAAACCTCGAATCTATTCGATGTGGGTGCAAAATACTTCGATGTTGTTGAAGAAGCAGAAGCCATTCTACATTGGGAGACTGGATGGACATAAACTTACCACGGCACATTCCTAAGAAGGAGGCCGTGGGCTCTGCTGCAAGTGCTTGAACAACTATCAACAATGCGGACGCATACGACATGTGCACTCGGACTACGGTTAGACCATGCACAATGTCTTGTTTGTGGTGGTCTCCTGACTATGACTCCTGAATGGCTAACAGCGTAATGAGTACTATCTTCTCTCGAAAGCTCTAGTCGTCTTCGGCTCTACTCTCTCCATCTTGCATCTCATTTTCTTCTCCTACCTCTGCTTCGCCAACGACGTTTCCGGGAGTTCTAGAAGTCCCTGGTCACAGCAGCAACCGGAGCATGAAAAACAAGAGGTTGCAGGAAAAATAAAAGCTGATTGATTTACATGCTAAATGCTCAAGTTGGCAAGTTCGGATACCGGCCAGCTAAGATGACAGGTCCAGGTGCTTGGTCACGTACTCAAGGGCCAAGTCTTACCGAGCAGCGGCCTTTGAAACACCTAGATTGATACTGAATGCGGTTTCTGAGTCTGCATGACCGTGCCTCAAAAAGGTTCATGAGATGGTTGGGGAGGTACGCTTCTCCTACAGCATGCTTCATCCTATTCTAGATCCCACCGAGAGCCAGAGAGCACCTTAATAATCAGCATACACGGTGCCCAATCCTATGGAGCTTCCAATATTGACGTCGAAGAAGCCAGCATAATTACCTGCAAGGAGAAGTGTGGTCGTGAGTCCCAGTACCAAGATCATGATGGCATGAATTAGACTTACCTGGCGGAGCATAATTGCAAACCGTAAAGAAAGGTGAAATGCCCGGGGCATTGGCAAGGCCATTGCTGGTGCAATCTGCCGTGTAGCATCCAACGCTGTCGGTACTTTCCCAAACCACCTGAGTGAAGTGACCCCACAATGTGAAGTCGGCAATGTTTGGCTCGCTGCCATAGGCAGTGTACAGGTTCACTTCGCTGTTGTAGAGCCCTTCGGTGATGAATTTGCCCATCGAGAAGGGATCCGCCGTGTAACCTGCACCGATGTTTTGTCCATAACCACCACCGCCAACACTCCTGTGTGGGGATGTGTCAGTGCGCTCCTTCTAAAAATTGATACCTCGAGGGTTGCATAGTGGGGGATTGGGGGCACTTACGTGACATGTCCATAGACACAAGTCTGTGCAATCTCTCGTGCGATATCCGCCAAGGCTGGCGACCAAGTTAATGCATTGGCTGAGTGATTCGTGCGGTGGATATTGTGATGTCTTAAGATTGCATTGATATAGGCTGAGTTTGTGACAGACGGTCCAGTCGAGGTGGTGAACGTTGGAATGCCCCCTGAAGGACTCGTGTTTTCTTCCGGAATACCTGACATGCTTGTTGTTGAGGTGAAGGAGGGTGTGATGGTTCCATCTGGGATCAAAGGTGTCAGAGTAGTCGTGGTCAATGGTGTGCTCGAAAGAGCAGGTCTAGTCGTGGTGGGTGTCGAATACGTGAGAGCGGGATCGATGGATAGGCCAGGAGTTGCAGTTGCGAGTGGGCATGGGCAGTGGGTGGTTGTAACATTTTCCCAAGCCGTCATTGTCCAGGTTCTCGTGTAACTATACACGACATCGGAGAGTGTGACACCCTGACATGCGACACCTGCCGCCAGAAGACAGAGGACAAATCCTCGCATAATTGAATGAATGAATGTGCTTGCTGAATGGTAGTATGCAGAAAGAGTAAAGAGTGACTGGAGTTAGCTACGATACAGGTAGAACTTGCCAACTGCGAGGAAGGGACCGGCATTGTACCTACTGATAAGACACGTAAGTCGCGAATTCCGCATTCCTCACACGTCAACAAATTCGCTGCCACTCCGTGCCTTGATCTGAGGAATTCCTGTCTTCCCCTTGCATGGGCACAACGTGGCGCCAAGAACACGAGTTCTTGGTCAAAGGCAGAAGTATCAAGCCAGCATGAGGCACCGACATTGATGTGACGGTAGGAAAGGGGTTAGGAACAGAACCAAACCTTCATTGCTCTGGCAGAATCATATGTTCCGTCTTTTCGCCACAGGGCCTCAAAGCAAACCCATACTGTTCCGACCTCGCTTTGCAGACGAATTTAGAACCTCCGAGTGGCTCAAAGATATTTGCGGACACGAGTCTCGGAATTGAACTAAGCTTTGCGCTTAAATGATGGTCTGTGGTACCTGGGTCCTGCATTAGGAACGTCTTGGGTTCGATGTCGGCAGCCACAATTGTGAGCCATTTGTCGCTCGTTATCATCAATTGGGTATAGCCTGGCTATCAACTACACATTGCATTGAATCGGAGAGAAGTCAGACACTGATAAGTGCCATCCATCATTCAGGATAGACGACTCATCAATCAGGTGGCTGTACTTGAAGATTTGGCGTCCTGACTCTGGATTGCTCGAAACTGGTCATTCAGTTCGACCAGGCATAGATCACCTTTAGCGATAGTCTCTTGAGAGCTGAAAGTTCACCAGAGAGTATGCTTGTAGGCGATGACCAAGATACCTGACTCGGGTTGAACAGTGAACGCGTGGTACTGCTGTCGACTTCCAGGGTCATGATGATAGATGCCCCCAGGCGCTGTCGGGTCTATTCAGATCTCCCGGACATCGAGTGACTTGCGGTCAATCTTGCAAGGATCCTCACCTGTCAAGGAAGACGGGATTTCAAGATTACCGACGAACTCTCTGCACTCATCGTTGCATGCTTGCGGGAGCTCCGAAGTCTTAGCTGAGAAACGCGACGAGCCGTTGACATCGGGAGGGCACCTTTCCGTGGGAAGCCTGCCACGAGCGTCGGTAGCCAGGATGACGGTGAATCGAGTTTCGAGACCGCAGGCTGCAGATTGAGATCCATGAAGTCTTCCGTGATAACGGGCATACCGAAGGGGGACAGTGATCCCTGTGAACTTTGTTGAATACTTGCCATACAAGGAAAGTGCGTAAGAATGACTCGACGAGCCGAGAGGAAAGGGAGAGACGAGGCTCGACAGTCAGCAAGTCTGAAAATGGCACGAGAAATTATTGGGGAGGCAAGAACAGGTGATGGCGCTAGGGACCAAAGAGGTTTAGCGTGGCTGGTTGTGTTTCTATTTTGGTGTTCCACATGTCGGAGAATAATCGAACATGTGCAGAAGATGGATAGAGGAATTGCCCTGCGAGTTTCATCATTTTCATCAAACAACAAACGTTAAGCGACGAACTACAGAATACATTGTCCAAAAGTATCGGTGGCGATGGAAATCTGCCTTGCAGTCTGATAGAAGTGAGCCTTACTCGGAGTGGCCAGATGCTGAAAACCACGGTTGAGTTCATTGGACCCCCGCAATAAAGATAATCCACCCCGAGCGTCTAAGCCTCACACTATGGCCAAGGCATCTTTTCAAGTCAGCCCTGTGAACGGGTCTCCAAATCACATGTGCATCGGCCATGTGCTGGGAGGACATGTACGAGTAGGTAAACACAGAGTGGTAATTATTAGAGGTGCCCCAAGTAGTATAGTCCCTCCTCCATCCCACCAACATGTCATGCTATCCATTAGTATTCCGTATCCTCCCTGCGAGTACCTGACTGCTAAAGTCCATGTCGGGTGATACACAACCCACCCATGCAGCTCAGATTCCTTTTCTTAGAAGATTGGCATGTCGATAAGACGGGTCCTTGCATATGTCTTGACTAAGCCCGATGCGTCGGATATCAATCCACAGGGAGACATCTTGTATCTCAGTCACATCGAAGCCTTGCAATCGTGTTACAGGTCGGGCGTTGCTGGTAGAAGGCTGTCAATTGACGGCTGTTGATAGGAACGGAGAATTTAGATAGCTGAGTTGGGTGATAGCTGACAGCCATTGGATCTCTTGACACCATGACACTTTCCTCATCGACGTTGAGTTGGGAGTCGAGAGTTGCAGTGCATGCCTTCCACGTTCACGCTGCGCCCTATTGTTAGGGCTTAGGATGGACTTCGAGGTCGAGCGATATCAGCCATTGGACGAGAGGAGGAGCTAAGCAAGCCTAAGCGAGCCTAAAAATGATGGACTAGGCCAAACTAGGTTAGATGCCTCGAGCGATATCAGCACTAATTGCACCTTCCCATGCTCTGCCTTGCTCCTGCCCTGTGCCCACCTATCTCCTTCCTCAGCTTCCTCCACTAATGCATATCGTTTGAATTTAGCACAGCAACCTTTTTTCCTTCACTGCCCACTGATGGTTGCAACATTACGCCTCCCGTCCGGTCTTGTTGTTTCTTTGGTCCAACCCATCGTGTTGCCTTCGTATCCCCTTGAGGATTGTGGACTTTCCACAGCCAAGAGGATCCAAATGCCATGCTTACATGTTCCTGGCCCATTTGGCGGCGTGCCTGAGAACCCTGAACACTCGCTCCAGGAACAATGAGCCATCACCATGACCTTGGCCCAGCTCCACCCCGGACACCAGAGACCAAAAGGTTTGGCGTTTTGCAAAAGTCCGATTTCCTCGTGGCCGTCAGCCCTACCATCAATCTGGATACACGAGCAGGGCTGGGTTGCCATGTACTGCCCCTGGTCGTTCACTGAACTCTTGGTCCTTGGATTCCACATGTGTCCGATTAGACGTTTCGCCGCCCCCAAATTTACACCATCTGCCGGTTTCTAGTCCTCCGGCTTCGATTGACATTGCCTTTCCAGGACTAATCCAACTCCAAAGCCTTGGGTCGGGTGGACCCGTAAGGGTTTGGGCTGATGATTCCATGACACTCCTCCCACTGACCAGGCCTGAAGATATATACCACTCGATGCCTCAGCAATTGAGGCATCCATTTCTCATCATACCACAACATTCATTCAATCAATCTTGCACTTTCATCTTGCATTTTTCCTTTGTTCGCAAACCACATAATACTTTTTCATCATTACGATCCTGCTTCAACTCCAGCATTATCAGCGTCAACAGCGAACTATAACACAGTCACCATAACCAAGGTATAGAATCTTGACTTTCCTTACTTCTGTCATTCATCTTCTATCTCTGTCAACATCTACAACCACAATCGACGATCCCACATCAAGTTTTCCTTTATTTCCTTATTTCCTTTTGTCTCTTCTTCACCCACCGCCCATACTTTTCATTTGTCCATCGACCAACATTCCCAATATTAATTTCCTGATTTCCTACTTTCAATCAATCTTCGAAATGGCTATTGGACGTGGCGGCTACAACACCCCCGCAGGCACTGTTCCCCAAAAAGGTCGCGGCGGGTACAACAAGCAGGGCCGTGGTGGCTACAACCGAACTCCCGTCGTGCAGGGTCGCGGCGGATACAATCGACAAGCAGCAGTTGCCATCCAAGGTCGTGGTGGATACAACTAAATCGACACCTCTGTACTTTTTCCGTCCCAAAGCAACAACAACAACACAACACGTCTTGTCAGCAAAAGACGCTCCAACTGGACACCGCAAACCGGGTTTCCGATGTACCCTCGACATTCCTTTGTTTCATTTTCTTCTTCCTCGATAGCCCTGGTCTCGGCTATACGGCCATCATTCATTTCCCATCTCGTCGACTGGGCTCTTGACGAGCACATGTCACTTTCCGACGCAGAATCTGTACCAACAACAATATCTGGTTAGCGTCATCGTCATTGTCATTTTCAAAGCAACTTTAGCGGCATTTTTAGGCGTCCTTGTCTTTTTATTTGGCACATGGGTGGGAATCAAATATCATGCTCTGGGAGCCGGATCTTCAAAGCGACAGGTCGCACAGCACTGCATTAGCGTTTGACAAGCATTTTCAGGAGTTTAGTTTTCTCTTTGTGTTTTTATCCTGGGGGCCAGCCATTATTTTTAAATCGTATTGTCTTGTTTTCCATCCCCGAATTGGGGGCGGAACGCGCTCGTTTGGAGAAAGGCCTTTGGGGACAAAAATGAAGGACATTCGCTTGGCGTTTCGTTTCTTGTGTTTCTTGTTTCACTTTTGGGTTGGAAAAGGATTGAAAACCGGTTCAGGCAGTGCCTGTATTGTAACCCATGTGGACCAACAGAACAGAACAGAGCATCACAAATAATACCAGAATCAAGAGACCTTGGGGGAACAGCCCCCAAGAATGACATTTGGCAATCATGCAATGGATTGCAAACCAACAAAAATCCTCTCATTCCTCTGCCCGGATCCCGTAGTCGCAGGGGCCATATGTGAGGGGGGAAAGAAATCCAAAAACTTACTTTTCAAAAACCACTCCTAGTACATCTTCAACATCGCCTCCTTCACCTTTGCCCGTAATCTTGGCTAGACATTGTGCAGCGAACCGGAGGTGTTCAGCGGCCGTGACGATGTCGAAATCAGGATTCAAAGCACTGCCCATGGCGCCAACCAAATCATCATGCCGATCGACATGGTAGTCCTGCGGCTTTGCGTGGTTGGCCTCGGGTTCAATGTCCACATTATCCATCACATCCCCAAGATAGTCGTTGAGATGCTGCCTGCACTCTCTCAGGTAGGTACTCTGTCGATGTGTGATGGACAGTGAAGATGCCCAGTAGGCCTGTGCTTCGCCTGGACTGAGACGATCCGTGGTTCCGCCTGTCATTGCTGTGGTCAGGTTGCTGAATTCACCGGTCAATTGCTTGAGAAACGCTTGAATACCCCCAGGGTCAGACGCCATCGAGTTTGGGTCCATGGAGGCTTTACATGATATGAAGGAGATGCGTTCGACGGGAACCATGGGAAGAACTGTTCGAACGTCGTCGCGGATCTGTTGATACGCGTCCTCCATGGAATGTTCGCTTCGTAGCATATCGACTTTGTTGAGCACGACAAGAATTGTCTTGTTCGCAGAATAGCATTCCTCAATGGCGTTGACCACTTCGGCGCTGATCGCAACGGATGGTTGTCTGCCGTCGACGACTTGGATTGGAAGAATGGCCACAACGACATCAGAACTCAACGCGCGTTCTCGAGCTCGACGAATACCTTCTCGCTCAACAAGTCCGACCTGGCTCTGTTGGTGTTCAGACACAGTCCCATCCCCACGTAGACCAGCCATGTCACCTAGCCGGCAGAGCCATCCACCGATATCAACAGCCACATCAACAATATCTCTGGTCGTTCCGGCTTCTGCACTGACAATGGCGGCTTCTCGACCAACCACTCGATTCAACAGCGAGCTTTTGCCTGCGTTTGGCGGGCCGAGCAGTGCGATGCTGATGCCATTCCGCAGTAATTCGCCTTTGGAAGCGTTCTGCAGATGGATGTCGATGCGTCTCTTCAATGCATACACTTGAGCAGTCACCGTCCTGACGAATTCCACCGGTGTTTCGTCGAAGTGCTGGTCTTCGGAGAAGTCGATCAACGCCTCCAACTCCCCTCGAGCATACAGCAACATGGTGCGCCATTCCTCGTATCTCTTGGCGAGGCCGCCGTCCGCACCACTGACAGCAAGACGTCGTTGTTGCTCCGTTTCTGCTGCGAGGGTTTCTCCCAATGCTTCCGCTTGTGTCAAATCCAGCTTTCCATTGTAGAATGCACGCTTGGTGAACTCGCCGGCGTCGGCGTGCCGGACGACACGCTCGTTGGTTTTGCCAGTGCGCCCACATTTTGAGATTCCCTCGAGGACCGATCGGACGATTGCTGGACCCCCATGGACGTGAAGCTCGAGGATGTCCTCGCCAGTGACGGTGTGAGGAGCAGGAAAGTAGAGCACGAGTGCTCCATTGTCGAGTATCCGCGGGGAGGAGTGTCGCGCTTCGAGAGGATCGTAGAGCTTTCGCAGCGTCGCTGTTCTTGGCTTAGGATCGGGCTTCTGGGGACATAGTCTGCGGTAGATGTCGAGGCATGATGCTCCCGAGATGCGCACCACAGCAATGGCGGCCCGTCCTGGGGCGGTCGATAAGGCGTAGATAGTATCAAGCGACGAAGTAATCGTTGGTTCTGGCGACCAACGCCCTAGAGGTGGATTCAGGGAAGAGGAGGCATGCTGTCGCTGGACCGTCGGCACGATCGAGGGTCGGGGTGGCAGTCTGCCGTGGGTGGATGGCAATGACGATGAGACGATGAGCAAATACAACCGCTTACGATACCGTCCGAGGCCTGCGATGTTTGCACGGCATCCCATTTACAGATGTCGCTACTCTTGGGAACTGGTAGAGGTCGTGATGTGAAAGATCACTGGCGACTCCGACACGCCAATTCCGCAACGATCCATTTTCTCGAGATCACGTGACTATACAGAGTCGCCCAGATGAAAGTTAGATCAAAAGTCAATCTCATGTCATCTTCTTTTCGGAATCCGATGATTAATTGAGGTATGGTCATTTTATTACATACAAGACTGGCCATTTCGAGAACCAGGCCAATGTGAAACAAGATCAACGCCGTGAAAGAGTCTTTGAACAAAACGACAACAACAGAGAGCAGACTCCCAGAACACATATGCATGGTCGAGCGCAACACATCCTCTTTCTGCAATTGCAATGCGGGTTGAATTTGGACAGGAGTGTAAGCAGCGCAGGGGGAAAACAACAGTACTGGATCAAGCACTAGTTCCTGTGAGACGTTAGCTTTCGAGCATGTGGATTTCAGGACAACATACAATAGACCAAGAGTCAAATCACCGTGGATCTTCGCCTTGAGCTGAACCTCAATATCCAGGTTCAAATCAAGTCTCAGTCTCAATTGTTCGTTCGTACCCGCGTCCTCCTCCTCGCCTTCTTCTTGACCACCCTTCTTTTTGTTACCGAGTAGGCCACCAAGAGCTTCGGTCGGCTTGCTGAGGGCTTTGCCAGCGGTGTCATTGACGAGGCCTCCGACTCCATCTGTGACACCGTCGAGAGTCTCGCCTACTTCGTCAACGGCGCCTAGTGGACCGCCACCACCACCACCGCCAGATTGGGCTTGTGACTGAGCTTGGGCTTTGCCCCGATTGCGGTTTCTGTTCCGTTTGCCTTTCTGTGAGACATCGCTTCGATAGGCACTGTCTGTGTCGCTGGGTGGTTGACTCGATCCTCGACCACGAGTGCGACTGCCCTGTCGTGATTTGGAGCGAGATTGGTTATCCATTTTCTTTGGTGTTTCGGGGGCAGCGGCTTCACCGTTGACTTCGCCGTTGGCTTCGACCTTTTCCTGGTTGTCGCCTTTGGCGGGAGTGGACTCGGCAGACTTCTGGCCTAACTTCTTGGGTTTCCGTTTCTCTTCGGATTTTTTGGAGGATGCGTCGAGGCCTACACTTCCAGAGCCAGCAGCAGAACCAGCAGCGTCAAGATTACCGCCGATGCTAGATTCTTCAGTGGTTTTTGTTTCTTGTTCAGAAGACATGGCGAGAGATTAGGAAAAAAAGTGTGGAGGAGGGTGAAGATGAGTTGTATGCTTGCAAAAGACAGTCGACGTAAGAATTCCGGGACTTCTTGTTCGGAGACAGGACCAAAAACAGGCCCCAAGGCAGGATATGCAGGTATACCCCACAGCGACGTCAGTCAGGGTGATGGGTAGGAACGAAAGCTCATGGATAGTGTGAGAGAAGAGCACATCATGACGTGGTGTGTTGCTGCTTTTGCAGACCACTGTGCCTGAGGACGCCACGCGTTGAGCAGATCAGGTCTGAGAACCTGGAGAGAGGGAACCCAAAGGAGTGTCTGACCAAGTTTTGGAAGACAAGATGAGAGAGAGGGGCGATCATGGTGGACGTTGTGGCTGACAGGAACAGGGTTCAATACAGGATATGGAGGAGAGCAATAGAGAAAGGCGGGCATGGAAGTTGTCATCACAGCCGTTTGTGTCCAAGCTCGTATCAAATCGAGCGATCAGTGGCCTGGTGGAAGCAGAAGGACTCGGAGTGCAGGGATGAGGGATGAACGTGGTATGCCTGCAGCCTCAGTCTGGGATGTCAATGTCACCTCCCTAGGGACTAGGTACTAGGTATCTTGGTAGGTACAAGACTCGGTATCTTCCTCGTCATATGGATACCTACGTAAGACTGGTGATCTCTCAACGGTCGTGGTTGCCAGACTAGTTGGAGTTGTGTCCGTAGTCGCACCTGCCTTTTCATGATTTGGGTCGGTTAGATGCAGAAATGGGCAGTGGCTGTTACTAGGAGAAGGAGCGTGGACGAGTACGCAAACCCGGTGGTGACTTCCCCAGTCATCCAGCCAATGAGACAGCACGATCTAAGGTTTTCGCCAATCAGAGAACACCAAGACTTGAGGAAGGCGCGAGTTGGTGGTCGGCGAGCCGGCAAGAAGCCAACCTCGCGTCATGCTCCAAGGATGGCGCTATGGTTTTAGGTGCCGCACCAGGAAGGCACCACCGTTGACAATCTGGGGCGGTGGTTGCCTCGCCAGCAAATCATAGTATATCCGAGTGCTGAATGCTCCGTTCTTCGACCAGGATTGTTCCAACTTCCGCCTCGCTTTTGCCTGTCATCTCGATCCCAGTTCTTGGACTGCCTTTTCCCATCACCGTGTAAATCTACCATGCCACATCTTGCCGCTTCAACGCATTCCCATCATGGCATTTTCCTTGAAACCCAATTCTGCACATGGCTGATCCTGGTATCCTGGTCTCGATGATGTCGTTTCCCCACCCCCTAGACTTGATGCTTTATCCGCGACGTTGAAACCACTCCGAGTAGTACTCGTACCTGCCTGATCATGCTCACTCCATTCCTTTCTCTGAACTTTTTATCTCCCGTGTCATCACTTCTCTCGTCCATCATTGCCCTCACTACAGCCCCTTGTGCAAATTTACATCTTCGTCTCAGCTAACCATGGCCGACGACGAACCTCAACAAACGCCTACTCCGGCCAAGACGCCGACCGGCAAGAAAGGCAAACGACCCTCGGCTCCTGAGAGGGTCGAGTCAGAAGTCTCAACAACAGAGGATGACCAAGGTTACGAATCTCGGTCTCGGTCACAGTCGCGACGGAGAAGGCGACAGAATCAACGTCAGAGGACTGCTCAGGCCAAGGCGCAATCCGGTGGTGGAAATGCTCGATCCATGGCCTCAATCGACGAGGGCAATGAGCCGCAACAACAATTACAGCGCCAGCAACCACAAGAACAAAATCTCCCACCCAAACAGTACGTCGACAAGGAGCATCCACAGTGGTTGAAGAACCCGGCGCCTCAAGACATCACGGAAGAACAACCTTTCGAGTACATCAAACCTCCGGGACAGTCCATGATTGGACCCGTCACCTATGCACGCATGTTACGTGGTGAGATCCCATGGAGAGGCCCGCCTCCATCACAACCTCTGGAGACCGCGCAAGCCTTTGACGCCAAGGACTCCTCTGGCAAAGATCCCATGGACCAGGATGGCTTGAAACTCCGAATTGAATTGAATTTGGACATTGAGATTGAGCTCAAGGCGCACATCCATGGCGACTTGACTCTGGCCTTGTTGTAAGTCACACTTCCATTTTCTCCTGGCACAGCCGCGCCTGACCCCATTTTCGAAACAGCAACTGATTTAATGCTAACCTAGAAACTAATCACTGCTCAGGGCATAGTTCCTCAGATCTCAACCTGAGTTTACCGAAAGTCAATTTACCCAAGCTCTCGCTTCCCCACGTCTTGCCGAAGCTACCGAAGCTACCAAAACTACCAAAACTACCTCAACTGCCCACGCCGGGCTTATGACCCGACGGGAAGAGCAAGACAGGCGGGAGGAGAGAGGACGGCGGACCGTCGAGATGACAGCGATTGCTTTTTAATTTTGTGTCTCATCAAGCCAATGTGATGAATCAAACTAGTCGTTTTAAAACATTAATCGGAGTTGTGGGTTCGAATCCGGTCAAGCATGTTTGTGGCTCTGAACGTGGTCGTGTAACTCTAAATGTACCTACCTACCTGAAAAATTCCTAGAATCCAATCTTCATTTCACGTTACACACTGTCAAACATCCCAGTCCCCTTGTCCGTCAATTATGCTGCTCACCTTGACCTCGACTCTTCCAAAAATGGACCGGGCTCCTCGGGGTCTTGGGTTCAGGCTCATCATGAATCGCGCTGTCGAACTGGCCAAACTCGCCTCTGGCCCGCTTGACCACCCGCTCGATCCCGTCCAGCCCCAACTTCAACACATCCAACTTGGGCCCATAGCTGATCCGCACGAAGTGGTGGCACGGACTGTCGAAGAGATCCCGCCGCTTGGCCGGGTTCAGGTCGAAGAAGATGCCCGGCACGACAATCGTGCGCTCCTGTAGCAGGGCGTCGAAGAATGACAGACCATTCGAGATGTCCACCAGGCTGTTCTTGGGCAGCGGCGGTTCCAGCGTCGTCAGGTCCAGCCAGATGTAGAAGGTGCTGTCGGGCGTTTGCTGATCACCCGACGTGAACCCAATCTCCCGCAACCGCTTCAACACGTAGTCGCGCTTCGTCTTGAAGTGACTCTGCAGCGCCTTCATCTCCGCCTTGACCTTGGGCGGGTCCAGCATCGCCACCGCCGCCTCTTGGAACGGGACATTGGTACCGCCGTCGAGGTAGCTCCCGCAGGAGCCCAGCGCGGTGATGAACTCCTTGGGTCCCACGATCCATGCGACTCGCCAGCCAGGCAGACGGAATCGCTTGGTCAGCCCGTCGATCAGGATCACGTCGTCCTGGTTGACGTCTTGGACGTTGGAAGCCGCCGAGATGGTGCTGCCGTCGCAGTCGGAGCTGTAGTTGTACCCCGCGTAGAATTCGTCAAAGATCAACGTCGCGCGGTCGCGGCAGATGTCTTGAATCAACGCCAGCTCTTCTGGGTGGAGTGCATGTCCAGTCGGGTTGCGAGGATTGGACGTGAGGATGACTGAGGTGCCTCGAGCGAGTTCGTCGGCGATTTTCTCGGCGTGGATGTGGTATCCGTCGTCTTTGGATAGAGGACTGGGGATTGCGACAAAGTTCTTGAACAAGCTCAACATCTAATGGTTTGGCGCCGGTCAGTGTACCGTTGTTGTCTGTGGTCTGAGAAGAGTATGGTATGCGTGCAACCGCGGACTCACCTCATTGTATGCTGTGTAATCCGGGATGAAGAATCCAAGATATGCGTTGCCAAGGACAGCTGCGATCCTGATCAATCCTGCTCTTCCACCAGGAACAATGCAAACATTCTCCCATGAGTATTGCGAGGATTTCCCCTGTCGGTAGTTTTCATTGTACAGATTGGCAACAGCGGCTCGAAGAGATTTGATTCCGGCTGTCGGACCGTACTCTCGCCCGTTTAGGGTCAAGGGGATAGAGGTAGGTCTTGCGAAGCAGCCCTCAATGTCATCGTCGACTTCGGGTGCGCCCTGACCAAGATTGGCCCAGCTCTCGGGGTTTTCGAGGAAGCCGTGCTTGGAGGCTTGTTCAGTGCACCTGGAGGAGTCAGACACCAGCAAAGATAGACAGTGGAATGGACATTCAATACCAAATCACGCCAGTGCTTCCGCGAGAAGTGTCAAGGCCAGCGTGAGGTCTTGCATGTGCGGGGTGGGATCTGAGGGTTTGGTGTGGGCTGGAGCTCCTCTCCTCTTCAGGGTGGATGGAAAATCTCCGACCATCTGGACTGTTGTGCAGGGCGGACCTCAGAGACGAGATCCGTCTGCCTGACGACGAAGAGAAACTCATGCTTTGGTCGGGTCGAGTTGTTTTTGTGGTCCTTGTTGATGGTCAACCGAGAACGATTGCTTGGCCGACGAGCTGGAACCGGGAGGAAGAAACTTGTGGAGGGGAGATGCCTGAGGGAAGCGGGAAGAGGGGCAGCCAAGCACCCGATAAGAGGGCCGAGGGGCCTGCCTAGGTACCTGTGCAAGCACCTGGAGACCTGAGTCGATAAGGAGATTTAGTTAAGAAGATCGGAGCTGGGCACCTCAAGTTTAGGCTTTGGCACCTACGAGTGGAATATCTTTCTTGATCGCCCACAGGTTACGAATAACTACAACAGACAGAGAGAGCCGTGCCTGGTTGTCTCAAATGAGACGACGAGCATTACTCTTTATACTAGATGACTCTGAAACAGCACGCTTTTCTTCTGGCGGTCAATCTGAACAGCTGCCAGTGGTCCAACAAGTTGAGTGATGGTAGCCGATCAGGATATCTCAGCCAATCCATACTCCACGAGATTGCTACAGTATCATTGAGCTAGCTAATAAACTCGAGCACAGCAAACATTGCCGCGTCACCAAGCAGTCGTTCAATCACGTAAAGAGGAGGATGTCTGGTATTTATGTAACTCATCCCCCTTACTTTTTCTAGAAACCCTCTAATAGCCTCATTAAATGAGCATTTACCTTTTCCTGCTCCTCTTGGAATCGGCGTCACAAAGGGGGCAGGGCAGGGCAGGCTCGGAATCAATTCCAGCCATGCCACCCAGAAGAGCAGTCCATAGCGAAGTGCCTCCAATTCATATCCCAAGACCCACTCGCTATCACTTTCCACTCATGACTGCCACCATTGATTCACGCCCTTGTGCAGGTTGAGGGAGGGTATTTATACAGATATATAAAACTGCCATCTTCTTATCAGTACCATTGCATCATCATAGCTCCTAGTTAATGTGACAATCCGCCCTTCATCATGGGTTCCCTATCCAATTCCAGTCTGTTGCAAGCCGCACTCGGAGAAGCTCACACCACCTATACCAACAAGAATGCCCAGTCACGGAAGCAGCATGAAAAAGCAACTCAGTATCTCCCTGGAGGCAACACGCGCACTGTCTTGCACTCATCCCCGTTCCCAATCACCGTCACGTCGGGTTCTGGACCGACCCTGACCACACTGGATGGCCACAAATACGTCGACTTTCTCGGTGAGTATACCGCCGGGATATACGGCCACAACCACCCTGTCATCAAAGCCGCCCTACAAGAGGCAATAGAGAAGGGATGGAACTATGGAGCCCACAATGAGCTTGAGCCCGAGCTGGCACGTCTCATCGTGGAGCGATTCCCAGCCTTGGATCTCGTCCGGTTCGTGAACTCTGGCACCGAAGCAAACATGATGGCGCTGGCCACCGCTCTGGCCTACACGGGCAAGAAGAAGATCCTTCTGTTCGAGAAGGGATATCACGGCTCCACCATCTCCGGCCGCACTCCCTCGACAAAGAAAACCATCAATTTGCCCCATGATTTCGTCGTTGCCACCTACAATGATCTTGAGGGCACACGCGCCCTGGTTGAGTCACTGCCCAAGGATTCTCTGGCCGCAATTCTGATCGAGCCCATGCTTGGGTCCGGCGGCTGCTATCCGGCCACCAACGACTTTCTGGCGGAACTTCGTAGGTTGTCGACCGAGAACAAGGCACTGTTGATCTTTGACGAAGTCATGACCTCCCGGCTTACATACCGCGGGCTTGGTCCTACCACGGGCGTGACGCCGGACCTCATGACGCTGGGTAAGTGGGTGGGTGGTGGCATGTCGTTCGGGCTTTTTGGTGGCAGAAAAGAAGTCATGAAGCTCTACGACCCCCGCGACGGGACCCTCGAGCACCCAGGAACCTTCAATAATAACATTTTCACCATGACCGCCGGTGTCGCTGGCTGTAATCTCTTAACCGAGGAGAAAGTCAGCGCTTTGAATTCCCTGGGCGACACGCTGAGGTCCCAAATCGATGATGTCCTCGTCTCGAGAGAAATCAACAGGACTGGAGATCATGTTCTCCCACTGCCGACTCGGCCAGTTGCAGATGACATGCATTCCGTCTCAAATCCACAGCACCCACCAAAAATGTTCATCCGAGGTGTTGGCTCCTTGAACGCCATTCACTTCGCTGGGCCGGACAGGGAGGTTCTGCAGGGTCTCTTCTATCACCATATGCTCGAGAACGGCTTCTGGACCGCCCAGCGTGGTTTCATCGCCTTGAACATTGAAATTACCCCTGAGCACGTCGGCGCGTTTGTAAAGGCCGTGGATGATTTTGTTGTCAGGTATGACTCCAGTCTGAGATGGTGAAAGTGGAGGACATTGGACTGCAATGAGCAGCCTTTGGTCGCATCGGTCATGGCCTCGTTGTTTGTGTTCAATGGTGAGGTCAAAGTCAAATAGACAACAACAGTCCAATATACTTCGATAGATGGTTGAGGACCATGAAGATAAGAACGCTTCCTCAATTCTCATTCTGGCGATGTTTCATCACTTGTTTGAACTGGTATCTGCATACGGAGCCATAGTCTGTTTGTAGGAATAAATGCAAATCTTCTGATTCGAATTCTTGTTTGCTCAATGTGGGCCTTGATAAGACGATCAAATTGTTGCATGGAATCTCTTTTGCTGCCACATCATTTCCACTCAACTAGGAACCAACCAGCACCCGAACACAGACAGAAAGATCCAAAAAAATCTCATGATCATTATCGTCAGTCATAGTCCTCGACTTGAATTCTCATCGTCGACGGTACTAACCGCCACAAACGAATACCTGGAAATGGCAAAACTGTCAGCGTCAAACCCTGACAGTGTGAGCGTCTTCGAAGCTATCGTTGCTTGTCTGAATTGCCTGTTGCTGCTAGGAGCCGCCTATGTACTTCTCGATCGTCATCTGCAGAATCGTCAACATCGAGCGGCTGCTCAAGTGGCCATCAACGCGACTGATGCCTCAGAGAGCTTGTGTGAGCTCGAAAGCTCCGGTGATCGAGGGAATTGAGAATCGACGGCGGTGATGCTGGCGAGTAGGAGCATTTAGATGCTCGCAGTTTTGAATGTGTATGCGCCGGTCCAGATGCGGAGATGCAGAGCCATAAGTTCTTGTTGGAGGTGAGAGCTATAATGTACAGAAGATGGTGGTGCGATCCCGGGATAGAACAGTCATGTCCTTCTCATGCTCGATCGTGGCTTGAACATCGGCAATGGCTGCGAGCTATATTTCAACCCCTCAGCTTATCGCAAATCTCCACCGGGTTGAGTTTTCAGAGGGACTCGTCTAGGATTGTGTAGCGAGGTGTGAGGCTGGTTGTTGACTTGACAGCTACCAATCATCGCTGGATGTTAGGCCTCTTTTGGTTTTCCGTGGTGCTGGGTAACATGCTCGAGAGGTTGCGTAAAGAACAGCAACATTGTTGGGCCTTTATGCCTGAACGGCGTATGGCCCATTCGACGTCGACCACATGGGGTGTAAGAGGCTCAAGTGGAAATCATCGGTCGGAGGCCATCAGTGGTGTTATTCACCGTCCTCCAAACCAGCCACTTTTCTTTGGGATGGCATTCTTTTCTTCTTGAGCTTTCTTCAGTTCGAGTTCGGCCTTTTCTTTCTCCTCTTGTCGCCTTGTTAATTCAATGATCTCAACTCTTCGTTTCTCAACTGCCACCGACTCTTCTTCTTTCTTCCTCTTCCTTTCCATCACACCTGCAAACCAATCTTCTCGAGCACCGTCTTCTTCGGCTTTGGTCGCGTGAGCTATCATACAGCTGTTCATGGCGAGTTGCTGGACACGGCAGGACCATGCGACTGTAAATGTACGGCCTTGTGCACATTTGGCAAATTCTGGAGACAAGACCTGTCAGCCATGGGGAAGATCAAAAGTAGGTGCAATCGACCCAAGGCGAGTGACATGGACTTTGAAAGCGCTGGGCGTGGAGCATATCCTACCTTTGATTTCATCTCCGCATCTTGACCGAACTCTCCTATAGTATATGTCACGTACTTGAGCCTCCTGACTCGCAGATAGGGGCAACGGGTTGCGGAGACTTTGTGGTGGTTGAGGAGCTGGAAGAGTGGTGGTTTGTGGTTCGGAGCCGATGGGGAGCGCCATCGCCATCGTCAATTGGCAATAGGGAAGGCGATGTTGAAAGTGTTCGATGAGATGGGAACTATAAGAACCCCATACAGCAAATGGCTGAGAGGACGAAATGTTACAAGGATAGTAGTGACAACATGAATTGAATTTGGATTTGGATTTGGAGCTTTGATTCGGAGAAGCAACAGGAACATCTGATGTCGAAAGCCCAGGTGGATCTAACGTGGATTTCCAGCTCTAAGGAATGACTAGTTTCTTAGCTTCAAGCTAACAGGCGGTCTCTTATATTAAAATCTCGGCAGAACTTCCCTGTACACAATTCGTGAGAGCACTACTCTACTAGTGGATTTTTGTGTCTCGGAGTTTGCGATCACCTGAGCCAACTTGAATAGCTTGACTCGAGGTTAAAATTGTTCACGTTGTATGTATAGTGCATTCAGGAGGGCTGGACTCGTGATCTTCTCTGGCAGCAGCATACTTCCACCATCACTCGATGGGCTGATCAGCGATCCGATGAGTCGAGAGATGGGTTGAGGAGTCCGGCTATCAGATGAACAAAGTCCCAGGAGGGAAGATCGTGATGCTAATACTCACCGAATCCCCTCTACTCTCAACCGTTGTGAAACTCCCATCTCGAGATGAACATAGCTGGATCACTCCAGATGCTCCTGACAAGCCATGGTCCCGAATGCTTTTTGCCGTACAAGAAAAGGTGTTCTATTGACACGCCCACAAAGTGTTGCAGTACGCAGTCGCACTGGCCGACCTCCTCCAACAAGATATCTAAGATTTCTGCGTCAACCAGCCATCCCTAGCATCACTGGTATGTTGTGTCACAAGCCGAGGTTACAGCTTTGATAGATGAACCCAATGACTCAGTCCACGGAACCCTGCGGGGACACGCGGGGTCCGAGAGGGGGGAGAGTGTAACGAGGCTGTCCTACATGAGCCATGTGCCGTGAGGGTATATAACTCACGGAGTCGCCAGAGCTTCTGGTAACATAGCACGAAAGCTCGTGTCTAGACAAGTCGGGCCCTCGGTTGAATCTCTACTCGCCTGGATCTTTTCACTCACCTTGGCCTTGTGAACTGAGCAAGCGGGCTACCTTGCCACAAGATATAAGGAAACGCTTCCCGACGAGATCAGCAAGCGAGACCACTACTCTCCATCTAAAGGTAGGTACCCTACCAACGGTGACCAAGCACTAAAAATGGCCCTTCGATCTGGTCCACTTGCTCCTGGCGTCGCATTCATTACGGGGGGTGCCAGAGGATTAGGCAATGCCATTGCAGTATCATTCGCCAAGGAAGGCGCTCGAGGCGTTGTCATAGTCGATATCAACGATGAAGCAACTTTGGAGCAAGGCAAAAAGAACGTCGAGCAGTATGGTGCCAAGGTGAGACATATCTCCCGGAGAGACTTCCTGGAATCACCGAGAGAGCCGTCACTGACACTGCTGCCGAGCCTGAAAGTGTCTCGCAATCCGGGCCGATGTGACTAACGAGGGAGATGTCGAGAGGGCAGTCGACGAAGCTGTCAAAGAATTTGGTCGCATTGACTATGCTGCGTGTGTCAGGTCTAAGCATCCCTCGACCCAACCATGACTGACCAGACTCAAATAGCAATTTCGCCGGGGTCATCGGTCCTCTTGGTCCAACATGGGACACCTCTTTAGCGGACTGGAAGCGGGTGATCGAGGTGAATACGGTTGGAGTGTGGTTATGCAACAAATACCAACTCAGGCAAATGATGAAGCAAGACTCTATCGAAGTGTGCGTTGGCCCTTTCACTCCAACCAATGCTGCAATAAAACCCAGCATCTCACATTGTGATCAGTGAAGAGCACCGTCCACCACAACGGGGATCAATTGTGAACTGTGCATCAGTGAACTCGATTCAAGCTGGAGCAGGGACGACAGGATACTCTGCTTCAAAACATGCGGTGATGGGCATCACCAAAGCTGTAAGCACAATCGATGAGATGCCCATTCCCTCCTCTCGCCCAGCTGTGGTACCTTCTGGGGATTCAAAACTAATCTCTCATCTCAGGCTGCTCTTGAGGCTCGCAGCCACGGCATACGAATCAATGCTGTCAGTCCAGGATTTCTGCTTACCAAGCTCCTCGATTCATTCCTGGAAGAGGGCGACAAACAGCGGGGCAACGAGACCTGGGCGAAATATGAGGCAAGGCAGGGACGAAAAGCATCCTTTGATGAAATTGGGGACGTGGTAGTCTTGCTTAGCCTCCCGCGGATGAGTCTTGTCGTCGGACACAACTTGGTAATTGACGGGTACGTTGCTCACCCCTTGTTGGTTGATGTTTTCCAGATCGATCGCTGCCATGCTTGAATGGCCAGTGCTAATAGTAAATTGGGTAGTGGTTTTACAATCAACGAGAACACAGAATGAGGCTCGTGCCCATCACACGTGCATTCGTGCGCATCGACTCGATCGGCTTCATCAGGTTCAATTATTCCCTGGGTGAAAGTGATCGATCTCCATGCCTGATAAGGACCAAGATTGGACCTCGCGCACCATCGAGAGACGTGGATTGTCTACACATGTTGGTTGTGGCGATTCCTTGAACGAAGTCGAACATCAGTTACTCATTGATGAAAATACTAATGATGACCCGCGATGTGCATTACGCACCGCTACCTTTTCTGCGCTTCAAGTTTCTGGAAATCCCAATTTTCGGCATCATTTTTGGTGTGGAAAGAAATCCAAAAGATCAAGAGATCAACCCGTGGAGTGGTGACTATCCCAACGTCCGCCCATTCCATAACATCCTGCACCTAGCGGCCTAGCAGCAACACATAACCCTTCCGACTCGATACCATCCCAACCCTCACCAGCCCAAGAAGTACCGACCAGATAGCTCGTGGCGAACGACAGGCCTTGCCGTACAAGACTGGCTCGAATATACAAAAGCGTGCCACCCACAGCATCTAGTCGGAACATGTCGTTGTCATCCGGGTGCTGCCTAACAAGATCCCCCATATTTTGATTGCCTTCTCTGGGTGAGCCGACCCAGCTAGACAAATCCTCGAGTAAACGTTCCTTTTCTTCCTCGTTGGGTGATGTTCGAGGGCCACTCCAGCTGTTGAGGTCATAGTCATTGTCATCGCTCTCGCCAAAATGATTGCGAACCGTGATGAGTCCCACGGAGGGGTCGGTTGTATGCCGGATCATCGCCGGGATGACGCCGTCAGTGAAGTTGTAGACATCTGCATCTATCCAGACAATGTGTTTCTCTCGTTCCAAAGCGTTGAGCATCAAATAATTGCGAAGCTTCGCAAGTTCACTGCGCCGCTTATGTTGTGCCAAGTTTTCATGTCGATCACCGCGGTTGGTCGCTTCCTCAGGATTAAGATAGCCAGGATGTAGTATTAATGAGACACGCGAAAAAGGCTCGTTCAAACTCAGGCTAGAGTACAAATCAATTTCCGATGGCGACGATGTAAGGATGGCGAGCGAAGTCTGGCTGAAATCGATGGAAGCATCGTGAAGCAAGGTCAACAGCGAAGTGAAAGACCGATGTGTGCCGTTGGGAAGCGTGCCCCAGGAATCTGAATCGCGCGTCACCAGAAGTAACAGGAGATCCGGAGTTTGCTGTTGGTTTTTTCGCCGACGAGTAAGATGCTGGATGTTCAAATCGGTGTCGTTATAACTGGAATGTTCCCATATGCTCCGAGACAGGAAAGAAGTTGGTCTCGAGTATAGACTGGAGGTGAGGTAGAAAAAGCACAGGGTAACGACTACGCAGGAAACCTTGAACCAAATGTGTCTGTGCATACTACCAAAAGCAACAATGGCCCGTGCAGAGTACTTTTGGGGGATCAAGGGACGGGTCATTCTGGCGGATGGTCCCTCTGATAAAGTCGTTTTCTATTGCCCTAAGAAACTTCTTCGTGAATAGAAGAGTTTGTGGACAGCTAGGCCACCAGTATATGTGAACACGAAGGAGAGATTCGATGCTCGAGAAAACCCAAGAAAGGATTCTGTTTGAGGGCTCAGTGTGGTAAGGCCTTGTTTATGGTTCCAAGAACACTGGACGCCAAACCCCCCAGCACCCCCACAAGCCTCGTAAAGCCTCGAGGAGGCCAGGCGTGATTTGGCATGCAGAAGCATGCCCTTGAAAGCCGAGTTAGCCTCCATCCGTGGACGGTTCGTGTCAGGCTCCATGAATCCCGGTAACAGGGTCCGACAGGGCACTACTCGGCAACTAACTTGAGTTAAAAAAACTTCGGTACCTGGGAGGAGGTAATTAGCACCTAGGGTTGGCAATATTCTCACCCAGAGGTAACCCACTGTCTACTACCAAATTGGCATTGTCCTTACCATCATTAGTCTTCGACTTGCCTCCTGTTGGAGATTTGCGACCTTACCCGATGGCCTCCACCACTGTTGTGTGAGACTGTGCATCGTCCAAGGGGCGCTTGTATTCGTTCTGGCTGAGATTAAAAACTCGGTGGTGGCGGGCCCGTGGCGTGGCCCATGCCGGTATAGGTGTTACCCAACAACTTAGGTCCTTATTAAGGTGTACGCAAGCTTGGACGAGCCAAACCTTTCGCCCCGTGTTTTAAAGCCCTTAACTAACTCTAATTTCATGATTACGGGGTAAATTTGTCTCCTTTGCTCAGACATTGAGGCGTCAGAAAATCCCCTTAATCATAAAACCCATCCGAGGAAACAATTTCATGAGCAGGCCTATTCTCGCGAGGATTGAAGGTTTGTCTAGATTTGCATCCGGACATTGTCTCGAAAGAGCGTGTCCATATATATATATATATATTTGTTTCCTCTTCCGTGCAATAGTCGCGATACATTAGGTGTGATCGCGCATCTGTTCCAGTCTCTTGTTAAGAGGGCGAAAATTGGGAGCCGTCCCAAAGCTGAAGTTCTTAATCAGCATTCAGCTTGCTAACTAGTGAGTCTCCCTGCGCTGAGCCTATCGTACGAGGTATTCGTCCGTAGGTCTGGCTAGGCAGTTAGGGACTAAGGGTTCTACGAGCCCTTCGATACTTAAGTGGCCTCCAACAAAGCCGCTCGACAGTCTGCTCAGCCATTGCGGTAGGTAGCAGATCTGCAGAATTAAGCTACACAAGCCGTGGTTGCATCTCAGCTCTTCGAGGTCTGCACAGGCGACCACTTCCAAGCGACAGAAGCTAACGGGGGCATTGGTCTGGGGAAGGCGGGGTAGGTGTGGATCAGAGGTATCCCCTCCCTGAACGAAGACAGGGATAAGAGAAGCAATTTCAACATTTCTCGTCTACCAGCGCTCTTGCAAGATGCTTCACTGAAATTGCACTTTGTATCGTAGCAATATCACTGCCCGTGTCTACTCTAGTCGTCATCTCACTGCGAAATGAGCATCAAAACTTGTCCGCGTTGCAATCTGAAGCTCGAGTGATGATAGACTCCTGCAGGTCGAACCTGGCAGGTGCCTTCATGTCCATCCAGGAAGGCCAACAAGTGAAACAGGGTTGTGGACGAGATCGACACTCTGAGTTCAAAAAGGAGCCAAGCTGGAGAATGCCGAGGAGCTTGATTTGCGAAGTTCGAAGGCCTTTTCGAATTGATACTCAGCCGTGCCCCTGGTCTATGCATACCACTCACTGTTCTGTACACCTACTCAATATCTTGGTAGATTATATAAGCAAGGTAATAAAGGGGTCATCAAGGACCTTAAACATCTCCAATTAAATAAATTTCACAGAAAATGGTATGCAACTTCTTGCGGTGCTTAATTAGTCTCAGTAATATACTAAGTATATATATTATAACTTTGGTAGGCAAATGTTAACTTCTACATGGTAGGAAATAGTAGCATATAAAATAGTAGAATACACAGGACAAGAAATGCAAAGAATACCGGGTCACGTAAGGTGCACTGATTACAGTGTTGCTGTGTGTACACAGATCAGCTGCTCCCGATACTTAGCGTCTGCTACACAGTCAACAAGCTCAACTGAACCTTGTCAAGCGATGTTGTGCCCATTCTTGCTGGCCGTGTCAATTCTTCGAACTAGTAGGTATCGCATTCCCAGAACTCATGCCTATTTCATACCGTCCTTCTTCTGCATTGAAGATATTTCTACCAATGTCATTCAAGGGACGATCTGGGTCGATGACCTAAAGACTGTGATGACTCAATTTGATATAACTTGGTACAATGGTTCATGTCTTGCGATCTTCTTATAACTGTACCGACTGTGGACTCTTTGCTCCAGAGCTGACTCCTCAGCCTCGGGAATGAGGACAGGGTGGCATGTGATGATGACATTTCTTCTTTACAAAGTATCTCGTCTCGGTCGAATTTCTGTGCTCGCTGATCTTCTTCTACTTGTCCAAGTTCCGTTACCCTTGTGCTCTTTCATTAACGCCCTCGTAACTCACTGCCCAAGTCTTGGTCTGAGATATCTCCATTTGATCAGATGTTCTGGGCTGGTGTTTTGCAGCTTGAGATGACACCGCAGCATGGTGCGAGACTGGCTCGGGCCTGAACAGGCTTTTGTCTCCATGTGGATTGATGTTCCCATTGGGCCGTTCTTCCTGTTGCACACTTCTGTTCTTGACTGCCAGTGATTTTGAGGTGGTTGCACTGAGCATTCGGTAAGAGTTTCCGTTGGAGTTGGAGTCGCTTTTGGCGTTACCATGAAACGACTTTTGATTCGATGTTCCGATAAAGTAGCCGGAGTGGAAAGGCTTCAGGAAAGGTTTCGCACATGTTATCGAGGACAAGATGAAGGAGAAACTCATGACTATCTCGGTGAATATGCCTGCGATCAGCCGAGGGCGAGGGACGTCCGTGGTTTCCGAAGGCCTCAGGTGAACAAGACGAAGAGCCACGAGCGGAACAAGCCTGTGACAGTAATGTTAGCCATCGTGACAAGAAACGGGTTCGATCAGCCAACGTACACGAAGCGCGTAGCCAGTATAGCTAAGATCGAGAACCGTTTGCGAACTGGCATCTGCAGCCCCCAAATGAGCCAAGCAGAGGTAGTCCATAAGAAAAGCTCCACGGCGAGGCCCATGATTTCAATCAACAGCCATCTGGCGTACTAAAAGAGTCAACAAAGAACGATGGATAGGAACTCTGGCCGTACCAGAGCTGGAGAACCGTCTAGAGTGCTCCATGGGTGCCTATAATCTGGTCGCAAGGCGATGGCAAAGATACTCCCAACGATCGAAACCGCATAGATCCAGGTCAATATGGTGACAAGGGTTTTCCTGTGTGAATCTCTTGCAAGGCGATGGAGGAAGGCATTGACAGATAGCCTGGTCAGGCCTAAGCACCCGATATAAAACATCTGGCTAACGAAGTAAGCCTGCAACAAGTACAATGTCAGGACATGAGACTTCATTAGGTAGGGTACTGGTACCTGCTCTGCCATAGCGCGGTCATTCTCGGTGATGGTGTTCCACCTGTTACTATAGCCATGGCTGACAGCCACGCATGTTGTAGCGACATTGCATATTGCTGCTACCTTGATTTTCATCAGCGTGCATCCTCAAGTTATTTGCTGGAATCTTACGAAAGCAGCTGATGTCAGTGTGTCTTGCGTATCCCAGCCATCACTCTTGCGAAGTTTGACCCAAACCCGGAGAATATAGCTTAGAAATGACCACGACAGCAACAGTACTGCTGTACTTATTAAACCTCGATCAGCGAAATTTCCCATGGTCGGGTCAAATGGGTGTAAAAATTGCCAGCAAGGATCTCCTGTAAGGGAGCACAGCACGGTGCTTCGGCATGGGTTGATCTCATCATATGAGTAACGGAAAGTGCTCGGAGTGAGGAGTCTTCCAAGCCTTATCGGTAGATCTTTGCAAGAGACCTGACACTTCGTAAGTCTCCCGAGATAATATCCCGGTGGCGCTTGAGGCTCGCCATATCTCTTCGGCTCGTTACGGTGTCACCAACTGCGCCCAGGACTTGACACCGAAGACTCACGAACTCATCTCGCACTGTTTCTTTCGAGTTGCGCTGATATCTGGTAAATGCTAAGATGGCCTCTGAGCCATTTTACGCTTGATAATTTGATATCCCCGGACGTGAGATATGGATCCAGGATGCTCTAGGATCGTTCATGATTCGATAACATTGGTAAGGGGCAGATCAAGTATCAGACAAGTTTTGAAATTACTAACCTTAGTGTCGCCAAGATAAAGTTAGGCGAGTTTAGGCGAATGCTCTTCGGACTACTTACGTTAGGTAAGTTGTGTCGCCCATAGTTGTTCCTGTAGATCAGATTGTCGCCCTCGATAGTTGACGTGAACTAGTTAGCTCCCGAATCGTATCTTAATTTCAATCATTTGTACGCGCATGGCAACTATGTCTCTTATATACCCTCATGTACCGAGCATAGTTGAGATTCTATGGATGCCTCGCTCTGATGACCTCCAGTATGAACATCAGCGCGGCGCGGAGACCACAAATGCACACAAGCGTTCATGGGTGTTGTTGGTATCGAGGATGAGTAACGTTTTCCTTTTCTTCTTACAAACACTGATTCCTGAATCGGGTAACACTCCACTGGCCAGCACAACTGAATAGGCTAAACCAATTTTTTGGGCCCAAAACCTCAATGCATTTCAAAGGTAGTCTAAGTGATCCCTCATCCCCGCCCTAGCCGACTCTTGATTGTGAACTCTCAAAAGCCAAGTCTAGAATCCAGTCGAATCTTTCCCGCCTAGCCGGCCACTAAGTATGAAGCCGATAAGCATACCTCGCAAACCAACCTGATTGGAAGATCAATCGAGCCTCGTTTCGCGTCATGCACCAAACCAGATATCTTGTACCTGGAACGCCATCAACCTCTCCATGTGGCCTGATAGCAATGTTTCTTATGATCACACCCACGGCTGTGAAAACCGCGGGTTTTGCTATCGAAGGGTACACGAACTAGCTCGACTACAAGGGTGGACTCTTCCCTTACTTCCAACATGACAACCACTCAGACAGCTACTCGTACATGAAGCAGAGCCACCGAGGATCCATGATGCATCCACATAAGATTCCAGGGGCCCGCTGTACGTTGGCCCGCCGACATTCGGCTCCAAATGGAGACGACCGGTTGATTCGACTCATCAGCATTATCACCCCCATCTACGTTGGCACCTTCGATTTCCAGTTACGATCCAGGGACACACCAGGAATGGTGTCTCCCTTCCTGCTTCGCTTTCCATATTCTGCGCCGAAGCTTACACACTCCCTTATAGCACTTGGATTGCATCGCACATTCTCACAAAGGTTTGCCGGAATCGAGGTTCTATTGATTGGCTAAGCATTGGTCGACCTGTTTACTTTTCTTTCTTGACTGCAAATCGCGAAGATGGCTCCCAATATTGGTGCGGACATAGAGATGAATGGACTCAGAACCTCCGCAGATGCCCCGAGAGCAACGACAGAAACAAAAGAGTCATCATCTGTCATCAATGTAATTGCCAGCAATGAGTACTTGGAGGACCAGGACGGTCAGTTATTGTCGACCAACTCAACACGCGGAGATGCTGTCGATATGCAGCGCATGGGAAAAGAGCAGGAGTTTGTCCGCAGATTTCGCCTTCTTTCGATGGCATCATTTGTTGGCTTGACTACCGTGTCGTGGGAATATGGAGTCTTCACTTTAGGCCCGGGATTGTTGAATGGAGGACGAGCTGGTCTGATCTACAGCACGGCCTGGAGTTTCGTTGGTTTCGGACCGGTCTATCTCAGTATGGCTGAGATGGCAAGTATTGCACCCATTGCTGGAGCTCAGTACCACTGGGTGAGCGAATTCGCGCCGGAGAGCTGTCAAAGAATTCTCAGTTACCTGGTTGGGTACGTGCTGCTGATGGTATATTGGATGTTCTTTGACTAATCCCATGGGACAGGTGGTTATCATCGATTGCCTGGCAGGCAGGTTGTGCCGCTGGAATGTTCTTAGTCGGTGGCTCAATTCAGTGCAGCATTATCGTCGCTAGGGAGACTTATAACCCGACTGCATGGCAAAGTACGCTCCTTGCCCTTGCTGCTGTTGTCATGGCTTATCTGGGCAATGTCTACGGCGCTCGAATCTTGCCATATTGGCAGAATGCGATCTTTGCAGTTCATATCCTGGCGTTCCTAGCATATATCATCCCCATCTGGGCGAACGCACCTCGCGCTACAAATGAACAAGTATGGGGCACCTTTGATGCCTCTGGCGGTTGGAGCACCATGGGTCTTACCATTATGGTTGGCCAGTTAACAGGCATTGCAAATCAATTGGGGGTTGACGCGGTATGTCCATACAGACCGAGAGCAAAGTTGTGTGAATGTTGCTGACATTATGATAGGCGGCGCACATGGCAGAGGAAGTGAAAGACGCTGCCAAGTCGGTCCCAAAAGCCATGATTTCCACTTACCTTGTTAACTTTGCCTGTTTATGGCCTCTGGTGATAACGGTCTGCTATCATATTCCTTCTGTCGATGACGCCCTTGAAGATGCAACAGGATACCCTGCGATGTATGTCCTTCGACAATCAATGTCGCCGGCTTGGGTTATCGTCATCCTTGGAAGTATCGCATTCATCAATGCTGCCGGCAACATCACTTACATGGCGGCAGTGACTCGCGACCTGTTTGCCTTTGCTCGAGACAACGGTCTCCCATTTTCGGCCTGGATACGTAAGGTCGATGGGAAACGCGATCTTCCTGTCAATGCCGCTATTCTCACCAGTGCTGTCTCGTCCTTAATGGCATTGATCTACCTCGGAAGTGAAGTAGCTTTCTATGCTATCATCTCACTCTATACTACGGCTATACTTTCCTGCTATTGCCTTTCCATTGGCAGCCTGCTCTGGCGAAGGATATATCACCCAGATACGATACCCCCCGCAAAATTCTCGCTTGGTCGGTGGGGTCTCATAACCAACAGTTTCGCCGTTGTTTGGTGTGTGTACTGCCTCTTTTGGTCAGTCTGGCCACAGGAATATCCGGTGACGGTGACGAACTTCAACTGGGCATCCGTGATCATCGGTGTGACCATGCTGGTAGCGATGATTCACTTCTTTTTGAAGGCAAAGAATGTCTATATTGGACCTGTGGCTGCCGTACAGGGCAGGAAGGTGCGAAAGGCGTGAGGGGCAGGCTTCAGCTCAAGATATGTAGACTGTGTGCAACGAGATGTGCAGTGGGGATAGAAGTGAGGGTGTATAGACTGTGACGAGATTGAGACATCGATCTCAGATTGATAGGTACCATTGAAAAACGGAACCGCATGGCCGACAGGGTAAACCCAGAACTGTCCCAAAAAGGCCCGAAAACAAAAACAGATCAGGATCCAATGCTTACGATCAAAAGGCGACCCAATATTTCAGCCGCAAGCTTCTTTCAGCCGAGGGTCAAGCCTTCTACGAAATAGCAGTAATGGTAGACTCAGAGTGTTCCTTGAAGTGGTTGTCCTCCTTCTTACAGTACCAGTAGAAGTCGGCACGGCGCCTCCCGAATTTGCACAGTTCCCACAAGGCTAATAGTCAAGGAGATCTACGCCAGATTTCGGTGACTGGGCCCTTGTGCGCATTGATGAAGGAACACAGTTAGGATGGAGAAGCCAATATGGTTGAACGAGGTCGTGGAGGGCAATCCTAGGAAAACGCATATCTATGGATTAGGCAGCTATGCCGAACTACCTCTTGCGGGACCACAACTGCCTTCTTTTGCTCTTTCATGCAGTACCTTGAGTACCCTTTGTCACTGCTCTACAGGCTCAATTCACTTGCCTGGGTCGTGTCGAGCCTTCTCTTTGCGTCATGCTATTCGTAACCTCCGCTGAAAAGGGTCAGATATGCTTACAAGCCGCGGTCCTGCCCTTTACCCCTCGCATGAGCCTTGCCTCGCCTTTACTATTAATCCTAATGACTCCGCGAGAATCGCTATCTAGAGCTCTTCCTTCCGGGCTCTGCGTACGAAGGCTTGATCTCACAGCGTCTATGTCGAACCCGTCTAAGGAACTCCTTTCCTTAGACCACCGTTGCTTGCGAAATGATCCTGGAGTACCCGATCGTTTTTAAGAGTGGGCGAAAAGCTGCACCGTGTATGAAATAACGAGAAGGAAATACTGTGATACCTCATGATTCAGGTCGAGAAGTCCTACCGCCAAAAATTGCTATGATGGGCAATTTGGCATTCTCAGTCGATGGCTCGTTTAAAGCGATGCCGGCACGGTCTCATACCATGCAGGCGACCCTCCAAGCAATCAGGTCTCACGCTCGCATTGCCATACCTTACACACGGAGGCCAGACAACACTGGACTCGTGAACCCTGCACGCAATATCTCAGTGCCAGGATATATTCCTGATGCTCGACCTGCAGTCCTTCCGTCGCGCGGATACCTTCCTCCAGACAAGATCCGTTGAGCAGGCAGAGCCCTGACCATGCGGCATTCGGGAACACAAATTCGAGTTACTTCACCGGCCAAGAGTCTGGGAGCGTATATGAGCAAGCAATGTTCCCTCTAGATGGATCTCACTTATGCTCTGGGCCCAGCGCAGCAGTTTTGCTCTCTCCACTTGGACCCTTGACAGACCCGACAGAATTAAACGGGACTGACTCGATGATTTTACCGGGCTTTTCTTCCATGCGCTCATGCGTGGTTTTCCAATCTCTCGCTATTGCTCACATGGTACTAGGAATAGGTAACGGGAGTTCTTGCCCTGGACTTGATTTCAAGACAGATCTCTTGGTTTTGATTGTCATCGGCCACTGCGAGCAGTTCAAAAGTATCTGGTCGATCTTGAGAAGGCTGAAATCCAAGGAGTCGCAGTCCATCCACCCAATAAGACAGCCGATAGACTGTCGCACAAGCCTTTCTGTCTGGCATCTTCCTCACTGGCTGGTATTGATAGCCAAAAAGGGGGTCGCCTCGACACCCGAAGGACCTGACTCCTTGTTTGATTTGAAGGCTTGGGTCTCTTAGCAGTTGCCGATCTTCAACAAGAATGTGGGATTACTGGGCAAATTTGTACAATCCGATGGAACATAGCAGCTTCAGAATAAGCTTGCTGGAACAATGTCATGTGTTTGAGCTGTGTCAATGCGAATGAAGCTCTGCCACCATCGCCTACCAGGCAAAGCTAGGCGGAACAAGGCTTGATAAAAGTTTCACCTCCCGCAGCTCAATGTCCATGTTACCAGGTCTTGTCACCTTAATTACTCGGATGATTTGGATAATGATTGGTTGATGGTTTCGTTGAGGAGCGCGAAAAAACGCTAGCAAGGTAGGATCGGACGATCAGCCGGATGGAGATACGGTAGGCCGTGCATAACAGAGGTACGAGGTAGTTGAGCCAGATTCCCATATGAAGTTCCCCTCCTTGGCACGCCTGACTGTTGTTTCCGTGAACCCTCAAGAACGAGTGTCTGACCACAAAACCGCTATCTCACCGTCGCAGACCCAAGCCACGAGAGACATATTCTAACTACCGTTGATCTTCGGCTCAACTGATTTTGCCCAGCATTATCATCAATGGATCAAGCGAAGAATCCAGACGAGAAGCCGAGTCAGCCGCCTGTCCATTCAGTTCTCCATGAGACACGGACTGCGGAAAACAGCGCTACTCACCTGTTACCTAAGCTGCAGGCCTTGAAAGAACTCAACCCCAAGCTATCGCTCCTGGATGTCGGCTCTGGGTCAGGCACCATTTCTGTGAGTTTCGCCAAACTCATCCCCGAAGGCCATGTCACCGGTGTTGATCTTAACCCCAATATCTTACCACGGGCACGAGCTGTTGCCGAGATCGCTGGCGTTACGAACATCGAATTCCAGCAAGGCAGCATCTACAAACTTCCTTTTGCCGACGAGACATTTGACGTCACCTTTTGTCATCAGGTGCTAATCCACATTGCTAACCCGTGGGATGCACTCTGTGAAATGCTCCGAGTGACAAAGCGTGGTGGCGTTGTGGCTGCCCGCGAGGGTGATTATGAGACTGAGTGTGTCTGGCCTGAAGTTTCTGAATTGCAACGATTTCACAAACTTATGGCTAGCCTCATGAGTGCCAATGGTGGTGCTCCCACTGCAGGGCGACAGTTACTGTCATGGGCGCTCAAGGCTGGTGCTGATCGCAGCCAGATAACACTCAGTTTTAGTTCATGGTCTTATACCACACCGAGTGAGAGGAGTGTGTGTGGTAAGTTCTACAATTCCTTTCGTCTCCTCCTCATCGTTCCTGCCTGTGACGCTGACAACGACTAGCCCAGGGATTATGTTCTCCTCTCAGGGGAGGTTCTTTGCGGGAGAAAGCATTGAAGCATGGCCTGGGAACTGAGGACGACTTTGAAAAGATGGCCAATGCTTGGGAGAAATGGGCGAAGACAGAAGATGCGAGCTTGGCTATGCTGAACGGAGAAATACTGATTCAGAAATAGGGTTGAGATTTAAGATTTCGTTTTGTCAATCTAGAGCATTCTCAATCAAGTTATGATTGAACCATTGAAGGCAAGAAGTGTCTTAGCATTGCCGGTGATTGCGTTTCCAAGGCAAGAAGTATTGTTTCTGCCTAGTATATGAATTTCATCATGTAAGCATCGAAACCCTCTTCCTTAGGTATGGCGAAGGCCCTAATCTTAAATTGATGAGTATTTTTAGACTTAGCTCCTGCCTGAGATCGTCTTGAAGCTACGCTAAGCTTTTTTGCGACGACTTTCCTCCTGACCAAGTACGGAGCAAAGCGAGGTAGCCTAGTTTTGGATAGTCGAGATAAAGGCGACCAATGGTTCAATGGACGGTGTTCTGCTACCAAGGTGGTTTCCACTACGTGGCTTGAGGCAACTGGTAGACTCTGGGCTTTACTGACGGGTTTGTAGGCTGTAGAACAGACCAAAAGCTCCTCTACCCTGACTTCGGAGGACAACCAATAGTCGATGAGCATGTTTTGTCGTACTAAGGGGACAGACCCCTCGAAGGGACCTCAAAAGATATGATACTGAACTTGCATACTTGGTTAACCCCAGAAACTTCTAACTTTCTCACCGGAACGAAGTTGGACCAATACCATGGCCATCAAGGCGGATCAACGGACGCCTGACCTCGATTCGGGTTCTCCACTGTCCTTACGAGCAGACCTAATTCACATTAGATGCTTCCCCAGAAGGCTTCTTAAACACAAGACTGGAATAATGGCCATGGTCGTCCCTCAAATGACGAACCAATGCTGTGGTCCGTGGGAACAACTTCGTCTAAGTACCCGGACGAGTTCTGCTTCGTGGTGACTTGTTCCTTTCGAGCCTCAGGCATGAGGACTCACGAACTGCCAGGCTTGAGAGCATTGCTCAGCTATGTTTTGCTAGTTTCAGGTTTTCTCCTCTATGGCCAAGCTACGTTCTACCGAGATCCAGGCAGCCTCTTCTTCGACGAATCTCGAGCCTTCGAAAGACAATATAGTTCTTACAGAGAACGTGAAGTCAGGGACTATATCAACGATCTGGATTCCACCATCTCTACCAAGTCTCTTCGAGCAGGGTTGAATCCAAGTGTCTGCGCAAGCTTCTTGTCTGTGAAAAGGAATGGTGAACAACCCCTTCCGGTAACACTTTCCAGTAGCCAACTTTCAGCATGACGACTGAGTCGACTGACTGAGCCAGCTGGCTGTTGCGAGCGGCATACAGGGATTATCTTCCTGCGAAAGAAAAGACTTATATTTCAACGTACTCCTAGCTCATTCAAACACGAGCACACACCCTTCCTCTCGAATACCTTGGCTATCTGACATTGTCGACAACATCCATGGGTATGATGTCCCGCTTGAACAGAGTATTGAGCTCGAAAGACTTGAAGAGCAGAAGGACTTTTCCACGAAGGCGGTTTATGACTACATATATGCAATGGAGAAGTGCTACGACACGAATGCTTCATGGATTGTTATCTTTGAAGATGATATTATCCTTGCCGATGGCTGGTTTGTGCAGACCTTGCAGGCTGTTACAGATATTCAACATCACATTGCTTCCTCAAACAGTGATTGGTTATTTTTAAGGCTTTTCAACCAGGAACGCTCTATTGGATGGGCTTCTTCAATTCCAGGAGAGAATCATGAGGCGTTGATCTCGTTGCTGGTCGCTGTCCCGTTATTGTCTGCTCTACTTTTTGTACGCAGCAGGTATCTACAATTTCGACGACAACTTGACAACGCAACTTTAGCGATTATTTGCTTCCTGGCCATCCCGACATTCGTCGTACTCTTCTTCCAAGCTGGCAAGGCTTCAATGCTCCCTCCTTTACCTGGCGTGCACAAAGAGCCTTTTGGCTGCTGCTCGCAAGCACTAGTCTTCCCCAGAGATCAATTCCCTCGGGTTCGTGATTACTTCTCGCGTAAACACCGAGGTCAGATAGACCTGATGCTAGATGAGCTTGCCGTCAGAGATTCACTCGATCGCTATGCTTTGTATCCAGTTCAAGTGCAGCATATTGGTATGCTCTAGATGAGTCTTTTTGCTTTGTCTCAGCTAATCTTTGACAGGTCAAAACTCGGTTCGTGGTACGGAAGCACGTGAAGCTCAGGCAATATGGAGTATGGCTTTTGAGCAGCAGTCTCCGCAAGTGTTGAGCTCAGCGCACAAAAAGATGAGAATTGCGCTTTATGGCGACAAATGCTATACTAACTAGACATCGCGATATCTCATTGAGAATGATTCAAAATGGTACACGAAAGCAACGCTCATTCTTGATTCATTTTAGTCCAACCTTCGAGTATAGCGATGAAGACTCTTCATACATTATTTTGGAAAACCTTGCCGTTAAGCTCATCTGTATCTTGGGTGTTTTCCGGTAGCCATCTTTCACTGTGTGGAGATCATATCTCGATTAAGCAACCTCGATGATGGCTGCAGGTAGAACCACTGAAGCAGAACAATTGAGGTATTTATTCCAAAACAGCTGATATCCGAATACTCACGCGAGCATTTTAGGTTTTGAATGTAGAAATTTGATGCACAAATTCATCAAGGCGCCGCACTCTGCCACTTGAAGACCGTCTCTGACTAGTTAGATGAATGCACTTCTCGGTTGAGCATGCGGATCATTTAGGCCTGGCTAGGCGGAGATTTCCAAGCCGCGTATCCTCACTTTTCCGAGGCTGTACGGGCGCAGGAACCCCGTGGGGTAATGTCGACCATTGAATCTGAGATTTACTGATTACAATTCAAATCTGGAAGTCACCTACCGAGCACAGTTAACACCCAGAAGCACTGAGATCGAACTATCGCGTAAAGCCTAGGTGTAAAACCCAGTGGGGGCCCGCAACACCCGGTACTGTCACAGGGCGCAACGCCACCAAAACAATTACTCAATCATTAGAGGACTTTATTTTGTTATCAACGACGCCCAGGAAGAATATTTGTACCGTGATTGTTTCTAGTTTTCCTGTTGTACAAGCTGTAACTTACACATTTTGATACCATTCTGGCTGCGCAGGAGATACCATACAAAAGTTAAGAGAAATGTCCACCACTCAAACTGAAAGCCGCGTCCGCTTGAAAAGGCTTGTCAATAAGCCTAGTACGCCTTTGGCTCTCGCTGACCAAGAACCACTGGCTACGCCGCTGCAAGATCGCAATATTTCCACCAATACTAACATCATTGAGGATGTCACAGAGGCTTCCAGGCTTGCAGATGAAACTGCTCCCGATGGTGGCTATGGCTGGATCATAGTTGCAGCGTGCAGCTTGCTCACTTTTTTCTTTGTGGGAACGACATATAGCTGGGGCGTGATTCAGGATGCACTTGTGGAAGCAAACCTTTCCAAAGCCTCAACACTGGCCTTCGTCGGCTCACTTGCTGTTGCCTGCAATTCTGCCTTTGCTGTCATCAACGGGCGTTTAGTAAGAGCCATTGGAGCCAGGAAAGTAGCTTTTCTTGGGGTTTTCCTCATGGGGGTTGGCCAAATAACGAGTGGTTGGGCACTGAAAAGTGTTGCAGGCTTGTTCATAACTGCTGGGTGCCTCATGGGATATGGAGTTAGGTGAGCTTCTTCAGATAAAACGATTCTGAGAAAATTGCTGAGATCTCTCTCCGCCCTTGTAGTTGCAGCTTCATGGTATGTCATGTGCAAAAATGCAAAAAACCTGGACTGAACATTATTTCCTTCAACAGGTTGTTTCAATAGTGCCAGCACAATACTTCCACAATCGTAGAGGTCTTGCCAACGGAATCGTATTCGCTGGTGGCGGCCTCGGTGGCGCTGTGATCAGCCTGTCCATGTCAGCAATCGTTGAGAGACTCGGAACAGCGTGGGCTTTCAGACTTGTGGGCTTACTCACGTGGGTGATCGGATTCCCTGCCGTATGGTTCATCAAGGAGAGGACGCCTGTGAAGACTTCTATCTTTGTTGAATGGTAGGTATCTCTTGATAACTTCACGCCAGCTGCTAATCATCCAAAACAGGAAGCTGTTTCGGGACTACAAGTTTACAGTGCTGTTCCTTGCTGGAACAGTTGGTAGGTCGATGGAGAAAGCCGGCAATTGCTCGTTCCACTGACATCCCAACAGCAACCTTTCCACTCTTTGTGCCTCCATTCTTTCTACCACTCTATGCGCGCTCCATTGGCCAATCCTCACAAGTTGGTGCGACTCTAGTTGCAGCTTTCAACTTTTCATCAGCTTTGGGCCGTGTTCTCTCTGGTTTGTTGAGTGATAAATTCGGTTCGGTTAACAGTCTCCTGCTATCACTGCTTCTCAGTGCAGTAAGCATGTTGGTTCTGTGGCCAATTTCGACTTCCCTGGCACCACTGATTGTTTTCATAATCATCAATGGGATGGGTAATGGTGGTTTCTTCGCCATTATGCCTACAGTGGTTGGAAATGTCTTTGGCAGCGCTCGAGTTTCAGTTGCAATGGGAATGATGGTGACAGGTTGGACAGGTGGATATCTTCTTGGGGCACCTATCGCTGGATATCTCTTAGAAGCATATGGAGGTGAGAAAGGAGGGTTCGAGGCCTACAGACCAGCCATATTCTACGCCGGCTCCATGGCACTGGGAGCTGCTGGTCTCGTTGCATGGGTACGTTTCAGCATGTCGAAGAAGCTCAGTGGAAAGTTTTGAGAGTTGAAAAGGGGGGAGGGGATATAACATGCGCAGCTCCATCCTTGTCGGTCATCGAACCAATTTCATATGGGACCACTGGCCTACTTTTCGCCTTCGCACCAATGTTTATCCGCCTGTTCGAGTTGTGAGGAAGGCAATGAGCTGTTCATATCCACTGGCAAGGGCAGCCGTCATGACTCTACCTACCTAGGTACCTAAGTACGTAGGTGCTGAGAAGAAAGTGCTCTCCCCAAGCCAACCTTGGAACGAATGAGTAAATCTTGGCACCAACAGCGCGTTACCACCAAGTGCATACGCCTTCGACATGACGCTTACACTTTCTCATAATAACAACTCAAGATTATACCTCAATAGGATGGGACCACAGCAATCCAGAGATGTCCTCGTCGCCGCGGCCCAAAGACGGCAATTAAACCCGCGGTACCTGATCCTCCAGCTCGAGGTAGTCGCCCTCGATAGAGATCTCCGGCCTCTCAATGCCCTGTTCCTACCGTAGTAGAGCGAACATACATCCCATGGGATTCAAGAGTTCTACAACCTAAATTGACAGCACCCATACAGCCTACACTCTTCAGCCAAACGCTAACCAGCTAGACCCTACACAAACTCCTGATGAGTCTACAATGGTAGACGAGCCGCAAGATCCTCCCTAACATAGCATCCTTCCTGATGACATAGACGGAAGCCTCACCTGGCTCTACAGGCAAAGTTTTGGTCTAAACCCATCTAAGAGGTATTTTGGCGGTTCTCATTCCTAAGTGCTTAACTCTCTCGTTAGGATATACCGTCAGCCGAACTATGATTCGTGGCATCCGCTTGGAAATACGCAACCCACTAACTCTCTACACAACATAGTTGACTATTTTAGAGCTCGACGAGAGCGGGCAAGCCCAGCCTCAAGATGATCGCTCGTTAGGAAGTGCTTCTTCGCTGTAAGGCAATGTAAAGAGGCCCTTTGTCCCAGATCACAAATGCAAGTTGCTTGTTGAGCCAATCCTCCTGGTTAGGGAGCATGTCAAAGTCAAAAACGTGGAGAAATCTTGCGGCAAGAACTCGCATCTCCGCGTAGGCAAGCCTCTTTCCAATGCAATCTCTCGCTCCAAAGCTGAAAGGTTTGAATGCTGCCTTGTTGTCGCTTTGGAACCTATCTTCAAATAGTGGATGACTTGGTGGAAACCATCGTTGTGGCAGGAACGAGCCAGGTTCCTGAAAATGCTCCGGATTCCGAAAGGTGGCATACTGGGACACTGTTATAATCGTCTAAAGACCATTAGTCTTCAAAATTGTCCCCAGGATATGCTCTGAATTCAAGTCAGGTGAACAGGTTACTGACCCCTTTCGGAATGTAATTCCCGTCGACTACTCCGTCTGCTAGGGATATTCGCGGCGGTGACTCACACACCGGGGGATAAATGCGCAGCGTTTCCTCGATGCACGCATTGAGATGCTGCAGCGAAGTGGTACTCTGAACGGTGATATCCTCCTTGGAATGAAACTTGGACCGGAGCTCGTCAGCCACCGCCTTGTAAATTGATGGATTGCTAGCCAGATGGAAGAAAAGGCTTGACAATGCGGTTGCGATTGTTTCGCTGCCTGCCCCAACCAGGAACGGTGAGTTGGCCACAATCTCGGTTTCGCTCATACCTCCGCCATTCTGTTCTTTGTTCAGCATATAAGTCATAAAGTCACGACGGCCATCCTTGGGCACAGGGCCCAAGCTTATCCTTGCCAAAGCCTTCTCTTTAGCATAGAACCTGGCTTCGTGCGCCAACTTCATGATCCCAGTGCCCTTAAGGCCAATTGAAAGCACCGCAGGAGGAATGTACCAGAGTAAGAATCGAGCTATCGATGCAATTCGAACGCTGTTGACGATATTTAGGACCCATGGGTGGTAGCCGCTCTGTTCCAAGCTGTGGAAAGATTCGCCGAACGTCAGATCGCCAATCACGTCGAAGGTAGTGAAGTTGAGCCATTCCACAATGTTTACATGTTTCTGTAAAGCTTCTTGTTCGCTCAACTTGTCCAGCAATAAGTCAACGTAGCGTGTGACTATAGATTCTTGCTCTTTGACAGCTAAGTCACTAAACGCGGGGTTAAGCTGGCGACGTTGTCGGCGATGAACTTCCCGGTTCGAACCAATAATAGCGTTAGGGAAATCGATAAAAAACCCAGGGAGTTTGGGATGATCGACTTTCCTGTTACCGAACACCTGCGGAAAGCCAATGGAGCCGTCCACAGCCAGATGATTGGGACCAAGTCGAACTATTTTTCCACACTTACGATGGAGTTCCAAAATCGATCTCGGGCCCGTACCTTTGATCAAGGTGGTGTAAATCCAGGGAAAACTCACAACCTTAAGGATTGCCGGGCCGGGGTATTTAGATAGTGGGTGAAACCAGATGCGATAGACACAGATGCAGAGTTGAAGGAGAACCAGCTGCACTATAGTCAGCATATATCCTTTCACTTGTGAGTTTGTTGTGTACATTGCCAATGGCGAGTAATAGTGCACCATACGTCCCAATCCAACTGTTTGCTCTAAGCCGAAAATCTTGTATCACGGGCATGATCTTTGCTTTAGTTGTCTTGAAACCACGGGATCAAAAGTTCGAGTCAACCGTTACAGCATTCTACCATCTCTTTAATAGCCAACTACTCGGAAGTCTAGTAAAGAGCTTTGTATAACGACGACGATTAGGCGAATACGCACATTGCAGGCAATAATTCGTGCTGACGCTTGACCCATCATATATATACTTATGATTTGGAATAAGTGGATCCTCGTACGAGTGTCTATCCCACAAACGTATTAGCTAGGCCTCTTAGGATAAGGCAGAAAGGCCAATCAGCGTGTTTTGTTACTTGCAGACTACATCTGATATAGTTCTCAAACAATCAACCAGCTTACATCCACTGTAAGGTTGTCCTCGTACATTTATGAGCGACCGTTGGGGTAGTTCCATGTGCTGTAGTTAGGTTAGAGTAACAAACCCACAATATAATCTAATTTAACGGTCCGAAGGTTAACGAATGATACTGTTTCCTGGGCCGAGATATCCATCACCGTGTCAGATTTCCAATACTGGGACCGCAGCAGGCGATCTATGACTTGGCCTGCTAAGGCAGCCCTAAATCTTTGTGGAATCCGGCAGAGAATCTCAAGCACGAGCACTAGAACTTACATGGCTTGAGGCGTATAATAACATGCCTCTATGCTTTGGCCCTCTATATTTTATTGGTGGGTAGTAGAAGCAGGCTACCCAATGTTTCGTAACGAGTAAATAAGAAGTCAAGGGTTTGAACATAAGGGCAATCTGCAGGTGTTGAGTCATCGGCTCATCGCGAAGTATCAAAATTAGAGCCCCATGTTTTCTACGGCCCCGCCTGTCAGCAGTTTATGCAGCCTCCTACTCCTATCTTCCCTGCTGCGAGTGAGCCTCGTCTATAGGGATATACAGAGAGCAGTTTAAACTAACGCTCTTGGAACTAATTTAGGATACACTCCAACTTAGGGCTTACTAAATGAGGCCGGACTAGTAATTTGTCAAAAAAGTAATTACTGTGTGGACTCGAAAAGCACGAGACAAATAAAGGACTTACTACTATCATCAATCTGATGTGGAATCTGATGTGGATCCGCGTGCGTGCGGATCCTGAGCGTATTTGTGAATTGTCTGAAAAATACGTGGCTTTCACTGTCTCTGTACTCCATTTTCTTTATTGTGCTCCAATGAAATGGTCTCCAGGAGCGGTCCTAGTAGAACGAATCTGGTTAATAGGACATATCTCTATAATTTAGCATTCTCCTAGCAGTCAGCCTTGCTACCATTGAGTAATATAAAGCTGCCGATAGATCTGTCATCTCGGAACCTAACCACCAAAGAACTACTTTGAATCAATATAGGAAACTCCCTTTACCGCAAAATATCGGGATTAATCGCTTCCTGCGCCGTAACCTAACGATGGGCCAGCAGCAAAGACTCCCGGGCGAACCCAAGGATCTCATCCCAAGTCCAGATGTTACTGTGGTAAATCGTTGGTACTACCCACCTGAACTTAAAAATGACATGGAGAATAGTGGCATCTCAAAGGAAACGAGAGATGAAGTGTTGGCAACTGCATGGGAGTATACGCGATGCGTCATCCCTGAGTTTACCAACTGGTCTCGCTATTTGGCTTTCGTGCGCGTCATCGCCATGTGCACCGTTTGCGAGTTCCGTGGCGACCTGTTCAACGTGGTAGAAAGCAGACAGGCTGTGGGCTACAATGCTGATGCAGTCGCTGATGACCTTTTCAAAGGCACACCCGGCCAGTATGTTTGTACCCCTTCTGGCTGTTCGTGAAGATTTTGCTCAATTTTAGTGCAATAGTGACGCCATGGCACGCGAGCTACGTTCTTTTCTCCTCATTGTGGCGGACAAGGCTGGTCCCCGTCGGGAAGGGGAGCTCTTCCGACGATATGTCAATGCTCTAGCCCGGTCACCAAGGCAGTGGTTCCGCATGCGAGACGGAGACGCACTCGCCCGGTTCACTATTGCGGCTGCAATGGCATGCAACGACCTGGATGATGTCTACTTTTCGGATGCACAATTCGAGATTCTGACCGAGCTGGCAGACACGCTATACGATGCCGTCGCTTTCTTCAAACACCGTTCTGAAGGAGAGACCAACAGCACTTTCGCCTACGTCCCCGTTGAGTTGCGCGTTCACGCGTTCCACCAAGCCCGCGAGACGCTATGGGCTCTGGATACCTGTTGGGCAATGAAGCCCGAACTTCGACACGTTGTTAATTTTATACGAAATATCGGAGGCCCCATTCACATGGTTATGCGGCGGTATCGTTTCGTCGAAGAAAACTTGACCATCGGCACCCCGGAGACGACAAAGATTATCGATGAAGCTCGCCGCAATGTAAAACTTTGGAACCGTGTCGACGCAAAGGAAGAAGGAAAGAGCAGTGGTTCTCTAGATGTCCAGCGCTATGAGAGTATCATCAGAGGTCCACACGAAGACTTGATGTATCACGAGCTTAACGAGTTTCTTGAGGACAGCGATGGAGCAACTTGCACAAACTGCAACTTCCGACAAACCTACGGAGCTGACAATAACCATCGTTTCGGTGGTGTGGAACTATGTCAAAAATGCAAGGTTGCGTGGGGAAACTATATCCAATCGTTCCCTAAGCGCACCTTGGACGCTTTCCCAGAGCTTGAAGGTCTAGATGGCTTTGCTTAGGTTTGAAATATGAACTGGACGCATTGTTTACAAGAGAATAGAATGGACGCATATTGTGGACTATACTATTTATCAAGAAGAGCTTCCCGCTGAACGCAACAAAAAGCTGAAGGTCGCGCAAGATAGGTATGCAATCAAAATATAGATAGGCATAGCCCCAGCATCATATTCAAGTACATATACTTTCGCTCCCTAACGAGACCTGAGTCCGATTAGTCTTTTTTCGATGAAGCTGACCACAAAAATTAACACGAGCTTGGTAAAACATAAACGTAGGGGACTATCCACTGCCTAACACCCCAGTGAGTCACACCACTCTTTTTCAATGATTCTCACTGTATCCCACAATTCTTCTGGGTTTCTCAACTCGCCCATATTCTGTACCAATTGACCCTCTTGCTGATTCTTTTCCCAAACTAATAATTTTGCCCCCAGGCTTGTCTGATCAACGGAAACCTGATCTCTGAATGCATCTAAGTAGGCATCTGTGAATATCTGCCACCGTGGCAGATAGTATGCGCCAACAAGTCCTGCCCACTGACGTGATGCATAGTCATTGACCTCACCGTTTGGACCCCAGAGAGTGACTTGATTAACAGCATTACGAGCTATAGAGTCTGTTGCGCAGGAGATGGAGTATTGCCATGAGCACGCGGCGTTGACCCAGGAAATAAGTGATGATTCAGGCGATCTACTTGGGGTGTATCGCAATACATTGTCAAGCGTTGTGAGGAGTAACAGCATTCGGCTCTGCGCGTAAGTAGCTGCATTTAGAGAAGCTTGGTTGTCAAACCTTTCACTTGTGAGGTTGGTGTGAGAAAGGAAGGTATCGTATAAGGGGTAAAATGCATTCGCGAGCACTTGCCGCGTGAGATCAACAAGATCAAACTGATATGCCACGTTGGATCGCAGAGAAGGCAGGGTATCGGCCGCATCGAGAAATAGGCGCCAAGCGGAGACTAAAGTACTCGGGTCGTACACAATCTTGGTGGGAATATGGGTTGGACTATCCAAAAGACCAGTTTCATTTGGAGCAAGCTCAAAGATGGATTTGGGCACTGAGAAGGTAGATATCAAGTCGGTGTTGTTGTAAACGGTCCGTAGCAGAGTGTCCCATGTCTCGTATATGGCGCCCGGTAGGTCACGGCCTGAGGTATCAGCGTATCGAGTCTTTGCCCATTCATGGAAGTATTGAGGTAAATCGATGGGCGTAGACGACCATGCTTGGGATAGCAGCCTAGCAAGGCGCGCTGTCAGCATGGGCCAGTATCGTGGGAATGGGCAATACTTACAGGTCATACATGATCTCATTACCTTCCTGGGCTTCCATGGTGAGACCGAATCCCACGAGCGATGGCGAGGTGGCTAACGCTTCGACTGGATTGATCGTCACGTTCATGACTTGACCATACAGTCCCAGATTCCCACCGAAGTCGTGGAGCTGGCACCAGATCCATGGCTTGCCGAAGTAAGAGTCCAGTTTTTGCCACTGCGGATATGTCTCCGAGTACAAGTCCAGAATCAGCATGTCGTTGTCGTCAGTTACTCCATCCAAGAAGGCCTTGACTCTTTCCCGTGTCCAAAAATCTGCTTTGTAGAAAAACAACCAGCCTTGAAGCATCCAAACAGCGTCCGGGTCTGCGTCCTTCAGACTCTGCCAGACTGTGTTGGCAAGTGCACCTAGATCCTTGAGGTCTCCAGATATAGCATCGTTCTCGTTAAACTGGTCAAGGGTATATATATGAGTAATATTGCCATAGTACTCCTTTTGTTTTCGCAGGAAACTCTTCTGTAGCAATGTGAAAAGCGGATCGGAAGGCTTTAGAAATGTGACATTCGAAAACTCCGAGCTAAAGCCGTTCCACCGCGACACGTTGACTATATCTGCCTCGGGAAACACTGTCGAAAAGGCTCGTGGCACAAAACCGGTAAAAGCTGGTAGTACGGGGGTCATACCGAGTTCAGTCATGCGCTTCAAGATCTTCTTTTGCAGGTCGAATTGCAAATCAATCCAAGAAATGGTGAGCTCGCCCGCCCACGAGCTTTGAATGTTGCCAAATCGATTCCATGCTTGAAAGGCGGGACCGCTGAAATATTCAAAGACCTGTTCTTGCGCAAGTCCGACATCTAGAAACGTCTCTAGTAAGATTTTCTCATAGCCCACCCAGGCGAGGGGTAGATTAACGCCTCGTAAAGCAAGCCAGTCCAACTCATGCTCCCAGTCTTCCCATGACCAGAAGGCTGTGGTATACGAAAAGGTAACTGCAAGTGTTAGCTTGAGGGGAGGGTTTGATTATCCTACCACATACCTGTGTTGAAATGATACCTCCAGGAAACAATGCTTGAACCCTTCAGTGGCTCACATGCAGGCAAGGCCTGGAGCCGAGGCAACTGGCTTCCAGTGAACCAGTAGATATCGACGTGCGCGACATCAGCAAGGTAGCGATGCAGACTGCCACTTGATTAGTGATTGAAACTCCCGGTGTGACCTGTACCGACCCTGAAGCCAAAGCAATAACGGAGTTTCCCTCGATGTTCACTGTGCCTGCATCACAACGGACCATATACTCATCGTTTGATGCGCCCAATGTGTGGTTGTCTTCGCGGAGGACAAATGAGATCTCCCTCGAGTGCATTGGGAGGTGCCGCTCGACCAGATCCCTTAGGCCTTGTAGACCGCCGGATGAAACGAGTGGCAGGGTTGCCAATAAGGCGCGCACTATCATAAGCGGACGCATGCCTGGCTGCACAGACACTGGTTGGTCTTGCACAGACCCAAATATGGTCAGCTATGGGCTTTATGGCGCTTCCAGAGGGCTTTTTATTTGATCTTCGCACTTCATCAGTCTGCAAAGGTAGTTCCAATCACGATTACAGTGATCTAGAGTCGCAGCATTTGACTTGAAAAAAGCATCCTGCCTGCTGACATGGCTGTGATGCCCAGGTCCTGAGCTATCCGAGTACGCATCGGAGGAACGATCCTGCGACTATGCAGCCCCACTGCTTAAGTACACCCCTGCTTCAGATGGTCTGCCCTAACAGTGCGTTCCCCGATACAGTGGAGGGGTCAGGCAACGGAGGACATTCCTACGACGAAGGTGTCGCCATGATAACCTAAGCGATTATGTCAACAGCCTGAGCTGGCTCTGATTAATAGCAAGAGGCTATTGTACATCATAACGTTGCGGAATTGATATTCACCTTCATACGCAGTTGGCCATATGACTATCAGCCCGTTATGCTTGGAGACCGCCTTCACAGTCAGCGAGTAAGTCACAGAACCAGCACTGGGCGCGGCAATTGAGCTAGGAAAAGGAGGGCGCGGCCACCAGCAAGTGTGACCAGAAGGAAAGAGTTAGTTAGACATTCTAAACGGTCGAAAGAACAGGGCAGAAAATGGAGTCAAATTAGAAGTGGTAATTTTTCGACCCCATTAATTCAGGAGCTCAATGCGTATCATAACCACTAACTGAATGTGCACTTAAGCGAGTACGTACTTACTATAGTCTAAAATAATTAATACCGATAGCTTCATTAAATATGCGGAAGTTTCGGATCAATGCTAGTATTCTGCGTCATCATGGCACCCGCTCCACATCCATGATTCAACACTGTGATTGAAAGGATTTTGGAGGACGTTGAGGTCCTGCAGACGAGCTCGAGGGCCTCGTCAGACTATATAGTTACGTGGCGGCGCTAGTTACTAGTGGAATTCTACAGGTAGAGGTGCCTTGGCGTCAGGAAAAGCTCGCAGTCTTTTCAAGACCTGTCGCTGGCACAACTGCCAAGGGCGTTGGTAATCACAACACTCCAGTCATTCCAAACTCCAATCTGTAAACCCCGTCAGCTGGATTCGGAAAGTGTAGCCGGTAGTGGCCTACGACGGAGCTGCCCCGTGGATTGCCAGCAATAGTCTGACCTACCACTCTTGCTCCCTTAATGATTTTGCACAACCCTTCTGGCCGGGGATAGCGTGAGCGGAATTTCCATTCAAATGATGTGAACACTGTTGCTGTAATATGGGTAAAGACCTCTTCGCCCGTGGTCGCAAGATTTAGGTGCACTCGATTTTGGCCGAGAGACCGCTCACCCTCCCCCGATTGACTGAGTTGGAATGGATCCAATGTTGCGGGGAAGCCAGCAGGGCCATAATGCTCCGTTGTAGATAAATGAAATCGTCTTGATTCACAGCCCCCGGAAACTGCTGCATACTTAGTAGCTCACCAAAAGCAGTTCTTCCTATCTGCGTCCGGACCCGTCGCCTGCAGTGAGAGACTGTCTCTAAATGGCAATAAAACTCGTAATGAATAATGCAATCGTCAAAGACCCCAAAAGAGTAACAAACGCTACATGAGTACTCTTCTTTCGCAAGCTAATGGCTTTGTCCTGCTCCAATTCCTGCGCAGCTCGACCCATAACAATGCCCTCTTGCACTACAAAGATGACCAACAACAAGAAAATCCCAGGGGCCCGATACCCGACAGGAATAAGAATCGTGAGGATATCTCGTGTCTTATAAATAATCTTGGTTTACTAAACTTATTATCTTGGTAGACGATCTAGAGAAGTACATGATCGAGTTCTGTTACAATACACTAGGTAGAAGAGACTATAGAGTGATACCACTCGACAGGCAAGATTGACCAGGGTATTTAAACGATAGGATCGACAGGGTTTTTCTTGGCGACCAGTAAAGGGTCCTCAAGATCCCATGGGAATTCTGGGAAGTCATTGCAGTCCACACCAAATGCTGCAGCAAGGACATCGCGACCCATAACTGCACCAGCTTGCCTGAAGCCAACGTCTTTTGGCATGGGTTGATCAAAAAAGATTAGAAAATGAATATCCTTTTCGCTAATGACCTCGATTTGATGCGGATGGCTGGCTGGGATAAAATAAACATCGCCGGTCCGCAAGATAAATGTGTCAACCGAACCGTCTGGGTCCATGATGGACATCCGTGCCTGCCCTTGGTGGATGTAGCCCATCTCGACAGTCTCTGGATGCCAGTGCGGTTCACGCATACCTTCGTCCTCAATGCGCAGGCTGTACATTGCTATATTGGTGAGAACATTCCAGTACTGTGACCGCGCCTTCTTGGCAGATCCCACACCTGGGGCGAAGGTAGGTGCTTGCATTTCCTCCACGTCAAAGCGATATGGTGTAGGCCACTTGGCGTTGGTAGGGATCGCTGGCTTGCCTTGACGCTTGACGAAGACCTTCGGGCAAGTAGAGCGTGGTACCTTTTTGAATACAGAAGCGTCGAAACCCCAAGAATTGCCAAGCACTGAATCTGTGAACGCTCCTGCGGAAGCACTAATAGTAAAGTCTTTAGGATGCTCGTGGCGCATGGCAAGAAGGATGACGACTTGCTCATTAACGATATTTTCCACGTGGAAGAGTGCTCCAGACTTGATGTGGAACATCTGTCCTGGATTGCATGTGAAGCTCGCCATTCCCGAAGCACTGTCTAACACGGATATGAGAGTCTCTCCGTGGAGCACATAGCCAAGGACATTGCAGTTGACGAACCATTTCGGTTCAAGCACGGCTCCAGCTTCGATTTCGATGCGTTGAAGGGAGAGATTCTTTAGCAGAGGAAGCTCAGCTGTCGTGAACTGCTGAATTTGTCCAAGCTCACGTTGAAAGATAGGTCGTGCATCATGGATGTTGAACTTATGCTTGGACGCACGCTCTTGGATCGGAGACATTTTGATACTCTGATTTCGTTGTGATGAGGGCGACTATTGATCCTTCGAAGATTACAAAGAAAGCTGTGTTGTTCTTGCGACGGTTGGGTAGGTTGAAGAAGGCGTACAATGGCATACACATAAATCCATTTTGCATATCCTGACCTCGATCAGCCCGCCATGGAGCTGGACATGAGAACAAGGCGGAGATCACGGATTTCATAGTTGCTCAATGACGCACCGAATTTGGGATTTTTATAAGCCGAAACATTCAACCAAACCTTAAACTATTAGTGTGTTCACGTTCACATCTTGCCAGCCGCAGATCCTACCGATCAAGACTACTAAGTTGGACTATTATTCCAAGCCTTACGAGTAGTCGGCCCGACGGCGAGGCCATCCTTACCAGTATCTGCTAGGGACTAGATCATCCATCTCGCCAAGGCCGAGATTAAAATAAGGTTAATTCAGAGGCTTTTGCCTTGCTGGACTTACCAGCAGCGTTGGGTTAAATATTGAACCACGGTCGGGTTAATCAGTGATGTCACTCATTAAGACCGATCTCGGCCCGATGTGACAGTGCTGATAATCTAGTTAACGTTGTCGCCAGATCGACACGCGATAAAGTTCAGTCATACGTATCTTGACCATCAAAGACGAAGTTATCCTTTGTCAAACGAGGTAGTGTGGGCAGTAGGCTTCAACTCGATATACTGATCACGAAGGGCGCCTCATCTCAAGCGTCCCACAGCAGCCGAGACCGCCCCATGTCACCGACGGGAGGTCCTGCGAGGATGGCATCAGACAGCTTTGAACGCGTCGGACTCGACAATTATTGTGAAACTCAAAAGCAAGAGAAGTTTGTGATGCACAACTATATATGTAGAGCTTCAGAATGGAGCGGTCTAAAGAGTTATCTCAGCTAGTGCTTAGTATCTGGGAATTTCCTGACCACGTCCTTTCACGCCGCGAAATGTCCCTCGCAATCATGGCCAATGAAGAAGGAGTTCACTTCAGTTCCGAAGAAGCAACTTCAGCGAGTACGGTATATGCATCGGAATCTAATATCGCCCCAGAGAATATCGACGAACTGGCGGGAAATATTGATCGTGATGTTGGCCTGACTATCTTCTTGAGAGTTGTCAAGAATTTCTCTACCGTCTGGTGAGTAAATATTAGGCACTTCACAAGCTCTTATAACTTATCTATACTATAGGTTTACCATTTGTATGGACACAGGGGCTCTAAGCATTATTCTACATCAATTTCCTCACCCATCACACTGGACGCGAGTATGTAGCACTATACTTTTCGTGACCGACCTTGTCCTTTTCCTCAGCTTTGGCACCATCTACCTGCTCAAATGGACGATGTTCCACGAATTCACTTTGGACCACGTTCGGAAGGACTCCGAGGAAATCGCCTTGCAAGCATGCCCGGCGATTACTTGGTTGACCTTGGTCACACAAGTACAGCTTACATGCGCCCAATCTTGGGGCTATGGCTTCACCATTCTAGCGTTTGTCATGTGGTGGATAGGCCTTGTTTGGGTTTTTACCATCTGCATCCTATTGTACCTGCACATGATGAAGCATCCTTCAGGTCTTCTCGTGGATAGATGGCTTCCTACGGCGGTGTTCATTCCCGTTGTCGGAACTCTAACTGTTGCGAACACCGCCGGAGTGATGGTTAACAACTCAAACAACGCCACCTATCTTCCAGACTCGCTTGCCATACCACTGATTCTTCTCGGATTTGTTTGTGCTGGATTCGCCATTGGGCTAGGCCTCGTGATGTACGCGATATATTCTCATCGACTGTTTACGAGCGGATGGCCCCCAGCCTTGAAAATTCCCGCCATGATTCTAACGGTGCGTCCTCTTCCCCTACCAACACTTTACTGCTATCGCTAAATCCTCCTTAGATCGGACCTTGTGGCCAGTCAGCAAGTGCTCTGATTCAATTAGGCAACGCCGCCGTCGCCCACCAGAACGTCGCTCGTTACGCAAAGGGCCACTTCTTGAGTGAAAATTCAGCTGAGATCATCCGTGTTATGTGCATCGTGACTGCACTTTTGCTCCTCGGGTTTGCTGTATTCTGGATCATAGTCGACTACTACGCCATTATTGAAGGCTTGATCTCTCGACAAATCCACCCCAGCTTGTTTTGGTGGTCGAGTATTTTCCCCTTGGGTACAGTTGTTACGGCGCTCTCGGGACTCGGCTCCGCCATGGACTCGCCAACATTTAGGATCTGCGCGATTATACTGGCCGTTTTCCTATTCTCTGTCTACTTTGTCAACGCCTCATTTACTATTCCTATGGCTCTGAGTGGCATGTTGTTCGGCTTATCGACAAAGACGAGGTGGAGCACAAAAGAACTAGAATACGTACACTCCTGGGGACGCCTTCCTAGGAGAGCTCGAATGTCGTGAATAGCTAGCCACGACTAAGGTAGAGTAGCTAGCTAGACTAGAAAGCTCATGACAATCGCCAGACGCGAGATCCGAGTTTAATGATTCTCACGGGTAACAGAAGTACTCTATCGTGAGGAAATTATTCGATCGTTCTTGAGTAACTCGCTATATACGCTAACTAAGGAGGTAAGAGTTCGAGAAACGCCACGATTTAGGGGGCGGTAACTTGGGGTTGGTGTATTAACTGGCGGCGCATTCTGAATAGATAATACCTAAGTATGATAACCGCCACTCAGCTGATCGGAAAACGCCGTACTGATAAGTTTATAGACAGTGTGGAACAATGTGGAAGGTTTTATCTCTGTACTTGGATTGAATCAATATCGATTATCGCATCGGAGTTCTCCTCAGAGATGGCAAAAACCAAGCCTTTGACCTTCGAGAAGTCAAAATTGTTGCCTAACTCCTTGAAATCGGCAATTTCAAACTCGTATATGTTGTAAAGATTATCAATGTCAACTGCAAGTTTAGTAGTCTCTTGATTTTGGCCGTAAAAATGTACAATTAGCTGACGAGGACCACTTCTTGACGCAGCGCTGAACTTGAGCGTGCGGGCTTGGCTAAAGTCAAAATCCACGAGCCAGTTTGTGTCAAAGTTGTAGGCTGCGGCACCCCAGTATTGGCGGCTTTTGAGCACGGCTCTTTGGTGCACGAGGCCCACGAAAGGCTCGAGATTAGTGTTGAAAAGCGTTGAACCATTTGGGTCCCACGTGAAGCCCACTCCTTCTCGAGCGTAAGTCTCGCTGCTGTAGATTGTGCTCGATCCAACTATGGGCGAAACTGCTCCCTGTGAGAAGCAGTCTACACTTGCACTGATGTTGGGAAAATTGTTGCCAGATGTGGGTTGGTACATGTAGCCTGCGGGTCGAAGATCGGCAAATCCACCCGCATTGCTCTCCAAGCTGATTGACAAAGGGCCCTTGAAAATGCGGTCGAAAATGAGTCGCTTCGCATCTGTGTTGTCGTAAAGAGGCAAAGGCGCCTTCTGGAAACGGCGGCGAACATCGAAAGGTGATTTTTTGCAGAAGGAATTCTCCCACAGCTTATCCGCCAGTGCTTCTTTTCGTAGATAAGCTGGAGCGACCGGCAACCATTGATGATTGCCATCAACTGACCTTAACCAAGGAGAAAGTAGGCTCGATATACTGTTCTCAAAAAGTGGATCTGGAAATCCCATCGCTTTCGTGAATGCGTTGAGATCGCTACCCGATAGGAGAGCGAGCTTCATTAGCTGCAGAGCATTCCGAGCGGGGTTGAAATTTTGTACTATAAATGGTTCGTGATCGTCAGAGCCAGTCAACCCCATGTCGACTCGCATATGGTCGATGATAGTGCCTTGAAGTTTCACGGCTGGAAAGGTAATGAGATGTTTTGCGGTGTTGTCACTTGCAAATTGCTGATTCATCTTCGAGTCGCTATGTTTACTCTTGAACGCATGATGTAGGAGGTTAATGTTCGGTAAGTTACTGTTGGGAATCGCCTCCTCTACGATTGTCTGGATGACTGAGCTCGCAATATAGGGCGCCGACTCTTTGAATTGGAGGAAGGCGGCCGCAACGTCACTCAAGAAAGGGAATCCAGAATCTGCCAAGGACTGGATGATGCTGTCTTCGATGCGTGTAATTTCTCCGTGAATCTTTTTCGCCACTCTTATAGGTTCGCAAATTGAATCGACAGCCGCCACGGGGATGGGCAATATGACGGTTGGTAGCCGGCATTTCAACCAGTCCATGAGGGGTTCGGCGACGCCTGCGTTATCTTTGTCTATACTGACCGAATTCAACATAGCCTGGGCATTTGCGGAAATCCAGTCATTGGTAGCTGCGATCGATTGATCGCGCCATCCTTCTACGTGGCCTCTGAGGTCAAGAAGCGATTGTCGTACGAGCTCCACCTGGTTACTCGCAAAGCTTTGAGCCAGCAGTCGAACTTGGCGCTCGATAGATTGGAAAATGACAGTCGCATCGTACAAGGCCGTGAGCGAATCCTGCACTAACTTTTGTTCCCTGGCCAGTGTGTCGATCGCGGTGGTCTGAATGCGGAGAGCTTCGTTATATGCGGCATTGGCAATTTCCTGCTTGAGCCGCAAGGCTTCCTTCGTTACTTGGCAAGCTTCATTTGCGGCTTTGCAGACTTCGTTGGGACTAGTCACCGTTTCGGTCCACCTTTCGATGACACTGCAGTCCCATTTGCGCGTCACATCTTTGACTTGGTCTGTGCAACGATTTTCAAACTTCTCCACGTTCTTGCAGTGTTTGGTTTTGATTCTGAGGACTTTCAAGACTGTGCAATGCGGGACGAAGCCTATGGAGACTAGATTGCAGACTCGATTGATCTCTTTTTTTGTTTCCTGGCAGGTTCTCTCAACCATTCTAGACCGCGGAATCAATTTAACAATGTCATCACATCTTTGTATGACGGTGCAAGTCGTTTCGAGCAAGAGAGTGTCGTATATGTCTTTTGCCTCTACGACTTTTCGTCCGAATCTTGCAACGTCTTCAACCGATTGGATGTAAGTTTTGGATGCGTCTGCTAGGCGCTTGTGAAGACCTTGAAGGGTCCCAATCGCGGCTAGGACTTGTTGATTGCGGCTTTCGAGAGCCTTATTCATGAGGCCGTCGATTTGATCCTTGGCTTTGATCACCTCATCGGCTGAGCGACCGAGAAAGCTACTGAGTTTGTTGGTCAATTCGGCGGCCTTGGCCGCCTCGCCCACGTCGATCTGTATGCCGGCCCAATAATATGCTACTGCTTGGAGGATGATAACCTCGAGCTGCTGAACTTCACCTGCGCCTTTGAGGTCTCGACGTGTCTCCGTTAACCATTCCGTCAAGCGCTTCACTTGTAAAGATGGATCCATATACTTCTGGACAGTGGCAACAAGGTCAAAGGGGTAATCTTTCCTGCGAAGGGAATTTGTTAACTCAGTTGTGATCTTGTTTAGGCCTCGAAGCAAGGCACCCCCCGCATTACGACCTAGCTCTTGGTTCGCAGCTTCGTTGGCAATAAGAGTACGGCGGACAAAGTCGATGGGAGCGTGAATCGTGTTTCCGCCGCCAAGGTACTGGTACATCATACCCAGGTCCTGGCCGATATTATTTTTGAGGCGTGGATTATGTTCGGAGATAAACGTTTCCACCATCATATGCCGCATTTCGACTTCAATTTCGCCGTCAGTGAGTTCGTAGACATCGCCAGCAAACTGATTCACATAAGAGTGCGCAAAGACGTCGGCAGCCGCGTGGCCTGCAAAACCAATGGCAAAAGCCAGCTCCTCAGGGGATTGAGCATTCCGAATGAGGTGGTCAATCCAGTCGCCGGTGCCCCATCCTGTGATAGTGCCGTCTTCCTCGTTGAAAAGCCCGGGGTGCGTGATAAGTTGTCCGCTAAGGATATCGGCAAAAGCGTCAGGCCCGAGGGTTCCCGTGAGGAAAGTCTTTTCGTTTCCAATGATCGCACCAGCTACGGCATTGCGGATTCGCGTGGGATGTAGCTGGCCATTGTTGTCGACGACGTTGACGCAGGGAACGCCATTCACTTGCGAACAGGTTTTGAGATCGTTGATCAACTCTTGACCAAGGTAGATGTGAGTGCTGACCTTGAAGCTAGCAGTAATTGTGGTGTAGAGGGTGATGAACAGTAAGAGCCAACAATTTTGGGGGCGTCCTTGGACAGCCATGGAAATTCTACGTTTTCTTTGTCGTCCGTTTGTCTATTCAGTAAAGAATGAGTTTTTGGCTCGCTGCCTGTTCAACTTCGACTCGCGTGCTTGTTTAGTTGTGACTGAGATATAACCAACAGGTAATTTGTAACAGCTCCCTCATCTGGGCAGCTGCAGAGGCAGGTTTATGTCACACTATTTCCTACCTTGTCGCCCGCCGTGCTCGACGGTTACACGGGAGATTATTGGCTGAAAGATGCGTTTACGTGATTCACAAATTCTGCCGTCCGCTGGGTGCGCGTGATGCACTGAGTCGCAATTATTGCCCCAGCTGTGCAAACAGAATGGTGATCTTTTCGCCGAAGCCTTGAAACATCGGTGTCCGGCTACCATCGTCACTGGTCCAGCTCAGGTTGTGGCGCGCACTCGTGCACCACGGATACTGAGGTAGAAAAATCTGATTCCGGTTAACACTCGTTCTTCAAAGTCTGCCAATTGCAGTCCACATGCTTGACACAGCTTGTTATGCTGAAGAGGGAGCCAAGCTCGCCAAGAACTGGCCGAGTAGCCTAGGTAATTTGCAATGCGTGCAGCTGAGACCAGCTGAACCACCTCCTGCAATCCAACTGGTCCGCCTACTCAATTTTCGTCTCTGGGTAGCGAGTTCGGCTAGAATGGAGCTCTTTTGGCCAGCCATCCGGCCATCGATTTTTGTAGATGGGGTCCTGGAGCCGCAGAAGGAACCGCTCTCCCTCGAAGTCCTGATCACTGAAGGCGATATGGCAAAGTGTATCCATGGCGCAAAAGATATTCCAGCTTGCGATATTGGCATCTTTATCTTATTCGGAGACCGCAAAGTGGCCCATCAATTAGGTGGTGCTTATAGGCGAGTATTGTCTTAGGACTCAAGGCGCTGATGATTGTTTCTCGGTGACAGAGACGCGGGGTTTGCTGCGCTCCGTAATAAAGGTAAGAATTAATCTACCCTTGACGAGTTGCATTTGTACTTCGTAGGATTCGGGCTCAAGAGGATTTAGCGAGGGTTGGCGCTTAGCTGAAGGGATCTGCCCTATGATTCAGCTTCATGCCCTGTGGTGAATCGCGCGCACTCATGACCTGTGTGGCTGCTCTCAGTTGATCTGCAAAAGAGAAAGAGTGTAATCTTAGATGAATCTTTTTGGACGTGCGATTTTATCATGGTGGTGTTTAGTCTCGTGATTTCCGGGCGACTTACTGAGAGGGAGAGTCGTCTGATTTTTGAGCCAAGTCAAGTGAGATGGTGTCACGGATTTGGTGGTGGTGCAAGCAATTGGAACAAGGTGGGAGAGACGTATGGGCAGCATTGAGCCAGAGATGGAAGTAAGTAACGTTTCTCAGAGCAGTTAGCAAATGACAGCCGCCCTTCCTATCCTTGTACTCCTCCCCGAAAGGTGAATGTCGATGATCGTGGTCGAAAAGTACCCACAGGTTAATAGCACATGCCCAGGTGGTATTCTAGATCCATACGGCGTCAGAGATTCTGGAAAGCGGCTAAAACCGGAGAAGTCAATCGGGGCTGGATAAGTCCGTTCAACTTGTGGAACGAATATTGTAATTGAACTTCATTATTGGATGCAGAATGGACATGGAGATTACAATCTCTGGTATATTCATGAGATACCTAGACGATACGGCCATGTCACAGGAAAATGGTTGTCAATAGGCTGTCGATTCATTTCATGTGGTCCTTCAAGCCTGTGCCGGTAAGGACCGGTGATGGTTGGAGATGAGCTGCAATTTGACCATGCTCACATACATCTCGCCACTGACATGGCTTCAGCATTACCTCGAATCATGGATCCTCCCTTAATCACATTCCCGGATGCCACTGACCTCTCCGCTGACAGTCGATTCTTCTCTTGCAGGATTTCCATACGAACCACACGCATGTCATGTCCATACTTGCATCCAGGAAGCTCAATGATGCCCTTTCTCTCATTCTCGGCGTCCAATTCTTCCTGCTGGACTTTTTCTTCCTCGGTTGGCTCGAAGCCGTCGTGTTTCCAGCAGAATCCCGTCAACTGGATCTTCTTGCATGTTGACTTGATATGGGCAACAGTCACCAATTGAAAGCAACTATACTGTGGTATCCCTCCCTTGGTGATGTGTTTGTGTCCACAATCCTTCTGATCATCCTTGGGGTTTTTGTTGGGGCATCCTGGTAGGACATGAACCCAGAGATAATGGAGAAAAGGTTGGTTGCATCCATGCTCAGGCCACTTGATACACTTGTGAATTTTGCCAGATGGGATGCACTTGTGAGGATTGTAGCATCGTCGAGGGTGAAGAGAGTCTGAACACATTTTCAACATTGTGTCTTGGTACAACTGATCAGTCGGGCGAACATTGCCAACGTCAGTAGGGACTGGTACTAGTAGACTAAGAGGGAAATGAGGTTGACGCAAGCCTCCGATGGGGGCCAGTAGTAATGTGAGATCTTGAACGGGAGTCATTTGTCTTGATCTGAAAGGTAGACTAGTGAAGACCGGCCTCGATGCCAAAGAAGGGAGAGGATAGGTGATCTGAATATGAGGACTTGAATTTGGCGGATTATCAATGATAATATTGTCATCAAGCCATTGGTTGGCATCGAATGGTTGCTGTGGCATGGTTGAATGTGGAAGTGTTTTAGTGAAGGAGAATTTGGAACATGAAGGATGGTGGAGAGAAACAGAAGAAGAAGGATTGTGAGGGTTGGAATGAAATTTCGGTTGAAGGATGAGGATGAGGATGAGGTGACTTCCAAACTTCTCCTTTGGCACAGGCAATCATTCACTGTCACGTTGACATTCAACTTGAAGTTGTGACAATTGTCCCGGTTCCGAATTCATCTTCTTCGGTCATAAGATATTCCTGATCCCAGTTGGCAACTAGCAATGTCAGTTAACCTGCTTTCCATCCATGTTGCCATGCAAACTTGAACGAAAGTCAGCCTCAATGCAGCGCACGAACCACGAATGTCCCACTCTCAATCCTCATGGCTCTTATCAGCACCAATATAAATGCTTCTTGGCCGCTCAGAGGTCCAATCATGGTATGTTTTTCACCACGATTCATTGATCCTGTCATTATTCCGCAGGTCTTTCAAGCCTTCATGGTGTTTTGCTGATGAAGGTACAGGGCAATTCGCTACCCTGTCATCTCCCCTCTCACCTATCCCAATAGTCCCATCCAATTCTTCTCACTTCAAGTCCTCCTGCACGAAAAATTTCCAACCCATCGCCAAACCGTTTCGACTGCTTCACAACCTTCGACTTGAAATGCGTGCGTCTGTAGTGTCGGATTCAGAACGTACACCACTTGTGGTATGTCTCATCTCAGATCTCCAAGCAACCCTCTGCATGGCTCCGCTGTGCATATAATAATCTTGGTATGAGATGGCATGAATGGATCAAAAAGGCTTCATGCGAAAAACCATCCGGCTGAAACGAATGGAATCAAGAACAACGTTGAAGCCTTGGGGTCCGATCGAATGACGGCTGATTCCAACCCTCATTCCCACCGTCAAGTTGCACAGTAGCCGCTTATTTTGTCTCTCTGCAATACCCCAGTGAAGCTTCCTCCGATGCAAACAGTGTCAAGATATCCTCAGCATCCATGCTTGCGACTGCCGAAACCCTCTTTCAGCCCCAGCCGACCTCGAAATTTCTCGATTTCGGCTCACAGATTTTTTATGACACCCTTAACACACGCCCCTCCCATGACGCACAGTATTTCAAAGCATCTATGCCGCAATACCAGAGGGCTGAGCCCGTAGGGAACAAAATTGTGTTCAAAAGTTGCTGTCAGATGTGCATGGACTGTTTCGAATGAGCCCAGTCAATTAGGATACAATGATAGTCTTGATCTGTGTGATATATTCCTCGCAATAGTTGGATGAATCGATCCAGGCCTTCTCGAGTCCATGGACTTTTGTGCGATTTGAAGAATTAGCTTCGGTGATGGTAACGTGTATTCGATGCTGGAAGAAGCTGTCGCAATACGATGAGAATGAGGACTTTATCACCACGAGATCTTCAGATTTGCTAACGGCGATGCGAAGTCATCAGATATCCACCTTCTTCGTTGACTAATCATGCATGAGACTGCAGAACCATCCAAATAGCGATCTGAGAGCTCGGATGAGTACGAATTTCCACTCGGAATCGTGTCTAGGTCACGGTTGGTCGTTCGTACAAGCTCAACGTGCGCTGTACACATGACACTTCAAGCGATTCTGGATACTTTCCATGCTAGTCTTGAGACACTCACGACTGCTTCATCGTGGTGCGGGTGATCTAGGTACTCAGGACACGACTCTTGAGTTAGAGGCTACCGAGACTAAGTCTAGAGCTTTTTTCTGGTCAGAAAACTCGGTACCATTCCCTTCTGTCCCTCCAACATTCTGTATGCCTTCAAATCCAGAGACGGGTGCAAAGCAATGTGGATGATCTGATTAAGATCTCGGGGCCCGTCTTCTTGTCCAACATGCCGTAGAAACAATCAACAAAACTGCCAATATCTGAGAGACCTCCAGTTAGTCCCAGGCCACCCTTTGCGAATATCAGCATCGGACAGACATAATTGTTTCAACACTTACACTGTGCTGCAAGAATAGCAGCATCTCCAGTTAAGAGAATCCCACTATTTCGCATCTTAGGGACACACCTTTGATGCACGGTGAACGGACTAATCCTCAAGACTTGATATTCTTCAGGTTTGGGTTTCCCGGCAGGATGAGTTCGAACTCTCCAGGTGATCGCTCTCTCACTTCTTCCAATGAGAGTCTCAGTGAGAGAGCGTTCACCTGGAGAGTTCGAACTCATTCTCCAGATTTGCTTCGGGCCATTGTCCTCCAGCCGAGCAACAACACCACAATTTTATGGATGCATAATCCACTGACAATCTGACCAGTTATGCTTATCGATATCTATTCTCACCTGTTCAAATGTTAGTACTAGCGCTATCTCAAGTTTGTGCAGCGCACATTCATTTGTTGCGATGAGTTGTTGAGGCCAAGTGAATCCAGGGAATTCTTCACCAAAGGTTGCAGACCTGACACCACTACCAGCCCCATCACAACCAACCACAAAACTGCCTTTGATGGTTTTGATCTGATCACCCACTTCCGCTTCAGCCCATGCCTTCTCGTCATTCTGGCCTACTCTCACAACTTGACGAGAAAATAGGACTGATATGGTTGGGAACTTTTGCACATGCTCGAAGAGAAGATTTGACATCTTGTGGACAGGGAAGATAACCGAACGATCTGGCAATTTATCTTCTGCTGATCCGCTCAAACGACCAACGAATTCCCCTTTCAAGGTCCTCCAAGATACCTCTCGAGTATCGACAGTCTTGGCTCGAATTACACCAAGAACTCCTGCTCTCTTCATAACCCTATCAATGAATCAGCCCGGTCCAACCACGGCCGCATTCCCCACTGCGCTGTCGATCAATTCTAGATAACACTCACTGGACTGCTGGTGGTCCATGTACCACCCTTCTTGGACGTTAATCGATTTATAGCACGCTTTTAAGGACTTCAACCTCAACACCCCGTTGATCCAGCATCAAAGCCACAGTGAGGCCAGTCGGGCCAGGTCCGACCACCATAGCTTTCCCAACATTATCGACTTAACTCGCATCTCTGAAGTTGTGCGACAAGCAAGAAATTAAAGCGAATCTGAACAGTGCAAGCTTTGTCTACTTTCAGCACTGGATTGCAGTGGTAGTATAACTCGACATCCCTTGCCACACAATAAAATGTATCTAGCCCAGTTTCGGCCCGAGAGACCTTAAGTTCTGGTACCCGGAGTGTTAGTTACGTTTCAAGCTAATATATATGGCCATAAGCTAGCGTCTCTTGTGCAGGAAGTCGAAAGTGGGAGCCCAAAGGATGTCCGCATAACAAGAGCCTGATCCTTCAACACGAATTGTGCGTGATCATTGGCAGAGTGGTGTTAGCCATCTCGGTCCATGCAATACGGTCTCATAGGGCTGTTTCTGCCCCTCAAGTTGCGTGAAATGCCACACAATGCACGTCGCAGTCCAGATAGGTGCCGGTGGGTTGGGGAAGTCACCTGCTGAGTTTTCTCGATATTTGGTTGAATAATTCCATCAGTCGGGAAGGACATTCGGGAGGCTTGTTGCTGATCATGGGAAGAGGCATTTCCTTGACTCCCAATTTATCTGTTGTTGGGTTGTAGCTGCTTCAGCTTAGTATTAATCGACCCTTTGAGGGTTGCTTGATAGAGACATTCACATTCAGAGGCAAAGGAGCCATGACATAAGAATGGTATGTTTCGCGCGGGCCTGCTATTTTCGTCCGCTCGCCAAGCTACAGGAAGTATGAAATCTAGAGGGCTTTCATTCCATCTTCTGCATCGCCAAGCCCCTGATCAGGGATCGCCAACATGGTGAATGCAGTGATCCTTGCCTAATTTATTGAACTGATATTTCTCCAGCAATGATTAACAGCCCTTTGTATAGCATATCCCTAGGTAGAAGACTTCTCGTCTCCACAAAATCCAAGATGAGTTCTACCTCCTCAGGGCTTGGTTACGAGTATAGGATTTTATATGAGTGTGAAACCGGGAGGTTCAGCTCTTCTGGACTCAACACTTCTACACCTACATTGGATGCACTCAACGGAAAATAAACATGCTTCAATAGATGCCCGTAGTGATAAGGTTTCCTTGATGTATCAGTTCTACCACGGAATGGTATTACCATCATAGTCCACAAAGCGCTCAGCTGCTTCAGATCGTTTTGCACCATCGATCTAGTTTGCTGGTTATCAACAATATTCATATAATAATGAGGCACGGTAACTTACCACCCTCATGATGCCACTAACACTCTGATGCGCTGTTAGTGGAGCTTGGGACATGCCCACAACTCCTGCCGCTGTATCCCCCATGGTTGTCTGTACCCAACTGTTCTCAAGTCAGATTACTCACTCGCTCATATAATTAATATCGACTCACCCAGGGCTGATCGGAAATGTGATCAGCCATTCTTCTTCCGCATTGATCCTCTGGGTGATAAAATTTACTGCCGTTTTGGATGCACCGTACGCAGTCGACTTCAAAGGAAATTGTCCCGTTTGGGTAAGACTGGCAATCGCACTGCTAAGTACCACGAATTTGGGCATACTATGCCCGCTTGACTCAGACGCAGCAAGCAACAGTGGTCGAAATGCTTGGAACAACAGCAGAGGACCGCCTGCGTTCACGAGGAAGTGAGTGGTCAGGCTGTTAAGTGGAGTGGAAGCGGCTGCATCATACGCATTTCCCATACCGGCATTGGCGATCAGAAGATCAATCATACCAATACCATACGTCTTTTGTAAAGCTTCAACAGCATCATGGGCATCCGTCTCGGACATGCTGTCGATTTTCACGAGAATCAAAGATCTTTTTGCTCCAACAGAGAGGCTCTCGAAGGCTCTCGCAGCGGAGCCAAGATCGCGCACTGCTGCGATTACAGTGGTGTTGTGACGTGAGAGATACTCCTCGACCAAAACCCTGCCGATCCCTGGTTCATGGAGTCAACATGGCTGCTTGAGTTCAAGGCGACGAGGCAAAGAAATTCACCTTTATTTGCTCCAGTAATGACTACATTGAATGTGTCCGCCCCCATAGTGCTGGATTGTGATTGTGTTCCTGATCACTTGCGAGACTGTGTGACGACAGGCAAGACGCATGGTATTCTTTATCATTGCAGCAGATGGATATCTATTTGCCTTTTATTGGGGTATGTCGCCCTAAAGCTCAGCTCATTGCTGCTTAGTGTGTAGCGGCGGAGTGGATAGTGACGTTCGAAAGATACGAATAAGTAAGATAACTAAGCGAGGAAGGTTCAGCGCAGTGGCGGCGCCACCAAGCCAGATCGGTATATAGCGGCCGCTCGCTCGGATTACCAAGGAAAACGGGTAAGCTTTAAAGTGCTGACTTTTGAGTCTAATATCAGGGCTAAATTCACGGAAGTAAAGGTTTCAAATCTGGGAGTACGTCTTGAATTGTCTTTTCAGATATCCGTTGCAAGATCTCGTCTCATAATCAGCCTTTCGAGAGCCACTCCGCTCATGCTAGTGGGAAAATGTGTAGTTTGAAATCATTGGAATATGCGGCTTATTCGCCGCAGAGCTTAAAAATTGACAAGTCGTCGCATTTTGGCGTCCGCGTCCCAGGTTGTTCCCTTGCGGTCTGGACTGAGGAGGGAGACGGATTTCAGGTGAATCCTATTCTATTCATGGATTTTCAATAGATTGAGATCCTGGAGGCACCTCTTGCGATTGCGAGCAAAAAAAATTTCATCGGATCGAGGTTTTCATTACGAATAAATTGGAAATGGACTTAAAAATGCGCATTTCCATTGCATTCTTCTTCCCAAGTCGCGCTATAAAACTCATCCGTATAAGTGGATGTCTCCGCACATTGATTCTGGTGGTTCACCAAGGCTTGATTTTTAGCATCACAAGATGGAAGGCACTTGTAATTGTGGTGGCATAACGGTAAAGCTGACCAAGCCTGACACTGGACTCAAAGTTTCACTCTGCCATTGTTTAGACTGCCGGGCGTCCGGAGGGTCACTGTACGTATATCCTTCACATGCTCCCATAAGCATTGTGCAAGTTGAAGCGCTTACTAATCATCTAAACATTCTGGTCGGCAGGTTTGCGGTGAACATTGTTATTCCAGCCAAATATGTTATCGTGGATGGTAAAGCAGCTACCAGTGTATACACTTCTCCGACAGCTGCAGGTAACGAATCCAACAGACATTTCTGTCCCACGTGCGGATCGTAAGCTCAACCAAATTTAACCTTCGGATAGAGATTTTGAACACTGATCTATACTAGGCCGATCTTGACCACGATTACTGGGCAAACAGAAATCGTATTTGTCAAAGGTGGTATGTTTCGCAAGCACGGTTTTCTTTTGGACAAGCCCATGAAAGAGCAATGGTATCGACGAGCTGAAGAATGGGAGACGCATTATGTGGAAAAGGAGCAAGTCCAAATGTAGAAAGGCCCCAGCATGTGAACACTTTCAGGACACAGATAGCTACAGTAGGTATTGATAGTACGCCTACTCCCATGAAGTCCCAGATATCGACTGGAAGTTTGGTTTGACAGTCCACTTGAGCCATGAGTCTTCCAGCAAAGGATGCGAAATAGTCATCCATATAAGTCAATGTTGGATCAGCACCAAGACTCGTACATAGCTCGGTGTATATCCCTCTAGATATCAGAGTTGGCTAAAACACGCTTCGGAATGCCAGACTTCTTAACTGCCTCCACCAAGAAATCGACGATAGCATCCCCTCCTTCCCTTGCGTCGAGTCCAGATGGGATGTTTACAATTTTAACAGAAGGTAGAATTCTCAATGCAATCGAATTTGCCTGACTTTGCTCCTGGTCGGTCCACTGGCTAGAGCATATCTAAGTCTCAGACTTTAGCAATCACCGCGCACATGGAGACGGCAACATAGTGCCATATGCTCGTACCATCAAGCCTGGTGGTTGTACTAAAGACTCAATAATTGTTTCCAAGTCTTCGATTGCTATCGAGTGATTAGTCCAAAATATCAAGGGAAAACGCAAGTTCCAATTCACCTACTCCTTGAATTTGAAATGTGAACCACGTCATATTCCTCCTGAAGCTTTTCTATCATCTGTGCAACTAGCAGCACGGCACGCTCAGGTGTCTTGTTGACCGAGAGTAAGGAGACAACTGCAGGTTGGAATGTCATAGTGGCAGGTCTTCTTGTCTGATAGGAGGTGTTTCTGTGAAACTAAGTCCATAAGTAATATCGAACAGGATACTGATGATGCATCGGATATATCACTACGGACGTAGGGAAAGGGCCTTACTGGCACTAGAGAAGCCGAGAGGCAACCTCAAAATTCTTTCGTCCCGTCTAAGGACGACGGACTATTAGCTGGTTCCTACTCAATTATTGAAGGTCAATGCTCTCTTTACGGAACACATTTAGCTGCTTTTAATCGAACACCGGGATCCTTCTCTGAGTAACCAGGCTCTGATGACCTAAGTATGCTGAGAAATGGACGGTGTTGGCGCTAGCTGCCCTCGGTTTTCTCGGGATAAAACACGGAGACCCGTTGCCTTGTCATGAATCAGGTATGATTGTGAAGAGCTGGCATCTAATCTCTTAGCCATAGCCGATTCATGACCTGTCATCTAGATCTTTCCAGACTGTTTCAGGCTAGCTAAAATGGCTTCTGCCGTTGGTCCCGCTGATGCTGGGTTTTGTCCGTTGATCAACTTTCCACCTCTCGCAACAACTACGTTCACACCTAATGGTTCCGTAGCCTTTTTGTAGTGGCCGCCGGATGCTGTTTGTAACGCATCTTCCAAACTGAACGGCATTACTTCGACTACGCCTGCCATGCCTTCCTCCACATTTGAGTAGCCTGTCACGGGTTCACCATCGAGAAAGTATTTGCCTGATGGTAACTTGACTTTTGCCAAAGCCCCAGGGCCGTGACAAACGGAGCTAACAATTTTCTCGGCGGCGTAAAACTCGTTTATGAGTTGATGCGAGCCAGAATCAGTGGCGAGATCGAACATTGCTGCGAACGGTTCAGAAGTCAGTTGACAACAGTTCTGCTATTGCCAAATGGAGAAGAATGGGCTGATACGTACGACCCCATCCGCCAACATAAAAGACCGCTTCAAATTCGTCTGCTCGACCCAGGAAATTCGCCAGCTTCTCTGATGACCTCCAAGACTCCTTCTTGAGGAGAAAATTCCTTGTCAGGAGATCATCATCGTCCACTTGATCAGACATTGGGTCAAGAGGGGTGATACCGCCTTTTGGCGAAGCCCAAATGATATCTGCATATGGTGCTAGAACTTCATGAGGGTGCGCCCCTTCTGGCTGTTCCAAGTTAGTGTCTGCCAGTCTTACAGCTTCTAAATACCCACCAAATACCATCCGGTCTTTCGACCTGTATTGCCAAGTTGATCGTGCGACGTAACTACAAACAAGACCTTTGGACGGAGAGCCATGGCAGTGTTTGGGTTGTGTCTCTTGTGAAAGTCAAATTCAATGATCTGAGGTCTGCTAATAATGCTGGATTGATGTATTTGTGAGGCATAGAAGCGAATGACTTTGGTATATATCTTCCCAGAGGTTACCAGTGAAGTCAGTTGCGATTTAAGCCGTTACCGCAAGCTACAATGAATCACTCCATAGAGAACGCACCGGCAGCGACCATAGCAGCACTCAGATGATGCAGCCTTCCATAATAGTGTTGCAAGATGACTCATCCCTGTTGACTACCAGGGCCTTTGCCTCCTTTGGGCAGTCTGCATAGATGACCACCATCCAACGTTGGAAGGAGTCGGAGCAATTAGTCACATAACCTCAAATTCCGAGACAAAATTGTGTAGGTGTGCCCAAAATCTCTCTGATTTTTGCAAGCCCAGCGGCAGGTAAGGTACGAAGCAATTCAGCTTGTCTTCAACACTGATGTCAATGAGAGATTTTCAGGTGGAAAGCGCTATACTCAGCTAGGCAATCGGCGCATAATCAACTTGAACGCCTCGGACTATATGTACGATCCATCATCCCTCTTTGAATTTTGCAGATGCCCAATCTCGCACGTCGGAATTCAGAAGGTCCTTGTACGACCAAGCAAACAGCGTTGCTTGTAAGCCAGCGATAAATTTTTTATCACAATACTTGTTGGAGAATCTCTATTTAGCTCAATGTGTTGCGATCTGCCCCACCTAATTCCTTAGCTCTTTATCTCAAACCTATCTGAACGAATTTACTCAAGATTTACACACTAGCCATAGCTCTGGGCTGAGTTCAGCAGCATACACCAAACTATAAAGATGGCTAAATTGCTCGTAGTCATCGGCATTACGGGAAATCAGGTACTATGTTCCACGACCGGTGGAAACCGCGGAACAATGTTGATGATCCTTATCACAGGGCGGATCCGTTGCAAGGGTGTTTCTTGGGATCCCGGGTTGGAGGATACGAGGAGTCACTCGCAATATCTCACAACCAGCGGCCAAAGGATTTCAGGCACAAGGTGTCGAAATTGTGCAAGGAGATGTCAATGATGTGGAGACAATCAAAGCTGCCGTAGCCGGTGCCGACGTGGTGTTTGGGAACACTGTTTTCCCGGCAAACTTCATCAATCCTACCGATGAAGACTGGCAGAGACTGAAACCGGGTCAGACCCTGCGAGAGTGGTGCTACGAGTTGGAGTACAGTCAAGGTAAAAACATCGCCGATGCTGTGGCTACCGTCGATGGCTTACAGCTCTTTGTTTGGTCATCTCTCTCCGCAGCCAAAAAATGGAGTGATGGCAAATATCGTGGTGTTTATCATTTCGATTCCAAAGCTGACGTGGTCGACTACATCCACAACAAGCTACCAGAATTGGCCGAGAGAATGTCCATTCTACAAATGGGCCTGTTCATCGACAACTGGCGCTGGGGTCAAGCCGCAGTACCATGGTCCAAGGTGAGTACATCACGGAGTCATTGAGCTACCACTGAAGCACGATAGCAACCAGACGGTACTCTGCTTTTGAATGTGCCTGGTGATGGAGACATACCGATTCCTCTGGTTATTCCGTCTGACGCAGGCTACTACGTTCGAGCCATAGCCGAGGTTGGGCCAGGTAAGAACGTCCTTGCATTTAGCAAGCGTATTGCGTGGTCAGATTATGTCAATTTATGGAGTAAAATCACTGGAGTTCCTGCCAGCTTTGCGAAAACTACGGTCGCTGAGCATGCACAGCTCGCACCAGGCGGATACGGTGAAGAAATGGCCGAAATGTACGCGTATGCCCAAGATTTTGGGTATGATGGATCAGATCCATCCGTCATTTATGCACAAGATGTAAGTCATACTTTCTTGGTCTGATCACTCCACAAAAAGTTCACCCTTCCGCTCCTACGGTGATCTTCTGCAATTTTACAATGCTGATAAGTCCTAGCTCGGCGTTGATTTACATGAGGTTACCACTATTGAGGACTATATTAGACAGGCAGACTGGTCACCTCTTCTGAAATAATGATAATGGACGTACTACAAAGTATTTGGGCAAACTTTAACGCGTTATCGCCTTCAGAATAAGAGTAAGAACCGAAGGCTCTATAGTTATCAGCTACAAGAAGAGGGTGCTACAGCCTCAGCTTATTCTCACAAGAAAGTATAGTTATCCTATATATTTCCACTTAAGTTATAAATACGCCTCAACCTCGATTTCAACTCGATGCTGCTCTAAAGCTAACGTTTCAACTCCAACCATAGTCCATGTCGGCTGATGGCTAGGGCACCATCGGCGCATTTCTTTGAGCATAAGATCTACTGTTTCTTTTCGTGTATCCTTTAGGCCAACGTGGTATGATCTAAGTTGAAAAACCTTCTCCCAGCCATTTAACTTAGTCGTGGTTGAGGATGGTGACAATTTAACCGTGGCCTGTAGAATAATGTCGTTGATATTGGAGAATGTTTGGTGTATCTTCTCAGCAAGGGATGCTGGCATTTCACGCGTAATCGGATGGTCACCAGCTGCGCTAGGTCAGCTATATTGCACCTTACCGCAAGGGCTGTGCGACTTACTTGTTCCGGAGAGCTTTAAGCTACCATTATACGCTACTGCTTCATTAAAGTAGAGCGTTTGTCGTGCCCATTCTCCCTTTCCAGCACGCGAAAAGTATTGTAGTTGAGACATGAGGTTCAGAATTAAAGCCAGATATTTAGTCGTATGCTCCAAAGCCAGCAGAACATCTTATTTGAGGAACTGTTTCAATATGTTCTCATTTTATACACCTTTAGGTACAAAGAACGAGAGTACGCCTTAGTTCGGGTTGGTATATAGGGTTAGTAATCAAGACCACGTAGGATGGGCAAAAGGTATGCGGAACTATCCCTTATTTGATTATAAATATGGCGTACTGAAATAGCACTATTCCCTGTTTGATTAGGACTACTTCTTCGGCGAGTAGTAAGTAGAACTTTACTAAACACCACCCGAATCGCTAGCCATAAGGCACGGTAGTTAATGACCAAGCATAAACCAATATGTCTTACTGCAATTCAGGGAAGTAATCCAGCCCCGTAGACTATACGCTTACCTCACAAAGTCAGCGCGTGGAGCGATAAGCGGAAAAGGAAGTGCGATTCGAAGCCCTATGTTTTTATGCTTGAATTCTAATAACCTATCACTAGACTGTGTTAGTAAGTCAAGGAGCGTGCACGGATGCACCGGTGTTATGTGTTCGAGCAAAGAGCTAGATGAGGCTGGAGGTTATTCATGGACACCAATAGAATTAGGCCTGCAGTGCTTCTGGGAAGTGATATATAATATGTGTATACCTGAACTGCAATGACTCATAATACTTTCAGATAATCAATCTCGAAAAATGTTTGGTTTTAGAAGAATGCTGTATCCTCGTTATGCACCAGTGTCAGTGGAAGAAGAACAAGAAGTTGTGGAAACAACCGACAGCACTATTCCGAAAAGTCCAAGGAAGGTCGATCGACAAATTCCGTTACCCTTGGGAACTGGGGACTGCTTTGCTATTCATATTAAGTCTCGTTCTCATTGTAGATCGCATATTGACAAAAGGCTCGCGATCGTTCAACAACGGATTTGGTACTGAGCTAGGTGATTGACCATGTCCCCATATTCTGGAGAAAAGCATCTCCTAACTATATATCTAGGGCCAGCACGGTCTTCAATTGATGTTATCAGGGTAAAGTTTACTGGAGGGTTGGTCTACGACGGCAACGGGATTCTCCAGCGAAACATCGCCCCAGATGTTCCCCAGTACGTTGGGCTTCCGTCATCAGAAATAGATGATGCATGGGAAGCCTTTATCCATGGTATGTAGTACCACCAAGCGCAAGATTCGCCTGAGTGGAGAGAATTTTTGACATTCTGCTAAGGTCGCTACATCGCTCTTTACGGTCACACCGGGAGAGGTATAGGCGGCGGAATCATTCTGGACGCTGAACAAGGAGTCTATCGTGCTGGGTACAACGCCTCGCTCTCTGCACTGTTCACAGCTAATGATCAACCAGTATCGATGTTCTTCACACTTTACATTGTATTGTACATCATCCTTTGTACAATGGTACAAGTGTAGAGGCTTACTGACACTTATTGCACAACAAAATTCGAAAGGCGACGTATTTTGCCTACTATGGCGACGAGCGAGAGGGCAAAGACTACTGGAGGTTGCATGTCGATAAGTGTTCTAGCACCTAGACAGGTAGGGGTGATATTGCTCACATAAAGATTTTAGATCACTGTATAGATCATTTACGCCAGGTTGTGCAATGCGGCAGGGATCTGACAGCGCTACCCGTCATATGGGCTCCAGGCGCCAATCGATCTGTTCCCGACTTTGAACAGGTCCACACTTGTAGAGACTTCGCTAAATTGAGGCTCTGGGCAACAGAAACAAACGCTGAGAGTCTTGCACTCGCTCGCAAAATAAAACTCAGGATCATCGCTAGCAAATGTAAAGTAGCATCCTAGTGCCACGATACCCACGGTCCCCATCACCGCCGATAGTGTCTCGAGATCAAACCACTCAGAAGGTAACGCAATCCCATTGCGATCAAATCGCTGTGGTGTATAACCTCGAGAAAACTTGGACTTATAAAGGCTATATATGCATGCATGATGGCAACAAGTTTAGAGTAGCAGTAAGGAAAGCCGATGGGGAAACCATCGAAAGGACAAAGACTGTCGCGCTTTGTCGATTGCAATTTATCTTCTAGACTGTCCTGCAGGTTTGTCTGTTAATTGTTAAAGTCTTTTCCCGCGGTCGTTCTCTCATTCGCAAATATTCACAGGAACTTTAGACGGACTGTAACTAATACTCGCCCGAGCTCGTACCAAATAGTTTCTACATGAAGACCTGTTCTGCCTCCGCTCGACAAGTATCACCGTCAGATTCTCTATTGTTGATGAACGAGAAGAAGCGTGAAGCACACATCTTGTGGCCCTAGAGGCAGGCTGCAGCTAAGCCTCAATTCCCAAATAACTTCGTATCCTCCACTAGCTAAGATCTGGGGTTTCGGGCTGTCCTTTACAAGTATAAATTATCGCGATAGGCATACAAGGGAGGGTTATTGCGCACGAGAGAGTAGTTGTTCTGGTTAATACATATCGATCTTTCCAGCGCTTAGAAAAGCCATGAATTAGTGCTCGGCGACTATAGCATTCCTTTTCCCTTATGCGGTGAGTAACTATTCCGCGCCGCCGTGGACCCGTATTTCAAACTTTCTGTATCCCATTGCCGCCCAAACGTGTACAAGTTCCGAATCCGAATTCGACCATTGCTACGCCGTGACGATACTGCTGCCACGCCACTATTTGATTGCAATGGTGAGTATGTGATTGTTTAATCGCCTTTGCATTCACCCAAACCTCTGAGCTTCCTACTGTCGCCAGTCGACTGATTGCATCGATGTCGAGCCTCCACATAGATAAGCAGTGTGCAGCATGCAATTTTTCTGAAGTATACGCCACCGACACACCCAAGGACGCGATACTCTCTACAGACACGGCGACTGTCATGTTGAGATCGATATACCAAATAAATGGGGCCCCCCAGCCTAGATGAGCAAGTAGTGTCGAATTAGACAGGGCATCCTGATAAAGTACCTCGTTGTGGCATAAGCGTGGAATCCATACGTTGGAATAGATACCAAATACGCAGCCTCGACTTAAAGCGGATTGGCGGGATAACCCGCAAGACGTAACGTTGTCCTCGAACTTGTAAATTGAAGACGAGATAGTAATCTCCGGCCCTGTCTCGCTGTGTTGTTGCTTCGATAGGCTCAGACTGTTGCTTGATAATTCTGTGGTCGACACAAGAGTTACAACGGCGATTAAGGTTGCTACCAGAACCAAGGAGAGTGAATAAATCGACTATATGAAAAATTGAAACCCCGTATGATTGAAAAAATTGAGGATTGTGCTGTGCTTTTCATTCTCAGGATTCCCCAGAAGGTGGCCTTCCTCGTCTACAATATCCAGGGTGTGCATGGCCGAAAAGTACGTAATTGCTTCTAGCTTCAGAGGGGCGAGGAAATTTTAGTAGTGTTGATACACAGCTATCAGTTGCATGGCTTAGGAAAGCAAAAAGTGTTGGAAAAGCTATCGGCAGGCCTGGAAATGCTCACACTCTCATGTTGAGAGTTTGCCGAGTACAAGACCTGCAACATAGAGGCTGCTTCAATGAGGCTGAGATTCTACATTTTCCTCTCGGCCATTAATTCCGTCAGTATGTTTCGTATCGTCATACTGTTATAGGCAGTCAGCAATCCCTGCGCTACGAAGCTCGTCGACTTTTCGGTTTGCGTCCTTGTTGTGTCATTCGGACATATACGTTCTGCATACGTACGCTCCGTTATCACAAATCGCCGTTGCTCGTTGGCCGAGAAGCATAAAAAGTTCCGCTGCTGACCGAGTTTTTCATTCCCTCCTTTGGCCCTTATGACGTCAAAATACATTGAAGACCTTTGGGGAAGGGGGGAAAGGAAACTAGGGTTGATGAGCAGATTTGACGGGGAGGTCTAGTGGAGAAAGATTGAGTTTTCACAAAGCCCATGGTGCTTGAATCACAGCCAGCATTCCCTCATACACTAAAAGGCTATACATCGAGCGGAATTAGATCCGATCAAAAGCGGGTTTTCGGTTAAAGAGCAATCGGCTAATAGTAAACTCAGTTGGCCAGTTACACCCATTCCCAGAACGCCTAATTGAGCTCACATGAATGAAACACAGACTATAATCTACGGCAAGGCATGATCTCGGTATAGCACCAATGTAGCACTCCTACAGATTAGGCAGGGCGTCCCGACTGTCATTATCCTGGCAGTTGTAGAATGCTCGAAAGGCTTCTATCATATAAAGCTCTGCGCCAGACCATGTTGCTGCTTTGCGGACAAACTTGCGATTGAAACTGCCTACTCTACTACTACAATTAACATTTTATATTTGGCACACGTCACTAGTCGGAACAACAACAGTCTTGATGATGAAGCTGCTTGTCCTGCTGGCTTTAATTGTACCTGCCGCGACAGCAATGCCTAATGGGGAATGGGTTGGAGAAGAGAAGCGAGAGGCCCTCCCAGACTCGTTGGTGAGTGTTGAAGGTAAAGATTTTTGTTGGAACTGACTAGAGGTCTTGGAGGGATACATATTCGGCTCCTCCACCTGACCACTACTCTGTTCCAACTTGAAAGCCATATCTGTCGTCGACGGGCCTCGGTTTGGGTCTTTTTGGGATCGTGCAAACGACCGGGTTTTCCCCACACCCTTTTGGCGCATGCAGAGGTTATGTCATGTGAACCTACCGCCCTTCTTACAAAATCGGAACATTATGAAAGAGTACATGGACGGCGGTATGATTCGCTCAGAAGTGTAGACTGAAATATACATAAGCAATGCACAACGATTGACTAGCTCCCATAGCGAATCTATTCTTTCTTATACATTATCTAAATTTTCACTTCTACCTCTCTGAGAGGCGAAAAGAATGCGAAAGCCGAATGAACGCACGGTACAAGTTTTTGCTATACGACATTCAATTCTAGCCATGCTTTTTTTCAAGCGGAATATGCTTTTTCTACGTTTTTGGCACTAAATTATAGCTCTCTATGTTTATTTGATATGACGGCGCTATTAGGGATATGTTTGATATAAAGAGGAGACCTTCGAAGTGAGCAGACAAAGTCGTAAACTATCGTGACTTAATTAAATAGGCTGGGACTGGGCTCCGAAACATATCCTTCTGCTTCTGGGAACGTCACTTAACGAGGTGTAGTTGATTTTCCATCCATACTTAGACCAGCACTTTTAAAGCGCACCACGCATTACAGACTTAGCTATGTCAACAGCAACACTGCGGGACCGATCTTCGAATTCAATTTCGTCTTCGTTGACAGCACGGCTCCCTTCTAAGGTGACACGAGTTGCCGCTTCCGCTGCCAGTCCCCCTAAGCTTTCCGATTGATAAAAATTGGCTTGATTTGCACATAAACATTATACATTCTTTGAGTAAATGCAACAAGCACATCAACGTGGCCATGCCGCACGGAAGCTTCCAACGAGCATCTCTGCCAATTGAGAGCAAATCGCTGGGTCAGAATAAGGACGGCAGAAGCCGACAACATGTTGTAGGTACGTGCAATATTCGAAACTTGTGTTGGAGAATGGAGCACGCCTGGCGCCGATAACCCTCCACGAGTATTCGTTCCAAACACAACGCCATAACGGCTTTGCGATAAATAAACGGCATCAGCATTTGTAGGTATGTCGATAGTAAAGTTGCTGAGTTGCTCGACCATAACGTCATCTTCGAGGATTAGGAAAGGTCGAAAAGTGTCGTGCTGAAGGGCTTTCTCGATAACCAAACCATGACTGTAGGCGCATGCATATATCGGGTCATCAGGGAGGTGAATTCCTCGCACTGATTATACTTCTTTAAAACCGGTCCGGTTGAGAGCAGTCTCCACGACGTTTTTCGTCGTTGTAACCTTGGAGGCAGGCACTCCGATACCGGACTCAGGATGAATACCGGTATATCGAGAATGTTCTGAGAAAAGAAGTGATCCTGTGGATTTAAGAACCCATCAGATGGGAATCTTGCTTTGGACGCATACTTTTAACTATAATTGAAAAGTGTAGATGTCTCCTTGCTCGCGCGAATTATAGAAATTAGAATTACTCCAAGAATGATGTACCAAGAGTTTGGGAACATTGTAGCTATCTGGTACGACTAATACTGGATTGCGGTCATTAGAAAGGGAGGTCTATCTACAAGAAAAATCACGAGTTACTTTGATCTGTAAGCTTCGCGAATACAAATTTCCGTTCATAAAACGAGTCGCCGTTCATAAAACGTGTCGCCGTTCACGAAACGCAATCAAGTCTAATAACATCACTTGCGAAACGCCCTGGAAACAAGGCAATTCAAAAACAATCCTCTTTGTGGAATTTCAGCCACAAGGTTCAACTAAAACAAGTTCAGAAGCAGACAGCGTAATTTGAGAGTGCTTAGGTCTAGTGCTAGGTCGCAGATTACAGGGTAATGTGTTTTATGGCAAGCAAAGGCTGGGAGCAATGATAATCTAGCTAGCGGCGAGACTCTTTCCCTACATAAGCATGCAAGCGTTAGTAATGACCTACATAGACGACTTCGTCGTCTGCTGATTACTTTCCGGATGTGAGGGGTCTTCGATCGCATTTCCGGGCGCCCGAGAGTAGGCCAGGCACAATTTCAGCTACGGACGCTAATGCCACTTAAATACTATAAGAATCTAACAACGTTCGTTTGCATGAGCTCGTATATGCATAGAGATAGCTATAAAAGGCGGATCGAAAAGTCCAAATACGGAGCTTCATTGCTGGAAAGCAGGATCAATTACTACACGCGACTATAGAAGCACTGGCCTGGACTAGATGAGCGCGGACACTCGCAGTCGTGACGGCTGCTGGACTTGTCGGCTAAGGAAGAAGAAGTGCGATGAGTTGCACCCAAGCTGTTTCAAATGCCAGAGTTTAGGTTTAGATTGCTTTGGGTATGGAGGGAAACCCGACTGGATGGATGAGGGTGCCGCCCAGGAAGCCCGCCTTGCAGCAGTAAGGGTAAAGGTAGCCGATGCTGTTCGGCAACGGCGTATTCAGCGATAAAAACAAGCAGAGAAACGACTACCGAGCAGAAAAGTGACCAGTGGGCGAGACATGACTTCACTAGATCTACCTAACTCATCAAATGTGACAAACGATGATACTGGCCACAATCTACGGATTCACTACCAAAAGTCCCGGGAAACACAACAGAGAAAGTACCTCGATCATGCGGGTAATCAAAATCTTATGGGATTGTTACCAAGGGAACATAAAGGATATCTCGCCACTAGTCCATTGCGGTTTCACAAATCGCGATCCAATGCTTTCCGAGCTATCGACTTGAAAGCACTTCCAGTCACAAGCTTTCACGAAACAAGACTCTTTGTGTACTATGTTGAAGAGGTCTTCAATTGGCAATTCCAGCTACAACAGTCTTCAAGAAAGGTCATGCAAACGAGCTGGATTGTATGGCTGATCAATCAATCGAGAGCTCTGTATCTTGCAACGATGGCACTAAGTGCGTCACATAAGCGGTTATTGTCCACTCCTAGGGCCAACAATCTCAATCCTGACGCTCACGAGGTGCTGCGGCGATGCGATCTGGCCATCGCCACGTTACACCATACACTGAGCACAAGCCAAGTTGCGCAAAGGTCGGAATGCGATTGGCATGATACTAGCACGCTGTTATGCACCGTGATGTTTCTTTGTTTCAATGTGAGTATAGATTGGCCCAAGCGATGCAACGTACTCACCTATAAGGAAAAGGTCCTCGATGGAGATGACAAGGGTTGGCAGATGCATTTACGAGCTGCTTTGTCTCTGATATCTTCTCCTGTCCGACAAAAAGCTTTCCTGCTTCATGTTTCATCAATAGATGGGTACAGAGCTGACACAAGTCGGGAGATGTTGGCCTCTATCAGCAGGCAACCTATAACTCTAGAGGACACGTTATCTAAAGCCTTGATAGGTGTAGTCATGTGGCGGGATGCACTTTCAGGCCTGAATACTTCATACACCTCCATCCTTCATAAGGACTATCGAGTTCTGTTATCCGATTCAGAAATCTATACCGACCTAGAAAGTCTTGTTGCCTGCAAAACTTGGGTGATCGTTATTCTTTTGGATATTTGGTCACTTCGAGACCTCAAAAGAGCAGCCAGCACCTCAAGCAAACTCAGCCATTGGAACCTAGATCGTGGAGCAGAGCTCATCAGATTGAGATTGACGGAGAAAATGAACGTTCTGTCTCAGATCATCGCTGAACAGGACAGTCGAACGTTCGATAACTTCAATTCGACTACCCTGACGCTGAAGTCACCTGATCGTGATGTGCATATTATCACGTATGTATTCGCCTGCTCTCTTTCGAACTTACTGGAAGTCACAGTTTCAGGATACCACCCTCACCTTACCGAGGTAAGGTGTCAAGTAGCGCGGACCATTTCAACTCTTCAGGCTAGGCTATGCCCAAGCCTAGTAAAAGCGCAGGCCTGGCCGATATGTACATTAGGTTTCATGGCAGAGCAACATCACCACCAATTCTTTGCAAACCTACTTGATTCTTTGCAGTCACATATCACCATAAATTTATCAAACGTTCTTAGAGTTCTCCAAAGGTGCTGGACCTTGAGAGAAGTAGATTCAGGATCTCCTGACGGTATAAGTTGGATAGAGGCGATGAATAGCCTTGATATAGACATATTGCTGATCTAATCGATATCTTACTAGTGTACACTAGTACTCCTATCTAAAAGGACTCGAACAATGCAATCATCTTAAGTTAGGGTTGAACAACGTTAACAAGTAAATTTTCTATTTTTTATCTATTATAAGAGATTAAGTAAGAGACGTTCTATCAATCGGCACTACTTACGTCTTAATAGCTCTTTCCTATTTTAAGATATTTATTATTCTACTCGTTATATTATTCCCTTATTCTTTACCTCACCAATTAGATCTGTGACTATTTAGAGGTGCTGAACCGTCGCAACTCGGCCCGAGGCGGGTATGATACAGTGGTCAGAGCCCCGAGGGGCTCTGACCAGGCTTCCCATTGCTGAATCGGGTAAATTTAGCGCTCTGAAGCTTTCTCTGATGCTTAAGTACGTTAATCTCCTGCTTACGTTCTCACAGTAATCAGACGACCTCGGGAGAGATGCACGCAGAGTCGATCCATGAGACATAAAAAGTCATCATCGTGTCTTCAATTTGGAGGCTCATCGCCTTCCACTCGCTATTGAGAAGACATCCCATGCCATTACAGGCCCCCGAACCAATGAATCGACATGTTATAGCAGCAATTGGACTGGTTGCTGCGTCTTTCTGCTATTACTTCCTGTCGTCCTTCATATCTTGCCGTCGGCATGCTCGAAGGGCAAGAGCACTCGGCTGTTTACCAACAACTCAACGACCACACAGATTCCCGCTGGGTCTCGATCTGGTTTGGGCTCTAATACAAGCCGATAGAGACCACATTGTGCCGACCCATCTGCTTGATGTGTACCATGAGCTCGGGGACAAGGCGACTTGGGTTCAGAATGCCTTTGGGTCCACTGCGTATTTCACGGCTGATCCTCTCAACATCAAAGCCTTACTTGCCACTCAATTTCAGGACTTCGAGCTTGGATCTCAGCGGCGTGGAACCTTCTTCCCGATGCTGGGCAATGGTATCTTCACCGCGGACGGCAAGGCGTGGTACGTTTACGGAATTCCTGGAGCGGGAGCAAGGCCGAACAATCCTATCCGATGGAGTTTGACTGACGCGCAAGCAGGGAGCATTCTCGTGCCCTGTTGCGACCTCAATTTGCTCGCCAACAAGTAGCTGATCTACAGCTGGAAGAGGCCCACGTCCAAGACCTATTCAGACACCTCCCGGCTGGTGATGGCGGCTGGACTGAATGCGTCGACCTCGTTCCATTGTTCTTTCGATTGACACTCGACTCGGCTACGGAGTTTCTTTTTGGTCAGAGTGTTGGCTCGCAGATTGCGGCGCTCCCCAGCCACGAAAGTAAAAGCCAAGTAGTTGGAAGTCTAGATTGGAGCTCTTTTGGACTTGCCTTTGACCTAGGCACAAAGGCCTTGGGAGAACGAGGACGGCTTGCCGACTTGTACTTCCTCTACAACCCGAAATATTTCAGGGAGAGCTGTAAAGCGGTGCACAAGTTTGCCGACTACTATGTCAACCTAGCGCTCACAAACGACACTTCTCCTACAGGCGCCGAACACAAAGACACTGGAAAAGAATGGGAGAAAGACCGATATATCTTCTTGAACGAACTCCTTAAACACACCCGAGACCCGATCGAGCTCAGGAGCCAGCTGCTAAATATTCTACTCGCAGGGCGTGATACAACGGCGGGACTTCTTGGATTCACTTTCCTCCTACTGGCTCGACATCCCGATATCTATAAGAAACTTCGAGCGGTCATCGTCAACGACTTTGGCTCGTACCAGAGACCGAAGAATCTGACCTTTGAAAGCCTTAAGGCATGCACGTATCTCCACCATATCTTGTCCGAAACCCTCCGCTTATGCCCCATGGTCCCATTCAACTCCCGCCAAGCGACTAAAGACACCACAATTGCACGAGGTGGGGGTTCAGATGGCAACTCACCCGTATATATCAAAAAGGGCGAGGAGGTAAATTATTCCGTGCACATCATGCATCATCGAGCCGATATCTGGGGGCCCGACGTGGAGAAGTTCAAGCCAGACCGGTGGATCGGCCGCAAACCTGGCTGGGAGTTCTTGCCCTTCAATGGGGGACCGAGGATCTGTCTGGGACAGCAATTCGCACTGACCGAGGCGGCTTATGTCGTTGTCCGCATGCTCCAGCGGTACGATCGTATCCAGACCAATGAGACGGACCCGATTATGAGATACCAGTATAGCTTGACTACCTCGCCTTTGAAAGTACCTGTACGGCTGCATGAAGCTGTTGTGTAGTGGATAAATTCTATGGTGTACGCGAGGATTATGGCAGCGGTATCTTTGTTGGGTGACGGGTTCAGGAGGAAATTCAAAAACCTTCTCCTGGAAGAGGAAGCATGCGTACGGTGCGGTGAGGTGGGATAACAAGATCCTCACCCAGGGTTTAATTCGACCTGAATATGCTAGTTTGACTGTGTACTATGTTCCTGGCGACCACATACTCCTTTTTATCGTCTTCCTATTCCGTTGATAGACGATGACATTGCTGGAAGGTCAGCGTCCTCCCTTACATCGCCCTTGCAACTCAGGAAGGTGTTTACATGGTCTGAAGGTAATGAAAATCTTTCAAATTTCTGAGATTTATAGAGAGCTCAACTCCAACATTTGTATTTCATAGCCGTCGTTGCACCGTCGCTACCCATAGCCCGTCGACTTCAACACACCCCTCTCCTACACTATTCTCCAGCAAGCCGCTGAGCAAGTATTTCCTCCCCTCCCTCTTCTCCAGCCAGGCCTTGGCGATCACCGTGCCCGGAGTCCTAACCGGCCGACGAAAGCTGACGTTGAGTCTGGCTGTGTACAGCTCTTCTCGAGATGACGAGCTTGTGGCTCGATAAAGCTCGACAACCATTGCCAGTGCCTCGTCCATCAGTGTACACAATAGTCCGCCATGAGCAGTGTCACGAAAGCCATTCACACCGGACTCCAGGCGAAACAAGATGAGAACGTCCGGGCATTCCACGCCGGACGTCGTGGTCATCAATGAGCCTGATCCCTCACTCGGCGAGCTCGTTCCGGGTGGGGGAAAAGTGATGTTTGATACCAGTGCCAGCCAGTTTTTGATTGTGTCGTTGGTCTGGAGAGTCTTGCCCAAGAATTCGTCTTCCTTGTCAGTGATTGCAACCCGGGCGGCTGTGACAATGGGGGTGTAACGAGGATCATCGAGCCACTTCTTGGTCGAAGACTCGGACCTGAAGAAGTCTAGCTCTTGGGGGCTCACTTTGGCTGCGCGGAGGTTTGCGTAATAGTCGTTGCTGCGCTAGTCGGCCATAGTGGGAGAGAAGAAACAAAACGTTTTATTGCGCCTCTGTGATTGCCGTGCAGATGAGTAAAGTTGAGGAATTAGGAGCCGAAGTCATAAACTCATGAAGGATGCCAGGTTGAATGATCCAGTCTAGATCCCTGGTCGAGAAGTTTATAGTCGGAAGCAGTATCGCGCCATCGTTTCAGCTAAGAGGCTGGGCTCGAAGAAGTGGGAGATTCGGTTTGTCGGTCTATTAATTTCGGCTCGCTCATCAACGCCCTCCCATTGACTAGAGAGGGGTCTCAGAAGTACCTCTCGATTGGAATCCAGTCAACATGGGCACCAAAGGGATTGTCAGGACAGAGAAGGGCCGACACAGGGCACCGAGGCCTTGCCATCTGCTTGCTTGTTGTGTATTTTAGTGGTTGACCGGGGGGTTAGTGGTTAACGAGTTCCGGATGACGGCTAATTATCCAGATTGGGCGAGAGCCTAGAGGGGCTTCATTGGAAATCCCCTGTCGCATCAAAGGGCCCCGAATCCCGGTATCGTGTAGACGAAGCTCAGCCCGGGACTTGAAAGGGTACAATAATCAGCCGAGGTGTGTGATATCAGGCCGTATAACCGACTACCATACCAAGACCTTTTTGGCTAGGTTGACGCCCGTCACATGTGAGGCTGGAAGCTCATTAGAACTAGTTAGTCCTCCACGGGTTTGAGAACTGTAGCATTCACTGTCTTCGTTTTGATTCTAGAGAGCCAACTATAGAACGTACGCAGTACGTATTTAACCGCTCTTCACACGCCTGTCCGGTTGGATCAGATCTACCATCGGTGGCTTACCTTCGATTAAGTGGCCTCCAGATTTGATTCTCCAAAACACAATCGCAAATTGAATACACATCCCCCCAAAAATCAAAATGGGGGAATCAGCTCCGATCCCAGGAATACCACGGATTCACGTATCAGCGGGCGCGGACAAGATACTCAAAATTGTCCAAAAACATGGAGGAGTCATAATCAGCGAATTTCTGAGCCGGGCCGAAGTCTCCTCCTTAGACGACGACCTCGTCAAAGGCTTCGCCACGATTCAGCCGGGATCCAAGTTCGACAATGAGGATTACAAGGACTTTCACGGGCGACAGACCAAGCGACTCACCAATGTCGTGACTCACAGCGAGGTGTTTCGGCACAATCTCCTGGACAAGAACCTGATTTACGAGATTCTCGACCGGGTCTTTGAATACACCAACAAGGCCTACTGGATGGCCGCCGCTCAAGCGATCGAGATTGGTCCCGGAAATAAACCTCAGCCGTTGCACCGCGACCAAAGTCAATACCGGGTCTTCGATATCTGGGGCCGAGATGCACCGGAGGCGTCGGTTAACTTTTTGATCGCCACCACCCGCTTTACAGACGAGAACGGGGCGACTCGCGTGGTGCCCGGGTCTCACGCCTGGCCGGACTATAAGGAGACAGGGAGCCACGAAGACACCATCCCTGCCGAGATGGAGGCAGGAGACTGTCTGTTCATCAGTGGAAAGATTGTCCACGGCGGAGGATCGAACAGGACGGCGGAGGAGCTTCGTCGTTGCCTGGCATTCACTTTCGCGGCCGGATATCTGACGCCGGAAGAAGCCTTCCCCTTTCAGATTCGCAAGGACATTGCAAAGACTATGTCGACGCGTGCGCAGAGGTCGATTGGCTTTAGATCCGTCTATCCGGCCCCGCATGGAGCAGGGCTTTGGATGCACGACTTCTCGGAGCTTGCAGACTACATTGGAATGGACGATTAGAGAGTGTTCATCATTGGGTCCCGTGAAGTTAGAGAGAACTGGGGCCATCTTGGTCCGACAAACTCCGATGGACCACTCTAGAGTCTCGCGTCTGTTCTCGCAACTCTCTGCTCTTGGCCCACGACCCTGAAACCGGTCAACCAGTCCCCGTGCATGATTATTCCACAATCATTTCGAGTCAAGAGACTGGACCTAAAGACCTTGTTCCTTCGCTTGTTATACTGTTGTGAGCTAGTCAAGTGTCAGCTCCCAGACAACATAATCGGTAGCAGTGTGAGATAGGCCTAAAGCATATCTTCTGGGTCCTAGGATAATTAAGTAAGCGTAAGCCTCAGCCTCCAAGGGCTCACCAATTCCAGAGCCTTGATCGAACAGAGAAAGGCAACTTTATTTCTTAACCCTATCCCTTTTGATAGAACCCCCACCGTTGAACATAATACTTCTCAGATGAACAGCTAATGAAGGACAAGATATATAGAGGCGGGTGGACCAGTAAGAAAGCCCCCCACTTTATCCACCTAGGTTTATCACGCACAGAGCGAGAGAATCCAGCCGCTTCGATGCGCGTAAATGTCCTCTTTGGGTCTAAATCCGAACTGTCAAGTTCAGTTAAACTCGTGTTCGAACTCAAAGACAACCTTAGGACCCGTTGACATGGCTAGTCCGTCTAGCTGACTCCGGAATATCAATAGAACACCAAAATATCTCCTCTGTATTTTTCTCATGGGAACAATGTTGATCAAGTATCTGAGCCGACACGATGTCATCTGCCACGGCCAAAGTTGGTTAGCCCAACACTCCATGAGTGCGGGCGTGCACGGCTGCTTCGATTCCCAGAAGCAAATCAGCCGGGGGCAGATATGACAGATTAAAGCGAAAGGAGGAAAAGGTACAAATATCGACTTCTGTACAGACCGCGATCAGGCTGTTTAGGCCTCTGTGCTTTCCTCTACCAAAACTAACCCCTACAAGACCCCCCAAGAAAGAGACCATTCAATCCGAGGCATAACGCACGTGCACCGGACAAAATGACCATGACCGACCACTCATCCACAAACAATGCGAGCGAACAGAAATCCGAGTCCATGGCCACCGCCCTGGGGGCCGAATCCGTCGACCAGGACGAAGCTGTCGGCGAGCATGAACTGCTCCGGCCCAAGGTGCACTTTCGTTTCTGGCAAACCCTGGGCTTGAATTTCTCTCTCACCTGCACAGCCATGGCGATCGGGGCCTATCTGTCCCTGATCCAAGGACTGGGCGGATTCCCCTACTTCTTTTGGTGCTTTGTCTTCGCCGGGAGTTTCCAGCTCCTGCTAGGCGTCACCGTCGCTGAGCTAGCCTCGGCCATGCCTCACTCATCGGGTTAGCACCCCTTTTCTTCCTCCCGTGAATCCATCCGTTTCGAAATGACCAGTGGTCAAATTACTGACATTAGACCCTACTGATTCCAGGTCCTGCATATTGGGTCAAAGTCTTGAGTCCTCCCAAGTACTCGCAATTCCTCGAGTATCTTGTCGGCTGGCTCACCATCTGCGTCTACTGGTTCATTACCACCGGCAATACACTCTACCTGGCTGAGACCACTGTCGGCTGGGTGGAAGCCTGTTACCTGGACTACACGGCAACGCAGTGGCAGATCTACCTGGTCTCGGTGGCATGGGCCGTCCTACTGGCAGCCATGAACCTGCCCGGCCCATTCAAGCTGCTGCCTCATCTCATGTCGGCTGGGATTGTACTCATCAACTGTTCCTGGATCTTCATTCTCATCGCGATGCTGAGCCGAGTCGAGAACAAAAACAGCGCCAAAACGGCTTTTGTCGACGTGATCAACGAGTCCGGTTGGTCGTCTAACGGCGTTGTCTTCTTCCTGGCCATCTTACCGGGCATCCTCTCCGTCAGTGGCTTCGATGCCGTCACGCACATCACGGATGAGGTGCCCAACCCGAAAAAAGATATTCCACAGGTCATCCTCGCCTCGACCGGCCTGAGTGCGGTGACCGGCCTTGCCATGGTCATCATGTATGCCTTTTGCACCGTCAACCCGGAGGTGCTGCTGGCGCCCTACGCCAATCAGCCCATCATCAACGTGCTGCAGGACGGTCTGCGGTCGGACGCGCTCTTCCACGTGGCCATGACAGCCTACCTCGTCACCATGTACATCGCCAGCGTGGCCGCCTTCACCGGCTGGAATCGACTGTACTGGTCCTTTTCGCGCGCCAACGGCCTACCCTGGTCCCGATTCACGGCCAAGCTCTCCGGCAACGACCGCATCCCCGTCTACGCCGTCATAGCCAACCTGGTCATGGTCGTCGTCCTGGACGCGCTCGGAATCCCCTCCCTGACGGCCCTCAACGCCATCTTTGGATCGTCCTCCATCTGTGCCCTGACCTCCTATTCGCTGTCCCTGTTCCTCGCAATCCGACGAGGACGAGGGTTCCTGAACCCGGACAGATGGCTGAATCTTGGCCAGGCAGGCTTGCCCATGCAGTGTATCGCCTTGGTTTGGGCTGTCTTTGCCAGTGTCTGGCTGTGTTTCCCGCTCTACCTGCCCGTCACGCCGGAGTACATGAACTGGAGTTCCGTCATCATGACTGGCATTGCCCTTTTCGCCACGGTCTATTATCTAGTGTTCCATAAGCACATTGCCGCCCACGATTTTTACGCTTAACGGGGCTGATAGGTAGGTGGTTGATGGCCGGGGGGTTTCCTTGCCCAATGAACATGCGCCGTTAGACGACGGGGTGGATTTAACTAAACCTGCCGTCTTTGTATTTGTGGTCAAGGAGCCGTCCAGTAGGTAATGTCAGATGCCAAATAGCACATATACCAATTAACAACGTGCCCTGTGTCCAATCTAAAGAAAATCTCGCACATACTTATGGCTCTTTGTAATGCGAGACCATAAGGGGTGGAATAAGCCGAAGTCATTTTAGCATGGTCGAAGAAGATGGAGGCATTCCTTAAGCTCCAGCCTGGGCCGTTGGCTGTGTGTAGCATGATGCCATGCACATCAACAAAGTAAACTTGACTACAAACCCGTGGAGCCAGCAGATCTGGTCACCAGTGACTAGACCATATTGATTAATCGCATCAACTTCGAGGGACATCCACGTCTCTCTCTCACCGTCAACGTGGGGGAGGCACTGGGGGCCAGGGCCAGACATTTTGTCCGTCGTAGCCTTTACCTCGGTATTGTATCTTTCCAGAGGCAAACCTTCTCTTGGGGACCTAGACCTATTTAAGGTATTTTGGCGCGTTGGAGCCACCACTCCTCGATTTGGAAAATCATGCCTAGGCAGCAGTGCGAGTTCGACATATGTTGGCAAGTACATAGGCAGAGGACAAAATATGACCATCCAAGAACACTTGGTTGCGCGGCAGTCTTAGTTCAAGACACCTCACCATCGCATTCAACCAACCCATAACATCTCACGGCTTTGAAACCATGGCTCTCCCTCTGCCCCTCGACGGCAAATGTGCCATTGTCACGGGGGCATCCCGAGGTTCGTGACCATACGGAGTATGCTCCAATATGTCTGGAACTGTCTCTTTTTAATAGAAGTGCGTCTTTAGTCCTAACCCCCCATCTCCCAGGTATCGGTGCCGAGATAGCACGCGAGCTGGCTCGCCAGGGAGCCTCAGTCCTCATCACATATGCGCGATCCGCTGGAGAAGCGAACACGGTGGTTGAGGAACTCGAAAAGATCCGGAAGCAAATCGGGGATATGGAAAAGTGCGGTGCAAAATTCAAGGCCGTCCAAGCCGACGCAGCGAAAGCGACCGAGGCAGCCGAGAAGACCATCGCCGCCGCCACTGCCTTGTTCGTAGAAGAAGGTCCTTCCGGCGGTGATGGTAGTATTTGTGGTGGGATCGACATCATAGTCAACAATGCCGCCAACGGCGAAGACCTCGACCTCTCAGCCGTCACGGCCGAGACGTTCGACGCCTGCTTCCACCCCAACGTCCTGTTCCCGCTGTTGCTCGTCAAGTTGAGCAAGCCGATACTGAGGAACAAGGCACGGATTGTCAACATCAGCTCTGCAGGGGCGAGAATCGGTTGGTCTTCACCCTCTTCTACAGACCGCTGGCTTCCCTTTTGGTTGCCCTTTCAGGTGCCCTTGAGAATACCTGACGTAAAGTAGCCTATCAATCGGCCATCATGTACGGAGCCTCAAAAGCAGCTCTTGAAAGTGTCACCAAGAGTCTGGCCCAGGAACTAGGTATGCCTTGCCCCCACTCTTCTTTTGGAAAATCGGTTGATTGAACATCTCCAGGCCATGCTTATGAGGCCACAGTCAACGCAGTCAATCCCGGCCCAGTCAGGACACAAATGTGAGTTCACCAGAAACCCTTAGCCCAACGTTTTTGTCACCGCTGAAAACTGGAAATGACAACTGATCAAACCTCCTGGACAGGTGGTCCGAGGTCCCGAACTCGGAGCAACTCGAGGAGATCCTGAGCCAGCGAACGCTCGCATCCCCGCGGATAGGCGAGGTGGCGGACGTCGCGCCCATTGTTGCCTTCCTCTGTCAGGAACAGTCCAGATGGGTGTCGGCTAGCGTGGTCAATGCTAATGGGGGAATGTTGCCAGTCTGACAAGGTCATCACTTTATCTAGAGACAAAGGATACAAGACTTGGTACAGAGACCAACTCGTAACTTTTGGGTGATTGTCATTATGATCATCATCGTCGTCGTCATCATCATCGTCTTTTTGTTTCGAGTCTGTCCATTGTAGTGGTTTCGAATCATGTCACAGATCCGCATAGTGGTGATCCTACTAGCCGATGAAAAGGCCGCTGTTGTTTTCCCTTGTGTACCTTTCGAGGCCGACAGGGCCGAAAACACCTTCTCCTTCGGATTGGCGCCCCCACATCCACATCAGAGCCTTACACGCTCTTCCCTGAATGCCCGACTTGTAGCTTTGTTGGTTGAGGTAGGACAGCAGCCGATCCTTGTCTTGTTGCTCCCGCAGGCAGGACCCCAAGATCACCAGGGGCCAGAAGGATGTCACGGCCACCGTCATGGCTTTTACGCTCTCGAAGAGGGACAAGGCGTCTGCGACAATGGGCTTCAGCGTCATGTACAGCAGATGACGATCCGTGTCCTCGCAGAGGTAAGAAGCGTGCAAGAAGGCCAGAAGCGCATTTTGGTAAATCAGCGTCACCTTGACCGATGCTTCGACCTCGGGGAGCGGTTGGGCTAGGCTGTGGTCCTGCCAGGCCATGATATCGGCGGCCAGGCGGCGGTACAAGAGGTCGACCCCGAGGCAGCGGCGGTCTTCCTTGGTCGAGTTGCGGATTAGAAGGCCGAATAGGGCGACCTCGGGCATCAGGGTGAACAGGTCACACGCAGCCACCATGATGTAGCCAAAGGTGCTGTAGCCGCGCAGGGAGCGGTAAAACTGCAAGGATTCGATGTTTGCGTAAATGTCAACCTCTTCGGCCGAATATTGAAAGGTGATCATGCTCGAATAGTAGGTGTAGACCTCGAAAAGAACGCCGTAGATCTCCGAGTACTGGTGCGCGGAGGCGTGTCCCTGCGCGATCTTAACCAGCTCCCGGGTCGCCCGAAGGTGCGATCGAAGATAATTACGTGGGTTCCCTAGGAGTGACTGATGGTGGAAGGTGATTAGCTAGGAAACCATTGAGCCTCCCCCAACTCCCAAACCCAGGAAAGACCACATACCTCTTGGTGACAGAGCAGTATGGCCGCGCTGAGCAATCGGACAACCTCTTCACCCGTTTCCGGCGGCCAGTGCCCCTGCCCGAGCGCCGCTCGTAGTTGGACCAGGGTCTCGTGTGTGTGGTGTGTTCCAGCGTGGGCAGAGCATACATGACGGCCATGCGACTGCCACTGAACGCCAATAGTGCACTCCATATGAGATTGTCCGACTGGGAGAGCTGCAGCACCAGCCGAACGAAGGGATCATTTCCGGGCAGACGACCGCTCATGCCTTTGCTGCCTTCCAGCACAAAGAATTCGAGAAGTCGCCAGGAAAAGTCCTGGCTTTTGGAGAAGGGTGTGGCCATGCCTGTTGGGCTGAGTCCGAAGAGAGGCCTCAGTTCAGGTGCCACGTCATGTCGCCGGCTGACAACATGATCTGAAGAAGACTTGTTGGTGCCATTGTGGTTTCGAGTTGCTGTTGATGAGGGGTTTGGGGAGTTCCGCGGTGCCTTCCCTCGAGCTTTGGGCGTTCGAAGAAAATCTTTGACAGAGATCGAGGCCGCCTCGATGATTTGGAAAGACGGCCAATCGCAACTAGTCTGGAGTTTGGCACAACTGAAACAGGTCGGTTTCCTTTCATCGCATTTCTTGCGGCGGTATCGACAGGTCAGGCAGCCGCTTTTAGTCCGTATCTTTCGCGCCGGCAGATGCTGATGGGTAGAGTGAGGTTCGTTGGGTGAGGTCATTTCATAAGGAGAACCTGCGAGCGTCGACGATGTGTAAACGGATACAATGGCAAGTTATGCCCGAGATTGAGAAAGCCGAGGTTTCGCAGGTAGCAGCAGGATGTCTTGGGCGGTGTTAAGATCATGCCTAGAACAGACGAAACGTGTGGGCACCCACTGACGCCCACGAAGTTAGGGATGCGGAGACAGTCTAACTTGGCAATCAACCTCGGGCTTGATATTCCTGCGGAGCACGGCGAAACAGCTTTGAATGAGCAGTCTGATCGATTCTACTTGGTTGGTTGATCTCTCGTTACTGTCACGGATTAGTAGCATTAGGCAAGTAGACCGAGTAATCCTTTGCAATTCCAGTCTTGGCAGGTTCGCCGCGTGTACCCCTGTACACTTCCTTTCCTCCAACCTACCAGTCTCATACTGCTAACTTCCCACTCGCCACTATCTGTCTATCACTATCTCCAGAACCATCTCCTAGCCGTATCATTACTATCTTGGGGTTTTCCAGCAGTGTGACAGTTTAAAATCTGAAGTACAATCTACTGAAGTTTGTTCACCAAACCCTAACCCTCTCTCCTGCACTTACCCTGAGTTCTGACCGACCAGTGACTGATCTCTCACGAATCTCTCTTAAAGCCTCCCTGCTCTCAAGCGCCTCCGACCTCCTCCTATTTGCTGGCGTTGCCAGTCCAAAAGCTGTACCCCGCTCTGGAGTAGTGGGCCTCGGCACTGACGCGCCCCAGGCGGTCTCAATGGTTCATCCGCTGTTGCGTTGCGTTTTAAGCCTCGGGCACTTCGGCCCTTGCAGCTCCGTAGCAGGACGAGTTGATTAGGCCAATTACTGCCGGGTGTCGACTGGGACGAGCTTATCAGGCTTATCACTCCTACGCGGGCCCTTTTGGACAGGTCCCTCATGCCTATCAGTGCATACCAAGGTAGGCATTGATAAGCTTAACTGGAGTCGAATCAAGTCGAATTAAGCCGAACAGCACTTCAGATAGCGTTGTCTTGATTGATCCAAAGTTCAATAGTGACTTTTGCCCCCAGCACGAGACTTGACTGTCAACAAGGCCTATGAGATCCGCTGCGATTGCGGCGGTCCTTCGTCCCTATCTAGAGGCGGAGCCCAACACTCCAATATTCTTCTCCCTTCACGACGATGGAAGAATGTATGCATACAGGTTCATCTCGATGATGGCGCCACCCCATAGACCTGCCACAGCGACCCCAGTCTGTGCAGGTCGATTCTCACCTAAGTAAGTTCCCATGGCCTCGCGCAACGCCCCAATGTACTCGTCGTCGAGTCCAGGGTGGAAGAGGATCCATTGATAAACATTTTTCCATCCATCTTTGCATCCTGCCTCGCGGAGGGTTTTATCGGCATTGGAAAATGCCTCAAGGATCTGTTCACGCTTGTCTGGCGATAAACTGCCGTCTTCTCGGAAGCCGCATTGTCCCGCAGTGGCGACGAGTTGGACACCGACGGGCAAGACGACGGCCTGCGACAGGTGTAGGGTGTTGCTGATCTCAGTTAGAGCCCCTGCGGGGTCGAAGGCTCGAAGGCCGTCATAGGTGAAGGAACTCTTGGTGTACTCGGGCATGGTGATGGGTGCTTGCTTGGCTTCAGGGCTGTTGATAACCGGGCAGGATTGGCAATGGCCTTGAAGGTAAGGAAGAGAGATGAGGACGCTTTATGTGCTTCAGCCTCTGGCATCCACTCCGTAGTCCACCAATAGTATAGATAATCGAGTTAATTGCTATATGAAACGTTGGCCATGGCCATGCCCACGACTTATGGAAAGCCTGAAGGGCCCCCCAGTCAACACTGGGGAAAACGCCCATATACTATAACAGCCGGACAATGGCGACCCAGTCTTCAACCGTCCGAATGCTATACATTTGTTCGTCCGGACAAAACGGTGATGGCGAACACATTCTATGCTAACCCATTTTGGCAAATCAAGCGCAAGGGGGATCGGGTATCGGGCATCGGGCAGCTTTGGGCTTCACCCAGTGCCACTCCTGATCAGCAATTGCCATACATGGTGGGTGCCTCGGTCAAACGTTGGCGTCTATCCTGTTGTTTGTGTTCCTCTGACACTACTCAACTCGGATAATTAGGCTCGTATGCTGAAGCCAGCTAGCTCCCCCGGGGTCTGAGGGCCTCAGATCTGAAAACCCATACGAAGCAAGGGCGTGCGTCCTGTGCCCCGGCCAAGGACCAGATTGACTCTTACTTGGAACACTATACCCTCAATCTCATTAGGCCACACCATAATACTCGGGTTTCGGTCATGATATCAATGCCTCTATGCAACCTTACAAGGAGCCTATAAAGTCACCTGGCCGGATCTGGACCGTCAGAGCCTGGTTTGTGCCTGGCCCTTTCTTTCCTCATACCCTGAATCCTCCCTCTTCCTCCTCCGATATCGAATCTAGATACCATGGGTTCAATCGACAGCAACTTGGAGACGCCTGAGAGCCCGGATGTCATCATCATCGGTGGCGGAATCAGTGGCTGCGGGGCTGCATGGTATTTGCACAAGCAGGGCCGCTCCTCGATGATACTCGAAGCCAGCGATCGTGTCGGGGGGAAGACGTACAGTGTAGCCGACGCATACAGCGAAGCCGGCTATATCGACCTCGGCGCTTCGTGGGTCAACGACACCACACAGAAGTACATCAACGCTCTAATCGAAGAATTGGGGCTCGAACGACTCGAGCAAGATGTTGACGGACTGGCCATTGCCCAACGTCCCGACGGGTCGTTCTTTACGCACGGCTACCATGACTCGGTGGTGGGTGGGACAGCAACGAACGGTCCCTTATCTGACCGGGAATCACTGATTGTGTGCCGCAGAAAGCCAGCGACGAAGATTTTGGGCTTTTCTTCGCCAAATTCCATGACGTGGTCGAATCGATCAACACCGACGATGTTGCCAGCACTCCGTTCGCCACTACACTAGACTCGTTGACCGTTCTCCAATGGGCCCAGAAGACTTTCCCCAATCGACCCGGCCTACCCAAGCGAGTGGATTTGTATGTACGGGCCCTCTCAGGGGCAGATCCGGCCCAGGCAAGCATGCTGTATCTGGCTCACTATGTTGCCTGTGCCGGCGGCATCAAGTCTGCCTCGGGCGACGAGAAGGGCGACGCACAATACCAACGGCTGATCGATGGTGAGTTAAGTGGATAAACACGCAACCATCTCTAACTCCTTTCTTACCCTATGTTTGGTTTTGACATGTCGGACTAATCGACTCGATTCTCCAGGGACGCAAAACATCAGCAAGCAGATGCTGGCGCGATTGCAGGGCCAGGGGGGCAAGAACACGATTTTGCTCAACCATGCCGTCGACACCATTTTCCAGCAAGACGGCACCGTGACGGTGACGACCAAGAACGGTCAACGGTTCTCGGTAAAAAAAGTTATCATCACCATCCCACCGGTCCTGTGGACGAGCATCCAATGGTCGCCTCCACTGCCCGAAACCAAGGCGCTCATCTCGGACCGTCTGACCATGCCAGCGTACTCCAAGATTGTCTTCACTTTCAGCCACGCGTGGTGGCGGCCGCGCTGCTCCGGGACCGTCTTCTTCTTCGACGGGCCCATTCAATTTGTCCGGGAGACGAGCGTTCCAGCCAAGCGGTGCTGGACTTTGACTTGTTTCGCCACGGGCAAGAAGGGCTTTGACTGGGGCAGCCAGAGCAAGCAAGCGAGACGACAGTCGGCCTGGGATACGCTCGCCTCAGCCTTTGTCGGCTTCGTCGACAAGAAGCCAGTCCCAGACCCTGTCTCAGTACACGAGATGCTCTGGGAGAGACAGGAATATATTTGGGGCGCGCCGAGCGCCTCATGGCCACCCGGCATGCTGGGCCACGGTCTCCAGAAGGATCTCAAGGCTGCCCATCACAACGTCCATTTCGCCGGCAGCGAGACAGCGTCCGCTTTCAAGGGTTACATGGAAGGCGGGTTACAGGCCGCAAACCGGGCGGTGCAGGAAATCGTTCAGAATTAGACAGTACCAGACAAAAGAAAACACCCATGTCTCTTTTCCCCGGAATTTGGAATGCAACTCGTACAACATATCATCTGAACGGACTGTGAATTCGAGTTTAACAATGTCACACACGTTCTCATTTAGTCTAGGCGTCTTGCAAAATCTATACTATAGTCGCTACTATTTCTCACGTCCGCGTTTTGCACATTCTATCATGGTGACTTGCATTTCTCATCCCAGGTGTATTGCATAGTTTACGTACATGCCATGGTAGTCTTGGGCCGGTGACGATGAGAGGAAAGTCCCTGAACTTGTTTAAAAGTCTAAATTATTGCCCGTCATCAGGATTTTGCTGACCACATATACACTACCAAGGGTACACAGTACGTAACACAGCATGTAGGTATCAATTTACCATATATTCAGTCCAAATGACAGGCACCCCCGTGACCATCATCAAAGAGCAGAGCCCTTCCCCTGTGCAGCAACATTTTGTCCTCTCTCACAGCCCGTCCGATTCAAGTTCAACAAGACGCTCCTGTTGATAGCCTGATCGCTCGGGGGCACATCCATGGCTGGGTTCCTATTGAAGAAATTAGACGGCCGGAGCATGACCTTAATCGACTCCTGGGGCATGAAGGGGAAATCCTCAACGCGAGGAATGTGGTTGAGACCGAAATTGAGCCAGACAACAGGGTCTCCTTCTAGGTCGTCGCCGCGGGCTGCCCAGCTTCGGACCCCGGTGCCCCCCGTGCTCTGGTTAGTGAAGGTGCCGCCCGAGAATAATTCGTCCGGGGCGTGCCGGGTCACGTAGACGTTGTGGTCGGTGAATTCGGCGCGCCGATGGTGGTAGGATTCATCGTCGGCCAGGAGGAACTGCATTGGCGGGACGTGGATCTTGTAGCCTACCGCCGACCCGTTGACCTCGTTGCGCACCTTGGGGTTGATGATCTGGAAGACTCGGCTTTTGCTCACATCTACGTCGTATCCTCCGGACTTGGACAGCTGGCTCCGTCGCACCGTGTACCCTGTCCCGTGCGGGTTGGTGTCTGCGTCTCGGGGGAGCGCGTACGCCTCGTCGTAGACGACTTGGTTCCCGCTCCCCGCGATGCGAGGGTCGATCCGGAGCGAGAAAAAGTGTTGGTGGTATGGCGCTAGGACACCCGAGTGCACCACCACCCCATAGGGATTCTTCGTCTTCGTCAATTCTAGGTCCAACGGCACCGTGGAGAGAATGCCCGTAGCCCGAACCTCGTACGTAATGTCGCCGCTGAGATTGAAAATCCACGCGAGGATGTATTCGTAGTTAGCCACGGTTAAGATGGTCTGCACTACTAGCTCTCGGTTCCGGACGACGACGCCGCGGCGGGTCCGATAGTTCGTGTGTTTCCATAGAATGCCATGGTCCTGTTCGTGGATACACATAGCGTTCGGGACCTCAACCGCCCTCCCCCTTGTGTCGTTAACCAGACCGGATATGTAGAAAATGGACCCGAGGCAGTCGCAGCCGAGTTTCAGGTTGTTGGCGACCAAGCCTACCCCGACGTCGCCAAGATCGAAGGCCGACTTGCGATGGTAGGGCGGTCTCGGGTCGGCGTAAGGGATGACCATGTCTGACAGGCTCAGCCGATGAAAAAGGGGCTGCTCGTCGTAGTGAACGTCGTAGATGACCATGCCTTCTCGTGCGTTGAACCCGACTTTGAAGTCCCATTTCTGCCACGATATCGTGCGGCCTAGGTCCGAGTACTTGTCGACGACAAACGATACTCCCTCGGGCTGGACCACTCGGAGTGGTTTGAGATCGGTTCGGAGCTGTTTCTGGGCTTCGGGGATGTATTCGTTGGGGGGACCCAATTTCATCGGCTGCAGCGGTTTGACTTCATTGTCTAACCCTGTCGGCAAGGTGTCGATCCGGACGAGGCTGAGGTCGACCGGTGACATGACGGGAGAGATGGGTAATGGAAAAGCGTAATGGCAGCCGTCAGGCTCGTCCGGGTTCGCGGGGTCTCTTGCATACAGATAACATTGGACAAGCCGGACATCATCCTTAGGGTTGCCTTTGTTCGCGCTATCCGAACCTGTTCGTCATAGTTGGTCAACTCTTTGGAATCTGGAAACTTCGGGTTAGGCTTATACCATATATCCATGGATCGCATACGACCCGTGTCCCCGGAGGAAGGTGGAGCTTTGCCAACTCTGCCTGCACCTTGGGATGTTCGACCACGGCAGCTTCAATGGCGAAGGTTTCTTCGGGATCGTTGGGGGCATGGCACTGTGGCTCCATGCGCACGTTTCGATCGACCTTAGCCTCGGTCAGGTTGACATGCGCTTCGTGAAGTTTGTCCTGCAAAGTTACAAGTCAGATAATGGCATCCATCAGTCAACATCGGAGCTTCAAGGTCGAATCATCGTAGAGAGGACTGACCGTATTTCGTATGTAGTATGCGACATAGGCTCGTCGCGCCAATGGTACCGGACGCTGGCCATTCCTTTCCGCGTCAAGATAGGCAATCAATTCGACTTTTGGCGGTTCAAGAAGTACCATGGACTTGAAGTGGAGGGAGGTGCCTTCTGGCCAGCTGGGCTGCAATATTGCTGCAGTTTGCGCAAACTCGAACTCCGCCAGCGGCCCTAACGGATGGTAAATTGTGGCGGCGCCATGGTTAGGCTCCTTCGCTGTCATTTTTGCCAAATCTATTAGTATTTGGAAGCAAAGGCTATTGAGTACCACGGAAGCGTCTTATGGAGGAGAAGATTGTAGCTAGACAGCAACAGGTCTTATACCCTACTCTGTCTGATGGCTCCTTGGGCTCTCTGCACCCTGTGAGTCCAAATTTGGCAACCTTATGCCGAGTTCTAGAGCCTCGGCCATTATCTAGACGCACTTGCACATTCCTCAGATCGTGGAACGTATAGCACGTATCTTGGTTCATGGGTCCATTACAATATCCTTAGTTACTAGTGCGAAGGGCTCGACTGCATGAGTAGTTCATGGATGCAAGGAGAGATCGCCCTTCAGAAATGCCCATTCTGGACATTTAAGCGCTTTCCGCCATACCAAGCATTTCAGGGTTCACTTGGGTTACGGTGGAGGTACGGAGTACGGAATACAGCGAGTAGAAAAAAATCCGTCGGGATTCCCCGGGATCTAGGTCAGAGAGAAAGGACACTACTGGGACTTGGTTTTCCCTCGGCTCTTCCTTTCGATCGATGGGCGCGTTAAGATAGTATAATGTACGGAGTAGTCAAGACTATTGATCAAGGTACCCGTCACGGCGTGAATGATCACACACATTGCTACCCACCTGAGGAAGACACAAAAGACCAGAGTACGATGGACATAGATAACATTCATTGGATAGCTCGCGAGGCTGGACTGTCATTCCATCTGTTTGCCTTTAGGGTACTATGTAGATGTGGTCTGCGCAGGCGCGATCTCAGGTCAACTAAATCTTATCCTTTTCTCTGATCAGCTGCGCAGCGTGCGCCGTGATTCCCTCAAGATCAGACATCTTCCTGAACTCGCCGTCAGTCCAGCCGGTCGGAAGTAGTGAGGCCACCCTGGCCAGCCACGCACTTCCCCCTTTCCAGACAATGGGCGGCGGATTGGCCTTTGTAATGTCCTTAACCACCTGGGCGGCCCATTGGTCCGCGGGCATGGCATTCTTGGAGTCCTGCTGAAAGACTGATTTCTCTAACAGTTCCTTCTTCGACTCGTAGACCGAGCTAGGCGGCAATTGTCGTGTGGTGTCGTTGGGGTCAAAGGTCCAGATATTGGATTTGACCGCCCCTGTCTTGAGTTCCACCAATTTGATCCCAAAGTTGTGTAGCTCCACTCGCATCTGACTCGAGAGCATCGCCGCGGCTGCCTTGGACGCATTGTAGCCTCTATTGAAGGCCAGAGGGAGCAGGGAGTTAACCGACGTATTATTGACAATCATCGGATTCTGGGTCGACCGAACAAGCAAGGGGAAGAATGCCCGGGTGATGGCGACATAGGAGAAGACATTGGTCTCAAAGGTGGCACGCATTTGGTCGAGGTCGATATCGAGCACAGGCATCATATAGTCGCGTCCAGCATTGTTCACCAGGACGTCCAATGTGCCTCCAGTGAGTTTGCTGACCTCGGCAACGCATGTTTTAATCGACTCGTTCGATGTGACTTCAAGCGCGAGACATTGAATGCCTACCGCTTCGACCGCGCTCATCTTTGCCACATTTCGTGCGGTCGCAAAGACGCGGTAGCCCTTGTTCTGAAGGGCCAGACAGAGAGCAGACCCCAAGCCTCCATCGGAGCAGCCCGTGACGAGGACTGCTTTCGTCGACATCTCTCTTTTGAAGTAGGGAATATCAGTAGCTCGAAGACGAGAGCCCTTTGTTGGCAACGGTAAAGGAAGCTATTAAACTGACTGCATCACTTGATCCGCCCGCTGTAGAGCTACTATTTATCGCATAGGGATTGCTTACTAGGGAATGCAGAACTCCCTTAGAGCTGGTGACTTGTGAAGCGTAGAAGTGATAACTTAAAACTAGACTATCCCAAAAATAGCTATTTACGCGCATATGTGTAAAATTAGGCCTCCGCTAATAGGTCCTCACCTTATTTAGGCACCCATAGAACCTGCTAAGGGATACCTATTACAAGTTGATATACGATCTAAATAAGGACCCGCTCGGAATAGATGGTCGGGCGAGGAAGCTATAATATCACTGACGTACTGGTGTCTGCGGACACGAGGCTGCGGGATTACGTGACGGGGGGGAACTTAACTCGGTTATCCTTAGGTGGCAAACGGTAAGCCGAATATTTTTCGAATCAGTGGACCGAGATCTATCGATTACTTTAGAGGAGTATATCCCGGAGTATATAACTATGAAGATCCGAAGACTTGGTGATTTTTAGCTGCCACTAGAGATTCTCACAAGACCGGCCAACTCTAGAATTATTCCTGTGGCCCGGGTGCGATAATGGTCTCTTTAGACACAGTCTCTGATGCTGGATTCTAAGTGTGAGTTTCGTTGCAGTATCTCTACTACCACGTGTTCAAACATAACCTCTATCTCTCAAATTGGCTGAGTATTCGTGTTCGTAATTGTTGGTCAACATAACGCGTGGGAGACATCTCGAAGTCGGATGGGCAAGGTTGCCTTAAGGAGTGGAAGGACCGGTGTCGGCGGAGTGAGAGGGATGGCTCCTCGAGGTATCGCAGAATGCTCGAGCAAATAATTGGATCCATAGGTCTTAGAAAAGGTATGAGGTATTGGGAACTCTATCACTCTATGTGAGGTGATTTGTTCGACTTATAGTTGGTTGAGACATTAGTCAACCTGGTCAAACCTCGCGTGTTCTAGTAAAACTCTCGTTATACGACCAAAACTCACCCAGTGGTAAGGAGTTGACTAGAGGCTTTCCTTCAGATGTCAATTGACATATCTTTATACGAGGACTAGGCCTCATTTGCATCAAGCTTTACTGTACTGCCCCATGCCTGCAAGTCTCTTTAGGGCCCATAGATCGTTCTAGCCATCCTTTCGACAAAAACAGTAGATGTCGTATTACTTTTCTAGATGACCCGGAAAAACTGTCTGATTTGTCCTAATACTACCACGTTGTGTTCCCAACGGCTTCCGAACGGGCCTCAAGTGGTCGGGATGTGCCAACCCACCGCCTGACTCAGTTATGCTATAGCACTTTAGGAATGGGGACCTTTCCTCTCTCGCGCCTTTGTACCTACAATATAATCCTTCCTGCCACTGGAAAATTCCCATCTCTTCGTTGGTCGGTAGCAGCTCTTCGAGCTTCGGAGGGTCTTGCACGTGGCTCAGCCGAACAAATTCCCGTACTAACGCGTGAACTTGCCGAATGTGTGAAGCCGAACTGCGCTTCCACAGTTAACACACCACCCTATTTGAGTGTTTCCACTTTCGGCCTTAAGTGCCCGGCGCCCGGTCAATCTATTCCCCAACATTGCACGCGTTCACGTTGAAGACGCGTCTTGTTTTTCCCTGCCCATCAGATTGCGGTGAGTGACGCGTCTTGTTGCACCCGCGCATCAGACTGTGGTGGTTGAAGAAATCAATGCCTGTCAGCCCTATGGCTGTGCCTGTTATCGCTGTCTTTTTGCACTCCATCCCCTGTATCTGTTCCCCTGATCACCTGGTACTCCTCATGCCTGGAAATGGCCTTCCCACGCCCATGTGTCACCAGGATCCTCACGAGATACCCGATGCCCTCGACCGTTCTAGACTCGATCTCGATGAATGGTATTAACAAGTGGCCAATAAGAACCGGCTTTCCGTCTCTCTGATCGACTGTGGACTGTTCTCCAGAATCTTTGAGCATCCTCTGCGGACTGTGCCCTCCCACTCTACCGCCCACAATTCTTTGACAATGGTCGAGCATTACACACAGGCCATGCTTTTCAGCTAAGGAGATGAGATGTCCACACAGCGTCCACACATGGTCCACACAGGGACGAGACCTTTCCGAGCTGAGAGCCAGCCCACAGCATGGCATACGATAGAAGAGACCAAAACAAAACGAAGCACAGTCATGGAATTGCTGATGTGCATAATGATGGAACCAAGTCACTCTGATCGCCATGGACCTTTTCCGAAAGGAAGCGGTACCACTTCTCGACGCACTGCTGCAAGAGCCTCTCCTACAACTTACCCGGTCAAGACTAGAGAGAACTGCAAAGCTCTGAAGGAACCTGCCTTCCAAGTCACTTCACACCTTCTTCACAAACGCTACGGACGGAATGTGCTGGAGGAAGAGTTTGAACCTCCGGTTTTCGAGAACGGAGAGCTGGGGGATGCCATTGAAGATGATGCCTTTAAGACGATACTCTGCGAGAGCTTGGGACTGAGAACCGACATCGCTGGGGGCGGCGGTCTGAGACTCCAGCTCAGATCGTGAAACCGAGGAGTCAGATGATACTCTGCAAGAGCTTGAGATTGAGAACCGACAACGCTGCTGCATCATTGGTTCAACCTCTCGTGGCTGCACTAGCAAGTGGGAAGATGCCATTGAAGATGACGATCTTTCAGACGATACACTGCGAGAGCAGGGACTGGGAACCGACAACGCTGCTGCATCATTGCTTCAACCTCTCGTGGCTACACTGGCCAATCGTGAAAATGGATTGATTGCCGCAAGGAGATGAGCATACTACAACAGAGAACCAAGTCCAACATGTCCATCCGATGAGCACAAATGAGGTCTGTCATGAGGTGAGACCGCAAGACCTGTGAACACCACCATTGAGCCTCAGAAGCAACGATAAGTGCGAATCCATACCAATTTTCCCGAAGACGATGCACCTCACTAGCCTGTCCTGTTGCCCGCCTTCCCTTTTGCCTCTCATGCACCATCCTGCGATTTCTCATCATCCAACCAACAGGCACCCACACGATAACTTACCACCAATCTCACCTGTTCCCCTTCGGAAAGACCACCATAAACCAAGTCTGGTCTGGTCACCCCGCCTTTGCTTGGTCGTGTCTGCAATTGCTGGTGGATTGACTCTCCAAGTCCCACAGTGGACACGTCTGCTGTTCCATCCCCATCATTGGCTACCGAGGGATGTTGTTGCTTGCCTCAACGTCGACGCCGAATAGCCACAGATGCAGCGATATGGAATTTTCATGACCAGCCTGGAAGAGACGGGTAGCATCCTGGTCTGCCTCCTGCCACACATATTCGCCTTGCCCATACCACGTCTCATGAACCAGCATGATGCACCATACCGGCATGGCAAGAAACTTGGCTCCGCCGAGTCCCCTTGTCGGTCCTCACGTTCAATACTACGGCCTAAGGGCTTCACTTATCGATGAAAATCTCCCTCGCTCTGAACTTATCGTGATCGATGATGACGAAAGCACTCTGCGTCAAGCTCTCAATGCCCCAGTGGAGATGGGGGATATTCTCCACAAAGGACAGAGGTTGTACCCATCGTGATCGATGATGACGAGAGTCTGACTCTAAGGCCGCCAACACATTTCAACGAGACTGAGCGTCCACTGGCCGCCAAACCATGAACCCATCGTTATCAATCCAAGGGCATCAACTTCCCTGACGGCCAGACGTTAAACCCATCGTGATCGATGATGACCACAGCCCGAGCCCTATGCTGTTGCTCCCTCACTTGAATGAGACTGATCTTCTGCCAACCGCCAAATCCCGAACCTATCGTGATTGGTGATGACGAAAGCCCGAGCCCATGCTGTTGGTCCCTCGCTTGAATGAGATTGATCCTCCACTGACCGCCAAACCCTGAACCCATCGTGATCGATGAAGACCAATGCTCGAGTTCTTAATCGTCTAACGAATCACTGATAAGGATGGATGTTGTCTGATGGCGGACGAACCTGTGCCCGCTGTCATGCGTGGATGAAAGCCCGAGCGAATCAGTCATTTGAACACCGACCTGCGTCATGAATCTACCACGGTCACTGAGTCCCGGTCCCGGACCTGTCAATTCCTCACTCGATTCCGTAGAGTGGTCTTCAATCAACACTCCGAGGCCCATTTAATGGTGGATGACGACAACCCTCAGGCCGCGATACGCGCGCACCGTCCTTAAGCTCGCGGGTGAGCACAATTGCGCTCCATGGCGATTTTGTTAACTTTTGTCCTCCATCCATTCAAGGACAACACAACACACTGCGATACCACCTGTCTGGAAGTGGAGCACAACGGAAGTGTCAGAGTCTCCTTTCTCAAAGCAGGTTTCATCAATTTCTCCGAGATCTTCTAGATTGATCACCCGGCTTCTAGGATACTTACCCATTTCGTTGTCATCTTCCACGGTGAGCCTTCCCACACAAGGTGACTGGATTTCCGCAATAAGATTGATATTTGACAATTCGATTATCCGAGGCCTGTCAGGGTGGATTTGCAAGCCTGTTGTCAAAGTAACTGACACACTTGAGCCATTATTTTGGCGTTCTGGTATTCAGACCGTGGTCCTTGATTAATGCATCTGTCGCTTCATTGCTTTCAACGACTCTTGGTTTGAACACATGATTTGAGTCTCCCGGTGTAGTGAAATTGTCCGTAACTGGTGGTCGTATACTGACGACTGGTTCAGGATCAAGGGGTGAAGCTGATGATCGACATAGATGACCGGGAGGGTTGCTGGTCTCCTCTGCCACTGTCAAAACAGCCCCATTGTGACTCCGCGGCGTGTCATATTTCATGCTAAGGATTTGACGCGGGTGTGAAGACAGGAAGACCCTGTAGATTATATTAACTCCTCGAATTTCTTCTACCTCCTCCTTTTCTTCCCCATAATTCTTTTTCACGATGATTTTGTGTGCGTCAGCGAGGTGACGAGCAGCATTTGATGTCCAGAGGCAGGAAGAGAAAGGGCAGTATTACAGTGATCACAAATCCAACGCTTTTAATCCACAGAAGAGTTGATGTTTTTATATGATGTGCCATGCGCCAGACGCGGGATGACGTTGATTTGTGGTAAATATTGGCTGGTACACCGACTAATTGCCATCTAACACTACGGGTCCTTCGCTCTTGCAATCGCGTTGGCTTAAAGAGAGTAGTGAGAGATAAGGGAGTACGAAATGGTGTTGGCGTCGCTGCGACACTCAATGAAGAGGAAGGAGTTTCGATCGATTCGATGTCTAAAGTATGATAATTTCTGCATGCGGATCTACCCTTTCATCCAATCTTATCGAAGGGAGCTCGTTTGAAGCAGCACACCCCAGTAGCATACATTTAAGCTAATCCACAGTGAAAAATTCCTCGTCTATTGAGAACAGTCCAGCCGCAACGATAAGACCAGACAAATATCGTTGATCAGTAGTGAGTGTGGCTAGGCCGCGTTAGTGTGCTGAGTTTCATTGATATTAAGTTTCACGAAGTACTCACCCCTAACAATCTCATCCTCCCGCTCCGCTCTGAATAGTGCTTCCGTCTTCGCAGCGTATAAAGGAGCCATACCAATGTATGTCTCCTGAAGAGTCGCATACTCGTCCGAGAACATCCATCTTCGGTGCTTCACGTAAAGCCAAACACGTCTGGGGTGGATTCGATGGATAAGATTAAGGGCATTCATACGCGCTTTTCGTTGAAGGCTGGCATCGAGATTCATGGTTAAGGTATATACCAGTGCCTGTAATTTGTAGAGTCTCCATGATTGGTCCAAGTCGTTCACAAACGTCCCTCTAGATCCGCCTAGAATAGGTTGGTGGTTAGTGCTAGGCCTAAAGGTGCTTTCTCCTTAGCCTACGTACCTAGTGTGTAATATGCTTGCCAGAAGGGAATCTTTTCGGGTTCTGAGATGGATTTATCGCTGTTTTCGAAACATTTCGTCATCATTGACAGCCACACATCGTCAAAAGACTGAGTAAATGGTTCACCTCTTTCCTCATCCTTATCAAACCAGACAGCTGTGGTCTTAGACCCAAGCATCTTGAGCACAGCGGACAACTTCTCTATACAGGCGAGGCGGCCAACTCGAGCCCCATGTTCCCCAGTACCGACTGTCTTAAAGCCATCTGCGGCTGTGGTCATGTATGACTCTAGTGTTCGTTTTAAAGGATGCGTTGACCCGAAGACGATGCTCTTGGACCGTAAAAGATTATCCAGAAATACAGAATTGATCGTGTCCACGTGCTTGGTAGAAATTGGCCAAAATCGAAAGCAGAACTTATCGTTAGACCGGGGTTGTCCCGACTCTCCTGGCGCGAGTTCTACTCTGCCGTTAACGACTCTCGTATAAGAGTTTGTAGCCTTCGCCACTGGTAAGTCGGAAAGGATAGACTTGACCTTCTCTGGTTGGGGAAACTGCACCGCTACTGCATTCAGTGCAATTTGGCGTGATATCTTTTTCTTAGGGTCCATGTCTTCAAGCTGTTCAGGCAATATACTACTTCGGAGGACGATGATAAGTCGAGGAGATACGGGCCCGAACTCGTCGAAGCATACGTAGGTATTCCCGAGGAACTGACCGCTTCTGGCACAGAAGGTTTCATGAGTTGGGCCCTCGAAGATGTTGTAGCATTGATCCGTAAGTATAAACTCGTCACATTCCTCAGCGGGTGTGCAGAATGTCATATAGGAGAACTGTGCATGAAAGATAAACATCTCCGCGTCTGCCGAAAACATGAGTTTTGGGAGCTGGGCAACCCACTTTTCCTCGGCGTCCATATCGAGATCCAGGATAGTGCGGAGATTGTGTAGCCATACGTCCCTCGGCCTCTTCATTCCCCTGTCGGACATGTAGGCTCTGAGCAGGTGCTTGTCCTCCGAGTCATACGTTTGTGGGTCATCAGACATATATTTTTCGTAGAAGCCAGGGCCTCGATACTTCATGATGAAGAGAAACTTTCGGAGCTTGTTTCTCTCCACCCGTGTGAGCCATATCCCGGGCTCACTGTTCTCATGGGCCTTCTTAACCTTGTGAATTATTTCCGCTGTCCGACACTCGAGTTTGGAAAGTTCTTGCTCCACGTCTTTCTTACTTTTAATGACATCGGCGAAATCCTTGTACATGTCCTCCTGGCCGAACCAACGGGATACTGGTGACTCGAGCAACCGCGGTTCATCGGAATTGAGGTCCACAACATTGAGCACTTTGTCGCCTTTGTACTTGCCTTTCTCATAGTGGCATTTGCCCCTCTTTCTGGACCTCTTTTGCGTCGGCGGGTTGTATGGATGGGAAAAGTTGCGCAGGAGAAACTGAGGGATGTAATGCTGGTATTGCGCCATTGGCCCCGTGATTGAAGCTTTGAGTGCCGGGACTTTAAAGAAGTGATACTCTTTCAAATTCCTGCTCTGTTCAGCTTGCTAAATGTCTTTCACATTTGGTGAAAAGAGTCTCCAATTTCTGTTAGTCGTGGACCAAACTCTCATTGTGTCGACTGCTCCCCAGATGAACAAGGCAACAGTGAAATACGCATTCGGTTAGTACCCTTCGAGCCGTGGAAAGTTTGTGGCCAATGAATCTCATAAGGGTCTTGGTACACATATACGTATCGACTGTGAAGGAAGACGGCGGATTTTCAAGGCTTTGTGACCAAACTCAAATAATCTTTCTATCTACTAGCTAATTCTACACATTAAGAAGTTTAAAACTGCAGTGTCAATAAGTTCGGCCTTACATTCCGCCAGATTGAATCTCTCGCAATGGTCGGATCAGTTGTTAAAAGAGCTAGTAGATGAGCGGTTTACTGGGGGGGTGCCCAACAGTCCAGGGCATGGGTTATTGACGCTTCAATGCACCCTGTGGCATCGTCTGACGGGAGTACGGAATTACTTGTAAAACAATCGATTCTGATGGAAGATGGTCAGCTCTGTGCAGCGTCCGTTGGCGGAGAACAACCGTCTCGGGCGGTCGGCAGATTCGGCCTCTACCGCTGCACCCCGAAGATGCAAGACCCGTTGCTCGACATTTCAAGGTGCCCGTGCTTTACCATTTCGGTGTGCTCGGGCAGAGAATTTGAGCCTATTATCAAACAAGTCGTGTGCTAGAGCGGTTTCTTGCAGAAGTTGACGTCGACATGCTGGCGGAAGATAGCCTTGGCGGGAATGTTATGTCTCTCACTGCTGAAGATTGTCATCTTGAGCTTACAGTAAGAGGAGGAGTTGGTCGGGTCTTACCGCATATGCAATAGTGCAATTTAAAGTATCCTCCAATTGTCGATGAGCTCCGTCACTTAGCTCGTACTACTGAGCCGGCCCTAGCCTTCACGCCTCTGCCAAGCCAGGCTTACCTTCGTTGTGTCGATCCTTGGCGTGCACGGGCTACAGGAAAAGGCACTTATCTTGTGACCTGTGCACATCGGGTGTGCGCCTGCAGTCTGCTGGCTTCGAATGCAGTGGGCCAATATTAATCCATCAACCTTCGATCGGCGTCCGGCAGGGTCCGCCCTCTGTTCCTGAAGCAATAGCCATTCAGGTTCGCTGGCATCGTCTTGGGGATAGCGTACTTTTGACCCCAAGAGGCTGATTTGCGCCTACTCCAAGGCCGAAATCCCGGCTGATGATTAAATCTCTACCCCAAGTTGCCCTTTGACGTTCAAGGTCTCTAAGCTGGGTCCTTGCTCAAGCAATGGCTGGATAGTGGTGGCCGCCTAACGGTCGCTTTACATGCAGCAACCAAAACATCTCTCAACTGGTGAGACATGCTGTTAAGTGAAGTGCCGTGCAGTGGTGCAGCACAGATTATACCAGCCTTCGCTTGGTTACCTACCAAAATCAGCCAATAATTTGACTTTGGGAAAGGCTGCCTCGGTGTCAGCCCTACTGCCTGCGAATGAATGGCTCCCGATGATCAATAACAGTCACTCTCCAGTTTCACAAGAGGCAAGATCTCCCGCAATCCGGACAACAGCGTTTTCCCACGCAAGCAACTTGTTCTGCTCGTCTGTCAACCAGCATCATTTCCGAGGTTATCGCGAGTCAGGGTCGGTTTAGGGTCTCTAGGCATTGGCGACATCCATTGCTCCGTCACTGCAGCAGGGTGAGATCAGACATCCAAATGCTGAAATTTTCCCTTTGTCGATTGTCGAATCCAAGTTATTTAGCCTTAGCCCCTCTGTCATTTCTCTGAAGGAGGGCTGACAAGAGAGTTTAAAGAGTTGAACCTCACCTGGGATATAAAGGTTTCCCTGGGGGTCTTGGGGTTAAGGGGGAAAAGGGTGCCCCCCAGAACGCTAAAGGACCAGCTGACAGTTGGCCCGTTTAGGCATCGCTCATGAAGCTTGTGTACCAACTGGCCCCTATTATTATGATATTCTGTGAGCCTTAAGAACAGTTCCAGCTGTTAAGCCGTACGCACTTCAAGTTTTACTATCCTGTGACATAGACAAAGAACTCAGCAACTCTTCCTTACTCACATTTGGGGTGACCGCGGTACGATATATCATCATGGCGTCATTAGGAGAGATCTCGAGATACACACAGCTCCTCAGGGCCTCCCAAATCGCTGGGATCTCATGTTATGTGTGTTTACAAATGGTACAACGGAAGCCTCACTGGAGGTAGGAAGGAACGACACGACGTTATATCCTATGTAATAACGACTATCATGAAAAACACAAAAGCTTGTAGCAACTAGAAATATACGAAATCAACCACGAAACATATTGTAGTAAAGAGCGATATAAGGTAAGACACGCCCCGGTTCCTATCTTCTATAATATGGCAGAGAGGAATACCTAGGAGGTGTCACATAAAGGCGGTTTAGTTATAGAAACGGGAGAGGAGAAGTAGAAGTAGCAGCAGCAGCAGCAGTAGCAGCAGCAGTAGTAGTAGTAGTAGTAGTAGTAGTAGTAGTAGTAGTAGTAGTAGTAGTAGTAGTAGTAGTAGTA